AAAGTGAAGTATAATTAAGATGGTATCACCAATAGCAAAGAGATGAAAAAAATTATCATATGAAAACGAAAATTGACGTAAGAAGATGAAATTCGAAAGATAATTTTTAAGGTCATTCAAGTTCATACTTGAGTGTATATTTTAGTGAGTAATTCGTGATTACAAGATATGAAAAAATAAGATAGACAATGTCAGTTATTAAAATGGTGTAATGGCACTTGATTAGAAGTGAAGAATTATAATGAAGAGTTTGGAGGAGTTTAATAATTATTATTTCAGTTATTATGGTACAAAAAATTGATATTGTTAATCACAATAATTGAATGTAATAAAAACAAAGCTTGAATAGAAGATAAATGATAGGAGTGTTGGAATGCGTGGGTGCAAGTTAGTTAGGAGGGAGATAATGCGGGTGGAGTTTAGTTTGTCCAATCCTCGATGATCCTCTTGTCTCTTTTTTCTCTCTCTTTCTTGTTCATTACCTCCTCCTGTGTGACCTCTTTGCTTGTCCTGAGGTCCCGCCTGCGGTATCTCTACCACGCCTGGCTGACACCTACGCTAGATTCTCTCTCCCGCGCACTTTATCATCTTCCACACAACACACACGCGATCTGCTACTGTCCATTGTCTTCACTCCACTCCATTATCAATCCCACCAGATGTCATCCATGACAATCTCATAAATCTTTTGTATAAAATATGATGAAAAAAAGAAAGAAAATAATCTGAAATTTTTTTCAAAATGTTCAAGTCACTTGGATTCGTGCGTTGGTCTCAGTGGTTCTTAATGGCGCGACTCGTGGTCGGCCAGCCGTGACACATTGACGTCATTGGTATAACGCATTATATATACATATTGACCTCGTTGTATCACTGAAAATTTATACATTTTAAAATCGTCACATTTCACTTGAAACAAATTCATTCATTTTTTGACGTATCATCAGCATTTGATAATTTCATCTTACTCATTTTTAATATAAATGAAATCCTTTGTAATATTCTCATGAATAAATGATATTTTAATGTCTATTATTGAAATTTGATAAAAAAAAAATGTGATGCTTGGAGAATAAATAAAGGTAACTCATTTTTGGAGTAATAACATGGGTAACAACGTACACAATATCCGATGAGTTAGAAGTGGCTATGACCATGTGAGAGGTCAGAAAAAGGGGAAGGACGAAGGACTAAAAAGTATGAAAAAGAAAAAGACAGAAGACGTGAGGTCAGGCGGGACCGAGGGCAGCAAGAAGTGGAAGCACGCTTGGGTGCTCTCGCCGTCGAGCCGAGAATCGGTGAGCGTCAAGTAATGCGCCAAAGTGGGTGCGCCATACATTGTCCAATAAAAACAACTCAGACATTAGAATAAAAATATCTAACTGACCCAACATATATGTACATATTCCATCAAATTTATTTTTTTTGTCCTCCAGTAATTATTTATAATGAAGAGTCTTCAAATTCTGGGAAGAGTGATATTGGAATGAAATTTACCCGAAATACCACGTAGTCGTTAATTTCTCGCTTGATGTGCCACAGACACTGATAATTAAATTGGAGTAAATAGAAGTAGAGACAATGCTTAAAGCTATTTCCTTGCTATTTTGAAACCTCCGTTTGTCCTCGCGGGAAAATTCAAATTACTAATCGTACCTCCAGGCTATCATTACAAACTATCGCACCCTTTATTGTACCACACGATCTCTAATTTATTACGATTGTCCTTGCGACTGTAAATGTCTCTAATGCTCCAATCTAATTTCAAAGTCCCAGTCTTTGATAGTAAATGAATTTGGTGATGTCAAAAAATCTTATTCTAATTGATAGTCAATTTGAAATGTAGTGCGGTAGGAATATTATATTAGATATATAGGTTTTATAATTTTTTTGCCTTTTGTTATGGATAATGAAGAGAAAGATTGAGGGAGGAGGGTGAAGAGAAAAAGAGGGATAAAATGACGTAGATACGTATCACGCACAATGCAGGGATCGTGGGAGCGTACACACACAAGATCTCACGTCTGCGTTCCCGTCTGGAGACTTAAAAATGCTTGCGACGGTTCTCATTTCGCTAACCAATTTATACCAAATTATTCCTTTAAAATCATCTTCATTTCTTTGTTTTCTTATCAACATATTAACATTCATTAATTGTCATACATGACATTATTATCGAAAAAAAGTTATCTAGTTTTAAATAATAATTGAATTTATTTTTATAACAACTTGAACTCAAGAAATTAAATGAATACTAAAATTTATTTCTTTTGTTTCAGGTAAGTTTTGATGAATTCAGTACCTATTTATACAATGAAACAAAATGCATTCCCGCAGTGAGTAATAGAATAATTTACCATTTTATTATGACTAATAATTTATCTGTCTCGATTTGATTGCTTTAATAATGAATTTTTTGTTGTTGTACTACTTGATTATTTATGGTTGTGTGTCGTATCAATTCCTAAAATGTTGGGAACAAAGTTGCACGAGGTATAAAAGCATAATAGTGTCTAGAAAAGAAACAACTTGGTTAGGTTAGTTCGAGGTGTGCTCATGTAGATAAGCTCCGTTAATGACCGGACGCGCGTTCACCCAGCCAGAACTCGCGAACTCCCCTCGACCCTCAAGCCACCTCCGCCTTCTTTTTACCTCTTGAGTCCTCTTCTGCGGACTCGTAAGCACTTGCGTTACACGCAAGAGACACGACCGAACAGAAGGATGGGTAACATATACAAGTATTTCTTACATAAAATAGAATTACCAAAGTTGACAAAGTCGTCTTCTTCTCAACGACGTTACCCTTTGTGTTGTATATTTATCATTATTTCAACTGCTGCTCCTCTGCCATTACTTTTAGTTTTTTTCTTCATTCAATTTTGATTGCATTGTCATACAAGTGACACCATTTGGTTTCAACCAAAAATATTTATTTATTTTAAACAGTAAAATTCAAAAATTTCTCAAATATGTATCTATGAATAATAGCAGATGAAATATAGGTCATTGATTGGGAAATAAGTTAGTCAGTAGGCGAATTTGAAATGTTTCTCTATGTAGTTAACGTTATATTGAAAAGAAAAAAAGACGAAGAAGAGCAGACCCCTTTTCAAACTTTATGCCTCGGTAACTTCACCGTCGTTTTCTTCGACGGGCAAAAGTCCGTTACGTAATATAATGAATCCGTTGCAAATACTTTCATGATCGACGTTCACTGAATTTCTCAAGATTCAAAAATTATTATAAATAATTGAGTAAACAAATAGTTAATGAAAGGTTCACGTATATAATTATCACTCTCTAATCGTAAAAATTATTTCATGCCACTAAGTAAAAATTCATTTATTTTTATATACATTTTTCTCTCAAGTTTAATGACAATTACTAGAATACTAAATTACTTTCGACAGTTTACAAAAATACAAGAAGACAAAAAGCTTTAAAGAAATTTATTTATTTTTCACTCTGCATTATGTTGAAATATTTGTAAAGTAAATAAACAAAATGGAGGCAGTAGTTCGTTATTGTTAAATATTATATCGATATAATAGAAGACGTTAATGAACTCTTCATTCTCATTCTAGTATAACATAAATTCAATGTAGTAAAATAAATGGCTCGTATATTACACAACTAATAGTAAAATAATCAGAGTACGACCAAGTGAATAACAAGAAAAAAAATAGCGAAGAAAGTAAAAATGAGTTAAACTATGAGCATATTGTAAAATAAAAGGTAAATCATTAGTATGCAAGTGGCCAGCCGTGTCGTACTATCGTTCATGTGGAGGAGATTCTCTTTTTTTCTCTCTCTCTCTCTCTCTCTCTCTCTCTCTCTCTCTCTCTCTCTCTCTTTTTCTCTTTACCGTGTCAAGTTTTCGACCCATTCACTGACTCACTTGCTGTACTGTAGTACATTATTGTTAGACAACTGCTCATTTCCGGCACTATCGTCTCTACGTGTTTGTAATAATTTACATTTCTATTTTATGTAAATAATAACATCAACAACAATAAACTCAACATTTAGATTTTTCTTATCAATTTTTTTATAATTTAATGTATGTTTTTTTTTATTTTATTCAAACTTACGTAACGATCTTAATTGCACCAATTATATTTTTATGATAATATTAAACTATGAGCAGATGTGTCACCAGTTTGATTGTGATTAGTGTGATGTAGAAGAGTTTTAAAATAAATCTTGAACCCTCTTCAAAAATTGTCCTCGTGCATATCTTTCAGTTTTTCCATTTTTTTTCTTCTTTTTTTTTTCATTGCTTTTCTCTGTTACTCTTGAGGGCCTAAGGCCACTTCCGGTGGCCCACTTGAATCACTAAACCTTCAGGGCTTCCGGTCGTCTTACTATACTGTTATGTATACTACATATACTACTTCTGTTACTACTACTACTATTATGCTTCTTCTCTTTCCGTCAGCTCTTCCGGTCCTTTCTAACATTTACACTTTTCCCTTTGATCTTTTTGTTTTCATTGATTATCTAATATCTTAATAAAGTATCCCATTGAAAAGTTTTATTTTATTTTATGATTATTATTTTTATTAATTTTCAATCGTACGGGTGGTGATTTTTATTACATCAATAAAATTTTTTACTATTTATTTTTATTATGGTAAAAGTCATTATAAAGACCAATTTTATTACAGTTTGTATATACATATATTTTTAAACTCTAATTAATTTTTTTAATTATTTAATTAGAGTAAATTATGTAATAATAAAATTTAATTGTATATATGTGTAAACATTTTATCAAATTTAATGATTATTGAGTCTTCTACAAAGTAAAATAATGAATAAAACTGTATTTTAATGGGAGATTAATTTATTCTAAAGTAATCTTTAACTGATATAAAAATAAAAACAAAAAAGTTAATGATTGAATAGTATAAATGTCATTCTAAATATAAAAATGTTCGTTATGTGATAAATATAATTATTGAATAAAAAAAAATTATTAGTATGAATATATGGTTTGTTCATATAAACGTAATAATCTGTATCAAAATAACACACGTGGTTTGGTGGAAAAAAAAGAAGTAAAAAGAGAAAAGAAAATAAAAAGAAAGAGTGAGCGTGAGAAAAGGGGGAGTAAAAGGGAGAAAAAGAGAGTTGAAGTTGAATTTTTGTACCTGCAGGCGCCACTTCCTTCTTATTCGATTCTTCATTGGTCACTCTTGACTTCCGTTGGCCTCGTAATCCGTGTTTGTAGCACTGAACTTCCTCTCTTCCGGTTTGAATATATCTCGTGTGTCCAAGTCCTCTCTTGCGATGAACTCGTTTTATTCGATTCTCCTTCTACTTTAATTAACAAATTAATGAACTTGACTTTTTTTTGTCAGACTGAAAAAACTTGATTTCAACAAATAAAAGTCATCGTATATTATTGTAAAAATATACACAAGTCCCGTTATACTTGTATGCTAATGATTCATTAAAGACGACACGGCTAATTACGAGCTATTCATTCTCGTAAATTACCATGATCGATCGGTCGATCAATTACAAAAAAAAAAAAAAACACAAAAAGAATTAAAACAGGTAAATTGAAGACTCTGTTAAAAAATGAAAAAAAAAAAAATATTACCTTTAGACATCAATTTTCCTATACTTTTATCTGTTTTTCTGCTTTCATTTGTAGCCTCTCTTGTGTACATCAACATATATCTACATGGAGTTGTTACGTGTCGCTATTGTATTAGAAGACAATAGAATTTAAAAATCTTTATGTATTTCTTTGCTCCTTTTTGTTTTCTTTCATTAACCTGAAAGAAGATATTTAAAATTGAAAATATTTTAAAAGTATCTTTCGTATTCTCATAAGATAAAGTTGATGATGATATTCAATTCAGTAATTAGCAGCAATTTAATTATCAGTGAATACAAGAAAGAATAAAGATTAAATGGTTATGATAATTACAGCGAAAAAGAGGAGGGAAGTAAAAAAGAGTATAAATCATTAATGATGAGGATTGATAAATGAATAAATCTGGTATGTATATATATATAGTATGGTATAATGAAAATGTTTTGTTGATTCTCGTAGTATTATTGAGTATGTTATGAATGAACGCGCTCTGTCAGTAGAAGCGGATGTCGGTCGCGGCATGGCCACAAAGAGCCGTGCACGAGAAGAGAGACAGGTGCGGGATTGCGCATGTGCATGAATCGTCGAGAGGGTATTCATTCATAAAACTACTGGCATAGCAGTAGGAGAACGTCGTGAACGTTGCCGCTTGAGATGTCCCCTCTCTACTTCTTTTAAACACATTTCTCCTCTCCCTTCCTGAGTGTCTCTCCCTTTCCTCTTGCTTCTTTCTGAGATGGTTAACTTGGACGTTCAAGCACTTTAGTTGTATTTTAGTTTGCTTCACGCGCGGCCACAATTCATCATATCATCATTTCTATTGCTAAAATTTGAAAAAGGAGAAAAAAAGAAATATTACAAAAATTACCCCGTTATTAAATCCCCGACTATTTGACGTATTTTCAGTAAATTCACGACGAAAAACAGATACACTGAGTGGCCTTCGTCACAGCTTCTTAAAGAACATCTGACCATTTACTGCGACTGCGCTCCGCGTGTATCCAGGATCACATTGTGAACGTGAAAAGTGGCTAAATTATACACCGGAAGTTCACTGGGGACATATAAACATACCTCCTTGTACACATTTAAGGGTCTACAACATTTCACCGATTGGTTTGTTGACACAATGACCCTATTAGCCTGTGATTTCCGGCTGTTTTGGAGTTTTTAAGTGTAGAGTGAAGTGTCGAGATTTTCAATCGTGTGTTTTAGTTGAAGACATTGTTTCCCTATCTCCCTCCCTCTTCCCCACTTAACAAAGTGCAATGTTATGGTGGGGAAGTATAAGAGGAGAAGGTGGAGCTTGACATTCGTATTTTCGTCGTTTGCTTACTGAAGTCATTGCGCAAGCAGCGGCAGGTACACACGGAAATAGAATTCACTGATTTTATGAATAAATAGCAAACACATGTTTTAGAAATCACTCAAACTCAACATATATTTTATTTATTTATTTATCAAAATTTGGATTATATTAAACACCGAATGTTATGAATATGCTGCTCCTCTCTTTGTTAAAATGGGATAAATAATTATGAATATTCTTCAAATGCAACAATTGATTTGTTCTGTTTTTATTTATCATATAATTATCTAATTATATTTAAATAAATGCCAAGACAATACTGACGATATTTATTTGAATTTCGAGACAATTTAAAGACATTTTTATAATATATAAACTGTTGTGGAAAATTCGAATTAGTGTTGGAGAAAAAAGAATAAGACTGATGTATGTCGACTACGGAGGTGACGCGCAACACGTCGGAATGGGAATCAAGGCCATGAAATCCTTCAATAGGCCACGAGGTAGGGTGATGATTTTAAATTCGATTTTACAAACTCATCTAAATACTTTTGAGGAAGAAAGAGAACTTTTATGATTCCGATCAACATTCAATTCTACCACTTTAAGGCTAATTCTATTTTTAAACGATGAATAATAAAATACTGATACATACATATTATGATTTTCACGGTTATAAAATAAAATAAGTCTCTGTCAATGGAATTATTGATGCTTTAAACATCACTAAATTTATCTTTTTAATTTTCTGTATCATTTGTCGTCATATTTAATTAAATACCCCTTTGTTTTCTTAACAGTCTCTGGATGTGTATGTATACATAAATATTTCAAGAAATTTGTAAATGACCTCTTCTCGTCTCAACATTTTAATTGTTGACAAAAAATTTTCACACTGACTTCGTAACAAGAACACGATCAAAGAATGAAGGTTCGCAGAATTTAGTGGTTCAGAAATAAACGATGTTATAAAATTCGATTATAAGATGAACTTCCGGGCACGATCGAAAGCATGATGTCGCATGAACAGGCAGCCGTCGTCGTTACTTTTATTTTTACGTCAGGATAAAATTAGGGCGTTATAACAACGACGACGTGCACGTGCGCCATAACATTTTCATAGATGAGTACCAGAGGACACTCATTTCAAGAAAATCATTTTTAAAATTTAACCAAAAAAAATCATTTATTAGCTTCATTACTTTCTGATATAAATAAAACAAAATAACTTGCATACATATCTGATTTGTGATTCTTTACAAACAATTAGATCAACAATTGATTCAAACAGGTCGTGTGTGACTCGTAATATTTCCATAGATCAAATCATACGTGTATGTATTCAAGCGTAAAACAATACAATACTCTATTCATTGCAATCAGGTCCTCTATTATTGGCAATACGTAATTTTAAAGTCATCCAATCATATCTAAACCTACTGCTACTTCTATTGCGTTTAACGACAATTGTACAACCCAGTTTTATTTCTCATTTTTCATTCTCGGTTTTTCATTAAGTTTGCAACAAATTTATTCAAGTATTTTCGCATACTATTTCATAGAAACCTTTTTTTATTATTAAATTTATATCCAATATTAAAAAAAATCTTTTATTTTAAAAATTAATTATATTCAAATACCTTGAAAACCATTATCATATAAAACATGGCATTCTGTCTATAATTTTTCATTATAATAAAAATATTTATGCAAATAAAATAAGCTCACCTGTTGCATGAGTAAAATGCTTTCTTATTGTCAAAGTAATGTTTAAGAGTAAAAAAAATATTTTTAAGAAAGAGATAGTTACTAAGATGGAACACACGGGTGGTGGACGTGACTTGAAGATAAATTTGAAATTCCCGCGCTAGCTGATAGGTGATCCAATGGTTGGCGGCAATATCATCGGTAAAAGTCCTCGACTCTCTCGTCAATCCATGGCCCGTGCTAACGATGTGTCTTCCATAACAATCGACACATCAAGAATCAGCTTTACCAATCTCGGCGAACCACCGCCATTAATAATACACTTCAACATGTATTTATCATTCGTGCATTACTCAGAAACGAAAATGTTTATCCAGTTGGTCTCAGTAGCTTGTCGATTTATCAAGAAAAACTAGGAAATAATGACAAGTAAGAAACTAATCAGTAAAGTGATAATTGGTCCATTATCCAACTGATTTTTTAACTTCTCATAAAAATATAAATCAACCACAAATATGTTCTTACCACGCCTATAAGGACATTGTGTGTTGTGTTGGTATTTACAATCTCTTTGGATTGTGACTCAGGAAGTGGCACTATCACTACAGCACACTCGGACCAGTATCTCAGTGAAACACGCACATTTTATGATAGTAGTTATACAAATCAGAGGACTTGTTGCATTATACATTTATATATATTTCCCTTCTTCAACATTTTTAACACATTTCTTTTCTAGGTCAAAGTAAAAAAATCAACTGCCCAATCAAACCAGCGTCTGTTAAACATAATCAATTCTCCAATATTTCATTCAATAATACCATTTCATTATTTTTTAACTTATATATTTACTGAATCACTTGAAATGAAATATTTTAATAATTTAAATGTACATTCACGCACTACTCCAAAACGAGTTGGTTAATTATCACATTAACTTATAAAACTTGGAATCTCTTTAAAACATTGCTTTGTTGCTCCAAAGACATAAAAATGGTCCAACTTCTGTTTTACGATAAATAATTACTGATAAAATATTCCTCTGAATCATCAAAGTGACATTTTATTTGAAATAGATAAAACCCGTGATAAAGTTGAATAGTCGGTGTTGATAATACATTCAGGTAGTTAAGCTTTTTAAGTAGTTATCTGACAATTCAATTACATTAATCTGATCCATGTCCTCTTACGGAGAGATTAACATCCTGCATCACGGAAATACACTCGAGTTTAAATTTAGTCATTTTAAGATCTGCAGCCGGCCTCTATACACTCCTTGTTTATTTTATACCATATTTATGCGTCGCTTGGGGAGTGTGAGCTCCAAAACGATCTATAGTTACCAATAAAGTTAGTTGGAATTGTCATCATTAAAATTCATTATAAATAATAGTATTCATAATGATGTGCAACAAGTAATGTAGCTTTTACTGAACTTTAGCAGCCATACAAAATCATCCAAGACTTAAAAGATGACATTATATAGATGGTGGAGATACTTAAAAAATGACTTGGACATAAAATTGAGGAGGATTTGGATCAGCTTTCGTCGTTATTTCGAAGAAAACGTAGTTATTAATGTTCTGATGTTTTAGGGTTTATTTGAGTCGCCTTTGACCTCATCTTTCGGCCATATGTCGTGATACCAGCTGGCGCAGTTGGACTACTGCTGGTTTTAAGACATTGATCAAGCCTTCCACGAGGGTTCTAAGCTGATGAGAAGTCCCTTTACTTAGCACGTGCCTTATGGGTTGTTTGTTTCCAATTTCTTGAGACATATTCTTTTTCATATATTTTTTATCATTCAAGCAATAATTAAAGAAATAATTTTTACCTGTTGGTAGATAGCTTTCGACAACAATAAAGTTAATGATGGTGAATCAAAAAAGATACATTTCCAAAAAAAGGAAGTAACCTACAGTGGACATTAACTCACAAATAGGATTCTTAATCCATACCATCTGTTAAACGTTCCTCTGAATATAAGAAAAGAAAACGAACGAGAATATAGGTTCCAAGAGGTTTCTCTCTATACCTTATGATCGCATAGGAATGCGTTTTTTAATCCAATTAAAGTTATATCGGATTGGAGAATTATTTATTATCTTGTGTGTGCTTTTATAAAATGAATTTCTGATGTAGCTTAATGTGTTGACGAGAATGTAAATTAATGCGAAGCTAAACTGACAAATGTCATGTAGGTCACTTAGGTCACAGGTCATATTTGCATTTTATTCAACAGTATACTGTGTATACTTTTATTTTTTATTCTAATATTTTTTCATTTTATTTTCGTATAATCAAAATAAAAAAAAAAAAATAATAAATAAATAAAAAACAAAATTGTCTTGTGAATAATAAATAATTGAAAATTCACTTGAGATATATTAGTAAAATTTTGACGGTTGTGAAATTGCTAAATGTTTGCACTGACGATGCACCTGCACCTGCGCCAGTTGCGGCCCTCGTTTTATATGACGATGCCTATCTAGGAACATATTCTGAACCGTTGTATATACACCCTACGACACCTGACGCTTATAAACTCTGTAATATCGTGTGAGAAGTCGCTTAAACCTCCCTTCTCACATACCACTATGTTGTTCACTTGGATTATCACACAGTTTTACTATTAATTAAGCTATTAAATGGTGGATTAATCATGTCCACCTGTTGAAAAAAAATATTCCTTTCTATTTCGATTATTTCGTTATCTAAACAAGTCGATATTCCTCAGCTTTGAATAACCATTACACACAATTTTCAATAAATGTAAATGTTTAATTACATGTATACAAGTTATTATTAGCTTTCCTTCTACTGATTGTTCATTTAATATTCTGGTTTAGTTGTAATTTATATGACAAGTCATTCACACCGACATAAAGTATGGCATAAGAAATTTCGTTTAAGTTCAGGCACAGTAAAATAAAAAAAAAAAATAGTTTTATTCCTCATAGGTAATTAATATGCACTTGGCTATACGGAAAATATTTAAAAAAATGTGTGATTATATTTTATTGAAATTAACATAATCTAAAATTCATGAAAAAATCTTTGAAAAATTTTGTTCATCTATGGAGAGTCATTAGTATGAACTTAATTTGATTAAAATGATATTCTGAATGCTACTTTCCGTGACTAAATTATAAATTTTGATTAATTATATATTTGAAGGTATTCAAATCAAGTATAGATATACGATAAAATTTATATATGACCACACTCATATGTTTACTTAATTATATAAAAGGGATAGATTAAAAAAATTTTTTTTTGAAAATTATACTTTCTTTTCTTTGTTGTCTTTTGGAGTTTCATTTTTTTCCCACGATTTAAATTCTATTTTTCCACATTTGCACGTGAGGAAACGGTGCGAGACGTGAACACATACGGGACCACGTGTAGTTCAAAGTAAGAGGGATGAAATAAGAATGAACAAATTAAAAAAAAAAAATAATAGATATGAAGGGGGTCGTCGATAAATATTTCAATTGTTTCGAGGTAAAAGTCAGCGATGCTTGTCCATTCCTTTCTTTTTCTCATTCTTTGTTTTCTCTCTTCTATTTCTCTCTCTCGTGTCGATCTTAATAGCAGATAAAAGGTAACCGTATCCCTTTTTCAAAGTCACAGGTGAACTCATTAACTTAGTCAATTACTTTTTAGCATACAGAATAAAATAAAACATCGAAATAACATTAGATATATTGCAATACTTTTTTAACAACAGAAAAATTCTATCTATTTATATTTCTTTATTATACTCCAACAATTAAAACAATATTTTAATTATTTATCATTGCATTTATTATAATATTAAATGCATTTTAAAATAAAATATACAAAATATTTTTGAATTTAAAATGTTAAATTTTAATAACCCATTCTCAAACTCTTTTTAATTTCGATATTATTTTTATTTATTTTAATTTAAATTAATCACTTTAATTATATATCTATCTTATGCGGAATTGTTTGAACTTAAAAAACAATTACAGATATTATTGAAAAAAAATACCATTTTTTTGTGGCATTGTTTATCCAAATATGTATAGTAAAGAAAATGACTGAATTTTTTTTTTTCTATGAGTTAAGAATATATTTATTAAAAAATGATTTTACAATTTGTTACAGATATTCCGGCGCAAGTGCCACCATTAACGCCTGGCACAAACAAAAAGATGACAGAGGCTCTAAAAGCCTCTTTTGCATCGTGGGAAAAGGAACAAGTTCGTTTAAATATAACCAAAGGTAAAAGAAAAATTAATAAATCTATTATTATGACTGTTTCGTAAAGAAGAAAAGAAAGAAAAGTAAAGGATTCAGACAAGGTACATCCGTTGAAGAGGCAGTAACGGCTCGCTGAAAGTCTGCGTGTTTAAGTTTGTTAGTTAGTTTGCGAAATAACGTGAGTCCCTTCATAAAAGAGTGAATCGGACTACTCGTTACGCCACGGTGATCACCCCCTTTTGAGTGAATCGAAATCTCCACGAAACATGCACAAATCACATTTCTCTATTTATAAGCTATACAGACATTATTAACACACATATATTTGTATATACATCTTTATACACATTACCTTTCCCTTATTCATGCATATACATATATATGTACATTGTTGTTTGTTATAACGATGCACCAATGAGCATGAAAAATAGGTCAGGGGGAAACAAAGAAATAGATGAACATCACCCACTATCTTTAATTTTTAATTTATGTACTAAATTTATCAGAACTTTCAGAGAAATATGCTAATTACTTTTGACGATGTAATGTATACTTTCTTCTAATCATCATAATCACTATAATTATTATGCATATTGTGCTATGTAATTATCTAGCAACAAGTTGACAATGTTTAAATGTATATTTATTATTGTCGAATTATGCAAAGGTGATTTATAATAAATATTACTCGACTATTTCTAAATATTCTCATGGAAAGAAAAATTTTATTTACAAAAATCCTTTCAATGTTTGTCTCTGAATGAAAATTAACTTTACAAAGTAGTGATATACATGTTGTGGTGAAAAACCACATTCTCTTGGAATATTTATTGTCATTTTATCATCATACATATACTGAAAAATTTCCTCACAAATAATTCACCTATGTATCAAGACCAATAACTGTATGCTAACTTTTATTTCATTGTAAAATAAATTTTGCAATTCTATTCTTTCTATCTATATAATAAATATGTAGATAATCATAATGGAAAATAATAGTTTCTTTCTACAAAATTGTATTTGCTAATTTCGATGAATCTCTATAATTGAATAAAACTCATAAACATATCTGATATTTTAATCTTGAATCATGAGAAGAGATGGAATAGCCTTGATGAAGGTAAACAGAAAAATGAAAAATACAGGTGTAATATCAATCAGTAAGAAGAGTGCTGATTTAGGGAATAAGTTCACCTGTTGCTGATGGAACAGAGCGACAGACTAACGCAATATGCTTGGGAATCATGAATGCTGATGACTCTGATGGGGAGCCGATGCCACACATCCGGTATGCGCATTGAGAACCACGCGGGTGTGACGTTACTTCCGGTCTACATGCCCTCGACAGCTCGGACTCTCCTGTACTACCCAACAGATCACCTCGTCTGACCTCCGTGAACCGCGCGAGCGAACGTTCCACTTCGTCTACCTTTTCTCTTTATAGAGAGAACCGTCTCTCTCTTTTTTCTCCCTGATGCCTTTCTATCCTTTTGTTCCAAGTGCACGCGTTCTCGCGTTCCAACACGACAACGTTTGGTCTTATTCGTCATTGGAAAAACTCTTTTACCTATTGTCGAAGCTAAATTCATTTGATCCGTCATGAAATCCATGCTCTATTATTTCAGTACATTCTAAGGGTTGAAGTGCTTTTTACGGTTCAACTATTGAATTTTCAAATATAAATAACATCTCTTCTAACCATGTATTCATTCATAAATATACTTTTCGAAGCTGAAGCTCCAATTTTATTGTTTAGTATTTTTATTCTGGACTAGAGAAAACAAATTCAGTCAATAAAGTTGTATTAAAATGTCTTTTTATAAATTAAATATTGATCATTAAGCACTGGATTATAACTTCAAATATTTCTAGATCTTTGTGTAAATATTTTAAGGATAGAAAATTTTATCATAATGCCCCCAAAAGTGAGAGGTGTTTTTTTATCATAAATAACATATTTTTAACTAAAATAAATATTAATGATAAAAGTAAATGTGTTTATGTATAGATATTTTTAAATATTATTGTCATGAATGCAATTTTTTTAGTATTTCCAGTTTTTAGATGAGATGATTTTATCACAACAGTAATGTTATTTAATCAATGGAAATATTATGAATTGCATTTTTAATTCAAGTATTTCATGAAAGATACGTATAATAGATAACAGAAAGAAGAATACAAATAGAAAAAAAAGGTGATAAATATCGAAAAGTATATATATCTTTATCAGCTATTGTTTTAAAAGAATCATAAAAATCTTCCAATATAAGGACCATTAAGGACACCTGTCTACATGATTTGCAAATATACCAGGTGGATTTCTTATCTCTTACTCTCGATGATACTTCTTTGTATCGGAATGTCTACGAAGCGAGAAAACCAAGAGCATAAAGTGTCTGTTAACAATACTGACAAGGAATCAGTTGGCCAAACATCGGAGCGATTCTCAAACACGTCGGGTTCCTTTGATCAACAGCTTTACCCGCCCGTTAGAAGAATATTCTCTTTTACTTTTTTTTTATTCTTTACTTTAGTTTATACATATACGTATAGACATTTATACACATATATATATATATATATATATATTTATTGTTTGACTCTAAAAGTCGCGTGCGTTATTTTGTTACGTCGTTGCGTCCCATTTCCACGAACTCTCGACGCCTTTCATTCATCAACACACTGACGACGGTGCCTTTGTTCAACTTAGTTGTACGCAATCACTGATTTTAAAATTTTATTCAATTTTATCTTGGATACACTCATTTTCCAGTATTACTTGTTTTCATAAACTTCATTCAATTGTTTTGTTTAACTTAATTTATAATAATTATATATGAAAATAGATTTAATAAATAAAATGATTGATTATTTTTTCAGACCCAAGACAATGGTCAGATACTGCAGTAGCACATTGGCTTGACTGGGCAATTAGAGAATTTTCCCTGGAAGGATTAGCAAAGCAACCCTGGCAACATATGACTGGAAAACAAATCTGTGCGATGGGGAAAGAGTCTTTTCTTGCGCGTGCTCCAGCTTTCATGGGAGATATCCTTTGGGAGCATTTGGAACTTCTACAAAAAGGTCAGTTTGATTTTTATTGATATATTAAGATATCATTTAAATGATAAACGACTAGGGAAACTTGATAATAAACATTAACGAAAAAAAACTTTCAAATAATACGTAGTACAATAAATCTCGATTGGATCAACAGATAGCACCTGGATACCGTGAACCGGAAACGATCAATCCAACAGATCGCGATGAAAGAGCAAACCCATATTCTTTTTCTTCTACATCTTCCTCTTCGGTACCACCTTCATCTTCTTCGTCTATTTCTCTTTAAATGTCATCTATTTTATCGTTGCAATTCTCGCGAAACTCAAGGAATTATCGGGAAAGAATAAAAGAAGCCCTTGGACATCCGGTTACATTCAGAAAAATATCTCAAATTACATGTGTAAAGAAAATTGCAAAAAGCTTCAGGTAGAAAAATGGAAAAATAAATGAGTTTGAAATTAGTCCAAGGCATTGTAGAGTAGGTAAACTATTGGAAAAAAAATATAAAATTATACAAGATAATAATAATTTATTATTAGAATACTCTAATGTCATTGTTTTTAGATAAATTAACTAAAATACTGAATGTAGTAATATATACTAGTTAAAATATCGCATGTCATGTTTTATAGCAATTGCTTTTGATTTCTTCAAAGGGAACGGATATTAAGAAATAATACGAAATGCGAAAATAATAAAAAATAAAAAGGATATATGGAAACTGAAGAGTCGTGATAGCCTTGATGATTTAGTGAAACTTTGTGTCGTTTCGCTTTCCTTCGTGTTATTAAGTTTAAATACTTGAATATACTTCCTCGTATATAATTATTTGTCATTTCTTGAATAACAAAATTTATTAAAAATATTTATCATAATTTAATCGATTAGAAACAGATAAACAATCATGAATTTAATTTTTTTATCAAGTTGTAGAATATTTTTTCATAATAATATTTAATTAATGGGGTTTTTAACCATTCTAGAAGATGAAGTGGAGAAGGCATCACTGGAGAATATGCCTGCAAATTTATACGAAAGCGTTTGTGTGCCCGATCTAGGGGTGCTTTTGAGCTACGAAGGGGCAAACAATTCCGTATCAACTCCCGCAGATCATAAAAGTCCATCAACACCAGCAAGCTCAACAACATCAGCACCAAGAAATGGTCCACCTTCACAGTCACAACAGCAACAACAGCAACAGCCACTTCAACCACCAATTAGTGTTCCACCTATTCCAAGGTCTTATCATAATGACGGTAAGGATAAATAAATAATATTTGTCAATATTAACAGATTATATAAATTTATTAGATAATTGAAATGAGTTTGGCAAAATTTTTATCACGTTGTAAATTAAATGTTTAAATCACGTAGGCATTAACTTAGAGCAAAGTTTGGATCCATAAATGGTTAGTGACGCCATAGAATCATTTATGGTCTCGTGTTTGAAGCGATTGTTAACCCGTCGAGGATATATTATTCGGTGTATGATAACTGAATTTAAAATTACTATTAAAATTTATTTTTATCGTTACTGATTATTACATACAATGTAATAATGTACGAAAATATTAATTTCTGATCACCTTATAAAGCATACACTAATTTTATTCTTTCAATTTAACCATCATAACATATTATCATCAATAAATCTTTTTATTTATTACAAACAAAAGACTTTCATCATCAATATTATTCATTTTTTTCACAAAGAGTATATGCATGCAGTTTACAACACTGCTTGGTCTTAATTAACTATGATTGTGTATTATCTTGAGCTCGATAAAAAAATAATCTCTTCACTGTAGTGATGATTATTTATCTAATTAATTTAATCTATTTAATATTATTAATTAGACGTTTTCAATCATTTTTCAATATTAAAAGATAATTGTAAGTGATAAAAATATTCTGTTTATTGAATTTATCAGCTAGGATATATTATTCTATATTAATTTCAATTCAAACATATTGTGTGATTTTTACAACTGAGTTAGTTAAAGCTGTACAACTCATTGCTAAACATGACACGCAACTGCGCCCTCCATCATCACTATCGTCCTCCGTTTTGATGTTAGTACGTGCGAGTTCTCCGCACGATTCAACTTTTGAGCTCGCGTTACAACCGGAAATAGGTCCCAGAGGGGTGGGACCACCCTTAGATATTTTTACTAGGATCTTAAGATACAGCTTTATAATGTTCTCAAGTGCTCCTCCCTTAAAAGATATCCCCTCTTTAACCCCTATGCTTGGTAAATTTTTACTTATTGTTGCTCACTTCATGCTCAAAGTAGGAGGAGATGTACTAAGAGAATGAATTCACTAGCGTTGCTAGGTTCTTGACAATCGAGGGAGGAAGTTGAGCAGATGCAGTTGAAAACTCGTTTAATCACTTTTTCTTGTTCTTTCTTTTCTTTTATATACATATATACTCGACAAGAAGTCTTCTACACTCGTTTCCATTATTTTTTATTTCATCATCATCCATTTAGTGCTCTTTAAAATGATCAATATTTGAACGAATACATAATATACTTCACCCTGGTCCTCAGTGTACAAAATATTCCGGTCAAACCTGTTGGAAAATATTTTCCAATCACTTGGAAAAACCTTAACAAGTAAATAACCCACGCAATACACATAAAAGTTATTGTGGCTTAATAAATATCCCCATTTTTCGATATTTCTATGCAATTCATTCGACACATGGACAATGCTCACAGGTAGCATATAACCGTTGAGGAAATAAACCATTTTAGTGAACGCAAAAATGAAAGACCAAAGACCTCAAAAAGAAGAAGAAGAAAAAAAAAGCGTACTTGGTTCAGAATATAAGAGAAGGAGAGAGAGAGAAAGCATTAAAGACAAGTAGAAAAAGTGAGAGAAAGAAAAGTGATTCAAAAGTTATAAATAGGGTAAAAGAGACAAAGATAAAAAAAATAAGTATTTAAGGAGGAGGTGAAGGAGGAGCAGCCCCCTCCTTTCTTTTTGGTAGGATATTACAAGTCCCAAGTGAACTATGGGACTTGAAGGAGGCACGAGGCTAAAGGGGAAGGGAGGTAAGCATTTCCGGTCCCTCTGTATCACGTGCGAGCCACCGTGTGAGGACTCCCCTGTCGAATTTAGACTTCTCCCTGCATCCGGTCTCCCTTCTTTCTTCAATCTCTAGCTTCTCTTCATCATCATCGGCATCACTGCCATCAGTGTTCCTCAAAAATCACAAAAACGTCCTATTTTCATTTTTCTCCTGCCAACTGATTACTATAATCGACCTAGACTTTTTATTTATTTTTCATCGTCTCTAGGTAGCTACTTATCTTGGATGTTTCTCAAAAAATTTCAACAAGTGATTGTAAAGCTTCAAAAATTATAGTCTACTATTTAATGACATTTGACTGTAAAGTAGTTGAGTTTAAAAAAATGTCTTGAAGATTATATGCAAAGTTCATGTAATATTTAAAAGCATCCGGGGTGTATGTATAAGTATATATACATATATATATAAATATATATAGATAGCAGGTGGTTGAAGACTTCGAGGGGGCGTTTGTCATGGTTCTTCACCCCCATCCTGTTATTTCTCAATTTATCCCCACTTTGGAAATTCTAGTAATCCCCACCAATCGTCATTTTCAGTAACATATACGAATACAATTGAGAAACTTGGGCAACGTATGAGACTGATGTTCTACAATCAACCACTACCATCTCGAATCCACCACTATCGCATTATTCGTCATCGTAATACAAAAATTCTAGGGTGGGGGACAAGGGAAGGAAGAAGGGAAGCCGCTAGCTCGGCAGCGGAAACGGATCGCGGCACTATCGCAGTGACACGCGTGCTCACGTCAAGTGGACAGTCCTCGGATCTTTTCCTTCGAGTAAACGCGTTATTTCGGTATTCAAATCAAATACTTGCTCTAAATATATATCTATATATAAATATATATTTTTTTTTGTTTTTTACAATAATTCATCAAGTGATAATTTATTATTATCAATCACATAAAGGATTAATTAATTAATGTGTGCTACAGTTTATGCTACGGATCCTGGATAATTATTCAGTGCTTCAAGTATTATTTTGATGATAGAGCTTTGGTGAATAAAATGTATTAAAATGCTCAGTTAACAAGTCAATAAATATAAATAAAAATAAAGTTATCACTATGTTGGAATTGATTGTTTTATTTAAATACAAAATTCTAGTCAAGTGAATCATCAGTTAAGTGTAGTGTGACTATTTACCAAAGAAACGTAGGAAATAATCCTTGCGTATTTTTATTAACGTCACGGCGGGTGTCGTGAGCCTCGAATCGTCGGGGTCCCGATCGGGACAGACGCCGGCAACCGATAGTCTCATTAACAATACATACTCAATAAACGAATCAACATCAAACGCACCATCAGAAATGGTTCTCCAAATGTTGGATACCTTGGTAACGGCCCAAGAGCCATTTTATGCCGATTATCCTTCTTATCAAGAACCAGAGGCAATTACACATCATCAACATCACCATCATCAACAGCATATCACCCGAGTAATGGCTCCAGTTTCTTTGGATGCAACTACTCATACTCCAGGTAGCAATTTTAGCTTGTTGATTATCCAGAACGATTCTACGATCATTATTCGAAAAACTAGACTTTATGAATATACAGTCAAGTTCTTATTGACTATTAGACATCGTTGATGTAGAAAGTAAAAACCCAAGTGTTCACTTTTTTTAATGGGGTATCTCAAGTACCAGGAGACCGTCTGTGTCTAAGACAGCAGCTGTGCCGCGTCCGTTTCGGTTTGGCGCGTGCCCATTCGCCTTCGGCACCTGTTCTCCAGCTGATATGCGGCAGCTACTTCAAATTTACCAACTCTGCTAGGTCTTTTCTGAATATAAAGATCTCTTTAATAGTTATCTTGACAAATAATTTATTGTTTACATTTGATAATCTGCCGGTAAAAATACCTTTCCCTATTTCGTGGAATAAATGATACCTTCAAAAAGACCAGATACTACCTTATAAATGTAATTATGGCTAGATTGAAAATGCAAACGCTATGGCGTGAGGGCTGACTGTTTGTCAGACTCCCACGCTCACCGTCCATGAAATAGGGTGCGAGTTTTAGTTACAACATTGCAGGTGTACAATACTTAACGTAACTACCAACTGCCCTCAAGTATTTTCATTTAGTAGTTTTGTACCGAGTGTATAATGCTATTGCTTTATAGAACATATCTTTTTGTCTTTATGATAAATTAAGTCAGGTTGACCTTGAATCATTTGCGAGATATTGGATGAGAAAAAGGATGAATAGGCGGAGTTTATATTAGCCAATCAATGAATAGGTTGACGCCCACGTTTACTTGCTTGCTAACTCGCGGTTTTTCACGCCTCCCCCCGTCCTATATTCATTTTAGCGAAAGAGATTTATTTAAAAATATGATAATAATCAAGTGATTGACAAGTTTAACAGTCTATTTTAAAATGACAGTTATTTTTTAATTGACTCGTTGAAAAAAATTTCTCTAATAATTGGTATTTATTTTTATTCAGGTGGATACAATCATTTACGAAGTCCAGTGTGTCAAGATGAAAATCAACGGGACGAAAACTCATCACCAACTCACAATCATAACACACAAACTACCAATTCTCATTCTACAACTCCTAGTGGCAATCACAGTAATAATAACAATAATAATAACAACAACAATAACAATAATAATAATAACAATAATGCTAATAATGCATACATACACTTAAGAAATTTGAATCAGCTCAAAGCGGAAGGTATTGTTTTATTGTAAAAATATTTTCTACTTCATTTTGATCATCTAGAATATATTATCTAATGATTTTTTTTTTATTTCATTTATAGCTAATTATGGAAATCATCATATACCAGAACATTTATCAAGTGCAGGAGGGGCTAGTGAACTTGGAAACAATGAAAATGATTTACGAGTTAACAATAATCCTCCTTCTGATAGTTACATGACACCTGCTCACTATTCTGGCTATGATGAACCATCAGAGTACCATAATTTACCGACAGATCATCCAAATTCGCATCCATACAATCTAGATAATTTACCTGAATTTTATAGCGCAAGTGGAATTCAATTAGAACCAAAATATCAACCACCACCTTTCAAAAATTATCCTCGTGGTAATTAAATTTTTTTCTGTCTATTCATATTTTAATGATCTATCTTTTTTTCTATTTCAGTCAAGGTTTAATATAAATTTTCCATTTTTATAACTTTCAGGTCGATACCATGAAGGATATAGTGAAAATTATGGTCAATATGACACAACACCTTTTCAAACGGTTCCGGGTAGTGGAAACACTGGAGCTGGTGCAGGTAGTGCTGTAGGCAATGAGCAATGGGCTGTAGGAGCACTTGGAGAACATCTTTCACATCATCCTGCATTTCTTGGAGGACTTGGGCCTCGTGATTCATCGAATCCTCATCATCCTGCTAATATGGGAAATAATCCTGATCAGAAACCATTGTTGCAAAGTGCAATGCTTGCAGGATACACTGGTAAATAGCCACAATTTATTTAATCTATTTGGCTACTTTTAATAAAATGGAAATATCTACTATTTATAATCAAGCATATATTTTTTCCTTAACCATTATTTCCTTTGAGAAAAAAAAATATTTATCTTTCTTGGAATTATCTTATAAGTTTTTCCTCTAATGTTTTTATACTCATCAATCCTGATGCTAAAAACATATTTATCTCATCATTTTTGAGAAAAATGTATTATTTTAATATTAAAAAATATTATAAAAGTGTATTAAAAATAATTTAATTTAAATAGGTGGTGGTCCATGCTTTACTGGATCCGGACCAATACAATTGTGGCAATTTTTATTAGAATTACTCACGGATAAATCGTGCCAAGGATTTATTTCGTGGACCGGTGATGGATGGGAATTCAAATTAACTGACCCTGATGAAGTAGCACGTCGTTGGGGTATTCGAAAAAATAAACCCAAAATGAATTATGAAAAACTAAGCCGTGGATTACGTTATTATTATGATAAAAATATCATCCACAAAACCGCTGGAAAGAGATACGTTTATCGCTTCGTCTGTGACTTGCAAAGTCTTTTAGGGTAAATATATTATTAAAAAGTTAATAAATAAAGTTATTTGTGATAATTTGAGTTATATTTATGAAATGTTATAGTCAAATAAATCAATCGTTATGTTCCAGATATAGTCCGGAAGAATTACATGCAATGGTGGATTTAAAGCCTGAAAAAAAGGAAGAAGACTGAGCTTTTTCGTCCAAAAATTTTATTTTTGCTGTCGTGATAAACAAACGTAACAATTGTTAATTAATTAAAATGAATTAATTAATGTAGTTGAACAAATTTGTTTGTTTCATTGATCAGATGAAAGTGAATTTTCATCAAATAATTGCGAAGGCAATCATTTTTATTAACTATCAATAGATAAGAGGTAAATTTTTTCATAAAGCAAATTATTGGCAGTGAATAAGTATAATGAAGATAAATATATAAAGTATCCGTGTAAAGAATGATAAATTGGAAATTTTATAATTGTATTATTATATTTTATGAAGACGATTATGCATCTTTATAATTTTGAATATTGTTAATTAATATTTTTTACATAATAAATCGTCTTCCTATTTTTTAACTTGGTCTTCGTTAATAATATTTCACGGTAATAAAGGAAAAAATCGGTCGTTCGTACCAAAGAGACAGGGTCCGTTATACCATTGGTGCCTAAAAAGAAAAAAAATAAAGAAGATAAATTTTTTTTCTATAAATAAATAGGTAATAAAGATAAAAGAAAAAATAATGAAATGAAAAAATTGAATTAATTGTAAAAATTAATTATAATAACGTACATGCGATAAAAATGTGAAATGATTGATATAAATAATATAAGAATAATTGTCATTATTAGCTGTTCTCACTCTTTTATTATAAAAAATTTTAAAGTGATTCAATTTTTGCCAAGACAAAGTTTTAGAGATTATATTTAATAGATAGAATTGATTAAAAATAAAAAAATAAAGATGATAGTTATTATAAGATGAAAATAAAAATAGTAATAAAAATGCCGACTCGACAATTTATACATATTATAAATATATTATACATATATATTTTTAATGTTACATAATTTTTAAGTGTCACTTTTTTGCATTGTAATGAGTAATTCATTATCTTACAATGCATCTAAATTATTTATGTCTTATATTCAGTAATAATTATTTTTTTTAACATGTGTGTTGTATCTCGTTGATAAAGGACACCATATGTGATTGTTATTCTCTAATTTTACTACAATAAAAATTCAGTATACATAAGTTCTAATAATTGTTGATGTTTTGAATTATTCTTTAAATTATTGTAAAGAAATCCCACCTTTGTATTACAATATACACTTTGATATAAAAAAAAAATTGAAAAACAAACAATAAAATACAATTTACATATTATTTGCTTCTTTTATTTATATTTTTTCAAATTGAAATTTTTTTATTTGAAGCGATTTATATACCTATTGTTGATAATTCTCAAAATTTCTACTCAACTGATATATTATCAAAGATGAAATTATTCCTTCATTGTCGCTAGTCTTATCTTCTTATATAGTCATAATGGGCACAGCGCTATATTTATACGTGAAAAATCAATAAGAATGTACAGTGTCTACACGTCCGTAAAAGAGTTGCTGTGGTTATGTTTAAGTCATTAAAAGAATCTTACATACAAAAGAATCATTAAATATAATGAAGTAAGATGTTGAGAGTGATCTAACATCATTTCAATTACACTGTTTGAACAAATAATCATGATATCACTTTAAATCATTTTTTAAAATAATAAGTAAAAAAATAAAAATACCTAGTTAATATAAGTGAAAACGTCAAGAGATTCATAAATAATTGTGTTGATGTATCTCATAATTCATAATTTGTATTAATTTGCATTGGAAATGTTGAAGACAACTGATGGACTTTGCTATGAAATAAGAGTCCCATTTTTTACTGCTTCACCTTTAAATAACAGTTATTTATTTTACTTCACATAAAGTACAGCTATTCAGCATTCTGAAAAGTATTTTAACAATGGAAGATTCAAATTACGTGGATTTATTAGCAGAAAGACGAAAGTCTTCTGATTTTCTATGGGCTTCACGTTATATGAATAATGTTGCCCCACATCCTTTGCCACCAGAACAAAATTGGTCTAGAAATCAAGCCATTGAAGCAGCTTTACTTCATCCTAAAGTTATTGGAGTAATTGAAACATTAGCAGTGTCTCGTAATATCGACAAATCAACGCTTATTCGTGAAGCTAAAAGCATGCTTGAAGAAATGGCGAGTAAACATCACTCCCCTACGTTTCGCTGGCTTGGTAATTGAATAATTTAACTATGCGTATACCATTTTTAAGAGTGAAAACTGTCGGTATTCATTTATTTTAATCATTAACATCCTCTGATACTTCAATATATTACAAATTTAAAATATTACAAGAGAAACATACAATATTTCTATATACTTCAATTGGCTTCTTTCTATAAATACACCGAGCTTAATGATGTAGAAAATATTACATTGAAATCCTTGTTAATTACTGAAATTACAATTTTTTTCTTATTTTCTATATTCTTTCATTTATTCTTCGAAAATATTAACACTATTATTAAATCATTATTTTTTTACAAATTGACTATTATCCTATCAATTTAAACTGAATAACAGCAGTTAATTAAAAACAAAAAAAAATGTATTACATAAGAATGGATGTTTTTAATTTTTTTTAAAACTTATTATAGAATGATACAAGTTACCTATTATGACAGTGTCAATAATAATAACAATAACAAACAAAAAGTGAAAACAAATTTAATTGAACTTTATAATATATGTTCTGTCTCATAATATTTAAATTTAAATCTCTATTTGATGTACATCAACTAATAAATTTTTTATTGATATAAAAAGTCCATAAAACTCATTATAAAATATCGTAAATTAAATTGTAAACATTCTGTTTGGTGCATGCATTATTGATGAGAAACTTTTTTTTGATAAAATTTTTGTAAAATAAAATAACGAAACAATGATTTTCAAATTTGTTTCTAAATTCTCTAGATTTTTTTTAGATGATGACTAAGACCTAATTGTTGATGTAAATAATAGAAATTACGTTTTAACTTAGTATACTTCTATCAAGTAATTTTTTTATATCAATATTAAAATACAATATTTTATTTTTTTAATTTTTTCAGCTATAATCGTTGTTAAAGTATTAAAGAGAATACTTCAGAGTTTTCGAGTGAATGTCAAGTATCTTTTAGATCTTCGAGGAAAAATGGAACATTCAAATATCCAATATGTTTATGTACCATCACATCGGAGCTATTTAGATTTTATATTGATGTCTTACATATTATTTAATTATGATATGGCAATACCAAATATCGCTAGTGGTATGGATTTCTATCGGATGCATATTGTTGGCGAGTTATTGCGTAAAACTGGGGCTTTTTATATGCGACGAAGTTTTTCAACGGATCAATTATACAAAGAAATATTCAAAGCATATGTTGCATCATTGATGGAACACAGTGATCGCGCCATTGAGTTTTTTATTGAAGGAACACGTAGTCGGAGTCAAAAGAGTCTTGCACCAAAGTTTGGTAAACAATTTTATATTTAATATGAATGTTCACTACTTTCACTGATTCTATTAAATAACCGTACAAAGTCCTTTTCTGTGATCTTTAAACCTTATATAAAATTTTAATCCCAAATATTTCTCTCCCAAGTTTTTTTCACGAAATAATTAAAATACAAATATTTTAATATGAGTTTAAAAGGTTAAAAACTTGTATTTTGAACTCATTTACATTATGTTTATTTATTTTATTATTTTCTGATTTCTTCTTTTTATTTTTAATTAAAAATAGTGGATTTTTACAGGTTTATTAGCAATGATTTTGGAGTCCGTATATCAAGGAAAAATTTCAGATATCGCATTTGTTCCGGTAGCGATAAGCTACGATAAACCACTCGAAGAGACTTTATTTTCATATGAACTCTTGGGAGTTCCTAAGCCAGCAGAGACAACAACTGGTTTATTCAAATCTCTGTCAATTTTGAGAGAGCAAAGAGCTCATGGACATGTTTATTTTCATATTGCTACTCCATTATTAGCATCAACTTTTATGGAAACAACAATGCGTCAGATGAGTGCCTTATCACCAAATTCAAAAGTACCATCAGAAGTTGTGGAAAATATCGCTTATGCTATTATCGATAGTCACAAAAAACATACAGTATTTATGCCAATCAATATTATTGCGACTCTTGTCAATGAAAGAATTCACTCTCATCCTGGTGATCCATATTCGTTTGATACTCTTCTTCAAGACTATTGTTGGTTCAAAAAATTAATTACACAATCTTTTGGAGCATCAGTTTATCCAAAAATTGAAAAGTAAGTGAAATAAATTAAACTTTTTTATATTTATATAAAATAATATGAATATCATTCAATTTTTATTTTAGTGTAGAGGAAGAATTATATAGAAAGTCTGAGAAAGATGAGATTAAAGAATCATTACATACTCATAGAAATTTGTTAACTTTGGACGGAAACAATTTATTGACTATTCAAGGAAGTCATCGTGAATTAAAATCTACTAAAACAATTCGTGTAAAAGGACATACACTAGATGAACGTACTATAAAAATAACTGTGCCAACAATAAACTTGGGCATTTATGTCAATCCATTATTTGCAATACTAACAAAGCCAGCAATAGTTGTATTTTCAATTCACTGTACTGGCTTGTCTAAAGGTTGTTAAATATTTTTTTACTACATATAATTCAATATTTAATTCCAAAGTACCATTTTCAACTGGTATTTATTATTCCAGATAATGCCAAAGAGCAATATATATTATTACGAACATTATTAAGTACAGAGTTTGCATTACCAACAGATCATAGTCAACAAATGTTGATAAATGAATTTGAAAAAGAAATAACATTTTTGATAAATGAAAAATGTTTTCGTGCTGATAATAATCATTTCTATTTTGATAGCAATACTCATCTACGATCACTCCTTCATAATATATTATTACCTTTTGTAGCAGCTGTATATGTAACATCTCTTGTTTTATTACAGGTAATACATCGATATTTTATTTAATTACCAATTATTATTCGCTCAACTAATACATTTAAAATTTTTTACTATGCATGCATTATTAAATATTTTATTTTCAATTTCCTTTTGAATTCACTCAGCAAGTGAACATAATTACTATGTATGAACAATAATAAATTATTACAGTGGGACAACACAGTGATGGATACTCTAACAGATCAAGAAATATTAAAAGAATGTCAGAAAAGAACTGAAATTCTTTTATTTCAAGAAGAAAGTCTTGTTCGTCATCCATATTCTTTATCATTAGATTTATATTCATCAACTCTAATTAGTTTATCATCATATGGAGCTATAAAATCATCAGAAGGGAAACCACGAATTTATGAATGCAATCGACAGAGATTATCAATAATAATCACTGAACTTGAACGTATGATGTCACAACGTCCATTAGGGAGTTACATGGATATTCTTAATATGCTAGTTCATCAAGTCGACAATACTTTGCAAGCAAAACTGTAAATATACATTTATCAACAATTGTGTATCTAGGTATTCAAAGCAGTATTAATTGACCTAGAAAATCATCGAATCGATAGATTATTATTAAAAAAAAAAAATAGTTAGTAGTTAGTGCTCAAACGACTAATTAATTCATAAAAAAGAGAAAATCAAAGAATGCACGACTTTTTAACCAAATAGAATAAGATTGAGATTATTACAATACACTCATTCATTTGAATCAGAAATTTTCGAAATTACTAATGCATAAAATGTCTTAGTTTCATTATCAAAATAACATGAAATCTCTTATAATTGTGCTTTTTTTGAATTTTATATATTTAAATATTTTTGATTTTTTTTTTCTTTAAATGCATAGTACGCTGTTGCCAAAGTATTTGAAACTACTAGAGAAGCATTTATTATTTATATACTGCAACAGAAAATTTATTAAATAAAAAATAAAATAATATCAAGTATATAAAGTATAATTAGCAATAAATAAAATTGTCAATAAAATTTTATATTCATTTTTTCAGATTTTAATTTGGCGCCAAAATATAATTCAGTAAATATGTATATTGGCAGCATTGAAATATTTTTACCCTAGAAGAAATAAATATCCCTTGATGTATCGATACAATACCGACAATTTCTCAATTTGGCGCTGAAATCGCTCTTATATGATTCGACAAAGAGCTATCTATAGATATATCGAGCTTTATGGAGGAAAACAAATTGCGGCCATAGTAGTGTGACGTCTCAACACAACAATTCCGGCATTTAATTATTATCAATAAAAATATTGTCTTTTTATAATTGTGAATGTTGAAATAAAGTAAATATTTAACATAAAATTCTAAAGTTATTTTTAAAAATGCGACGTTTAGATTCTAAAGATATATTAGGAGCTGATAAATTGGAGGAGAAATTAGAAGCAGCACGCGATGGGTTAAGAGAATTAGATCGTGATATTCGTAAAATATTGGGTCGCGACTTACCTGATGGAGAAAATGGACCAAACCAACAATCTACGAGGTGATATTTTTTTTCAATGTTATTTTTTATTTGAAGAAAAGGAATTTGTAATTATACATTTGATAATCAAATCAATCATTCTAACCTAACTTTTATTTTTACCATTCAATTATCGACTGAGTTTATTGTTTTATCATTAAGAAAAAATCATTACTTATAACAATTTAACTTTCAGAATTGTTCAAAAACGAATGCTTCAAGATGATCGCAAAAGAAATTCATTAGATTTTATGGGAAATGATCAACTTGGTGGTAAACGTCGTTGGCATTCACAGTTGCCATCAACACCAGGAGAACCAAAAACGGTTTTCAGCCGATTAAGTGCTCGTGTACCTTCAACAGCAGATGATAGTGCTGATGAAGATGATAACTCTATTAAGCCTGCTGTATCATCACGTGTAATAGCTACTCCTCGCGAAGTACCGTCCCGACAAGAAGTGATAAGACGTGAAAGAGTAGATGAACGAAGTCGTCAACGGAATAAGCGTATGTTTGGTGCGTTATTAGGTACTTTACAAAAATTTAGACAAGAAGAAACTAAATTAAAGGCCAAGGTAAAAATCAACTATTTTATTTCATAATTTCTATTAATTATCGATATTAAATGTAGATTGATAACTGAAATAAAAATTACATTTATAGGAAGACAAGAAAGCAGAAGTTGAGGCTAGAGTCGAAGAGGCTAAAAGACGGGAAAAAGAAGAATTAAGACGTGAAAGGCAACAATTGTTTTCATCACGAAAAAGACAGTTAGCTGAAGTAAGAGCGTTAGAAACTAAGTTAGCACGAAGTCGACAGTTTCAAAATTGGCGTTCAGCCACATTACCGCTTTTGTCTTTCATTAAAACACAAACTCAACCAGCAATTTATTATTTGCCGAAACGGAAGCATCCTAAAACAGATGCTTTACTTGAACAATGTACAAAAGAATTACATGGTAATTTTTTTTCTTCAATTTTATTTGAATTAATTTATCAGGTATTCTAGTGTCTAATTGTTTAGATATATTTTTAAAAAATTAATATTTTATCGATTTTTTTACACAGCGGAAATCGAGCGACGAGAGAAAGCATTGATTGAAGAACTTGCGCTAATAGATTCTCAAATGAATGTTAGTAAACAACAACATAACACTGATGATAAGTTAGAACAGAATGATATGACAGAAGGACAAGGAATGGAGGAGGGTGAAGAGAATCGTGACCCTAATCCAGAGAACAATGAAAATATGATAGTCGAAGATGAAAATGAATCGATAAAATCAGAAATTCATCAAGTAGAGAAAATAAATGACAAAAAAAGTTTAAGTGTGAATAATGATAAAATGGAAACAGATACGATAATTCAAGAAAATCAGTCAGAAGAAAACGAGAACCATGGTTAACACTGTATTATTTTTAAATGGCTGTATATATTGATAGACAAAAATGCTGAAAATATCGCCCGATAACACAAAAAGCATCAATAACTGGATAAATGGATATAAATAATGAATTTCTATAAATTTTCAAATTTTTTACATTGAAAGAACAGTACAAGAACAATATTTCTTGCATTTTGTTATCAACTTAGGACTCAAATCATTAGATTGAAATTTTTTTTATTATTAATAATTATAATTAACTAATTGGCAAGAAATAGATGGTTTTAAATAAATAAATACAGTCAATTGAAACAAACTAATATGTAATAATGAATAAGTCATTAGATTTATATTAATCTAAAACTATGTAAATTTATTTTCTTTAAAAATAAATTAAGTAATATACATAATTAATCAATATATCATCTAATATTTTTAATAACAACACTATTTCCTTTTTCATGCAATCAATTTACCAAGTGCTTTTTCTTCATTTTCAATCATTTTAATAATAATTAATTATTTTATTATTCATTTAATGATGTAATTATAATAACTAAGCAATAAATAAAAGATAAAATAATATAATTTCAGTTGTTAAGGCAAAAGAAAGTTTTTTGATTGATGGTGTAAAATTTAATTAATTAGACTTGTTTAATAGTTAAGAAGATCTGAAGGTACCTTGAAATTAACGTAAGTACATCCCTGGGACGTTAGTTGCGAGCCATTAAGCCGCTACGCCATGCCAGCCATAAGAGTATCTTGGATTTGCTTATAGTTTAACTCAGAGCAGTAACGCATCCACGAATTCACTCGCATAAATTTAACGATCCATCTCAGAGTACATATACAAATGCACTCTACACTTGTATTAATGTACGTAAAGTATATAAACAGTTTTACCTTATGAAAATAAGCAAGGCGCAAATTCATTTTGAATATGTTGGAGATGCATATACATATTTATATACACACTGAAGTACACAAGAGTAACCAAGTCTCTTTTATGTATAAATAGCTATCTGGCAGCGTTATATTACGTGTTAAACGATCCTTCGAAGTATTCAATAATCCGCAAAGTCTTTCGAGTAACTTATTTGCTCGTCAATCTATTGAGAAATATCATTTAACCATTTAATACACTTAATAAATGACTTAAAGCTGCATTAGTCGCATTTATTTATCTTGTAATCTTTATGAGGATTAAACTAATAACTTGTATATGTCGTTTTACATTACCTGTTGAGGTACCGCCCTCAACGCTTAGCGTCATTAACCGTCTACATCAATTTATTGCCAAGTGATTCGGTCAAATAATAAATCCACCAATAAATCATTGTTACAAAGTTCATTATTATTATTATCATTATATTATATCCAGTTAATAAAAAAATATTTTATACTTGTAAAATTGAAATAAAGAGAAAAATGGTATGGCTTTTTTGTTAAGCACAAAGTTAAAGACGACAGTAGTAAAAAAGAAAAATGGTTTTTTTTTTATTTCACTTCACGCAAAAGAGATTTCCTGGAAAAAGATTTAAGAAAGTGGAGTAAGGGATAGAGTTAACGAGAAAGTGCATCTGCGTGCGCACATTTTAATTTGTATCCGCCCCTTTATATACTTACATTAGTACCTTAAGATGTATAAACTAAAACATTGGTATTATATGTCTATATAAATTAAGTTTAATTTGTGTAAAAAGCATACACATGTAAAATTAGATACCTTTGGGCATTAAGCCAGATAATTCTGTGCTCCGCGGTGTGAAACGGCCTTTCCTCATTTCATACTCAATATCCCATAAAACCATTTCTCATATAAACGCGTTATGTACACTAAATCTTCAATTTTACATCTAATTTACATTAAACTGTTTTATTACTTTTTACTCACTTAGTATATTTGATATAATTTAAAAGAAAGATTTATCAAATTTAACTTTTTTTAATATTTTTTTACTTCACTTTTACTTTTAAAATATAATTAATTAATCGATAAATATATTTGTGAAATCATTTATTGTAAATATGTTGAAAATTTTAAAATAATATTAATTATAAATGAAACTTTTGTCTGTAAATTAATAATTATAAATATTAAAAATAAATTTCCCATTCACGTTTGAATAATTTTTATAAGACATTTTTTTAAATTATTTATTACTAAATAATAATTAATTAATTGGTTCATTATGAGAATGATAATTTTTTTTATAAAATTAATTTGAATGAGAATTTTTTATTTTTGTGGGCGGTCTTTATAAATTTTGGTCCCTCCCGTTTTGTACTGGCTCCGCCTCTCACCTAAGCTCCGCCCACTTGTGTATAAAAACTCGATATATTTTACTATTCCATGTATGACAATCGCGTTTTCACCGACGTAGGCGTAACATGTGAATTTACTCGTAGTCTTTACAATAAACTTCACATTCATACGCCCACGAAAAATATTCGACTAGAGTTTTCTTTATTTTTGCTTGAGTTAATCTGTCGTTTCAGTCAGTGAACGAAGGACTACTTGTACGTTAGTGACCCGTGTCTATATATCACACGTGATAAAATACATTTTACAGTTGATTCAAATCTTTATATCAAGTACTAAGTTAAATATCAATTGTCCATTAGTTAATTGAACGGAGTAAAAAGGATAAACTTTTTTTTATTTTGCAGTGATAGTGAATAATTCTTGTGTAGTGGAATTGAAATAGTAAACAATATATTTTAAATATTTGTTGCAAAAAAACATTTCTCATAAATTACATAGTTGTTTAAATATTCGTTTATAATAATTATCACTCTTATTAATGGATCCAATTGTACTTGGTAAGAACTATTGAATAATCTGTGGAATTTTTGAATATACCATAAAATTAAGCTAAAGTCTATTGTGATTGAAGGAATGGATATATAATCATAATAGTTGATCACCCATGCTTGTACTGATAACCTTTTTCAACATAACGAGACTCCAGATTAGCTAAGGGGCACTGACATAGATTATTTCATTTATTTCACTGTTCAGTGCAACTTTGTAGAATAGACATATTATCGTAGACACATTTAATCCTTTTTCACTTTCAAATTTTTATTTCTAAAATAAAATGATTTTTTTCCATCAATTGATATATATATAAATTATTGGAAAATTCATAAGTGGCAATTAGTTTTGTTTGTTTAGGATAAATATTAAATACAGCTTTAGTGTACTCAAACAAAACCTCAAATATTCTGTTGAAAGAGGACAGAAAAAAATGAGGAAAACAAATGGCTTCTCTAATTCAAAAATCAACTCGGTAGCTATAAAGGTTTTTTGTCAATAAAACGATCAAGTTTCTTGTTTTAATATCGATGATATTTACTAATTTTTTATTTTTAAACATTTTTACCGACTGATTTCAGTGTACTCTCGAAGGATAAAGAAATTAAAAATCGACATAGCGGGAAAGTATTTAGTAAACAACAGTGCGGTTAAAAAATTATTTAAAAAACAAATATAATTCATAAACATAAATAATTTCTTAGCGAAAACAAATCAATGTTGATATTAAAAATTGATTGATTCATTAATTTATGATCTGAGACACCGTGGATCTTGAGCTAAAAAAATTATCAAAACAATAAAGCATTAGAGTAAACCAATACTTAGATAACTTTATTCAAAATACTGGAATACAATAGAACTGTATTCTTTCAATAAATTATTTTTTTATTATTTAAAGTAATCATCGGAACTAAATCTGTAAAAATATTCATTCTAACAAAATGTTTTATTGCAACTATTTAAAAGTTTGATTTTAATCGTTGAAAAAATTCTTCTCAGTGTATTTAAATTTAGAGTAAATAAACCTTAAAGAATAATTAGGATACCATTTTGTTTCATAAAATATGTAATTATCAAAAAAAATATAAAAAGCAAAGTAATTTCGTAGAAAAAAAGATTATTAAATTAGTGTTGATTGGATTAAAAATGATTTTTTTAACGGTTGAATAATTTAATGAATTTAAAATAATAATAACAATAATAGGCATAATTTTTTACTTTTACTCTAAATAGATAGAGCACATGTCTTAAATCAGAAGCAACACAGTGACATTCATCAAAAAGTAACACGCCCACTTGAAGCAACAGATTTCAAGTGTACATATATGTACACACAAATGCACTCATCATGCATGTACTCCAATTTCTCTTTTCTTTGAAATATATATAAATAAATGACTTCTCTGCTAAAAACAATACAGGTACATACAGTTGCTGTACTTGATCTCTACTTTGAGTTTTAATTTCAATAGTATGAGGGTAGTGTACATCTTCTATTAGGTCTCTTTTTGAATAAGACATATGTAATACATGCGTGTAAACTTGTGCGGTTGATCTCTTTGATCTTTGACTATTCATCACCCGACGGGTGAATCCAACAAAAAAAACATCTAATAATATTACTGAATGCCTCCGTACTTTTTTATTTTTTCCATTCATCCGAATAAATGAATTAATCGGTATAATATACCATGAATTTCTAAATATTGTGACATTCAATGAAAGAAACAATTTTTAATGAATTCTCTTTTATTAAATAACAATTTATTGGGCCACAAATTATTTTATTTTCCACCAAAAAAAGATCATTTTATCTCTATTAAGTTACACCATTTTTTTTTTTTATTGAAATACAGATTTTTTTTAGATATATTTCTGCGATGTAATCCACCTTATTTTGGATGTGTCATTAACTGTCATGTATTTACCTTTTTTTAGTCCATTTCCCTTGTGGTCTTTTGTACTAATTGGCCAACATGAAATGTTAAGTCAAGTGTGTGTCAAGTTGGCTGTAAAAATGTCATCGGTGTCATAAAAAATGTCACATACAAACGGTGGAATTTGCAGTTATGCATAACAAATCGTAATTGGCCATTTATTCAAATTATTAGATTCGATTTTTATCATTGTTTTTGTCTGATCCAAATTTTTTGATAGAATACTTGGAATGGCCATTAGAAAGGTCTTAAGTAAGGTAGAAAAAAATATAAGAAATTGTATAAAAAAAATAGCGGCAATGTATTTAGCCTTATGTAAAGCAAAAACTCGTCTACTAACACCGACAAAAAATTTCTAAGAATTTAAAGTGTAGGGTACTGAGTCGTTACACTGTCTCCCTGAATTATTTGATTTTTTTCTTAAATTTATTGCATCCCCCATGATACATGGGTAAGCTATAAAATTAAAAACAAAAAAATACTTGGCAAATGAAAAACAATTATGAATATTCAAATGCATTATCAATTATTTTCTGCAGTCGCTTCGGATTTAAGTCATTATATGAATCTCATTAGTTTTTGAGAAATGAAGTTTTATAGACTTATTGGTTCTCTAAACTCGTGAACACGAGTATTTACGTAGCTAAAATTCTTACGAGTGATTTAGTACTGACATGGGTGTTGGAATAAGGATTATTTTATTTTTATATGTATTTATAAACAACATTAAAGTAGGAATCAGTTAATTTTAGTTTTGACAGTCGAGTTAATTTTCTGGTACGTCATTTGTAGTTTATTTAATATAATTATGAAAGATAAGATCAAAGCTTTCGAAATTCGAATCAAATTTAAATGACTCGTTAGATTAAATTTTTAAAAATCTTACAAATTATAGTTAACGACTCATTAAAATTTTTTTTTATAATTGTTCATAATATTTATTATAATTAATTTAAATAAAATACATCAAGTATATTTGATAAATAAATATTTATGAATAAATGATGATGTTGATAATGAAATAATGCATGCAAAAATTTGGCAGAAAACAACAGTGGGATTGGTCAGCAGCAAACACAACAGCAACAATATGGTGAAGTGAACCAACTTGGTGGTGTATTTGTAAATGGTCGGCCTTTGCCAAATGCCGTAAGACTTCGAATAGTTGAATTAGCTCAACTTGGTATTCGACCTTGCGACATATCTCGTCAATTACGTGTAAGCCATGGGTGTGTTAGCAAAATTTTAGCACGTTATCATGAGACAGGGAGTATTTTACCTGGCGCTATTGGTGGCAGTAAACCGAGAGTTACAACACCCAAAGTAGTACAATATATAAAGCAACTGAAACTCAAAGATCCAGGCATATTTGCGTGGGAAATTCGAGATCGACTGTTATCCGACGGAGTTTGTGACAAATATAATGTACCATCGGTTTCAAGCATTTCCAGAATATTAAGAAATAAAGTGGGAACAAGTGGAGCTGCAATGCATCATCATCCACACCATCCAGCTCATCATCATCATCACCATCATCACCTTTATGCCGCTGCAGCAGCTGCAGGTGCCACTCTATGTCCTGTACCATATCCTGCAACATCGTATCATCCACCACCACCAGTTTCACATCATCACCATCATCACCAGGGTGATCGTCTAGGTAAGTTACAGTAAGAAAACTTTTAAAAAATTAAAGATGTAAATTTCGAAATTATTTATTGGTTTAATGACAAGTTTTAAGACCACCCAATACCTTCTTGAACATTGGCAATTAGTTTACATGACATTCTGACCATCTAAAAGCCGTCGGGTCATAGTAATTCTTCTTGTCTAAACATCCACTGCGTGCCAAAGTTGTTCTTAGTGTATCCATTAGTATTTATATACCAATAGTTATGTAGTCAAAGTAACATCTAAGGTATCTATCTCGGTCGTCGTTACGCTTGAAAAATAAAAGCTTTTCAAGTCTTTTCATTTCAAACAATCCAGGCCATTTAGAATCATTAAAATAATTTTGAAATTAAATAATATTTTATTTACCCAATGATATAACATTAATTCAATGATTACAATAAATAAGTTTATTTAAAATAACGAATGTAATAATTCAAAATTTGTATCAATAGGTCTGACATCGTCTGGTAATATCAAATTATCACCATCTCCACCAACAACTGCAGGACATCAATTAAGTCCATTGGGATTGCAATGGCCAAGTTCGCATACAGTTCATGACATTTTGGCAACAGCTCTACCTACTTCTACTTCAATCAATCAAGTGGACAATCATCGATGTGGCAATAATAGTCAAGAACATAATAATAATAATAATAACAATAGTACCAATAATAATAATACAAATAGTAATAATAATAACAATAGTAACACTAGTAATAATAGTACTAATAGTAACGGATGCAATAATAATAATAATAATAATAATAGTAATAGTAGCAATAATAATAGTAATGAAACCAGTAATGATTATCATAATCATCACCATCACCATCAGCAGTATTATGCATCCGCTTTGTATCACCACCATCATCATCATCACCACCATACAACGCCTGCGTTGTCCATTCAACCAGTCATCATTCAAGCAACAAGTCAGCCCAGTAGCCCATGCAATTAACGATAGTATTTTTTGTTTAATTAATATGTATCTTTTTTTTATTGAAAAAAAGTTGAAAGACCTTTCGCATTAATTGATGCCACAATAAAAGTTATACATTATTTAAATGATGCATAAGAAACATCCATTTACCTCACATCATTTCTTCATTTAATGATAATTATAAAAGATAAATTAAATGCTATTTAATACTTATCGAAATAATTTAAAATAATTATTTTACTTAATGTAATGATCAATAAGTAATTTGACAGAGTATACTCCAATATATTTGTAGCTTTTTAGAAATCAGTTAATTTATTGAAAAAATTAATCAAAGGATCATTTAAAAGTTTAAAAATGGATATGTCAATCAAAACCTGAAACTTTAAATTTTTTTTTTACAAATGAATTATTTTGAAAAAGTATGGATCAAATTTTTTTCTTGACATTTATGAATTTTCTGAGAATAAGGGTCACACGTGGTATTACTCAGACACTATTCTGTATGTCACGACGATAGTTAATGCAATTTTGGTTAGTATGTTTAATTGAAAACGTAAGTTTTCTAATTTTATTCTTATTTATTTTTCGAAAACCTACCTATCGTAAAAACAAAGATACTACAAAACCACAAGAGCGACGATAACTTTTATTACGTAATATACAGGCTCAATCGTAAGTAGTGAAATGATATGATTGAATAATGAAAAAGGGATAATCAATAAAAGAAAAATAATAATTGGATTGTTTGATAATTAAATGATATGGCATAGTGTGTGTGTGTTGAAGCGTGCGATATAACTCTTGCGGCGCAAGTGTAAAGTAAGAAACGAATTACATTCGTTATGGCCTCGATCTGTCGATCGATCGTTTTACAATCATTCATTTTATACTCAAATGCTATTGTACATTTCTTTCATGATGGCTCAATTATTTCTCTACTTCTTGAAATAAAAAAAAATTTTTTTCAACAATTATTTGTGTACTTATTTCGAATGTTAAGTTAATAAATGCTGTATGCGTATTAATGAGTAGACTACGGCATCCTTTGAAATCTGAGTTTAGCATCAGCTCCACCCACTCATCGCTCAAACTCAATTTTATATCATATATACATGTTTATTTATAAGGATCTTTTTTTTTTTTAATTTAAAATATTATTTTTCTTTTAATAAATAAGTTTGAAAATAATAATAATAAAATACTACCGAATTTCTGTAACGGAAATAAAACTTTATTCAAGTCATTTATTGTTAGACGAATCAAGAAAGTAGCTTGTCTGCAAGCCGGTTATTCTTGCAATGCTCACTTGCTACCGGTAGTGAATGTTCTCCGCTCGATTAACCTGCAAAGTCTTGTGATTAAGTACCAGACAATAAATTGTATAAAGAAGATATTGTACAAAGAGATATATCTCTTATATGAAAGTCTTAAACACATACATGAATTTATTTAATTGTTCAAGATTTGATGGTACAAAGAATAAAAAAATAATTTTTACACTTTGTACTTGATGGTTAATATGTTTGTTTGAAAATTTTAAATAAATAAATAAAAGTTGACATTATTAACGAAATAGAAAATGAAATTAAAAATAGAGAGAAAGGGGCGAATGTCCTCTTTTCTCGTCTCTTCAAGTCTATACACCCGGACAGGGGCGTTCCGCTATGCAAACTTGGAATATAGCTAATGTGTCTGTGCTACCCGACATTTTCGTCCTCCTGGTGTTTCTTCTACTCTGCCGCCTTGCGGTAAAATAAAAAATAAAATAAAAATAAAAAATTTTGAAATAAAAAAAATGTAAAAGGAAATAGATTAAAACCCGACATTGGTTTGATGGTGCATGTGAAGTTCCTCTTTCATTCTTTTCACGGCAAGAGACATAAGAGAAGCCGACACATAGTACTCAAAGAGCAAAAATATCATATTAATTATACCAACTAAAATTTTTATTATTACTTTGCAGAAATTTCCAAAGAGTCATTAACGATATCCAGCTAACAGAGCCAATCCAATTTTTACTCATTTATTCAGTGATCATTTTCAATTATTTTCACTGTTTTAATTTACTCATAACTCTAAGAATCAGAGAAAACTCATGTTGAATCATTTAATATTCACCAACTTGTAATGCTAATTTTACTTTTCGTGTCACTTGTTCAATTGAAGATAATAAAAAAAAATTACTTATATAAATTTAAATATCCACGATTTTACCAATTTGTCAGTAAATAGAGATCAATTGACAGACGTGTCATCAAATAATATGTTTACCCAAAATAACTAAAAAAATTGAGCTGACATAATTTAAAAAAACTATCATCAAGTGTTCAGTCATCGAATCTATCAAATATATAAAATAATTACTACAAATGATAGTTTCATTTATATAAAAAAAAATTAAATAATTGATATTTTATTTAATTTTCAATATAAGTGTTAAAAAATACGCATGAACATTATAAATCTATTACTATATATTAATATTATGAGATGAAATATAAGAGAGGCGCATCGAGGCGAAGCGACGCGCGATATCAGTATTAGGGGTCGCCGCCACTACAAGAACCCTATTTTACATATTAAATGATAACCTTTATGATAACCTATTATTTCCCAAAATTTTACACAAGTACACAATATAAATACACATATTATATTTTTTAACTGAATTATCACATACTTTATTTCATTTATATTATGGCAAATGTATCTGTAATGGAACAAATATTTTTTATTACAGTTAGTCTGAAGTGCTAAAATTACTTAAAAAATGATCTTTTAATAACTATTATTATCTAAAATTTTGGATATGAGAATAATAAAAAAAGAGTGATAGACTATTTATGGACTTTTAGTACAAAATGTTAACGATAGAAGTTTTTGTCGGTGAAAAAAAGTATTATATATATTATTAACGAATATTACAAACAAATGATGGTTTATTTTTACTATTACTCAAGATATATGTATATATATATATATATATTTTTCAATAATTAATTTTCAATATAATAGAAACTTAATTCTTTAGTATTGTATAGAACATTTACATCATTTAATATCTTCATAAGTATATATCATGTAATTTACATAAAAATAAATGATTAACTTCTTTACATTATTTATAAATAATAATTAAATAAAATACAGGTTTATTCTAGTGAATTTAACATTAGTAATTGCTTCAATACTTTTGTTTGACTTGTTTCCCTAATCTCACCTGCTAAGAACATTTCATCTACCACTGTGTATACCTAGAATATTATAACAAGAGAATTTTAATACATTAATTGTAGAATAAGTACATAATATACTTGAAAAAATTTAAATCATAATTACCTTATAAAAATTGAACACCAAGTCTAACTCACACACGTTGTGAAAGTATTCGTTCAATACTTCAACAAAATTATGAATTGCTTCTAGATAACATAGATTATTATCATTGACATCAACACAAATGCAAAAGTATAACCCTGCGTATCTTCTATAGACTATTTTAAAATTTCGAAACTGCAAACAAATATAATGAACAAATCATCTTATCGATTCGTAGGTCTTAATTTTTTATCAATTCAGCTGTTACGAACCTCCACAAAATTAGTATGTTTGGCATCACGAACTGTAACTACCGCATGTACTTCTTCAATTAATTTTTGTTTCTCATCATCATCAAAATTCATGTACCATTTGGCTAATCTTGTTTTTCCAGCCCGGTTTTGTATCAAAATAAAACGTATCTAGAGCATAAATATCATATAAAATCAATAAAAGTAACCTACAAACCAAATGCAGAAGATTTTTATCTTTTGCTTAAATAAAAGTAATTATTCATGATTTTGAATTACTTTACAACGTATAAAATTATTACCATATTGTTAAATTTTTGGTTTCACAAAAAAAGGAATAATTTATCAAAATTTTTAATTTTTTTTGCGTTGATATGACAGATGAATTTCCACCCTCTCAAAAAATATTTTAATGGAAGAAAAAAAAGTTATACACTCAAAATGCCTATTTGTTGCCTTTACATCAGCGCCTCTTTTCACTCTTTCGATTATCGACAATGATAGTCTTTGTTGATAAATTATCATACAAAATTGAGGCTAGGCTCGAGCTTCGACCTTCCACCGCATAACGCGACCGTCATTATCATCAGTAGTTATCAAACAACTTGTTTGTGATTGCAAGCTATTATACCGACTGTCGGAGAAATTATTCGAATAGAACAAATGTGTACTTACATGTATGTAAGTACACAAAAAAAGTAGTTATGAATGATTGACTATAATAATTATAATGAGATGTATTGATAATCAAAACAGTTATTTTTTATAAATGAAAATGTACTTACATTTCTAACGATCTCCGCATCTCTCTTCTCTGATTTTGGCTCCAGGTTAGTTTCAACGGGGTGAATTTCCAAAGAATTTGTGTATCTCAAGTTAAGCTGATTTAATTTTTATAATAATAATTAATAATTTCTTAAGTAATCTATTGTCTGATAATTATTAAGAACTTCTATATCACATAATAAATAAAAATATAGACGTAAAGCTCTTCCACGTTCAAAAGCTGCGCCATTTTGTGATGATGATCCATCACCGGGAATGGAATTAGGACTCTCAATCAACTTCACACACTAAACGGTTTTTTGACAGTTGTAGGTGTCGTGATGATCACTAATGGCGAAAAATTCAATGCAAATAGAGCCATTTTTATTATTGTTTAATTGTAATTTTTGTAAAAATTAGATTCTTTTTCATATATATTCGTATATAAGTTTCACTTAAAATTTTGTTCTACATCTATATAATTTGGCTGAAGAATAAGTACTGACGCACCTTCTACTTTATTTATTTAGTAAAATTATTTATAGTGGTAATTCTCTGAAAATAATATATGTAAAGAATAATATAAATACCTTATTATGTAAAAATTAAAAAATTTTTTAGTAACTGTAGATAATTAACTCTTGATATATCATAAGATTTTACAAAACAAAAATGTATTAACATTGTCCTTTGGTTTGACATTATAGAATTGTTTTCAAACATTTATCAAAAAATGATTCATTTCATCACAATGTGTGCAATAATATACTGAAATTAATAAATATAACTCTCAGTATTTCATGATGTGGATATGAAAAATGAAAAATAAAATGCCACCGTTTAGAAGAAAAAAATCTGGGAAATCATTTCCTGTAAAGGTTTGCACGTTGGATGCTGAATTAGAATTCAATCTTGAAGTCAGTATTTTGTAATTCACTTTACATAAAATCAGTTTAACCGTAGTATAAAATGAGTTTTTATTACAGTGGCGAGCAACAGGAAGAGATCTTTTTGATCTAGTATGTCGAACTATTGGATTGAGAGAGACTTGGTACTTTGGGCTCCAATATGAAGACTCAAAAGGATTCATATCTTGGCTTAAGTTAGATAAGAAAGTACAAGATCAAGGCATTTCGCAACAACCAACAACATCTTTCATGTTTCTGGCTAAATTTTATCCAGAAGATGTTGCTGAAGAATTAGTCCAAGAAGTTACCCAACATCTATTTTTTCTTCAAGTTAAACAGGCTATTTTATCTATGGATATTTATTGCCCACCAGAAGCTTCGGTATTATTAGCATCTTATGCTGTTCAAGCTAAGGTTAGTGTCGTTGAATATTTTTTGAAACTCAAAAGTATCATTTTAATAAATAAAAAAACTACTTTATAGTATGGAGATTATGATGAAGGTTCTTATCGACCGGGGATGTTAGCAAGTGAACATCTACTTCCTCAGAGAGTCATTGACCAATATCAGATGACTTCAGAAATGTGGGAAGATAGAATTAAAATTTGGTATGCTGACCATCGTGGTATGTCTCGTGATGAAGCTGAAATGGAATATCTCAAAATTGCACAAGATCTTGATATGTATGGTGTTAATTACTTCACTATAAGTGTACGTAAAAAAATTTAATTAACGCATAAATTAGTCGTTGAGTTAATTTAATATATCACAATTGCATTTTAGAATAAGAAAGAAACTGATTTGTGGCTTGGTGTAACGGCACTTGGGTTGAATATCTATGAAAAAGAAAACAAATTAGCTCCAAAAACAACATTTACTTGGTCTGAAATACGACATATCAGTTTTGATGATAAGAAGTTTGTGATAAAACCAGTAGATAAGTCATCACCGAATTTTGTTTTCTTTTCACTAAAAGTTCGCATGAATAAATTGGTAAAATATGATATTTCCAATAAATTAGCAAAATTTAATCATTCTGAAAATATAAATAAATAAAGTTGTGTATTTATTTTTTGTTAAGATTTTGGACTTGTGTATTGGTAATCATGATTTATTTATGAGACGACGTAAACCAGATTCTATGGAAGTGCAACAGATGAAAGCACAAGCTAAGGAAGAAAAGTCGAGGTTAGTATTACTATACATTGATTAATTTTTCCAATTATTAATTTATGTATTTATTTAGACGACAAATCGAGCGCAATAAATTAGCCAGAGAGAAAAAATTACGAGAGACCGCTGAAAGAGAAAAGGCTGCAATGGAACAACGCTTGCTACAATATCAAGAAGAGATTCGTTTAGCTAATGAAGCATTGGTAGGAAAAAAAAATATAACAAATTATTAAATTATGTAAATATTTATAATTGATAAAAATAAGTGATATATTGGTTAAATATTTGTAGCGGAGATCTGAGGAAACAGCCGATTTATTAGCTGAGAAAAGTCGTGTTGCCGAAGAAGAAGCCATGCTGTTGAGTCAAAAAGCCTCAGAAGCTGAACAAGAAATAACTCGAATCAGATTAAATAATATGAAGACTGAAGAAGAGAAAGTTCACTTAGAACGTAAAACTAGAGAAGCGGAATTGCTTACGGAACGGTTAGTTCAAGAATCTGAACGAAGAGCTGCAGAAGCTGAAAAATTGAAAGATGAATTACTTCGTGCTCGAATAGCTGAAAAGGAAGCTAAAGAAAAGCTATTAGAATTTTTAAGTCGAAATGCTTATACAGCAGCAATAACAGTAAGTATTCTAATTCAATAAATAATAAATATATTAATTTGAGGTTTAAACATTATGATTTGTTGTAGCCTGTGCCTAATTTATTTCCATCGACGCAAGTACTTCCATCGGATTTGCAAGCTGATCTTCAAACTCTCCAACTAGATACTGATCCTCTTCCTTCAGATTTAACATCATACGACCTTATTGCGGATGGAGATGTTGATCAACTGTCTTTGGAGATCGAAAAAGAAAGAGTGGATTATTGGGAAAAGAGTAAACACTTACAGGAGCAACTTCGTGAGTTACGATCTGAAATTGAAGTTATGAAAGTGGGTGAAAAACAATGCAATTTAGACCAACTCCATGATGAACAAGTTAGACTTGGAGAGAATAAATATAGTACTCTTAAAAAAGTTAAATCTGGATCAACGAAAGCAAGAGTTGCCTTTTTTGAAGAACTTTAATAATCTTACGTATTATAAACGGACAAATTTTTTTAATTCATGTATATAGAATAACTCATTACTGTTATCATCAGAAAAATTTTATAATAAGAAAGCTGTCTTAACAAATTTTCATGGTGACATCGTGATTTTTTCACTTTTAAAATTAGAAATAAATACAAACTATTTATTTTCCACATATAATAACTACAAATAGTATTGTAAAAATATGTATGTAACTTTCATTATATACATAACAGAAAATTTATATTAGACAATTTTATATTGAAAGATGATAATACTGATCATAGGTTTAATTATTACATACTATTGACAAAGTTTATAATAATAAAATTGCCATATGAACTTATTTTTTACAAAACGCAGCTTTTAATTGCGCTAATGTTGGAAATAATAATACATTTATTTTTAGAAATTAAATTAATTGTTAAATGAGTAATTAATAAGTGCCTTACTGTAAAAAAAAATATTTGACAAAGTTATTCATCTGAATTTTTTGTTAAAAAAATATTTTTCACTATTAATTTAATTCTATATTCAAAACTTAAATAAATAGTATGATTTTTTAATAAAACAATGTAAATTTTATTTTTTAATTTTTTTTTTATAAAATAAACAAGATAATCAACTTATATATATACGAATTAAATCATCTTCTCTTGCAGGATACTTAGTTATTGGACATCGATTATCATTTTGAACTTTATTTAAAATACATTGATAGCAAAATATGTAACTAAAAAAAGTAATCGATAAATTATTCATTATAAAAATAGTATATTACATTTCACCATTTACTTACCCTGATACTGCAAGAGCTGTTGGAATGTTAGGAGGTGATAAACAAATAGCACATAATCCTTCATATCTTTTAGCTGTGTCTGGAATCTAATAAACATATTCATTTGAAACATATTAAATTTATTTTGATCAATAAATAAAGTTTGCTACGGATATTTACTTGTGGAGGTCGAGGTACTGGCAAAGCTGTAAGATTAGTGTAATACTGTTCCTGATTCCACCAATTATAAAATTGTAAAAAGAAAGCTCCTAATTCAATAAATTTCATCAATACTCTTTGAAGTATTTGTGTACCATCATTTAAGCTAAAAGTTCCCTTCTTTAATTTATACAATAAATCTGGTATTGACATTACTTCTATAGAATTAGAATAAGTCAAGGTTACTGAAAATAAACGATATAATGGAGAGGGATACGAAGAGTAATCTGACATGTATGCCAAATAATAATAAACTCCGCAAATTTCATAAATAAAATGAAATAGTTTGTACGATTTTAAACCATAAATTTTCATTATTCTTTTCCATGTCTGAAAAGAATAAATTGAATAACAATCACCTCATTTTAAACGTAAATTATAAAAATAATAAATAATACTTAAATATTTACTTCTTTAGGTAGTTTACCATCAACAATGTCTAATTCACAACGATGAATTTTAGATTTAATATACGGCTGAAGAACTAACAAAATAATAAAGATCCTTTGTTGATTATTTGATAATTTTTTCTTGCCAGAATTCGTAAGAGAGATTCGTTTCAAACTATAAAAAGTTTCTGAAAAAGAAGCTGAATAATTTTTTAAATAAAATTTTTGTAGAATGCCATTGAATACTGCAAAAGCTTCGTCTGACCATTGTTCTAGCCATTGATATCGTTCTGGATTAAAATTCAGCAAGAACTAAAATCAAATTTTTATTTTATAGATAACCATATTTATTCATTAGCTTAAATTTAGAATTGAGAAAACTTACGGAGAAAATTTTCTTGAAAGCAGGTTCTAATGTTGAAGCAAGAGAATTTTGTGCTACAATTTCGAATATTGTAGGTTTTATAAAAGTTGTACCAGTTAAATGTGCTCCTCGTTCTGCCATTTTTTAATAATATTAAAAATTTTTTAAATTAATTATTCATTTCTAACTTATTACATAATTGAAAAAATTATAAATAGTTAAAGATATTCAATGAATAGGTTATAAAACACAACAAATTCAAGTACATCTATATTTTTCATTTATCATACATTAATTATAATTAAAAAGTTAGTTATAACCAAAATGCCACTTCAAAAAAGTTTAATACAACAACTTTCCTTTTCAAATTATAACAAAAATTTAATAACAAAGTTGAGCGTATTTGCATTCAGTAGTTATCAAACAACTCAGTCAATTAATCAATCACCAGATGATGAAAAAACCACACATTTTGGTTTTAAAACTGTTAAAGAAAGCGAAAAAGAAAAAAAAGGTGATTGAAACAGAATAATATTAATTTCTAAGTTCATTTTTTTACTTATTCTTCTACTAGTTACATTGATAAAATATATATTTTTGTTATTTCAGTTTATACAGTATTTGAAAAAGTAGCTAATTCTTATGATATTATGAATGATGCTATGAGTTTTGGTATTCACAGAATATGGAAGGATATATTTATTCAAGAATTAGCACCAACTCATGGTTCTAAGCTCATAGATACTGCTGGTGGAACAGGAGATATAACTTTTCGATATTTAAATTATCTAAATAAATTAAAAAATCCAAAAAAACTTCAAAGTTCTGTGACAGTTGTTGATATCAATCAGAACATGTTAGATGTTGGAAAAATTAGAGCAGAAAAATTAGGATATACTGTTCAAAATGGATATAATATAAGTTGGTTACAAAATGATGCTGAAAAGCTATCATGTCCTGACGAATCATTTACTGCTTATACCATTGCTTTTGGTATAAGAAATGTCACTCATATTGATAAGGTAAATTTATGAATTATTTTTTAAATTGAACTGATCACTAACAGTTCTAACAAAGAATATTTATTAGGTGTTATCTGAAGCATACAGAGTTTTGGAACCAGGAGGAAGATTTATGTGTCTAGAATTTAGTCACGTTACAAATGATTCATTAAAATGGTAAATATTAATATTGTTTGTATTATTATTTAATAATTTAAAATCTATGTAAACTAAGTAAAATAGTTTGCTTATTTTTCAGGCTTTATGATAAATATTCTTTCCAAATGATCCCAGTTATGGGTATGCTCATTGCTGGTGAATGGAAATCATACCAATATTTGGTTGAAAGTATTAGAAAATTTCCAAAGCAAGAGGAGTTATCGGTATTTTTATTATTTAGTAGTTTAATTAATTAATTAATTAAATTACTAACCACGTAGTCATGATTTATTAAAATTTTGTAAAATTTTTCTAGGAAATGATTAGAACTGCGGGATTCAGGCATGTCACATATAAAAACTTGACATTTGGTGTAGTTGCAATACATTCAGGCTTTAAGATATGAAATACATTTTTACTGATAAATGTATTACTATCAAATATTCAAGGATACAGCGTTAGATAGTGCTGTTGAATAGACATGCAATATAGTCCATCAGAAGAATTACATCATTAAAATAATGTGGTTTTTTTTTTAAAAAATGTCAAGGTGTGTCCCAATTTAGTTGAAATTGTAGAAATCATTACAAACGATTTCTGTACAAGTTTCCATTGCGAATTTTGGATAATATATATGCTTTCTATCAGTTGTTAATCGAATTTCTTACCTTTTATAACATGATGTATATAACTTTTAAAGGCTTTACTTATACATTTGCTTGAATGATCAACATGTTTTTGCATCATTAACATATATTGATTATTAACTTTTCAATATTTATTTATTTCTGGACATTTTTATAACGTAAACGAATACAAAAAAATTACAATTATTAAAAAGGAAAACAATTGTTAGATAGATTAAAAAATAATTATTTAAAAGAAAAAACATGAAATCTTATTCAGTATTTTAACATTATATTTATGAAGAGAATTAATAAATATGATTCGTAGCCATCGTTTAAATAAAAGAATAGAAATTTTCAAGGAAATTTATTTATTCTTGTTTAAATTTAATGCCCATTTATAGAATTATTATTTACGCATATTTGTTTTCTATTTAATCTACTCAATAAATAATTACTTTCCACATCATTAAGAAATTGGCAATGAAAACTATGAATAATTGAGACACGCCATAATTATGCCATGTAGGCCTTTAAGTGCAAAATTTGATTACATTGAAAAATACTTGAGTTTCAGCTCAAGCTAGGAAATTTGCCATATTATTTATTTAATTGATCTAAGTATAAGATTTTCATAAAAATTATTTATGACTAAACCATGTAAGAAGACTGACGAATTATTTGACTTCTAATACGTCAAATAATAATGCTTTGAAGATCATGAAGCTGATTCTGAGAAGATTAGTGATTTCTTCAAGATTGATTGAGTTTTTAAATGGATTTTTCTAGTTAATATTACTATCGCCTTTTGGAGAATATTTATGATTATTTTAATTTTATAATTATTTCATTTCGATATGCAAACAATATAAAGATATATTTAAAAATTAATCTTTGTAGATAATTTTTTTCATTTGATTTTATCATAATTAATGATTTTTTATTTATATCATATTTCGTTAGCAGATTAAAAGTTTTTCTTTAAACACTGTGGGAATTATGTTTAATTGATTGCACTATGTCATTTTATATTCATATAATATAATTTTCGTAATTATTCATTATAGATATAAAGTAAAAAATAAAAAAATACTGAAATAAAATATCAATTACCTTTATCAATTGCATTTTACTTTGCTTTTTAAGTATGCAACGCCTTACTAATAAGAGGCTAGCAAGTTTTTGTGCCACTTATAATGTACATTGGCGGTAACGCATATTTATTTATCATTATGATATCATTTATCTTAATAATATTGCTATTGATATTAAATTTTTAAAATAAATTTTATACTAAGTGTGTTCGATAATAGCATTTAAAAAAATGAGTGTAATGCTGTAATGTGTAATGAATTTTTTTTAATGTTTATCGTTTAAAAAGTCAAAAAACAATACTAAAAATCATAATAATTAATACATTTCTTGATAATTTGGTAAGCAGATCAATTTTGGGTTCACTATTGGCGACTTATTATACTGTTTGTTTGTCTATCCATGTGATTATCGTTGTCATAACTATTAATATCGTTATTATTATTGTTATCTTTAATATTTGTTAATGTTGAATGATATAACAATTTTACCCCAATTAATGTATCACTTTTCATATATGTATATATAAACAATGTAAATTCTATTTTTCCAAAAGTCAAACCGCCAGTATTGAACTCAACCATATATTCCTAATATAAAACAAGAACACAACAAAGTTTTGGCATACGCAATACATTGTTACATGTACAGTAGTATGTCATTTTTTTAATTATTCTTAAATAAGTCCCCCAACCCTTTAATTTTTTCTATGTTTGTATTTTATCGAACAGTCGTTAACAACACCAGGATTTACCATTGATATATATTTTCCATAAATTATCTCCATACTAGCAGAACTTCGTTTCAATACATAAGTTTTATGTTCGATTTGTTTGTTTATACTACATATAGATTTACGTAATTTGAGTAGTTTTATGGCGATCACGAAATTGATTAAGATAGGGTGGGGTACAGATAGTAAGGACCAGCTTATCCACTTTTGAAGAGAAGAATTGCTACCTGACCCAGGTAGAAATAGATAAAATGTCTTGTTTCATGCGTTACATAGCTCCCAAAATTGCGACCAACAATGCAATGCCACGTTGGATTGTATTTTTTATCAAATTCTTTCTTAATAAATGCTGCAATATCCTGTAACAAGAAGAAGGCGGTGAAGACTTATAAATAGACTTGAGTGAGAAAAAATCAATTATTTTTAGAGAACATTAACATACTTTTTCGATGTTATATTTTTCTAATGCTTGAGTTGCACAATCTACAGCATCTTGTTGCATCTCCTCTGACATATCTGCATTTTTAATAACAGCTTTTCGGTCCGACATGTTGTATAATCTGAAAACAATAAATCATATAATAAATATTTACAATATTCACGAATTATTACTTGAAATTGATTATTTTTATTCCTTAAATAATATAAAACAAGAAATTTATGTTGCTGATTGAGCTTAGCACTGATACGGTTTGATCAAATCTCTATGTGACAGTTGATTTTCTTTTGATAAAAAATGAACATGAAGCTGGATTCTTTAGGTATATTTGTAACAGGATAATTGGTTAGTGTTGTCATGGATACATCATTACAGTAGATCATTCCGTTAAATTTTATGCTCTTTGATCCACAGAAAAACAAATACCTTAGTGTGGATAAAGAAATTCAATTCATATCCACCTAAGAATAGTTTCAAAATTATTCTAACATTGATTTAACAATTTTCGAGCCTTGAATTTTACACAATACAATTTCAATTTATAGAACATCAATATCCACAGATCATGTGTTTTTTTTGCGTGACAAATAACTTTTAAATTTAATTTTGTTCCATTTTAACATGTAGTTTATGATAACCTCAATACATTTCATTAAGAAATAATATCATTTTCCACTTAACTTAATAATATTTAATTGACAACATTATAGAAACTTCATCGACTTGAATACTCAATTTAATTTTACTCAAAAAAAAATTTCTATAAACGTTGTCGATATTAATATTTAGAATATTTAAAAAGATTCGAATTTTTTGTAAATAGTGTGAAATTTACTCCTAAAAAAAAAAGACATGTATTAACTACTGAAGAAGGAAAACTTCTATTAAACTATTCAATATGATATGCTTAAATAGGAACAATCTTCAAAAATAAAATTGAATATTCGTTTAGAAATGATAATTTGATAAATTTTGGAGGGAAATAAGATTGCTACAGTAAATTCTAACGATATTACGAATGTAAACCTTGCAAGTGGCAGCCGATTAATTTTTACACTTGCATAAACATCAAAAGCCGGCATATCGAAAATTGTTTATTGCAAAAAACTCATTAGTCCAAATGAAAACTGACTGGTAACTTTATAAGATAGATTTAAAAGATGTTGATCGCGGGGGGAAACGTGGGAGGATGCTGTTTTGTCGATAGGAGGAAAAATAAAAATAGAAATTAGATTGCATGCGATTTGAAAACTAGGTCAATTAATTACCGAACTTTAACGAATATTATAAATTTAATAATTCACAATTAATAAAAGTTATATACAGTTTTAGAGTTTGACATCCTATGTGTCCACGATCCCGGCAAAAAATTCACATAATTTAAGACATAAATTGCAACATACCTCTCTTTGGTAACACTTTTTGCAGATATAAATTATGAATAAAGTTGAAATTATTCAACTTACAAAATAAACGCCAAATATAACGAATTTATTTGAAATTTAACTAATAATTTTTGCACCGCAAAATCAACACGGTCAACAAGAAATTTTGTCGTTCAGACTGAAGATTGGAGCGCCTGTAGCTGCAGTTATCGGGCTCTGATTGGCCCACAATTAGGGTCTTCTATCAGCGGCTTCTATCAACCCACAATCCTTTGGATAATTTCTCTTAAATGGCGCGGAATGTAAAAAAAAATTCTCGAATTTTCTCAAGCACTGAAAAAACAAATAATTAGTTATTTATTATTCTCAATTTGATACATTACTATGATAAAATTTTTAAATCTCTTCAAGACTATGAAAATCATAAAATCAACCATCAAAACAACAAAATTATTCATAAATTTAATATAAATAATAGAATTTTTATTAAAATGAGATCTTTAGCATATATTTACAATTACTATGAATGAATATTTATTAAAAATAATATCTTAAATGTTGAAAATATCTATTTATCAAGAAAAAAAAAGCATTTTTGAAATTACACTTTATTTTGATTTTTAAGTTTTGAAAAGATGGTAACACTGCTTACAACTAAATAGCCATTTTGTCTGATTATTACCCGGTAGCAACCATCTTGTTTATTTTATGCCACAGTGGCAAAGAAACAATCCGTAGATAATTAAATAAATTTCTTACTTGAAATAAAAAGATATATTCTTTACTGTAATTGACAAAACCAACAATGTCTCACGGCGGTAGAAATGAGTGTAGAATTTACGTAGGCAATTTACCACCAGACATCAGAACTAAGGATATCCAAGACTTGTTTTATAAATTTGGTAAAGTTACTTTTGTTGACTTGAAAAATCGACGTGGACCACCATTTGCATTCGTTGAATTCGATGATCCAAGGTAAAATATTTTGATATTATTTACACACTATATTCTATAAGCAATCTACATGAATATAATTTTTATCAATGACTCTTATCAAGGCTAACTCTATTCATTATTTTCTACTCCATTAATGTATACAGATTTGGAGCAATCAAACTTCATACACTTTTTTCAGAGCTATTAAATTACATTATTATTAGTAAATACATCATAAATTTAAAATAATGTATAAATTTAAATTTAATCCAATGAAAGATTAATTTTTATGATAAATTTTTAGTAATGATATTACTACTTATTGTTTATATTTTATTTTAGAGATGCTGAAGATGCAGTACATGCACGAGATGGATATGATTATGATGGTTATAGATTAAGAGTTGAGTTTCCACGAGGTGGAGGACCAAGTAATAACTTCCGTGGAGGCCGTGGAGGTGGTGATAATAATCGAGGAGGTCGTGGAGAAATGAGTAATTCTCGGGGACGAGGTCCACCAGCTAGAAGATCTCAATATCGAGTTCTTGTTACCGGTTTACCTCCTTCTGGAAGTTGGCAAGATCTCAAAGATCATATGAGAGAAGCAGGAGATGTTTGCTTTGCAGATGTCTATAAAGATGGCACAGGAGTTGTAGAATTTTTACGTTATGAAGACATGAAATATGCTGTTAAAAAATTAGATGATTCACGATTTAGATCACATGAGGTTTGTTACTTATATTCTAACAACATATAAATTTGAGTATAAAAAGATATTGATTGATTATTTAAAAATTTATTTTTCAATTTTTCGATCAATTAGGGAGAAGTTGCATACATCAGAGTAAAAGAGGATCATGCAAGCGGTGAACGAGGCCGCAGTGAAGATCGTGAAAGAGGAAGAAGTCGTTCCCGAAGTTACAGTCCACGTCGTCGAGGTTCTCCCACATATTCACCACTACGACGCAATTATTCGCGATCACGATCACGTTCCAGGTCTCGTTCATATGACTAGTGTGTACGTATGACTCACATGATAACATAACAGAAAGATCCTTTGCTTTGCCACGTTTTACTATTTTGAAATATTAATTATAATAATAATCATCATAACACAATTATCTTTATTTAAACAGAATAAAAAACTTTTTCATTTTTTATTTAAACATGGATAAGTAAACATTTAATTTGATTAGGTAAAAAGCATTATTCACAAAAATTTATAGAATTGTAGGGAAAATAAATTGTGTTATAATTTTTTTAGTTGCATTTAGAAATAATTATTGATTAATTTTGAATTTATAACGTTGTAGTAAAACATTCCGTTATTTTCATGAGTATTAATCGGCATTAACAAAAAATTATGTTGAATTTATTATCAAGCTATATTTTGTGAAAGAAATTAAAAGAAAACGTGAATTATTAAAACCACTCATAAATATAATTACATCAAAAAACTCAATAAATATAATTTTTTTAGAGGAAACAATAAAACTATTAATAAGAATGTTACTATGTAATTAATGATTAAAAATGTTCTTTAATCAAACCGGCTTGAGTGGTTTTATACAATATATCTTAAGTCATTTTCATGGTAATGAGCTGATAAATGTGACTTCTAATTAATTTTATATTAGAATAAAACAAAATATCAAGGTTTTATTATGGCTCAGTGTACCATTAAAATAACAATTTACTCGTTACGTTGATATCGTAACAATGCAAAAAGCAAAAAAATGTATCTAATTATGTATTTACATGCGTATTATCAATTCTACTAATCGATAGTTGATAATTTTTTTTTTCTTCAAGCAACGTCTTTATATAAGTTTTTGATACGTAGTCATTTATAATTAATTATTTTTAAATTACAGTATGCTAAACTCTGTTGAATAAAACATTAAGTAAGTTATCAACGATAATCAAATAGGCAAATCAATGAAGAAAGTTCATTAATGATCTTATAATTCTGTTTTTCATTATTCTCATGAATGAATTTTTTTAAATACTAGTTAATTTCCTTATTTGCCATGAAAATCACAAAATAATATAGTGATAACTCAAATTTTGTTTTAATTAGTTATTCAATGAACATTGTTATTGTAATCCTTATTATTATCATTATTATTATTATTAATATTAATGTCATTACGTTAAGAAACTAATGTATTTTTTCTTCTTTTGTATATTGGATTGGATTGTAACACAATGAATGAAAAACTCATACCCACACGATCGTTACTTCTTCGATGGATATCGTACACGTTCTCGCTTGCCGATGGAATGGGAAGGAACGCGTATTTTGGATGGAGTTTATTCGGAGAAAATAATATTTAAAAAAAGGATTATTGCTTAAACGTCGACGGGATTAATCGGACGTAAGGATACGTAAACAAGAGGAAATTAAGGATCAAAATATAAGATAAAGGGATGGAACGCGTCCAATGTTAGCTGGATTTTTTCGAGATTTGTTTACAAGGCTATTTGCAAGGATTAAGAGTAATCTTTTTTTTTTTAAGTATTTTTTTTTGTTATTTATATGAATATATATACATAAAATAACAATACTCATAACGGACTTTACAATGATTAACGTAAGAAATGCTGATAAATTAAAATTTTTAATTAACATTAGTTAAAAAGGTAAACAAATACTCTCCGTTATTAAAGTGTTTTTTTAATTTTTTTATAAGTGCGTCGTGATTATTAACAAGACATTAACAGATTATTAAAGATTAATAATAAAATTAATAACAAGAGGAATACAAAAAATTAAGCAGAATAATAATGGCCTTGCATCTCGATTGGATCTATTTACAAATCTTTTAATCACATTCATTGAGCGATGGATAAAAAAAAAGTGAAAAAAGGAGGGGACGTGAAAAAGTTGATTGGGATTAGGAACTTCGCGGGATAATTTAGCATTCTCAGTGGATTTTTCCCACGACAGATGGATTAAAAGAGATTCGCGCGGATTTGGATGAATAATAATTGTCAATTGTGCGGAACAGAGCTCGGAGGCGACCGCGTCTCAAGTTCACAGATTGTTTCTGCTAGATTGGATTGAGGATGATGGAACGGAACTGAAACGTAAACGGGATATTTTGGATATCGTATTTAATGGATTTCGATGGATCGGATTCCTAAGGTATTTAGACACTAATTTTTTATTAGAGGTACTATAAAATATTCATTTTTGCATGCTTTTGCTTATCTAATACATACCTCCACACTTCTTAAAGCACTGAAAAGAAGCACGCGAACAACTCTGTTTCCCATCAATTGACAAGATTCGTTAATATATTATTATATTATATATAATAGATATAAATGACAAATATGATACAATCCATTCCCAAGTAGTCGTCCTCTCAGTGTGTTTAACATTAATTTTTAGTCAATAGTTGGTCTTTTTATGCTTTTCTTCTAATCAAATTTTATTACATACATGATAGATGAAAATAATTTGCTGATTTTTTTTTTTTTCATTTTTTTTCTCTAAACTAAGAGTCTTATTTCATTTTTATTACTAGCCCATAATTTTCAGTTTTAATTATCAACAGTTATTGTAAAACTTTCAACATATAGGTAGACTCTTCCAGATATTAATAACACCTAACAGCGCATCAATGGAAATAATTGCAGAACTGTACGCATTGTTATGAGGCAATAAATACATTTCATGAAATAATCCCTTATTAATGTAATTATTATTTTATACTCAAGCCATTTTATTAATTATATATTTTTAATATATGTCTACTATATATCCTTTATTTATCAATAAATTTATCATATTTCCTAAATAAATCTTGAAATAATTTCTTGTATTCCTGCATCAAAAAAAAATAAAATTACTACAGACAATCGAATACATCATGTTAAAGAGGTGACTGAAACATGTAGTAAAATTAAAAATGAATAAATAATTAAAGATATTAAAGTTTTAGAGCGTGGTGAATAAAAATTGTAATTATAAATAATGATTGTGAATCACAGTAATTTTTTTTTTAATTGATTTCAAAAATTCAATCAAATAATTCCATCATGCTTGTTTTCTTCTTATTGAAATATAATTTAAATCACTCGCGGTTTTTTTTATTGATAGCTGTAGCCATTTAAATGATGGGAATCAAGGCTTTGGAGTAAGAGGTCTCCACATGAGAGAATCTAACCTTAAACTACATGTAAATGTGTTATGAATAAAATTCTATGCATTTTAAAGTAAAGTTCAGTATCAAAAATACAATTTTTTACACTGTTGTGTAAATTCCAAAGTTGAGAATTTAATAGTATAAGAAGCATCAAAATAATGTCTAATCATTCTTTGGTATTGAAACCTACTTTTGTTCGAGCACCACTTGCTAATGGAATAGGCCGATATATTGGTCAATTACAACGAATGACAATTAAATATTGTAAAAGCCATGGATCCAGTCATGGAATAAGGTATTTAATTATTTAACTTATTATATAATTAAAGTTCATACTGCATTTGTCGATACTGTCTTACAGAACTTACTTAGAAAATAATCTGGTTGATTTTGCTAAGAGCAATCCCGGTGTCGTTGTTTATGTTAAACCCCGAAGACACAGAACCCCTGTAATTATTGGTGAATATTGTAAGTAAAATTTATTTATTAATGATTCTGTTATGTTTTATTGTATTTACTGTATGCAGTAAATGGCGAGCGACATTGGGTATCCGTTTCCAATTTTTCTAAAGAAGAGATTATTAAATGGATTGAGTTATTGCGTACTCAATCTAAAGATGGATCAGAAATGAGAATTCGGAAAAAGTTTTATACAAATTTTCCATCCATACAAAAACCTTGGACACCATTTACTTTCATGAATCCGATTCAAAATCTAGTTCAAATTCCAGATGTAAGAATCAATTTGAATATTTATCTATTATTCTACATGTATTAAAATTTTAATCAACTTGTACTTTATTTTGATTCTAATTTCAGCCAAATATTGTTCCTGAAAATCATAAGAAATCCGCGAGTGAAGTACTTCTCGAACTTTATGAAGCTGAAAAATTATCAGAAGCAACTAAGATTTCTAATTAGTTTTTTATTATGTTGATGATTGGTTTGTTTGTAATAAAATTATTGTATGATCTAATCTAGCATATATAAACTTTGTATGAATATTAAACTAAATAATATAAATAATCACACGAAAATATACAAATATTCAATATTTTATTATTATATAAATATAACACATCCCTCTTCATCAATCATTTTGCTATTATAACTAATATTTGCTGACAATAATAAAAAAACATGAATGAATTTTTATAATTAAACTATGGAGTTACAATATTCAATTGTAAATTAATTTCTTACGGTAATTATTATTCCCACTATTTATATCAGACTAGATTTTTTATAGAATATAAGTTAATGCATGTAGGCTTTATAGAATAATATTTTAATAAATTTTGAGTGAGCCTGATTGATTTTAAATACAAATACATTGTAAATAATTGATAGGTAAACTTGAATACAAGATACAAGCTTGTAAATATGGAATATAAAAGTAGGAAATTTCTTTCGCTAATTTACTTTTACAATTATAAAAAAAGAAATATTACTGAAAATAATATGATCATACTGATAATCTTGGTAATATGTTGTAGACCTTGATGACATTAAAAAACTTTTATACAGTAATGAAACAAATATTAAATATTTGTACATGAATATTGTCAATTTTATAACTTTAAAAATTAATTAATAGTGTGAATCAACTTTCTTGATTAGACCGATTCCGATGAAATGGTATTTAATGTTTTTATCCATAAATAAAACCATTTAACATCAGTCAGGTACATATGAATAAAGAACTATGAAGACTTTTCTCTTCATGTTTTATACATAAAGAGTTAAGGTTAGATAATATTTTAACTATATAAAAAATTATATTACGATCATTGATAATTAAAAAAAATATCAATACCTGCTCTGTTATTTCGAGTTATTAAATGATCAGAATGAATCGAATATTTCATGAATAGTAGGAAAAAAGTGCCATATAATAGTTACAATTGCTTAATCTACTTTCAGTCGTTTACTTAATTCTTCTTGTTGTTTTTCTCTCCATTCTTTTTTGGGTTTAATTCTTTTTAATTGGCCATCCCTAAATATATAAATTATTAAATTGATTATAAAAACTTATTAATTAATATGAAAAATAATATTAATACAAACCATTGAAGATCCACTAAACCACCTTGTCTTGCAATCACAGATTTCACACGGTTGGCAAAATCAATTGCACTTTCACCTTCATTTCTGAACATTGGTGGTAAATACCACACATCACAAACGATTGCCCAACTAGACATCATCATGTATAAGTACTGGACCATTGAGTACCTACTGCTGTTCCAAAATGCATCACCAAATCTTGGATCATACTATATATACAATGAAAAATTACTGTTAATACTCCATTTTAATTTATAGTATAATTTATATTTACATTAAGTATCAATTAAAATGTTAAAAAAAAAAAATTAGTTATTTACCTTAATGGCAACTGGATATATGATACCGCCTACCTCAAAACTACCTTTTTTAAATTGCATTACAGAGGTATTATTAATACAAGTTCCTTCCGGAAAAATAAGAATTGGTGGATTTGAAGGATCTGAAATATGTGCTTTTAACCTGTAAAGATAATAAATATGTATTTTAATATTTCTATTGAAGCTATCAATGAAAGAAACTGAATTCTAAACATGAACACATATACCTTCTTGTTACAGCTTCTCTGTCTTTCACTTCTGAACGTTCAAACCAAATATGAGGTGACGCTCGTGCTAATGCCCTTTGAAAAATACCTAAAAATCCGCCGTGTCGTTGGCCAATCTGATAAGAAAATTTAAATTATAATCTATTTATAAAATATAAAATGTTATTGATAATTCAAAAATATTTTACATACTAAAGAATAACAATTATCACACATCAAAACGAGAACATCGATTGGAGAAGTATGATTAGCAACGCAAATACCTCTGACTGGTCGATACTTTGTATTGTGATAATTAATAACAGATGATAAAGCTCCTGATAAAACTCCAAAACACATAATTGAGACTTTATAGTTCAGCCATCGTTTAAATTTACCTTCTGGAACATAACCGACTATTGCTGTACAAACAGTCAACCACATTACCTAAAAAAAAGATTTTTTTTAATAATGAAATAGATATAAAATTAAACTTGACATTACATTATTGACTTACTCCAAAAAAGCAAATAAAAATACGTAGAGGTAAAAGGAAAAAATATCTCAAAATAAACCCAAACATCCATATTATAGTTAATTTCCATGATATAAATTCATAACGCCGATTTGTACGTGTTAAAAGATTCCAATTCTACAAAGATAATTTTTTGTTTAATTTAAATAAAATATTTTATTTATCAAGGATTAAATTATTCACTTACTTTTAATTCTTCTGCTTCAAATCTAGAAGTTACTTGATCCTCAATAATAGCTTCTACACCAGCTCTAACATAATCTAGACAAAAGTCTGTTTCAAAAACAGTATAAATAGTAGGAAAGTGTGAGTCACTTTGATCAGTATGATTCTGAAAATTCGATCAATGAAAAATCAATTATTTATTCAAAAAAAAGAAAATCATGCCACAATTTACCTCTTTTTCGTTGTTGTCTATATTAAGTGATTTATTTTGAGAATTAGAATTAGAACTGTTTTTTTTATAATGCTGAGTTTCTGGATCAGGCACCAGAATAAGATCTTTGGACCTCGCGATAACTGTATTTCCTAGATCATCGTGATGGTTTCTCATATGGTTTCTACTATCATTAATGTTATTTTTCTCGTTGATAGAACTTAAATCACTGTTATTAGTAGAATCATTATCATCGCCACCTCCACTGTCGTTATTACCACCACCTCCATCATCTTCATCTTTTTTATCTCCTAGATTATTTCCTAATCTTACTTTTTCAATATTCAATCTGCCAAACTGTAAAAAAAATTATCAAAAAATAGATAAAGAGTCATTAAAATAGCATTATAGAACTAGAAGCAATAATCATATAATTTTAACGAGCAACTTTTTTTATAAATTAATTAAATAATGAGAAAAAATTTAAAATTACTTTTTGCCAGTTGAAAAAAAAGAAATTAAATTTGTCATGTTTTGAGATGTTACTCCAGATCAATGATTTTATCTCTTGATTTGACATAAATAAGTGTAAATACTTATTGTGGGACTTTGAACTTCTTAAAAATGACTGATTTACAATATCATATCAAATAAATAAGTTGAATAGCAAATAAATTATAGTTAAAAAACTTATTAGTTCTATAAAATTTTCATAAATTATTGAATTAATAAGAATATTAATTAATCTTTGCCTCATTATACCAATAATTATCATAAGTTAAAAGGAACATTAATAATCGTATTTTTGATTGCTCAATAAATCATTATGCGTAAGCATTTTTTTTTTTGTTGGATACGTTTCATTCTATGTGTACTTGAACGTCAAATTGAATAGGACTAAAAATTAATTTTTTAAAAGAAGTTATACCTCAAATAAAGCTAATAACATTTTTATGTATAATTTTCGTATTCCAAATGATTTTCCAATTGATGAAAGAAATAGAATTCCCAAAGAAATCATAAAAAATGGAGTTAATAAAAGAGAAAAGGCAAACGACACAACCGACATATACAGCACCATTTTGCATACTGTGTTCACTGTTCAATGGGTGTGTATACTTTGTGCATGTATGTATAAGCACACATTATTACTCATTACGTCATAGGCAAATTTGTATTGTAAAAATACCAAATTTTTTGTTTACGACGATTTTACTGGTTAACTTTCCAGTCATTTTAGCCAAAAAAAAAAAAATGGCGAAACGACCCACCACAAAAAAAGACCGCGCCAAATTTAAATATGATAATTATTTAATACGAAATAATAAATAAGTAAGATGATATAAAATTATTACGAAATGTGGATTCCCAATTTATGACAAATGTAAAATACAATAAATTTCCTGCTATTAACCTCATTCTATTCAAACAATTATGAACACGATAAACTCTTCTGTATTGAAAACAATAAAATCTACAACCGTCTTTTCAAGTTTTTCAGTGTATTAACAACATCTTTATTTAATAATTTATGCATAGACATGCCCAAGATACTGAAATTCATTGTTAGAAAATGTTTATAAATGAATAAACCTAAATTCAGTTAGTTTTCACAAACAGTTTAAAACTTACTCAAAGATAATTAACTATTCATCAACCATGTGTTCTAGTAATCACGTAAAAATTTCCTTGTTGTTTATGACCATATTAATAATTATTCAGGTAAAATTCAGCTGATTAATAATATTAATTATTAAAGTATCTAAAAAAGATAAATAATGAAATTAATTGCATTAACTTATTATTAGTCTGCAAGTTCTCATAACATACCTACTGCAAAATTTGGTTGGACTCAATTATTAGAATTCGAAAATCGTGTATGTCAACACTACTGTGAAAATATTAATCATTGGAACAATCGATCATCTAAAACAATATTGTTTTGTATGTTAAATTGTCCATTCGCATTTACATCGACTCCGAAAAATTTTATTACATCTACAACAACAGCGATTCCAATCACTTCTACATCACTTGGAACATTGTCAACTGCTAGCACAGCTCCAACAACGACTCCAACTCTAGTGACTCAAAAAACCAAATAATATAAGTAAAAAAAGATATTGGTCCATCAGCTAGTATGTAAAAAATATTAACTCTATATTATAATTAGTGCTAGATTAATTGTAATATATATTATACAATATGTATGTAAAAATACGCAATTAAATTTCATGCATAAATAATTTACACTGTGTCAATACTTTTTTTGAATTTTCGAAAAAAAAATTAAGAGTAGAGCCATCTTTCGGTATTTTGTTAAACCTTTTGACAAAAAATGTCTTCTAACGCCACTTGGTGGGTTGATGGAAACAATTTAAAATTTCTTTAATAAAAAAATTCACCGATGCTTCAATTCTATTTTGGAGTAAAATCTTTGGTTAGTTCTGATCTACTGCAATAAAATATTTTAAAAGTAATACTAGAAACGTTTTAATTCAGATTTTATGAACTAATCCATGAAGATATTTTAAAATATACATAAAATATATGAAATCGTTGAGTAACCTCACGAATAATAATATTTATGTCGTCAGTCAAAGTGCGATCGTAGTTGCTCTCTTTATAGCACAGTCACAAATAAAAATACTAGACTGAAATTTTATTGAAAAATATATTAGTAAAAGAAGTTATAATGTGGGCACAAATTATTATTGATAAGAAACCATTTTTTATCAAAACTAGGTGTAAAAATAAACAATGGAAAATTGTTCTGGTTAATCTTGAAGAGATATGGATTGAAAATTTATCATACAAAGAAGCTATTGAGAAGTGTCAGGTAAGAAATATTTTTTTAAACAATTATGATGATAAAAATTAAAGAGTAGCAAATCTTTTATATATTTTAAGCTTTGGAACCCACTTTTGGATGTAGACGACTTTAATTTAGATGAAATTATCAATGAAATTTTAAAAAATATAATGGATCATGTTGTCTTCGTATCAGTGAATGAAATTAAGTTGGAAAAAGAAATAGAAGGTGGAGTATTCAAATTCTCAATTAATTTAACAAAAGGAAATCTTCAAGATATTTGGGCAGAGATAATTAAGCCTCTTTGTACAAATGCACATGAGTTACAACGTCAAAATGAAATTATAGTTAAAGAAATTAAAAAAAAAGATGAAGAAATTACTGAATATAAACTAAATGGTAAATTGTTAAGAAGTAAGTGGATACGATTTTCTAATCATTTATATAATAATAGTGTATTCATTAAAAAAAAATTATTTTTATTCAGAAGAGATTGAAACTGAACGATTCGATGATAATTTATTTAACAGTACTAAAATAAACGCTGAAACAAAAAATTTATTCTCAATGTTTCGTTCTTTAATGAATCAAAATGATCATTCGAATATGGAAAAGTTGTCAAATAGCGATGACAATCAAACAAAAAAGTAAGTCTTACATATAAATAATAGACTTGCAATCAGATGCATTATTTTAAGTTGAACAAATATGTATTTATACCTTAATCACAAAGATTTCTAAAAATATAACTTAAAATTTCAGTATAGAACGTGTGAAGGATAAAAAACATCATACCAATAATGACGTTGAAGCAATAAGCATTGACAAAAATTATGGAATCGATGATAACAATGAAAAAAGAAAAGTATTCATAACATCTGAAACAGAAGTCGTTAAAATAACAAATGAAGTTCCAAAAAGTACTAGTCCAAAAGTTAATTTAGATTTTTCTAAAAGTAAAAAACTTGATAAACAGCCAAAAGAGTCTACGAGTAAGAAACGTCCTAGAAAAGAATTAAGTCATTTTATATCATAAAAAATATTAATTTTAATTCTATAAATACGTCATTGATTTTTATATGATAAAGTTTTAATAATACGTATATATTAGATATTATTATAATTTTTGATATCAAAATGAATGTACGAAAATAACTAGAAACTGGTAAAAAGTGTGCATTTATTGAGTACAGATATACATCGAATCAGACAATATGAAATTACAATTTAATACTATTTTTCTAATGACTTATAAACTCATAGTATTCACAGTACAATGTTTTGTCTTATTTATTTGCGTTATTAAATATCATTTGTTGAAAATCACTCTCTGGCAGTATATGTAAATAATTTAGTTATAAAAACAAAAGATTTTATTTAATATCATATATTTGTAAATATTCATTTATTTAATTTACTTTAAACATAAATTACTAATTTTATACCATTAAATAAATTTTATATTTTTTTATAATTAATCAAAAAAGTGTCAATATATTGATATACATAAAACAGAGTCCAGCTCTGAGAAAGAATTTTAAATTAAAATAACAACAAATGATCCAGCATTTGTGAAGTTATCAATAAAGATTTTTCATTTAATTTAAATGAATAATTGATTATTTGATAAAAACTCAAGTTAGAAGTCTTAAACTATAATCTTTATAATTTGTTCTGATTTAAAATTTTGTAATAATAATTGACTCAAATTAATTCCCTTTTTCTCTCACTTATTAAATCATATTTTACAGACATCTCGGTGTAAAGCAGCAATAATTCATTTCAGCTTAACATTTTTTTTCTTTTAAAAATTTATACATTCGTTTATAGGCACAATAAAGGCTTTTTTGTTTACCGCCTGCATAAACGAATAATTACGAATAGCGACAGCGTGTAAATTATTTTTTATTCTTTTAGATAATATTATGAAAGAGTTAAAAAACTTGAAAAAAAATTTTTGTTATTAATTCTTTGAATGATTATACATTTGTGCTAGTGATTTTGCACCATTAAATACGTGAAATTATTGAATACATGTGTGATATATTCAATAACATAAGTATATTTAGTAATATACATATTATTAGATACATACATCTATGTATGCCAAAGTCATTATTAAAATTTTCCTATTATAAATGCATAGTTTAAGCTTTCCAATAAAAAGAATACCTATCTATTATATCTCTACAGTTTTCTTTAGAAAATTCTTTATCATCCATACGTTTTTCCTATTTTATAATTTTCACTAGAACCCGATACAAGTACCAATTTCTCTTATCTAGAATCCATCACAATACGCTTACGTAAATGTTCAGTTTTCTTTGAAATAAATACTGCATGATGAAAATTGTTTACAAAGTACAAAGAAATACTACTTTAGGCCTTAAAAAATCTTTTTTAAATTCGATCAAACTGAGATAATTACCTTTAAAATATTGACCTTCAATCAATATAATGCTCAATAGTTTTATAAATAAATTCTCCAATTTTTTTAGGCAAAAAAACTTATAAATCCATTTAACATATTTTGAAAATGTTGATGCTGTTGGTTAACATGTACATCTCCAGGCATCTTCTTGTTGCGAAGGTGATTGAGCTACTATAATACTATCTGCACCTTCTCTTTCTGATGCTTCAAATAAACTTGCCTAAAATGTATAAATAATAATTTACAAAATGAAATTCTAAACTTAAAGATCTGAAAATTCAATTAACATACTCTCCGATCTCGTTGTTCTCGTATTCTTCGTGCGAGTGTTAGAAAAGCTGCTTCAATATTAATATTTTCTTTACAAGAAACTTCGAAAAAAGGCATATCAAAATTCTCTGCAATTTTTTGTCCTCTTTCAATATCAACAGCTCGATGGTTTGTCGCATCACATTTATTTGCTGCTAAAACTTTTACAACATCTGGTGAAGCATTCTAAAAAATAATTCATCAATAATTAAATACCCAAATACTTATTTAAGACAATAAAACCTTTAAATAAGCATCATAAGTTGTCTTATAAAATCAAAGTTTTTCAAAATTTATGAGAACAAAGGATTTAAAGATAAAACCTCTTGGATGTTTCGAAGCCAGTATGACAAATGATTAAAGCTGTCAAGACTAGTTACATCGTACATCAACAGTATTCCCATAGCTCCTCGGTAATAAGCCGTTGTCAATGTTCTAAATCTTTCCTGTCCTGCTGTGTCCCTAAAATATAGTGAAAATACATTTATTTCACTTTATCACGAATTTTCTAATCTTTTATCACTGAGTCTGAATTAATAAAATTACCAAATCTGAAGTTTAATTGGTGTACCATCCAGGTTAATAATTTTTTGTTTGAAGTCAATACCTAGAACCCAAACAAAGTGATAAATAATATTGCTATCTTACAGAACATCAAAAATTCATTTTACATGTCATCCATTCATTTATGTACACCTTTCTCTTTAAATAATATTGAAACGGTTAAATTATAATGTGTTTATAAATCAGAATTAATATGATGCTTTGTTATAAATTATAGAAAAAAATTTCTCTACTTTATGAGAACAAAGTACAAGCTTTCTTAATAATGTTTACTGTATAAATAAGTTACTCACCAATGGTGGATATATAAGTATCATAATAACGTTCATCACAATAACGATGAACAATGCAGGTCTTGCCGACATTGGAATCTCCAAGAACAAGAACTTTATATGTAGCAGCGAAATCAAGTGCCATGTTTGATGCAATTTGAGCACTTTTGAACTGTTGTTGGGTCGCTTGGTGTCGTCGGCCGAGAGTTGCAATGCTACTTTCTACCCTGATGCTTAATATTAAGGGGTAGACAATCGATTCGAGGCATGCGCGTTTATTTATCCTATCAGGTAAAAGTCTAAATGATCTTATATTTTTTGTTGTTGACGTTGACTTCACCAATTATTTATTTTCCTTTCGTCAGAATTATTGTTACATAAATTCATTTTCCAAAACATACAAAAAATGAGCATACTCAAGGAGGGATAGTTATGCTATTTTTCAAGCTGAAAGATATTTAAATAAATAAATATTCATAATGGTGATAATTGTTGAACATTAAATTAAAAGAACAGATAAACTATTGTATATATTTAATATTTCAAAGCATACATATATATATGACAATAAATAACAATGTATACTTTCATTTTATATTGGAATATCGTAATATATATTTATTACAAAAATAATCACAGTCAACTAAATACATTGATATGTTTCATTCAACGTTAATAAAACAGTCCAGAATATGAGTATATCATTTCTATCATATGTTGCAATAAGTCTTTTAAGTTTAATTATATGTAACAAATATCAAGTAAACTAATCTATTTTTAATTATTTTTTAAAATGTTTTGAAGTTACTTAAAGTAATATCAAAATTATTCTATTCATTATTCTTAATAAAAAATTGTTTTGCGCGTTTTTGTTTAATTAAAGTATTGAACACATTCCAAGGCCTAAAGTTATTAATCCTAGCATATATGTTAAATCTTTTTTAATAGTATTATAGTTGGGATCCGATCCAGGAAGAAGATCAGGATTTTTCCACTTTACGTAACAAAGTGGAATAAAAACATGTAAAATATCAGGTATCATAAATCCTAAATCCCGAATGACCTGGAATATGTGTAAGAAAATTTTCATCATTATAATTGTTCATGTAAGGATGAATTTGAATTTTAAAAACTTGACACAACCAACCTGATGTGCGTATCCTTCACCTCGGAAAACGTTTCGAATAAACTGGTCCCAACTTCCTGCAAAAATATGTAACAATCCAATACTTGAGATGCTAAGGGCTTTTCGATGACTAATTGGATTTTTACGATTAGCCAAATTTAAAACCAAGATGGTTGAGATGAGTTCAGTAATCGAAAAGAACATTTGGTGGTACCATTGTGAATAAAAATCATCATTCCAATAATTAATGTACACCCACCATGAATAATAATGAGAAAAAATTGCACTTATAAAGAGAATTAGCATTCCTAGTCGGAGACATTTTTGAAATGCTAACCAAGTCAGATATTTAGATGTTTCATAAAAGGTAATTACTCCTATCACAATAATCGCCCATATTTTAAAAGTATTTGGTGTAGCATTGAAGTACATATGTTTGTAAGAAGCAACTCCTGATTCATAGGAGCCTAAAATAAAATTAAAAAGTATTTAATATATAATAGAAAATTTTTTCAACCAAAAATAGTTTTTTACCTTTAAATACTGTATCCCAGCAACTACAGGAACAATACTGGCGGTCGACATCACGAGAAAATTCTTTCCAAAAATGATACAGAAATATAATATGAAGAGGAGGGACGATTAATGGTGCAATAATGCCAACTAATTTACAACTAAAACTGGAAATACTTGAACAAATTATACGTTTCAGTATACGATGCACCATCTTGAATGTCCAGCTTTAATACACTTTTGCTTTTCCAAATATATCCCATTTCTCTGAAACTGCTCATCTATAAATCAAGACGTATAATCTTAGAATTAACAAACAATTATCTCAAACTACTTTAGTGAAATAATCAATTGTTAAACTATATTACTGTTATAAATTGTTTTTGTAATTTATTTTGTTTTCAAACAATTAAGAATATAAATAAAAAAAGTATCTAAAAATCTATATTGACAGTGATATATATCAACAGAAAACGACATGTGTCAAAATAAATGCATTTTATAAGTACAATTCTACACATTAATCCTCCCGAAACTTGTTTTCATTTAAAAATATAATTATGATGCTATATAAATTTAAATTTTATTATCTTTGTTTTATCATTTTCTCAAAAATAATTATTATTATTGATTTATTTGTTATAATTACATTTACACTTTAATTAATTTATTTATTTCATTAATACAAAAAAAAAAAAATAAAAGGTAAACATTACTTAATGATTAGATGTAAGTACAAGTTTTTTATGGTTTTCTAAAGTAAAGCTATAAAAGATAGAACAAAGTCAGAATTATTTATATACAGATTTCTTGAAAAAAATGTGTATGAATTAATGTACATTTAAACTTACCAAATTGGTGATTTTTTATCAGTAATTTTTCATCGTTAAAAAAATTATAAACATAGTTTTTAGAGGAAAAATAAACCAAATTTATCTGCACAGTAAAATTGTCCTTTTCCGTAGAAGGGCCATTTTGTATACATACATATATACGTGTATATACACTCCTATACATGCCACGTAATATTGTCAGCCATAATAATTCCAAATAAGACACCAATTTTAAATTATTTTATGTCAAAGAAACGATTCATCATTTAGTAAAAAATTAATCTATTTATTTGAGTATAATCCATATATTGATTTATTAGAAATTTAATGAATAATTTTTTTTATAAGTATGACATTTTTAAATTTTACTTGGTGAATAGTGTAATCTATAACTATAAATGTCGAATAAAATAATGAACCTGATAAAAATAAAAGAAGTAATAAATTACACGACATTATTTTACATATTTTTTCGTGTAAATGACATACAGAACTATGATTATTTACTATATATGTAATTTTTAAATGAAAATTAAATTAAGCTTTCATCTTGCAAAGGAACCGAAGATGCAACATTTTAAGTTCTCCAGTAGTCAATTTAACAACGCCTTCTTGATTATCAATTGATAACAAAGTACCTACAGCTTCACGATCTTCACCTATGATTACTTTTACACGATCGCCATGAGTAGGTAAAACTGGTTCTAATTGATCACAAAGTAAGTTCACGACACGGTCTTCAGCTGTAAGATAGACAACGCACATTCCACCCTGTAAAATAAATAAAGCAACATTATTTATAACCATTTTTTAACCATAAATTACGTTATATTCTACAGATAGATAAATGTAACTCACCGAAATTCCTCTTATTATTCCTTGCTGTCCAACTAAAGCTGGGTCACTATGAGAATCCTTAATACGAACTTCGATTTCATCGGTATGCCATTCGGTATTACCTATTATTCCCGATCCAACACTAGCATCTAATCCAGCTCCGGGAGTTTGTGGATTATAGGGGCTTCCAGCTATACCTATAGAATAATTTTTATTCATTAAATATCATTTTATAGATTACAAAATTTAATTAAATGATAATGGATTAAATTATTTACCAGACGCCATAGGACTATAACCCATTGGTGAAGGTGTAGCAAAAGCACCATGAGGACTGGTAGTATAACCAGTTCCTGATGGAGAAGGAGTAGCCACATATCCGGCAGGACTTGGACTAGCAGTAGCACTTGCAGCTGGGCTAGGACTTGGCTGATAAGGACTATAACTTTGTTCAGATCCATACATGGTTCCAGGAGTTTGAGGAGTAAATGGACCTCCAGTTGATGGATATCCAGGTGCATATCCTGGAGATCCTCCATCTTCCATGCTATAACTATCGAAATCGTTATTTCTTGCAGGTGTATTTGTAACCGTTGGATCCCAAGCACCAGATTGTCCAGGAGTTCTTGAACCTTCGTGAGATGGTGTCATTGAACCATAATGCGGAGTACGAGATCCATTTTCATACATAGGAGTCTGAGAACCATGCATTGGTGTTTTTGATCCATCTCTGGCATACATTGGAGTTTGTCCACCAGCTCCATAAGCAGGAGTTCGACTATAAGAACTGAATCCACCATCTTTTGTGGGTACTCCAACATTGGCAATGTGTGATCGATCAACAGAAATAGTTTGACAAGTTGAATGAAGTTCAACACGAGCTGTAGTCTCAGTTGCATCTTTAACAATTCCAACATTTCCTTTATAAGGACCTCCAGTGATTTTTATAGTTGTACCAATGAGTTCTCGATCACGACGAGCGCCTCCACCTCTTCCTCTTCCCCTGCCACCACCGCCTCCTCTTCCAAAACCTCCACCACTGGGATGCATTGGAGAAGCAATTCGCGGTGACATAAAACCAGATGTCGGTGACATAGTTGTTAGTCCAGCTTTGTTTCCTCCAGCAAGTTGTAAATGTCTGGTTTTACACACAAAAATTCCACCATTGTCCACGTACATCCGTGAATGAAGAAAAGCAAAACTTCGATATAGATGTTTTATTTCTCCTCCTCGTCCAGCATGAGGTCCATCAACTACCTTTACAATATCTTTTTTTTGAATTGTATTTTGCTGATGATCCAAAGCAACAGTATTTCTATTCTCTCGACGTTTTGTTAATCCTTGTGGTCTTGCTTCAACAACTTTTCCATGCATTGAAAGGACATGGAAATTTTCTCGTTCTAGTCGAACAATTACACCAACTGTTTGAGCATCTAATTGGACTAAATCACCCCATTGAAATTGACCAAGGCTGTCCACTCCAGTAGCCATATCTGAACAAAGTTGTAAATCTCTTGGGAGAACTTCAAGTTCATGCATTGAAAGATCAGAAAAAAGGACTACCCTATTTTGTTCAACTCTAACAATAAGTCCAGTATCTCCTTCATACCTTCCAGCGACAACTTTAACGTGGTCTCCCATAGTAAAATATTTTCTTAATTCATGAGCTTGAAATTCGAGAGCTTCTTTTAATTCTTCATGCTTTGGCATTACCATGATCATATTTCCATCGATGGAAACAATTTTTCCTTGAAGATTCATCAATTCTCCTTCACAAACTTCCACATTGTCTCCATTACTGAAAGAATGAGTCATAGCAAGATCATCTTTTCCAGTAGTTCCTCCAGTTAAAGGTGTTCCACTTAATTCAATATCAATTCCTTCAGGTGCTTCTTCAAAACGCTCTAATTCTGATAAAGTAGGTTTCACCCCTTCGGCAATAATTGCACTTGTAGTGAAGTTTTTGTATAAAAATCCTTTCCGACTGTATCTGTTTCCTTCAAAAATTAAAAAATCTCCATCACTTGTTACTTCTCCACCAATGGCACGGATTGCCTCAGGATCAAAAGGTTTTGCAGGAGGACGTCTTTTCTTTTTCCTTTTTAAGGCTTCGGACTCACTCTGAGCCGTTCGTAAAGCACCTCGAGGTCTGGTATAATCAATTCTTGGAAGTAACTTCAAATATACTTGGTTTTGAGCTAAATCAACATAATCAACTTGTGCAATGTCGTCCTTATAAATTCCTCGTTTTAGTCTAACCCATTGTTTGGCTTTTAAACCAGTTTGCTCTTTGACCACTCGTAAAACATCAGTCATTTCTTTGATCGGTACCATTTGTTGTTTCCAAATACCCATTCTTAAATTTCCGACATTTTCTATTGCAGCTTTCACATGAGGTTGCTTATAAGCTTCAATATAAATATATCCTTTAACACCTTCAGGAGCTACTACAGATTTTATTTGTAATGGTTCTTCAGAACATTGATAAGTCAAAAATTTACGCATTAAAAGTAATAGTGTGGCTTTTTCTTCCCCAATTCGGCATTTTACCATCCATAAATTTGGATCTTTTACACCTGGAAGAAGAGTTTGCTGAGTAATTTCATCACTCATTTCTTCTCCACCGTCTCCAAAGTGTCGAATGGCCATCGACTCGTCAGCATATTTTTTACGAAGATACTCTTCGATTTCGTCTTCTTTCTGAGAATCCCATAGATTGGTTCCTCGTCTTCGACCTTCAATTTCACGAGCTGTTGGTCCAAGTTCATCAACTTCATTACCCACGATTCCAATCTCTTGAGCTCCATCTTCCCACTCTTCATCATCTTCAACATCGTCATCTACCTCGGCTTCGTCATCGATAAATCCACAAAATCTTTCTTTCTTTTTCTTTTTTCTTGGTCTATCATCTTCATCATCCTCGTCTTCTTCTTCATCACGTTCACTATCATCAAGGTCTTCTCCTTCAGGCTCTTCTTCAGCCAATACATTTTCTTCATCTCCCGATCTTGCCTCTTCAGCTTCATCATCCTTATCTGATCCCGATCCTGATCGAGATCGTGAACGAGAACGACTTATAGACCGTGATCGACTTCTACTTCGTGAAACCGCAGATCCAGACCTTACGCTACCTCTTCCAGATTTTCCAGAACGATTGTCTTCCTGTTCACTATCACTTGCTGGTGCTCCACGGTCACTTTCGTTTTCAGAAAAATTACTACTTTCTGAGTCTGACATATTTGTTCTTTAATTTATCCTCATCAGAATTTCAACGCTTATTTTTCGTTACGTTAAAAAAAAAAGTTACAATAAACGAGGTTATGTGATGATAAAGTCAAGCAATCCACAAATGACCTAACTGTACATAAATACAGACAACAACAACTACGACCTCTATCATTGATGTCACGATATATTCGAAAAATTTCAATTTTGCTTCCATATCGACGAATGTAAAGAGCACGCTGAATTATGCCAATATTATTGTTAAATTTTTGTGATAAATAAAATGAAAAATTTCAATTTCTTATCAATTTATTAAAAATTTTTAAATTAATCAATTGTTGTTAGTAAGTATAAGAATGATTATATATTATTAACGCGTATTTTTTATTTGCATTAGATCAACTAATGTTTGCATTGTATGAAACTAGCTTGTAGAAGTATATTTTTATTGGCAAATTAATTATGAAAACATTTTTCTTTATTAAAGTTGGAGGTTGAAATTGATTGAAAATACTTTTATTAAATAATAATTGTATTTTTAAATTTAATAATAAAATAGTTAGGTAATTAGTTAGAAAGGTGTAGTAAATACTAAACATGAACATGTATTTATTTATTTTTGCATAGATTCATTTAAAGCTACTACTTTTTTTAATTCTACAAGTTATAGATGCAAGTACGATATGCTTATACTTTTTAAGATATGACGACAATTAAAATCCACGGAGGTATTGACATTTTACGCCTACCAGTGAATGAAGAAGAAAATATTTTTCCACCTTGGAAAATAAAATACACTCAATCTCACATACTTCACTCAAAGTGTTCTAAAAATGAAGAGTCATGTTCAAATGATGAAAATCCTTGTCAATTTTGCGTGTAAGTAAAATACAAATCAAATTTTTTTCACTATTTGTAAAAAAAAAGATGCAATACAAATTGACATGATACTAAATATTATTTACAGATACAACAAAGCTTTGGAAATGCCACACATGCCTGACATGGTATTCCCCAACAACATTTTGTGTTTACAACATGAAAATAATGCAAAAATTGAGTTCAATGCTCTAGATGCTCTAAAACGAGTATCAAATGGAAAAATAAATATACAATTAGCTTATGCAGAAGTTTGGAAAGAATCTCGGTAAGAATGTATACAGGACAGAAAAAGAAAAATGATTAATTCTTTTATAGACTCATTTACTTATTAATCATAATTTTTATTAGCTCAGAATGTAAAGAGTATCTCGAAGAAAAAATTAAACCATTCGATTGGACATTTACAACAGACTATATGGGAACAATGACTGGTATCAAAGAAGAAACAACTGATGAAAAAATTGATCTTGAAAAATTAAAAAGAAAAGATAAAATTTTATTTTATCACGACTTAACGTTATTTGAAGACGAATTACATGATAATGGAATAGCTTCTTGTTCAGTTAAAATTGTAAGAAATGTTTAATTTTTTTATTTCATTCTATTTGTGTCATGTAATAACAGTGTGATAAACAATTATTCTTTGTTATAGCGCGTTATGCCTGAGAGTTTATTTATACTCTTACGATATTTTTTGAGAATTGACAATGTCATGCTTCGAGTCAACGATACTAGAATTTATCATGAATTTCAAAAAAATTATCTGCTGCGTGAATATACTTCAAGAGAAGCATCAATCAAAGATATAAGGGTAATTTAATTATCATTTTTTATTATTTATTTAATTAAAAAATTTTTTTAAGTGCCATTATGTAATGTAATTTTTATTTTCAGGTTTCACCAGTTTTGTTCACTGATCCCAATCAGATTGCTCCTCATTTACCGCTGAAAATTACTTTAAATTATAAACTTATACTGCCACCAAAAGAAAATCGTAATGATATCAATCATCAACCTTCGTCATTATCGAACGATAATACTGAAAGTCAATTAAAATACAAACCAACTGAAGAAATAGCAAGTAATTCAGTAACTTAAATTATTAAATAAAAAATCAAGTAAATATATTGAAAAAAAAATTAATGGGAATTCAATTTAAAAGTGAAGTATTATTTTCTTATTTTGAATTGTGTAATTGATACTGTAAAGAAACTAATTCAATATAACTTGATGTGGTATATCGCTAACTATGAAAAATATTGATATGAGTAATTTGTTTAAAAGAAAATTATGCTCCATTTCAAAAAGATCAATATAATATTTATTTTTGGTAAGTAAAGTTGCTATTAAATATTTCCAAATCAAAAATCATTAAAAAAATAATTATTTATTTTCATATATTTTACATTACATTCTTGATATTGAATTAATATTTAATATATTGAGAGAATTATTATAAACAATTTGAAGAGCTTTAAGTAAATAAATTCTGGCCATCAATGTTGGTAGTAAATGAGTACATCCTTCCTGTAGGATAATATTATTTGTTATAGAAAATTGTATACATAAATTTTATTTTGTTTTATCTTACCGTTAAAATACGATACCGCCGATAATAAATACTGAATTTTTTACTCAAGTGAGAGAGAAATGAACATATTACTTGGGGACATAATTCGTGATGAAGTTTGAACTCTATTGAATTTGATACGATCATTGGATATCCAAAAATAAAATTATAAATAAGTTCCCACTCTTCCTACAATAATGATAAGAATAATGATGAGTCCTTTTTTAATATTGTTATTAACAAGCTCGCTAATACAATTTATAACTTACTTCTAAATTTAATATATCCAAATCAATGTCATCTATGTTCCATAATGCAGGATATTTTCCATTGATACATTCTTTGTCAAATTTATCTAATATAGATGATATTCTTGTTTGATTATATAAAACAAATGCTCCTCCTTTATTGCTGATAACTCTTTTATCAGCTTCCGGATTTTCTGCTATAATAACTGGATGATTTGGTTTTACACTGAAAAATTCAAATGTTATAATAGCCTTAGCAATCGATTTATAGTTTTCCAGTTGTTGATTTTCATTTTCCAGTTCTCTACATTCATTAAGATCCACTATATTCTGAATCTTTTTTTGTAAATATGCATCATATGTTAACAATGTTTCTTTAGAGTTAGTATCCAAATTTTTAACTACTCCACAAGAATAACTTATATATTTTTCTTTGAATTCGTTTTTTGATTTCGTTGTCAACAGGTATTTAAAATCAATTTTATCATTATTACTTTCAGATATTTGTACATCATATCCTTGAAGATTAAAAATATTCTCAGAAATACTTTTTAACAATCGTAATCTTGAAGTTGTCAAATTGGATTCAGGATCTTCATTGACTTCTAGATATACTGTTTTGCCGGATTGTTTATTGACATCAGTTCCACTGGTTCTTCCATACTCGTGATTATATTTTATAGCTATTTTAATAGCAGTAGAGATCACAGATAAACGATTTAGACGTAAACAAATTTTTTCCTTATGTATAAATCCACTTTGTAAGGATACAGGCCAGCATTTACTATTTGAGATCAACAAATTCAGTGCCTAAAAATATTTAAGGTTAAGTCAAAGAAAAATAATTGCTACATTAATTAAAGATAACTTACTTCTGTTATGATTTGATTATCAGAACAATTTTCTTTATTTATATTATTTATTTTTAAATAAATTTCTAAGATGTTGGTTTTATTTTTGGTAATTTCAATATACTTGTCAAATTCTATTAGACTTTTCCATGCTAATATATTAGTAGGAAAACTTAATTCTCCATATTTAGATAAATTGTTGACATTTATTTTTATAATTTTTAAATTTTCTGCACCTGATTTTCCCACTAGTTCTTTTAAAATATTCCTCATTAATTGATCTGTATTCATTATTATTTAACAATGATCACTATTTTTATTGCACAGGCATCAATCGAATGAAACATCTATAACTCATTAAGATTAGTAGCATTCACAAACGCACAGTTTTCAAAAATTTGAATAATTATTCTGGGTACTGGTAATTCTCTATTTTTCATTAAATTAAATTTTCAGGTGTGGAGAAATAAGTAAATTCTAGCCATTTGAAATTTACGTAAATTTATTGTAGTAGTATAGTTGTGCAAGATTTTTTAAAAAGTAAACATTAACAAGCTATCTTATTTTCTTTTAAATACATTTTATGTACAATAAATAAGGTACACATGTTGCTTTGGTTATTCATTATTCTCAAAAGATTATGTACATGTTCTATTTCACATGGAATGTTGATATTTAACGTAGGCAATTGCTGCAAGTTCCTTACAAAATTCTTCTGTTATAATAATACTCTCGTATAGAATATTCGTTTTAACTCTAAAATAAAAAAATTATTGATTAAAAGATAATACGAAAAATATTATATCTGTATTGATTGAAAATACTTACGGTTCTTGAGAAGAATCTTCTAATAGTTTTTTTCTAGTTTCTTTTAAAATTTCTTTATATTTGGATATTTTTGTGACTTCACTTATTAATTGTTTGATTATTTTTTGAAGACAAATAAATAAGCTTTTTGTACCCGGTGCTAATGGTATAAGTGGATTCAGTAAAAATTCATGTAGATATGGATGTGGAAGAAGTGCCAATTTTGATATAACTACAGTCAATTGAAGATTCATTTCATATTTTTGATTTGGAATGTTGCTGACTTTATCAAGAAGCATACATATAAATGGACCAACATAAAAACGTGATGAACAATGATCAGCTTCTGGTCGCGAATCATAACTTCCAGAATCATCTATTGAAACAGCTTCTAATGGCCAAGCAAATAAAGCACAGTCCATTTTCACTCGAATATATTGCTTTTCCCAATCTAACATGTAACGTTCATAATTATCTTCTCCAGGATCTGTTTGTAGTTGACGTGGCATGAGAGATAAGAAACTGGAATTTTTATTCTATTAATTAGTACAAATAAACGAGAATAAAAATTGATGTAGATATTATTTGAATGAACTATTCTGAAAAATTAAATTGCATACAAACCAATTTATTATTCTATGAATATTGCTGGGAGCTAACGTTCTACTATAAGTTTGTTCCTGTGAAAAATCTAAAGATCCTTTTTTTTCTCTTTCTCTTTCATCTTCTTCATCACTCCAGGATGCTATTACACTATCTGCAGCAGCATTATCATAATATCCACGCGACGTCAGAAAAGAAAAAATCATGCAATGTAAAACATGTTCATTTCTCTTCTCTATTATTTCTTCAAATAATTTTAATGTTTCCAAAATGAGGTCATCACTTTCTGTATAGCAATTTTCTATAAGTCTCTCTATAACAGTTATGGCACATGGATCTGTCATTACTGGATCTCGTTGTTCACCAACTAGCCAATAGCCTACTTCTACAATGAATATAGAAACATTAATTTACATATGATAGAATAATAACTAAAGTTATTTAACAATTATCTAATGTTTTACCAATATTTAACAGGGACGATGTTATTTTTTTCAAAGTCTCTGTGATAAGTGCAGTAATAAGTACTACGTGATGATTAGTTAAAGCAGGAGTTAATACTTTTTCAAAAAATAGTATCCTAATACTTTTTCCAAGAGCTTGAGCAACATCAGGATGTGCTTCTTTTATTAGTTGATCACAGTAATCTAGCCACATAAAATACGCAGCTACTTGTCTACAACCAGGAAATTTTTTATCATTCGTCCAAAGTGGTGAATCAAGTCCCCACGTAAAATCTATCTCATCTAACTCAGCAGGATCAACGTGAGCTGGGATAGAGTTGAATAAGTTTTCTAAGCGATTTGCTACTACTTTTGATAAATCACTTTTAGCCATTGTACTAGCGAATGATGGATCTTCTAACGTTGCTAAAACCATTACTCCTTCACAGGCTCTTACTCTCACAGTATTATCCTATAAATAATGATAAAATTAAAAGATATAAAAAAATAAATTAACAGAGTTTAATACATTAAACGTTTTTAGTACTAAAATACTTACAGCACTATTTAAATAGCTTATTAAGGCATTTAAAAGAAGGTTACTCGAAATATTGTTATCAAGAGAATTTAATTCATTTTGTTTTTCTGACTCATCATTATTGATATCATTATTTTGACTAAAATCACTAGCTACTCCCAATTCTTCGAGGCCTTGTATTTGTTTTTCTATATCTAATGTTGAAGAAGCTTCACTAGGTACTTTTTCACAACTTTCACAGTTAGTATGATCATCCAAAGCTTTACAAACTCCATGATCTTGGCTTTGTTTATCTAACATAGGACTAGAGCATTCTGAAGAATTATCGATCACTCGTGACGGTGTTGACTCATTTGATCTTTCCTTTATTTTATCACTATCTTTAGTAATTTTTTTCATCATTGCATCCGAGCCAAACAGCTTTAATCGTTCGGAGCATATTGATTTTCGTCGTTGATTATCACAAGCAAATAAATTTGGATTTATCAATGTAATAGCTTGTGTATTAAGTGGTTCAAATAATGGATTAATGTTATTTTTTGTTTTAGTTGGTATGTAAGTGACAGAATGAATATCGAATCTTTCAGCGTCGCATTTAATTGCATTCGTTTCTTGAGGAATATTATTAGAATCATTAATAATATTTGTTAAATGAGGATACCGGCATATTAAAAAACATAAAGTCAAAAGAAATTTGATTTCTTCTCCTTCAATTGGTGAAGGAACATGTCCACTACATAAACTTATTAATCGTAGAACTGGACCGTAAACTGCTGCTTGATGAAGAAGTGGAAATTTTGTACGTGCTAATAATTTTTTAAAGAATAGCAAGCATACTAAACGCATTCCTGGAGGTGTTTCCACACTTGCTAAAGTTGTCAGCCATGCCAATAGTTTATGTTGTAGTAAATATTCAAGACATGGGCCTGGGTTATCACTTTCTTTTTCTTCATTTAAAAGAATTTCTAATAAATAATTAAGATGTTGAGGAATCCCTGTACTTTCGATTGGTACTTTGCAATTTGATTTATGACTAGCATAAAATTTCATCAACTGTTTCCAATGGTAGGTAAAATCTTGAAGCGGTGTTGCTGGAGGAGCTATCTGTAATTCAAGTTTTTTTTTCACGACATAAAAAAATCAATAATTTATCTACAAAAATTAGAAATATCTAAAAAAAATGATTGATAAAAAAATGAGTGAGCAGTAGTGTTTAACATTGAAGCCATTTCAATGATATGAATAAAACATAAAGTTTATCGTTGACATTGCTGTGAAAATTATATAATTAATTAAGTTATTGATAAGAAAGAAGCTATTATTTAAATTTTAACACATAATATCAAAACCAACAACGGCTTCCTTATTCATAAGTAGAAAAATTAATATTGTTAAGAATATAATAAAATAATCAAGTTTTGCATTAATTTATAGTACAAATGATTATGAACCATTATAAGATACGAAAATGATTGAAAATAAACTATAATTAAATCGCGTATAATTGAGAAAAGTAAACATACTGCTACTCACCACATCAATAGTATTTTTCAAGGCTATTTGGAATCCACTGATCATTTTTATGAGCAAGTTTTCATTAATAGGACTAGTTAACTTATGTTAAGTTGACATTTGTAAATATTTTAGGAAATTAAAATACTTGATTTTGAAATCAACACTATGTGTACATACATGAAAATTTTTTGACAGCTTCAACAACGTAGTAATAAAACATAAATAAGTACACTTGTACGTACATACTGAATAAATGCTAATTTATTCTTTAACCGGTTTTCACAGATACTAAAGAAGTCTAGATGGGTCAAATATTGGAAGATGTATAAAGTAAATTGGAATTTTCTTATAAGTTTCAATTGAAAAAATAATAAAAACAATTCAGTTTACATGGAGACTTTCGCAACTAATAGTCGCGACACCTACAACACGATAAAAATAGTTTCAAATAAAATTAACTAGGCGACGGAAGTGATCACATGATTTGAAATAAAATTATTTATTTCCGGGATTCAAATTGTGTAAATTTTCGAATAAAATACTAAGTACTTGAACTATGAAAAATGATTAAAATAAGATAACTTTAGTCTTGTTAAATGTGTTATAATAAATTTTTTTCATTTTGATATGTATTTAATCATTCAAAGAATAAATTATTTATATTCTCCAACTTGTCTAATACACTTGCCAAATTTTACAATTTATAGAATATAAGTATAATTAAAATTTTCCATTTTTAATATTATATGTGAATTATTATTCAGTATATTCAACACTTATTTGGAATTTTGTGGAATATTTGTTTCAATATATGTTATTTCTTACTATGTGATTACTCACCAATCTAAGAGCCTGAAGACGACGCTTCATGTCTGAAAAGAAAAGGAGAAGAAATGAGGTTTTTATTGTTATAATAGGATTTTAATAAAGGCGAGTTAAAGAAAAATAATGAAGAAGGATAAACTGATTATCTATAGTTTGTAGCCACTTAAAGATTTTCCTACTAAGAGTTTGTTCAAATTTCATTATCACTTAGTGGTGTTTTATCATATTAGTGATAATTCGATAAGGATGCTTAACAGTAAAAAACAAAAATCATAAATATGTTTAAAGGAAGACATGAATATCAAAATATATTGTCAATAATAATGGTCAGAATTCTAATGAAATATTTCAATAATTAATTAATTATTAAAACACAATATTTTCCAAGTATTTAGCGTCATATTAAATTTTTTAGCAATTTTTAAAATTTGATTCGATATACATGTACATATATGTATTGTAAACATATATCGAACATACTTCAATAAATTTTATACCATTTGAAATTAACATTATAGCTACATCAAATTTTAACCCTACAGCGCAGCACGTGATTGCATTTCCATTCGTGTTGAAAAATACATATATACATATAAATGTATTGAACATTAACATTTAGGCATTATTTCGACATACGTTATACATAGAATTATGTGCGCTGCAAGGTTAATCAAGCACAGCAATTAATGCACTAATGAATTACAAATAAATAATAATGCAACATGTGACTATTAATTTACAGAAGTATCATTTTTTTTCTTATACAACTATCAATTGAGAAAAAAGATTCATCAAAAGAAAAAAAATTGTTTAATAGAATTTAATAGTCCATTTTTAACAGAGAATATTTTCTATTAATAGTACATTATGACAAAAAAAAATAATCCGTTTGAATATTATTTATATAATTGCAAATAAAAATTATTTTTTGTTATTGGGAAACCAAATAGTTCTAAAAAGTATACTGATTTTTTAATATAATTTTTTTTCATTAGAAAAAAAAAATCCATCATTATGGAAAATAATAAATATAATGAAAGTAACAAAATTTTTCATTGTCATTAAACAAAATAAGATGCTTGTAAATTAAATAAATATTAATTTATACTAACTATTATATAGTAGTTAATGAAAAAAATTATCACTTTTTGGATGATTTAAATAGACAAAGGTCTTTATCGCTCAACAATAAATTATTTTTATTAAAAATATTCATAAGAAGTAATTTTTTCTGTTCAAAAGATTTTTTTTCTTTAAATCATTTTTTTTTCTCAATTTACATTCATTCTTACGTTCAATCGCACTCTCCACAATCTCTCACTCATATCTTATATTTTGCATTCATATTACAAGTCTCATTATTAATTAAACGATGCGTTAATTATTTTTTACTATTCTTTTGTGAATACAAAAGAAAATAAGTACCGCGTAATATTAATTTTTCCTATAGACTTAAATATACAGCCCAATAATGTACACGAGCCGAAATGAGCTGCAAATAATACGAATTTGTTTATATTTGGTAGTAGTCCCATACGTGTACTTATCATCTTATTTACTTCTTTATCAAATTACCAACAACTTTAAGTATAGGATTAAACGTATCAAACAAGAGCCTACATCATGTCAAAAAACGACTATAGGCTATATCTGTTTTTTTGTGCTCTATGTACAAGTTAATGTGCCAATCAGATGAATTTGTTTATCTTTTTTTATCAATTAAGTTCATTAATTCTCATTTTAAATAATTCTATATTCATTTCTTAATAAAATAGATGTTGATTTCACCGTTTTTGAGCTGCTACTGCTGCAACTAACGCTGCACCTCGGCCACTTCCATCCTCTGACAGCATTAAATCAAACTAAAATTCAAAATACAGTGTTATATATTTATTCTTAATTATTTGCTTTAGAATTATTATTATTAAAATAACCCTTACTTTATACGACTGTAGTTGGCTTATTTTTTCTGTCATTAAATCATGGAAATGAGGATGAAATCTGTAGACAGAACCATCTATTCCTACGGTGACATTATCTTCCCCAATTTTGTTCAGTAAACAAGCGATGCCTGCACTCGCAAGATGAGCTGCTCTGCGAGATACGACAGAACAGACATATCTTACATTTTCACAGTCTTGATCAGCGGCATTAGAAATTCCCAACTCTGATAAAATTTCTCGACAATTTGTGTATTTACCTTTAGGGTCACTGTAAAACATGATTGACATATATAATTAATAAATGTTCTATTTGAAAGTTAAGACTGATAAATGAAGTACATTTATAAAAGATATGGTATCAACTTACGCTTCTATTTCTGAAACATATTTAGTAAAAAACTTTCCCTTTTTCCTTAAATCTGTTGAACATCTGCCGTTAAATAGAAGACCAGCATCGACAAGTTTTTCTAAAACTAGTCTTGCTAATTCTCCCATGTACATCCCGGATATCATTTTTTCAAAAATTTGTGTTCCTGGATTAATCGAATTTTCATCAATAGCTTTATCGAATTCAGTAATGATGAAATCTAAAGTTCCATTTTCTCCAAACGCTCCCCATTCAGTGTTGATTAACATGTGAGGTTTCGCAGGAGAAAAGTTGCCTGGGACAGCACATTCAACGTTTTTTGTTTTTTCAACATAACAAGCATTACTACCTGTCCCAACAATTAGACCAATTTTACATCCATGATTTTTCCAAGCACATGACATAAGAGTTCCTGTTGTATCATTCAAAATTGCACAGACATCAATTCTTACATCCTATAAAATAAATGAAAAAAATAATCAGGAATGTTGAATTAATTTGAAACTCAATACAATTTTAAATTTAAAATACTTACATTTCGTTTTGCAATAGCTGCTTCTAATAAAGCAACAACATCCTCATTAACAACTCCACTGCAATTGAATCCTTTTGTCCATCGTACCAGCATACCTTTGGTTAAACCATATTGAGTAAGGGGAAAACTAAAAGTGAATCCAAGTGGCAATACTTCTTTCTCTAATTTTAATTCTTTTACGAACAATGCAAGACACTGAGCTATATGATCGAATAGTTGAGTACCCGAGCCTAACATAAGACTCTGTGGTATAGCATAAATTTTGCTTTTCATGTCGAAATTTTCTCCATCAAGGGTAATTAAGAGTACTCGAAAATTTGTGCCTCCAAGGTCAAGTGCAAGGAAATTTCCTTTCTCTGAAAAACAAATAGTTTAATGAGTTTATTTACATTACTGAAATGCTTTTTAACTGTAAATGTTAGCTTATGGTATTAATTAATTTTATCATCTGTCATTGATATCTACACAGAATATAATTCTCTGATTTGTTTCTTGAATATTAATGATAATTTTCTTACCAGTTCCATTAGGCAAATCTTGTACGTAAGTTGTAAAACACTTAACAATAGCATCGTCATGTGTTTCTTTTCCTAATCCCCTGTTGATTTCATGTGTCAGATTCTTCATAACCATTTTCAACTGCGCATTGGAGAGAACGAGATCTTTACAGATCTCTTTTATCTGAAAAAAAATCCCAATTATTAAATTCTAATAATCAGTGATTAAACACGTGAAAAATATCTTCAACATTAAAAAGTGTTGAATATAAATATTTGGCTAATGAATTAAAGTAGTTGTGTGATTATATCTTAATGCGCTTAAGTAATTGCATTTGATATTTACATTGTATTTATTTATCTCAAGACATTCTCAAATCCTATAAGCTCTAAGTCATTTATCAATCATCAACTTATCTGCATGTTTGAGAGCAAATTAGTAAAACTGATAAATTCACGATAACTTATCATTAAAGGCATGTGTAAATGACATCATTTCTATTACGTAGAATATGCAAATATTTCTAAAGTTATTTTTAAATGTAATTCTCGTTCTGAGAAATTGAATTTCATACAAATCACGTTCATTAACTAAATCTTTGATTAAAATTTTTCCCTTTGCTCGTCAAGTAAACTTTGTTACAGTTTTAATTAATCAAATATTGTGATTGTTTATTTAGTATTAACTGAAAACAATAATAATGTTTTTAAATTTTCTTGATAAATAAATTCAACAATAAATAATTGAATGTCTCAATTTAAACCCACTATTAATTTTTCATGATATTCTCATTAACAGAAAATTAATTCTCAAAAAAAGAATCTATTAATCACTTTCTGAAATGATTAACATGAGAATAAAATTAACTATTTATGCTAATAAAATTCACATACGTCAAGAACCTTGTGACTTTGATAGTTTCACTGTGACGTTTTAAAACATACATTAAACAACTTTCAAGTATTTTTTAATTTCTTTCTCAAATCAATATTCATATTTGAAAAATTCTTTCTACTAAAAAACCACGTCAAGTTTATTATTCAAATTGCCGCGCTTTTTGTCGGCACTTCCGACCAATGTTCTCTTTCTACTACATTGATCCATCTATGACGTCATCGACACACCCGCAAACGAACCAATGGGATTGATATGAATGAACAGAAAACACCTTGGCTCACGCGCACATAAGCATGCTCCAAAATATACTCTGAAAGGATAGTTAAAACATATACCGCACTTTCATCTAACTACAGATCACGCCGGTGAGACACGTGGAAATGATAAAATCTCAGCTGCTTATGAAATACGTTCGAAATTTGACCTTCGAAAAATTCTCACGATATTTTATTGATAAAGGATACTTTTCGTTCATTAAATCAATTATAATACTTAATATTAATAAATAATAATTGACATTAATATGTGGTGGAAAAGTAAAGTTGATTATCATAGAGTTCAATTAAATTAATAATAAATAACCAATCGATTATAAAATAGATAAATTATAAAATTAATATTCATTTATTTATAAACAATATATTCTTTTAAATCGATCAGAAATGAAATATTTATCAATAATAATTTTTTTAAGTATTTATATTAATATAGTACGACGAATAAAAAAGACAACAGACATAATTCATAAAAAAATGAAAATACCGTTGAATTTGTGAAGGAGATTGATACTATCGTGACGTTCAGTTTGGATCAATAAGACTGACAGCTTGGTCGTATGTAATAATAACATGTTTTGATGAAAAGTAATTAATTATTCATTGATATTATTTATAACTAACAATTCTGTTTAATGAATAATTAGCAACAATAAACAGACCGTTGACATTTGATAAAATAATTTGTCTCACCTCCTGTTTCACAAGGCTTTCTAGATACGCTGGTGAAGTCTTCATCTTCATGAGTACAAATTAAATGTTCTAACAACTCAACGTCACTTGAAATAATGGAATTAAAAGGAGTATTTAACGATGTTATATATCACGTAAACTTTCAATGTCCTAGTAATTATTTTTTTAAAAATAATCTTCCTCTGTTTCTGAAGTCAATAATTATGACACAGTGCTTCCAATATGAATAAAATAAATATTAGAGCATTAATAGTTTATCGAAAACTATATTATTTGTTTATTTATTTATTCTCGAAAATAATTTCACTGTCTGTGTACCAGTGTATTTGAATATCTACACACATATATTTGTATTAATATATTATTTTAAAATAAAAAATTGTTCTGTCTAACAAATGTTGATACAGCTATTGTGTATCACTGTGATCACGAAGAGTTTTATACTGAAACTACGGTGGAAACGGCGCCTTGTCTGCCTGTCCACCTCCAGTCTTCTCCGTTCTATGTGAAAAGAGGAGAAATGTGTGTTGGTGGGGGATACATTGAGAGTTGTATCGTAGTAAAACTCTTCACACAAATATAGCTAATGGTATATATGTATTCCTATGTGTAGTCATAGAATCATACTATTTCCATTCCCTACTATACCTTTTAAGTCCATCCCCTCCTACATCAGTATTCCCTCATTTTATACTTATGTATATGCTATTTCTATCTTTATCGTACTTTTCTGCGCAGATGCAGACTCTACTGGAGGCTCGTCCGCTTTCAAGGGCAAAAAAGGTCACCCGATAATATACCCTCTAGCGCGGGAAACTCTGAATGTTGCATCATCATTCGCCAATTTAATTTTTTAAATGTTTTATTGGTTTGATTATGTATTATCTGTGCTGGAATAGTTTATAGTATAACTTTATTTTCTTGAGCAATTAAATTTTATTTATTGTACCTGAATTGGTCGATATAAAATTAAAGTTATTGAAAAAGATGATTTAAACATTGCATCAGTTTGCGAATCTAGAAATATCAATTTCTCATGGAGTAACAAAGTGAAAGTATTACGTATTGTTACTGTTATTTCTTTTCTATTATCTGCTATTGGAACTTGGAAAAAATTCATGGATATGATTATCTGCTTATTTTATATTCACCATTTCATATTTATACATTAAACGAGCTTTTTTTTAACATTGTAACAATTTTTTATTATTTCATAAATCATAAAACCTATGTAATAAAAATGTAGTTACATAAAAAAGATTATTTTTGTTAATAGATTGAATTTTATTGAAACATAGATAAAAAAAAATTTCTTTTTTGGCAATAATTTGATAATAAATGAAAAATAGATTGCATTGTGCTCATTTATAAAATTATTTGTATGTGAAAAGTTTCTTTTAGAATACAAAATAAGGATTTTCAAAAAAAATCTGATCCATTAATGATATGTTTATCCAGAAATTCCTATTAACATATTAATTATATTCTATTTCTCACTGTCATATTGGACTTAAAAATGATTTGTTCTACGAAATAGATGACACAGCTCGAAAAAATTTATCACAATATTTTGGTAGTCGATATTCATAGTTTAATGACCGCAGATAGAACATGAAAAAGAATAAATTAACTTATTTTAGAAATTAAAAATACATCAGATCAAAGTAAAATGGATTTAAATTAATTGCTAATTGTTTATATCTGATTTTTGGAGCATTAATGTTAAGTGGGTTTCAACCAAACTTTTCTAATCAACTAGATAGATCATAAATACATATAGATGATTATAAAAAAAGTGTTACAACAGTCTAGATCATATTTATCTCCTTCTGTCTATGGAGATGTGAAACCTGTCATCATTGTAAAGATAAACTGGATTTATTTACAATTTAAAAAAGATTTTAATGCAAAAGTCTAATCATACTTCTTGAATAACAGTAAACAAATAATTACAAAATAGATTATTGTTTATTTTACATATGCAGTAATGAAAATAATCAATTATCACAAATTACTTAACATCAACTTCATTGGCAATAGCACATGTTTTGATTAATTTCAATATCATTATTCCCTAACCATAAATATTTATGATAATAATAATTAATTGGCGAATTAATAAATATTCTATGACCTGGAAAAGCAGGACTTTGTCGAATTTTATTTCATATATGTGTTGAGAGTACAAGAAGTAGATTTAGCTTGACGCAATGCTCCAAAGTTTATTCATCATATCATACTCAACTCTGACGTAGTAGTTTCACACCTATTTATACCAACACAATTTTATTCTTTCCAGTTCTAATAAATATAAATAATAAATAATAGTATTGTGTTCACTAATTCTATCGATTACATCTTGTTTTATTTTATAAAGTAAATCATCATAAGCTGGAAACATCATGAGCATGGTTTTATATTTCTTGTGTTAAAAAATCTACTAATTATCTTAAAACTTGAATTCAACCTTTATTATCAAGACTCGTATTCGTATTTTTTTCATACATACACGGAAGTATTCGGTGATTATGTATGAATTACAAGGATACATAAACGTTTATATATTTACTGTTCATCGAATGATCAATCGATTCACACCTGCGCACGCCTCAAACTATCCCTTCTTGAACTCACTTCTATCATATCAGAAAAGAAATACAAAAAAGTTCCAAAGCCACGTGATTGATTCGATACATACCGTAAAATGTACATTATAATTATTTAATGCGCCATCAGATCAAACTATGCTGGTTTATCGTATAGTTACTTTTGTTGTATCACATTACGTATTCTTTTCTGTTTGTGTGCAATTGACCAATTGTTTTATGTAAAATTATTTTTGTTGCATAATATTAGCAGATGAATTAAAGTAAAAATTTTTTAAATTTGACCTACGATTTATACTTTTGTAAATTACAGTTATTTTACCGGAAAGTTTCTGAACAATTTTATTTTAATTTAATAATTATACTTATTTACAACGTGTTATTTAAATAACAATTATTATTTTGTTATGAAGATATAATTATTGAAGTCATGTGAAAATATATGTACATATGTGTGTGTTTGTTTCAGCTAATAATGAACTTGTAAAAGAAAAGGATAACCAAAAGTTGGTAGAAACTAAATGGAAATGATTAAAAAGACACTGATGTAGATAAAAAAATTATAATGTTAAAAATAAAATTTTATGCCATACAATAAAAGAAGAAATAATTTCATTCAATTCAAACCCATGTTGATAAGTAAATAATATTTAAATAATAAAATTTATTGCTAATATTCATTTGAAACATTAAATAAAATAAAATTAATGAAAAATATAAAATGTGCCTGATGAATTAGAATAAATATATGAGCCTATTATTAGCTAAAAACTTGCAAGTTGAGCAACAGAGTGTACGTGAGCTTGCTCACCTGACTTAAAATGCGGACGTATAAAAGTATACGCACGTGGCCATATGTATATGACGTGACCGCACGCACGTTAGCAGATTATTCCAATCAACGTTACAAGTTATTGATCCTCAATTACAAGTCTAATTTACTTATAAATTATCAAGCTTGTTTGCATGATAAATTCATCTAAACTATTTAACAAAATTGTGAATAATAAAATATGAATAATATTTTTTACAATATAATTTATAAAATTAATTCAAAATCGCAATTTCATTTGATATATAATTTAGAGTATTTAGTCAAATATCTTATCTATAAATGATATTAATGATAATGATAAAGAAATATGTATCAAAAAGTTAGAATGACTCACATAATGTTTAGCTGTTGGAACTTTCATCCTATCCTTTTTTTCCCTCCAAGATTCAATGTTAGACACATCAAATATACATCAAACTTATTATTAATAATCACTAATGCTTCATACTGTTCACTAGATATCAAGTCATTAATTGTACAAAACTGATGACACTAGACAATGTAGAAGACGACTAAATCCAGAAGAGAAATATTTGGTGTTAGTTTTTTTTATCACTTTTTGACACAAGAGAAGTAATTATGTGAAGACTCATTAAAAAAAGTGATGTTAAGATATTTTCAATACAATAAAGAAATAGAAAATTTAAAACAATTTGGTTATAAAGTAATTGAACGATATCACGTCGTATAGGTATAATTGTAACTGATTATAAAGTAAACTGGCTAATCCGGTTTTGTCAAGCTACCTGATGTATTCACGTAGTCAATTTTAAACATCTTTCAACTTATTTTCGATATCGGTCAATATTTACCTGCATCAAAAGTTTTGAGGATAATTTAACTAAATATTATTCTTTCAAGCTAAACATTATTAAATCATATTCATTTTACATTCAGTATCATCAAGGTTCTAAGGGTAATTAGGACTTTAGAAAAATATTATTACTATCAATTATTTAAAATAATTAATTCAATTCATATGCTATGATTTCCAATACTTTGTTTTATAATTTAAAGAAGAAAAAAGGATTGTTTCCTTTAATTTAGTTCACATGTCATTAATATATTTTCTAATAATAGTAGATAAAGTTTCTCTGCATATAGATAAATCAATTTATTGCTTCAGATGTTTCAAAGTGATGAACAATACCAGAGTAAATTTATACAAATATTACAGACTAAACGTCATGAGATTTCAACCAGCTAGCTGTTGCTTTCCCTTTTAGTCTACCTTCACTTCCAACAAAAAAACGCACGCGCGAACAGCTAGGTCAATACCAAGTTGACTCAACAGCTAAATGTTAAGATTCACATGATTCTTTCAATTTATTCATGAAAATATTAATAACTTATACGGAGTCACGATTTTTATTTCAATAGAGAGAAAAATTTCTTATCATTCGTTCATTATGTCATATGGCAGCTGCAAATTTTCCTGATAGATGGAAATTTAATTGCAAGAGTTGTATGCTATTTAATGTTTTTTTCTTTCGATTTATCAATTGATCCAACATTTCTAGAACAATTTTTATGTTAAATAGTTACTGTGAATTTTTTTCAATCTGAATTAAAGCAACGTTTGGCGCTTCTTCATAGGGTTATTGCGCACGCAACAGTACGGTCATCAGTTCACGGGCATTTTTTTGCGCTTGAGCATTTTATTTCAAATTTTTAATCTGAAAGTAACACATCAATTACGAAGGATCCAAATAAACTATCATAAATTATTGAAATTTAACATTTCTTCAAGAAAATCATAAAAACAAATCTCCTTGTATTATGTTATTAGATAGATTATTTATATTGACTGGGATCATTTAGTTTTTAATAAAAAATTAAAATTATAATTCTACTTGAGCCTTAGTCCACGAAGAATTATGCTCTTTGATGTTTCCGAAGGCTGAAGGCATTCTAAAAGAGTTAAATGATAAAGGAATGGTTGAATTTTATGGAAACAATGATATGATGAAAAAGTTTTGCTGAATCTCTGATCAAATTTTTTATGTAACATACCAGGGTAGCTTTGCTCACGAAAAAGATCAAATCAATTTTTGACCTTGCTAATAAAAGTTGGAGCAAATTATTTTAGAAATAAGTTTAATTATTAAACGTCATCAATGCCTGGAATTGACCCAGAAAGTTATAGGTCTTATGATTCAATTTCCCATAAGTGGGGCAGAATCGTACGACTGACCACAAAAGAGATAACTTCATTGAGATAATATCAAAGAGTGACTGATAATTTTATACAATAGTTTACAATATATTTATTGAGTTAACCTACGATTAGTTCAAACCAATTATGTAATTAATGAAATAAAATCTTGAATGAAAATAAAGCCCTTACTTTTGAAAATATCTTATTTTGAATTTAAATTAAATTTCTTGGAAATTTATAAAAATTTTTAATTAAAAAAAAAAGAAATTCAAGTATTTGAAAAATAGTTTTGATTAATACTGTATTACAAATTTGCAAGATTAATGTATCATTTAAATAAATGATGAACTCTAATTAACAATACTTCATGACATCTTATAATCTGTCTAATAACGTGTTAATAAAGTCGCCTTTGTTTTTTCGATCATGTTTCATGCACAACAAAAGTGGAAAATTTTTTTATTACAATAAAAAAGATATCAACTACGACAACAATAACAGCAAAAAAGTGCAATATGTCGCAGCTAATATCTAGAGGTTTCAGTTAGAAGTAATTACTACTATCTTTTTCATACATTTCGTCTATTTTATGACCTTTGAGACGTTGTTACGTAACGAGTTTGTTAGTAAATCGTTGTAATACGAGCCGCAATAACTGATAACCGTACAATCAATCTTTTATATTGCCGGACATTGTATTTCCTTTCTGACAGCAAATTCTTGACAGTGCTGATAAAAGTGAAAATGATAATAGGCGATTCGTTTTTAGGAATCCCCACAAATTTTTTTAATCAATCGATTTGTTTATGTCTTAATTACACGCTTTCTACGCACCTGTATCCTTGATCGCCATATTGTTAGTGCAATCATGAAGAATGAGTCTGTGCTAAACATACAATTCTTGCCAACACTCGAGGACTTTTGTGATCTACATTTAATATTTTCGACTTCATAAAATGCTATTGCTATTTATCAGCTATTCATCATCAGTAACTACATTGTCTCGCTTAACTATCTATATGATGGAAAAAATTATTTTTCATAATAATTACACATGTGCATGTAAGTTGATTTTTCCGGTTAAAATTTGGAGTAAACATATTATTTATCTTGTTAAAAAAAATATTCTTATAATTGGCTTCCGCAAATTATTCCTTTTCAATTCAGATAAGAGCTATGCAGATTTTATCTTGGTATAATTATCGACATTTTCGCGTGACATTGCTAACTGATGAAGAAGTGTATGTTTTATTCACATGCAAACCGATTAACAATTAGTCACGATTTGTGATGATTTTAGCAGATAATTGTTGAGATGTTGGACGTTTTTTTTTATCTTTTAAAATAACATGAAATATTGCACTTGAAACTGAAGTAAAAAACTTCAAAGCCAAGTTAATAGGAATGAGATAACATTATTCAACATAATATATCACCTCACTGTTCTTTTTTTTTCTCAATAGTAAGTGAGTTTTTAATAGAATTCTATTTTAAATGATTCGCAATTTTTTATTTTAAAATGATTTGATTCATTCTATCTAGATCATTTTTTTTTCTATTTTCATAACAGTTTTATAGAAATTTATGAATGAAATAACTAAGAGTCATAATTTTTTTTCTTAGTATGTTATTCAATCAATTCATCGTCTTATTCTTTCTCTTTTCCCATCGTAGTATTTGTAATGTGATTAACGTATTCAGTTAATGTCAATTTGATAAGTATAAACACAATTTGCATATAATTGTAAACTTAGTATAGTTGTAACATTTATTCCATGTAGAATAAACATGAGGTCATCGTGAGTGTCATTACACCTTGATCCTTGATCTTGAACAATGGATTGAGCGTGAAAGGATATAGAAAACTGATGAATTAAAAGAAAAAATTACTCACTGGTTGTTCGATATTCTCCCATTTTTCAAAAAGGTACCACTTTTCTTGAGCCATATTTTATATTCCAAATTCTTTAATTTTGAGTCAACACAATCATCCACAGACAATCTCTGATGTCGACTAAAGACGCTTGCTTACATCACAACCAAGATCATTAGTTCTCTTGACTTTGAGTCTCGAAATACATTAGTTCAAGCAAACGAGAGTATTTTTGGATCTTTACATGCGCCCAATTTCTTTATTTGTCTATTTGTACCGTATATATAATCTTTGATCACTTATTTTTTAGTTTTTAGCTAATATTATTCTAAAAGTTGTATTCACTAATAATTTTTCTTATAAATCCTAAATGTTTTTTGCTATTCAAACAATTGAAACACATTTCTATTAATCAATTGTCTTGATTTATTATACATAGTAGAGTTATGTATACTGATCATAACTCGAATATCTTCAACAGTTTTTTCACATTCCGTTGGTTATAAAATGCAGTTTATATTAATTCATATCAATCAGTAATATGTTTGAATAATTGTTTATTATTCATTTTTGCTCAGAATTTCTTATGACAACTTTATCTTACAAATAAAGTAATTATGTTAAGTATTCATGAAATCCAATACATTTAGTTGAAATGTATTTCAATGACGTATTATGATTGTTATTGCATTAAACAGTTAACGAACGCTATTTAAATTTTATACGTTTTAAGGTTAATCTGTTCGGCGAATTAGAACAATTGAAAAATTCAAAAAAAAATCTAGTCGATAATGTAGAAATTTTATGATGTATCGCACAGAGTTGCATATTATTGCATAATAACACAATAAATTCGATCTATGTATTCGGTATTTTATTATTGATATTTGATATATACAAATATGCATATAAATATGTCTAAATATCATCTATTGTTTTTAAGATTAGATAAACAACTCACTCGGTAATTATCGAATAATCGTAGTGGCTACTGTACACAACAATATTCAACAAACTGTCAACATGGCGGAAAACGAGTTACTTGTTACAATTTCTGGGGCCGCACTTTCATTGTTATTTTATGAAAACCTTCGAGAATATGGAGAACAAGTAAGATTAATCTATCAAATATATGAATGTTGAAAATACTGAAATACAAATCATGATATTGTATTATGATAACACAAAATATTTGTAGAAATAATCATAACCTATGACAGATTACTAAGCGGCTTTATTGATTTCAGTTTAAAAATGATTATATTTATATTTAATTTACAGATGGGATTTTTTTTAGGAAATGTCCATACATTTGTCACAAAAAAAGTTACTGATGCAGATAGACAAGTTGAATCTATCAAGATTCATACTGGTAATATTTCATCATAATAATTTTTAACATATATATTTACTACATATACATTTGTATTTAAGCTTATTATGTACTGGATTTATCTAGATATTCAAGGGATTTTACCATGCATGTCAAGTGATTTGATATATGGTCCTACTGGTCGATTAAATAAAAACAAACTTGAAGAGTATGTTAAGAACAATAAAAATCAAATTGTGGGATGGTATCGATTTAGGGTAAACGGTCCTCTGCAGCATACATTGCGAGATAAATTGTTACACAAACAATTGGAAAAATTTTTCTGTAGTTCTAACAATGAGTCATCGGAACGGCATTTTATCAGCTGTATATTAAGTTATTCTACATCACAAAATAAAGGAATTCACAGATTTCGACATGTGTTTTTAAGATATAAGCATGGGTAAGTAATTCAACATTTTTAAATTAAAGAATATTATATCAGTAGAAATAAATTAATTAAATTTTAAATTTCAGACTCTATCCTCCAATACCTTTGAAAATAAATAATTTAGGAGTGGATGCATCTAGACATGATGGGTCAGATTATAAACCAACGCCGATAAAGTCTTTAATTAATGAAACTGATTTTTTCACGAAAATTTTTGAAACATTAAAGTAAGTAATATTTTAAAAAATCAAAATATTTTGCTGTCTTACTCATAGTCTTTATTAAAAAATAAGAACAATTAGATCAACAATCTCCACTAATGAATTTAATTACTGTATTAAACTTTTACAGTATTGACATTAATCGAGCATCAGTAATGGACACTGTTCCTACAATATTGAAAGCCGCAGAACAGCATTTAGATGATCTAGTAACAAATGTTGCTATAGAAGATAGTGAAATTGCCGATCTTGAACAGGAAGCTCTTAAACTGAAGGAAGAAGTTGAAACCAATCGAAAAAAAATATCAGGACTTCCAAAGGAAGATAAATTTTCTTCGCGAAAACTACAGCTTGACAACTTTAAAAAACAAGATATAGAATATATCGATGATGTAGATTTGAATGATAAATCGCAGAAAAGAATGGATAGACTTTCCATAGATTCACGTAAAAGAAATTCTCCATCTGTTCAGATTAGTAATGCTTGTAATAACTCTGGGAGTATGCAAAAATCTCCGTCCACTAAGCTTCTGAGTAGTCAGGAAACAAAAAAGCAACCTGATAATACAGATTATTGCTAGTTAATCATTTATTCTACTAAAGCTATATATTTTTTACTATTATTATTTTTCTCACTTCATTACTAAAAAATAATTCCTGGAAAAAAGTTTATCCAAAGAAAAGTCTTAAACAGACGTATCAAGTCATTGTAAATATTTTCTATGTTAGAGTATAAACATAAATGGTATAAAAAAAATATATAAAAAACTAACTCAATTTTAATTCAACATTAATTATATCTAACTGACTTTATTCAATAACTCTATAAATTGAATATATTTTTTTAATTAATAAAAAGGATCTAATGAAAAAAGGCAAAAAAAGGAAAACTCATATATTTAATGAATAAATTATTTACAAAATATCAGTAGGATTATGCGGAAGTCCTGTTACTTCCCAGATGGTTGCAGCTAATCGTCTTGAATGTTCAAGTACACAAGATGAAGTAGCCAAACCTAAATGAACGCAATATAGCTCATACATACGTATTTTATTCAATGATAGCTTTGGAAAGAATGTTTGGGCTAGTTTTTTATAGTAATCCGCGCAAAGAACTCCGGGAACAGGAAAATTTTTCATTTGATGGTGATAGTATGCTTTACATTTCAAAGGTGAACCCTAAAAAAAATATACTCAAAATTTTAATTAAAAATAAAAACAAACGTTAATAAAAAAAATAATAACGTTAGGAATACTTACAGAACTATCTTCAAACCAAAGGAAATAGGCATAATTAAATGTAGTATCTTTCCACATGACTGAAAAATGTCCTTCTTGAAGATGCATTCTACTTTGATCAATCATCAACCATATTTTTTTCTTTATTAGAGCTAGAGTTTCGAGATTAGTGAAATCTAGCGTTGGTGCAGTTATTCTGTGAGTAACTCTGTCAATATAAATAAAATGTACCAGGCCTGGAAATTCTTCTAGATATTTATTTATTGTTAGAGACGTTCTCGTAAATAGAACAATATTAAGGAAAAATCTAGATTATCAAAATTGAAGAAAATGTTGATTTATTGAAAAAAAAAATCTACTTTGTATTAATTTAAGTAGTGTAAATGTGCTATAAAATAGTAAGTACTGAAAAATGATTTAAATTAAAAAGATTAAAACAATTTCTTTTAATAGAAAATTAGTTTAAAAAGGATATGATCCAAGAGTAAAATTCTTTAGCGCTTTTACTTTAAGAAAATCACTAAAGTCATTGAATTTTTGTCTAACTAGTCGACATACTGTCAGAATAACATCACATCCAGTCTTTAAGAAGCTTCTGTTGAAGCAGGTAAGTCGAAATAGCTCTTTCATTGTGTCTATGAATCCAGGCATATTGGACTCAATTTGTAAAATAGATTCAGAATCTCTGAGTTTCAAAAAATCGACATATTTTTTTCTTACAAATTCCCATTTAACTTGTAAACGTCTTTGGCACATATCAACATCATTCGTTACAAAAGCTCGATTTTTTTTAATACCATCCACAGTCTTTTTTATTGCTGTGTCAAATTGTTCAAATGCTGGTCGTAACTCATCAATATCCCTTTGCGATTGAAGAATGTTCATCATATTTAAATGATAAAAACTATCATAAAGTCCTGAAGATATGGAAATGTTTGTTATTTCCATTATTGCTACTAAATGAATTCCTTCTGAAAGTTCAAAAATGTGAACAGCATTTGCTGTTTTTGATTGATTTGATCCTAAAAGAACTAGTTGACTAAATAAACTGTCTTCTGCAAGAGAATTAAGACCTTCATTTATTGAAGAATCTCGTGAATCTCCAAATAAATGCATGATATCAGCAGTTGTTGGGTTGGCAAACTTTTTGTCAAGATTCAATGATTCTGTTTCCTCGATTGAATAATTATTTTGAGTCAGTATAATATTAGCAGCATCTTCTTGACATTCATATTCATCAGTATGTTCACCTTTGCTTATAGCTTTACACATTAATATCATTAATAGAATGTCAGCTCCACTGAGATCTTGGGCATTTTTACTAGAATATAATGATAAAAACTTGTGCTCTACAAGCACTAAAATATGTACATTTGGATAATCAGACTGTGTTTTAAGTTTGTCAGCTGCATCGTGTAAAATTTTTAAAGTAGATGATGCTAAATCAGTATTAACACTTAGCTGTTCTACTGTTTCAGTTAAAATACTCTGCTCACAATCTCGCAACTCTTTCCAAGCATCTAACAGAGATGAAACCAGCATTGCCTTTCGTTTACTTGTTCTCAATCTAGAATTTTATCTATATTTTAGTAAACATTTTAATTTTTTCAGATATTTTCAGTAAATACTCACACAGCTACATCTGGTCCACAAATATGTCCCAAAATAGTCACACAAATACCTACTGTTCTTTTCATCAATTCAATATCTGCTGTGGAAACATAAAGAATTGTGTAGCCCATGAAATTATCAAAAACCATGTTCGTTCCATCTTGACATTTCATAGAAGTATAAGTATTTCCAAATTGAGAAGCCATAACTTGTTGAGAAGTTACAATTGGCGAAAATAATTGCATTATTATATTTGCACTCAATTGCCTTGATGAATTATCTTCTTCATTCTTAAAAAAAAATTATATAAATTACGTTTGAAATAATGTATAAATTTTATGCAGATGTGAGTTATGATTACCGTCGTCTCTTGAAGTAATCCTTGGAGTCTTGCCAAGTTCTGCATGTGGTCTGCAAATTTCTTATTACATTTTGTAAACAAAACATCATTGAGATGATCAAAAATTAATAAACCTCTCATTTTTTTATAAACGATTTTAAAACTAACTGCAACAATTGATTCTGTTTCTGTGTCAAGACAGTAGAGATTTGTATTTGCATTAATTATATTGAATTTAATTTTTTATTCACTTTTCATTACATTCTACAGTACTTTATATATGTATGGAGATAATACTTGTTCAATGACATTTGCACATATAAACACTAGACAAAAAAGACGTCGCTGTTTTATGATCAAAACGGAGCATATTGATTGGTATGTTGTATTTCAATATACTTTATGCTGATCATTGGGTAAGATGTAAAAAAAAAGGGATCGCTTTTACTCACAGCAAGTAATTTGATAAAATAAAATTTTGAGAATGAGACCAAATTACATTAAAAAAATAATAGATAGTGTTTATATGAAAGTCTATATAATATGAATCTCAGAGCTTTTGAACAGTTGTTTACAATATAAAAAAAATTTGTCTCCTTCACAGTGATGGTTTTGGAGTAAGTCGTGATTTAGGTTTAATGATTTATAAAATTGATTTATCAATATCATTATTTGTAAAACATACCCCAAATATTTGGAGACTTGAGATTAAATTAATTTTATTCAGGGGAAATTTTTAAATGATTTTTAATTTTTCACTTTTATAGTAAGTAGAATTGAATTTTAATTAGATCAAAAACAACTACGTAGTTGTCATTGATCAGTACAGTAATTAATAGACACATTTGCAATAAAAAAGAGATGTAGCTGAGTAAGATGTATCATAAATCCGAGTATATAGTAAGTACTCTCTGTAATGACAATCATATCAATAATTATAATACCTAATAATCTATTTTGAAAATATTGTAGGAAAGTTTTTGAAATCTTGTTGTAAGACTAGAATGAAAAAGTTATTTGTTATATTATCAACTGTGTGCTTCTAACACATGAAAGTACGAACCTCAGTCAACAACAATTCATTGTATTCAATGAGAGTCCAACATCGCGATACGAAAAAATTGATCATGATCATAAAACAAGCTCTGAATTCTTGAAAAGGTTATAATCGTGAGATTCGGCAGTTGCGGTCTTCAACTTTCTTAGAAAAGATTTACTACGTATTCTCACAGCAATTTCTGAAGATGGAAGGATGGTTGCTTCTCATCATTTTTATTTGAAAACGTGTGATGTAGGTTTCTTGAATAATGATTCTCACAGATTTCTCTCACCCACTCTGAATCATAAAATAGTGGTTAGACCGGTGCAACATCAAACTCCATGAAAAAAGCAACCGTTACAAGAAAAAAATAAAATGACGGATGCTGCACATTCAAAGGCGGAGTTTACAATTGTGATATCCAATGAACGTGATCTTTTGATCATAAAAAAGGAGTAAAAAAGTTCTTACAATGCCAGCTGAGAATAACTAATATGTAAACTTTATGTATAAAAGTTTCGTGATATAATTTATAAGTTTTAACGACTATATACCCAAGTAAATTTATATTCTTGTAAACAAATCTTCCAGTTAACTCTACAGTTGTTTTTAAATATTTCATCTATGTTCATTGGCATGAACTAATTTTTTTACATTTACAATGAACAAACTTGGAAAATAAATTAGTAAAAAGGAGTCAATAATTGAGAGACAGTTTTCTAAATTTTTGTTTTTATTTGGACAAAATTTTTTAAATGACTTTATAATTTATATACGTTTTAGAATTAAGTGGAAAATAATTTTAAAACTATAATAAATGAGTAATTGCGCATAAACCATTTAACTTTAGAGTAAACCACGGCAATACCACAAGTGAGTAAATAATTATTTTAAAACCCTAATCTATCTAATAGAGATGTAATAAAAAAACGGAGTGAGGTAAATAAGATACCAGGCAAAATGACACTAAATTTTACAGTTTAATTCTAAGCATAAACCCTTCTGTATTTCCTAATTCTAAACAAGATAACTCTTGACCAACAACTAATAACTAGTGATTTAAAAGTTACTTTCTATTCATCACAAATTTATATTATTTATTTAAAAAAAACTTTTTCTTTACTTAATTTACTGGGGCAATCAATACAGTAATTTGAAGCAAATGGACCTATTTACCCTGGTTTTTGTTGAATATGGAGTCCAATATAAATTCCAAACATCTTTGCAAGATTCTTGTTAACATATTTTCAGGATAAAAATTTTGTCAGCTATTAATGATCAACAATGGCTTCAATTGTACACCAAGATATTCTTCTTTCGTTTTATCCTTGTCATCTGTCTGCTTCTCTAGCATAGTTCTTATTCATTTTCTCAACTTAAAATTTCCTTATCTTAATCCTCTGTTAAATCTCGTCATAAAATGGCCCATGTAAAATTTACACTGTGTAAATAGGTATCTAGTATTTTTTACTTATACTTTGACCCACATGGCTACGTTAGCAAGGACTCAAAATAAAGGATCTTCCGATCATAAAATGAAATTTCCAAAGTATTACCTGAACTTTAAGGGATGAATGGACACAGAATGCTGGCATACTTAGTATTGAGTATACCGAATATTCTATATTCGTTCACGGACCGGCGAAATGATGGTTGTTTCTGTAATAGTTGAGCCCTACAAGTTGTAAAATGGATATTGTTTAAATGCGATAAGTGAAGGTTCCGTGTGAACTGTTGACAGGAAAAAGGGATGGTCGTAAAGAGGTCCAAATGCAAACATAGTAAAGTACATTTTCAACAAACTTAATCTTTTTTTTTCCATTGGTTTTGCTTTATATTTCCAAGTCTGCTCGTTTTGAAATTTTTAAAATTTTCGTATTCTTTTTATCAGAGTTACCTTGGTATAAGATTAAAATAAAAAATGTAAATTTTTTACAGGCAGGCATCGTTCATAAATCGTCATTGGAAAATTTTTCTGAGAGCAAATGTATTAATACAGTCTAGAAATAATTTGACAAATAATCATATTTGTTTGAATATTATTGTTAACTGATAAGTTATATTCTCTTGTGAGTAGTACATTTTTAGATAAAGTTCATCAACATTTGATATACCTTCATTGGCAATACATGGGCTTTTAGATACTAATTATATGTAGAATTATGATAGCGTCAGTGATACCCTGATGTACCATTGAGCTTTCCCATAGGAGTCATAGTAATGTAAGACTCTATACTGAATTTGCTATGATGTAAACTTCAAGAGTATTAGATTTACATGAATTATGATTTAGCTCTTAACGTCTTTAGAACATCAAATTGTTATAATTATTAATACCTTTAGAAATAAATATTATTGAATTAATTATTTGCATGATTCAAATACATTAATTATTAATTTTATTTTATTTATCATTATTCATTTGAGAAATGTTATTTCAATATTTTGGTATAATATTTAACTATGCTACTCCTCCAATGCACACAATGACCCCAAATAAAGATTTAATAAAAAATAATAACCAAATGATAAAGGTTTGAATTCAGATACATATTAAAATTATGATGAATAATTTGAATTAAAATTTATAATAAATGCATTGATATTTTTTCTGTATAATTATAGTTACACTCCAAAATGTCCGACATTTTTTCCTCTGTTAAAAAATATTATTAAGGTAGTTTCATTAGAGAAACTATTCAATCAAGTCATTATTCAATAAATGAATAAATAAATGTTAATACATTGATATTATTACAGACAATATATTAAATAAAATTTACCAGATAAAAATTTTTATGAAGCGACTTTTTACTCAAGATTACATTTATTATCTATTGTTAAAGTGATTTGTTAAACTAATATCGATTCCATTCATAATCCTTTTATCGCAATGTAAGAGATAATGCTAAAATTATATGATTAAATTTAGTATAAAGAAATTTTCAAGAATTAACAAAAAAAAAACGTCTGTATTGAAAAGAAACTTAAAAACGAATAAAAAATATATTTTTCAATTGTTCGTGGGGTAATAAAAAATATATTTTTAGGTAGCATAAAACACATTTTTGTTGGAGTTTGCAAGGTAAGAATTGTAATAGAAAATCGGTGAATCAAAGCAAAGAAATAAATAAAGAAAAAAAAATGGAATCAGAATTGAAGAAAAAAAGAACATTAAATTGAAATTTAAAAGCAGGGAATAAAAAGAAAAAAAAAATAATGCGTCATGTAAAAGCGCACATGCTATGTACATGATGTGCTGAGCCGTGTCTTTTATGAACCATCATAAAAAAATAAAAATAGAAAACTACACCTTTACATCAGGCCGATCATTAAAGTCGCGGCCTAGAGCAAGAAACCAAAACGTGCGTCCGCCAATTAATATCCAACCTCTTTTATGGAAATGAGATGCCGTTGAATCGCGCTTCCAATTATCATACTCACTTTTTTCTTTAACATTTTTTTTTTTGTATATACTTTTTACACTGAAAGAAAGTGACGGGGTTTTTTGATGTTTTTAAAATTTTGAATTAAATAATAAATATAAAAGATTCACATTTAAAATCAAATACCTCTAGAATTTTATGGAAATCATTTAGCTAAAAAAAATTTTCCGCCACTTTCGGACATTCAATAATCAGTGCAACTGTATTGTGAAGATTATTCTCAAAAATTGAGTCAATAAAAATGCAGTGATTTTTGTCTTATTGTGATGTTTTGTTTTATTACTGCAAATCAATAATAAATTTTTATGATTCTTTCTACCAACAAAAAAATAAGATGGTGTGGAGTATAGGTATATTTATGCTCTAATATATGAATAATATTGTGATTATTAGAATAATAATACGTCCAATGAATAGGCATTTTAACTTTGAATTACATAAAATTATATGTTCTATACTCGAAGGGAATTGGTAAAAAAGCGTGGAGCCCGCCTCCAGAGGCGGAGCATGTTGAACCAACACTTGATCAAGAGAAAGACAGACTCAAGGATCGATTGTACATAGGGTTGAATTAACAAATAATATACTTTTATTATAAATACTCTTTTAGTGATACAATGAAATAAAAATAATTATTCTCTCATTTGAGTTTGTTCTGGAGTTCAAAGTCTGCTTTCCATGCAATTCTTTGATGATAAGACAATGTTTTAAATAGTAATTCCCTCATAATTGTAAAATAGTCGATACGTATTTTGGAATTTGCATCGGATAAATTGTTTGTAATTTTTTCGAAGAACAATATTTGGCTTGCAAAACAATGATTCAGTGAATGTGTCGTTATTCAGTATTGTTAATATTTTTTCTGAATTTTTAAATCATCTTTTCACTAATTAGGTAGAATGTATTACAATTATTTCTATTGAAATTTTTATCATACAATAAAATTATAATATTTATTATTTATTTTCTGATCAGTTCACAATTTCATAAAGCATTTAAATAATTAACAAATCTATCAAAAAATATGTATAACAATCTATTTGGTAATAAAAAACAATATTGATTTACTCATTTAATTTAATTAAATATTTACTAAATTATTTATTAAAAGCAGTAGTAGTTTAAAATTAAATTGAGATTGTACTCTATTGTTATAAAAAATATTTCTATCAACAAGAAGGAACAAAAACTAGTGAATGAAATATTTTTAAGAAATAAGCAACACCTGATTTACTCCAAACCAAAATTCATGCTTACTCCAAAAATTCTTCTCTGAGTAAATATTTAAATACCATGCAAATAATTTGTAAGGAAGTGGTTCAATGAATATATTAAGTTATGATGTTTTCAACAGTAGCCCCAGTCTTCTATCTAAATTATACTCATAAACATAAATAATTTTCAATCATAAGTCATCTACTGAGAAATTCATTTCAATGTTAGTTATTTATGAAATAATTTATTAGCAAAATATAATGAAGTCAATTTAGGTATTATTTCAAGTGGACACCCTGCAAAACTATTAGGCTCCTTACCCAAAATTTGCTAGGTTTGGCAGACAAAGCAAATTATACAAATTACTGGGACTAAGTAAATAATTTAAAGTACAATAAGAGGCTAATATAGAAACAAAGACTAAAGAACAAAGGGTTGAACATGATAGTAGTATCATTGCAATTACAGGTAGAAAATGATGCGACTTATCCTATGGACACCAAACTAATTCTATACAACTCAAATGACATTTTTATCTAGGCCTATTTATTTTCCTACGGATTAATTATCATACATAAACACAATAAATAAAATGATTTATGGGTATGGTTAATACAAGCTAGCTTTGAAAACAAAAAATTAACCTATTGAAAGTCAGAATAAATATTATTTCAAAAAACCTAGATTAAATGAAAAACTACGTAAAAGAACGTAAATGAAGGTTTTTATCAGTAGCTAGGTTATCGTAATCGAGTCGTTTGCGAGGTCGCCATTCTGGTATACGTTGGGGATTACCTTTGCTGATTGGTTGGTCTGGCACCCCATGAGCTTGTGGTGGGAGAACTAGATCTTGAAGGGGCGTATTCTGCTGCGAGGAGTAGACAGACTTCAGTCAAAATTCATAAGGTAGCTTGCGGTCATTGACGACACACTTCTGCCTCTTCAGAAGTCGTTGATTTAAGTTATTCCAAATATTTGCGTCATAACTTGTTAAATAATTTCAAAATGTCATTAATATTTGGCAATAGTGTGTCTTAGTTTTATTAATAATTATATTGTATTGTTTAAATACTAAATAATTAATAATAATACAGTCTTAAGTGTAATTGTGAATAATAATTGTTTTAAAGTAAGTGAAATATAATACGTTGTTAAACTCTAAAAGAGGAATAAAAACAAGTAATGTGGATTTAATGATAGTTATATAAATAGAAATATTCAGTGCAGCAAGTTATTTTTATGCAAATGACTGATATAAGTCGTATAGGAATGGTGTCTTATTACAATCCTCTGACGATGTATCGTCAGCAAACACAAGCTGGAACTACTCAGCAACAGTTGGCCCAACAAGCTCAACATCAAGTTCAAATTCAGCAGCATCCAGTTACACCTTCTGGAGCATCAGAAAGTGCAGGACAACAATACTGGTATGGATACCCTCATGCACATCCTCATGGATCACAGCACCAAGTATCAGCAACTCAACAATATTTGGAGCCATCCGACGTTCTCAGTTGGTCTCCTCACTCTCATCATTATTCACATCATCTCCAATATCAGCATCAAGTTGCTTATCAACAGCAGCATCAATCAAGTCCGATGACAAGTGTATCAGAATGGAATGGTGATAAAATTAACAGCCAGGCCGTTGGATCTGGAGAACCGAGTCCACCCATTACAGTTAGTGGAAGTGAAATAAGTAGTCCTGGCACACCACTATCACCATCCATTAGTAATAACAACAACATTAATGCACCTAATAACAATACAAGTAATAATGTCAATAGTAATAATACAAGTGGTAACAGTACTTCAACAACGCCGGTGAGACCAGCTCCAATTCGGAGCCCTTATGAATGGATCAAAAAATCATCCTATCAAAATCAACATAATCCAGGTTTGTCACTTTCATTATTATTTATTTCATTTTATTCATCATTGTTTCATGTATTATATAAAATTTTATTTTATCTGAAGTTTCTTTTCTGAGTTTAAAAAATTTTTTTTAACTGATATTTATCAAAAGTATAAATAAGATAAATGTGAGTAAATATATGAGACACATATATATTAATCTCCAATTTGGTCTAGATACGACAAATACTGTCTCAAATAGACTAAAGTAAACAGCTAATTGCTCGTAAATATTCGTAAGATAATCTTGGAAATATACTTTGTCTCGTCAACGTCGGTTTTCTATCACAGATTAATTTTTTTTCTCCTATGGAAAATTTTATTTTGCTCCATGTGGGTAATTATTTAAATAAAGTACATTCCTGTTGACATTCACACATTTATCTTCATATTGCAGCGTGTATCAATATTGGAATGACAAGTTCCATATCAGTTCTTCCAGATCTTAACTCACTTGATGGTACGACTCAATTTTTCCAAATATTATCAATGATAATGTGCTTGTACACTCGATGTAAATAATTCAAATGCATGATTCCATTATTCGTTGAACCAATTCAATGGAGATTCAATATCAAAATGAATATTAAATTTTAGAATGAATAATTGTTAGTAAACATCAATTTGTTTATCTTAACATACTGATGTCTCCAGAAAATTAGAACAAATACTTATTATGGCCAAATTTAATTTAACTAATTAATCTTGTTTAAGGTTTAGTGTTAAATTATTCAAATAAATAGATACAATTATTTTATTGCTGAATTGAATCCAAGAAAGTATTTTTCAAGATGATTTTAAGATTTTTTAAAAGTAAAATATTTTTTAATCTTATTCAGATTCATTAAATCAAAAAAAAAAAAAATTCTTGAAAGTATTTTTCAGTACAACACTTGTAGGTTTCAGGATCATGAGATTCAAATTTTTTGTTCCGGTGATTATTATCTGTTCTTTATAGCTTTATTGCAGTTTCGTTGTTGCTCGTATAATGCTTGCATGACTTTGAATGAAGGTATTACGATTCCGTGCGAATGAATTGCTCATGTAGCAACATATTTTATTATTTTCCTGCTTCAACATGTAGCTCTTGAGGCATACAAGTACATTGATACAATTCGTGGATAGGTAATGAAAAAAAAATCGTATAGGAAATTCGTTAGCAATTCATGATTGTTACTTGTTAAATCTCACCCACGATATTCCTAAAAAAGGTTTTCTAATTCCTTCATAGATTCACATTTTGGAACATTTTCTTTAACTTATACTTACTAGGCCATGCAAAAATATTTTGCACGTGTTTCATTTAACTAAATATTAAGGCCAATGATATTTGCCATGCGCCAAGTAGTAAATAAGCCACTAGACCGACATGTCTAACCATGAAACATTGAATCAATTGTGTTTACTTAATCTTTTGGGCTGCAATAAAACATTCATTTTCACCCCCGGCTTACGTTAATTTATTCCAGTATTGGGTGATAAATCATAATACAAAGAAAAATGTAGCATTTACTGAGGTCCTCTATTAGAAGTGGGTCCAATAAAGTCCCTGTTTTGCAAACAATAGGATTTATCAGACGACCTGAAGCCAAATTGGCTGGTAAATTTCAAGATGCAGTACAGTTGACTTGACGTTGGAAGATGAAGAGGCTTAAAGACCCTCATTTTCATTTTTATTGAGTGACCTATCATTCTCTCAGGGTCTGGGTTTTCCCAGAACTTTCTTGTTCCAATATCTTTGAGTGAACTTGAGTCAGGTAAATAATTTTGTTCATTATTGCTTCTCGTTTTATCGTTAAGATCCTCTATATACCATTTCAATGTTAAATGTTGAACAGTAGGTCAGGTTGCCAACTTAGAACGTGAAACGAAAATCTGTTTGTTGGACTTTCCACCTAATACCGTTCTTTTGCCATATTTATTCTTTTTCGAAATTATTTTCATATCTATGAAATTCATTTATGCAATTCAACATGTAGTTTCTTGTAGGTAATTAATGTTTATTCACTTGGAAGCCAATACATTTATAGAACCAAATATTGAAATTTAATTGTTACCATGAAGTATGTTTAAGTTGAGGAAAAATCCGGTACGTTTGATAGCCTGCTGAACTTGGATGGACTAGAAAATTGTTGAGGTAGAATTACCCATGAATTGAGGGTGAAGTTTACCCAGTAAAGTGACGCCAAGCCAGAGGCGTGGCAATGACTATTCCACCTGGGGTTAAATACACAAGTTTTACTTGACTTGGAATAATTCTAGACAAATATTCACTGATACTTAGCCCTTTTAAATTAACTTAACTTTAAATTTGACACACCTCCAACTGGTTCTTCATTATGGTTAGTTTATCCTCAAGACGATCATACTTTAAACTAGAAGATTTTTTGAAGCAAAAAAAACTTTTACTCGTTTATTATCAATTCTACTCTAAGCATCAGCTACCCATCCATAGCTATCTTGAAAAATAAAATAATAATAATTCTACACTTCAAACTTAAAATGAAATGATGGTCAGCATGCTACATCAAAATTTATTCATCCATTATTTGTAGTTGATAAAAAAATATTTTTTTTCAACTGCAGAAGAGCTTATTGAGTCAAACAGTTAAATATAAAATCAAAAAGTTAGAAGACTTGGTGGCAACGAAATAAAGCTGTTAAAATTGCATTGAATATGTATAAAGAATGGTTACGCCTATTACAAATATCCACTTGAGGTAAGAAGTTGGGTTATATGGTAGTAATGTTTGTCGATATTGTTTTGGAAAAGTACCGCCTCCTTATGGTTCCGAAAAGGTCAGAACTTTAAGCCGAGTAATGGCATTATGGTGTGAAAGATCATAAAATTCCGGTGAGCAACTAACAGGATTTTGAGTCACGTTTCTGGTCAATGTTCAATCTGTCTAGTAAAACTAAGATGTCAGGTATTTCTTGTCAAACAACCTCGTGTTGCTTACCGTTAATTCTTTTATCTCTGACAACATTCATTAACAAACACTTCAAATGGGATTTATCAAATAATTACATTTTATCATTTAAATAATCTCAATTCAATTATTATATACTCCAATTTTAGCATTCTGTCTTGTTGGAAATTTAAAAATCAAAGTCGAATGATATTTAAAACATTTGATAAATCCGTCGCTTCGTTCAGAATGAACTATTTATTTTTATCAAAAACTGCTCCAAAATTGGAGTCAGAATTTGAAGTTATTTATTTTCTATTTGATTCAATATTGGATGGTGTATAAATCCATCCATTAGTTTTAAAAAGCTGACTAGTTCTCAAGTACGTGCCAGTTAATGGATTAGCTTTGATACACATAATAAAATTAACACGATAACTTGACAAAAGATTCACAATTTTTGTGAAATGTAAATTAAACAAAATAAACAAGTAATTAGTCTTTCATTGCTTTAAACATCAAAATGATATACTCATGTGTCCTATCTATTGTTTCTATCAATAAAAACCTCCACTCTATGATATATAGTTCAATGTATTTTTATCATTTAATCGTTTGTCAAACATCTAGAGTTTGACTAAAAATCACAAAAAATCTTTTCATCATCATTAAATTCATCGAATTTTAAAGCCAAATAATAATTCCTAAATTATTAATTGAATTATTTTGTCACAAATTATCAGAAAATTTAGAAATAAGATAGATTTTTCATGATTATATTCGTGGAAACATTTGCTTTAGACACCTTCTCATTGATAAGAATTGGTAATAGAAATGATGCGACGGTAAGCTTTAATAAAATATCCATGACAGGAAATAAAGCATCTAAAAAAATAGCTGCCACTTATATTCTTCATGGTGAATAATATATTTATGTAAACTCATGTGACAGTAGTACAATAGCGGTAATTATAATACAAGATAAAAGTGTAGCAGCACATTTTATCAGATGAATGTAATAAAAAGTGAAGATGATATACATATACAGAAGGAATGTAAAAGAGGGATGATTCTTGGTAGTTTGGCATGTAACTGTAGTCGCACGATTTGTGTAGGGGAATATAGAAGAGAGAAACATTGTAATAGGGTGACAACGAGTCTCTTGAGTACCGTTTTTCTTCCTTTATATCGTCAAGCGATTTACTCACAGTCATCTTACACCAATTTCTCTATATGATATTTCTTCTCTGCTATATTGGACGCATTATTAGCTTCTCGGTGCTTATTCTAATGAATTTAATTGTCATCATTGCAAATTTCAAAAAATTCAAGTATTTAGTTTTTAAATACTTTACTATGAATTTTTTAATGAATTAAAATTAGACAAAGGTGGGAAATAATGTGATAGAATGTTTATCAAATGGGTGACATTATTTTAAAACACTTCAAGTGCGTTAAAATAATACGTTACGATTTGCAGTGGTTAGACACAACTTTAACTATTGTTGCTTTTTATCATTACTTCATAATTACATTATTTTCTATCTTTGTCTTTTTTTAATTCATGAAAAAATTTTTTTCATCAACTTTTAAATTTATTCCAAGTCTGACTAATTTATTCAACTGTATAAAATAGTAATCTTTGATTTTATTAATTGATCTTTTTTTAAATTAAATGTTTGATATTTTAATGTTGTGTCTATCAATAGTAATTACAATATTTATTTATTTATTTTTTTTTTTGGTAAATCATAAAATTCTCTTCGGGTTATTTTTCTGAGAATAATCATTATTTTGTTGCTGATACTACTATATGCATAGATAAAAAATTTATCCTCAAACATTCATGTATAATAGCTTTAGCGGCGGATAATAAAAGTCTAAAGAAATGAAGTTTTCATCATTTTCTCTTAATAGTATTCCTTTCGATAATTTATAGATCCTAAATAATTTTTAAAACAAATAAAATTTAATATTTGTTTTAAATCTTTTTTCTGGGCTTTTAAGTGATTTATCAATCGAGTATTTTAATTTATCATCATCATCAAAGGGGAAAAGAAATATTAAAATAAGAAAAATATGTATGGAATGCTATAAAAAGAAGCATTTAGTAAGTAAGTGTTAAGTAATGAAAATTTAAAACGCTCTATTTTGTGTTCAGACATGACTTTTGGATTTGAGGGTTCCTGAAATTTTACTTCACATTAGACTCCACCGGATCGTAGACTTTTCGTCTCACATCAACTTATCGAGGAATGGCGGATTAACGTGCTTGCTTTGATCTTACCGCGCATGTCTTATCTAATCGTCGTCCTCTCCTCACCATTTTACCAGCTCTTCCCACTTTTTTCTCTTTGATATTGCTTCTTTGTTCTTGCCACGTATATGTCTGGAAAAAAATAATATTGTTGTTATAATTCAGTCTTGAAAAAATTTTAAATGTTATGAATAAAAGCATGAACGATTGAGTAGTCGGTGAATTAATGTTCATATTTAATTATATACATAAATGTTTATCAGAAAGAGTACTTAGCACTTGAGTTGACGATGCAGCATGTTTCTCGTGTATCTTATGATAATACATATGTTATCATTATTAAATGTTAAATAAAAATTATCATTTTCTAATTTTTTTACGCTTAATAGAAGTAATATTTAAATGATATCATATAAGACATAAATAGCTATTTTTGAATTAATTAATTATTGATTGATTATTATTGATATGAAATATTTATTCAAATGTATCATTCTTGTTGACTATTTTTTTTTTCTAATGATAGGTTGTTATTTATAATTTTTTTATGATTATATTACAGGTAAAACACGAACGAAAGACAAATACCGAGTAGTTTATACAGATCATCAGAGATTAGAGTTGGAGAAAGAGTTTCATTATAGTCGATATATAACTATTCGACGCAAAGCAGAGCTCGCCGCTAATCTATCTTTATCAGAACGACAGGTAAGCATAAAAAAATTAATAATTACTCATTTACATTATTTATCTATTTTTACAAAAAACACCATTGTCTAAAGTGTATATAATAAGTTTACTGTACAATCGATATTCATTTACATATAAATCAATTATAAACATTCTGCAGTTTAATTAAATATTAAATTAAAAATTGATTTCATTTATTTAATATATTAAATTTCTTTTATAATCATCACTTTCTTTTACTACTTTATAAATTACTAAATTTCTATATTGAATAAAAATTGCCTTAACAATTTGGTAATCCAGGTTATAAAATAAAAATTATCATTTTCAGGAATACTTTTTACCTTGAATTGAATAATTATTTTTATTATATATCCTCAATTACCCAATCGTAGGGGTTTTAAAATTTAATTTTCTCAAAGTATTACAATATTAAAGAGAAAAAAAATATTAAAACATCACTAGAAGTTAAAAAATAATTAATTAATTAATAATATCTGGAATTATTGATTTATTTCAGGTGAAGATTTGGTTCCAGAATCGGCGAGCTAAAGAGCGAAAGCAAGTGAAAAAACGTGAAGAACTTGAGCAAAAGGACGTGAAGCCAACTCTAACTAGTGAGGGTCTAGTAGCCGGTGGAATGGCGAATCTTTCTCTGGGTGGAATGAGCGGGATGCTGGGGGGATATATGCATAACGGAAGCCCACCGCCTCTGAGTCTTGGTCCTCCACCGCATGGTATTGCTCTTAGTCATCCCACTCCTACGCTTCACTCGCATCAACATGTTCATCCCCACACCGTACACGGGTGACCAGAGAATCTCGGCAATGCTGAATCGTGGTCTCCCCATGGTTGGTTGAGTTAAATACTCATTTGTATTAAAAATATTTTACAAGAAAACAACTGATTCTTGTTGCCCTTAAGATGTAGCGCTTTATCTGTTCACTTTCGTGGCGCATATATTCTCACCCTAGTAGAAATTATTGCTAACTTTTAGAAAAGTTGTTGAAGTTAACGATTGGAATACATTTCTCATATACTGATAAAAATTTCTACTAGGAGCAATGCAGATTTGTTGCAGTGAGGGTAAATCTCTTCTATCAGTGTACATACTGGGAGTATTGTATAATTTTTAATTACTATTTACAGTCAATTGATTTTAAATTTCACTTCATATATTTTCATCTCATCTTATTATTAATGAAGTTGTTACACATTTATTTTTCATAAGAATATACTTTTATTATATTTATGTTCATTATTTTATTACAATATACCAATGACGATGCAGATGAACAAGCTGTCATGAATCAAAACTTGAAATTACATATTGAGTTTAACTCCAACTAATGACAAGCAGAACTGTCAAAATATAATCAACAATCACTCCTTGTTGTTTTACTCTTACAGACATCAAATATTTTAATGTAACTATTTATTCTTTTATCCTGGTTCTCTCTTGAATCCCAACAGCTAAACTCGTGAGCTTTGGTGATGCTACTTTTCTTTTTATTTCTCTTCTTGGTACAATAATTCTTCTTTTTATTACTATCTTCTTTGTTTTTTTTTTCTCATCCGAACTCTTATAGTAAACTTCGTACATTTTCAGCTCACAAACTTTGTAAAAGCTTTATTTCCTGATTTGTAACATTACATTAAATATTTGTTCATTTCTCATATTAAGATTTAAGCTTTAAGCAAAAAATGAAAATGAACGCTTCAAACATTATTTAGTATCTAATTACTATAAAAAAAACTTGAATTGAAATGTAATGACAATAATATTGTTGAGATTTATGGTCAACATTATTGAGAGAAAACAAAAATATTTGTAATACTTCTTTAGTGTACTAACATACTGATAAATAACAACGTTGTACAAGAAGAGAAATAGAGAGAAAAATAGCATCACCAAAGCTCGCGAGTTTAGTTGGCGGAATTCAAGAGACGTGTGGATGAAATGGTGAGGGTTGGACATCGATCTGGTAGTTAACTCGAGGGTACCCTCGGGACTCGTTACCACTGTCTCCAATGCGTCCCAGTATATCCATAGAATTCACTACTAACCTGCGTTTATTCTTGACATTCACATTAACAATGTTGAACGGTTTTACACTAGCATTTGGGTACAATATAATAGACTTTTGAAAAATTTTAATATAATTTAAATATGTTTCATTTTTAGCCTTGAAAAATAGGTCTTCAGTGGCTCAAATAAAAAATATTTTTTGCAACATCATTCTTGGTTATATCTAAATGAATTCTAGCTCTTTATTAGAAGTAGCAACCGTATTCCAAAGTTTTTATAACGTTTGGAAAAATTAGTCATTCACACAGCACTTATGTTGAAGCAAACAATCAAAAGTTTTTTCTTTTGATGCTAAGAAACTCATAATTCACGATTTATGTTGACTATAGTATTGTCTAGTTCTCTATCTCATCTGCTCCCTGAAATTTTATAGACTAGTTTTTTTTTATTATGAACATTTACTTACTTTAATCTATGAATAATTAATATCATCGTCGGTTTTTAATACGTCGTCATAAAACCTGGAGAAAAGTTTTCATTATTTTTTGTATTTATACATCATGGTTAGTATTTCACATATGTTATAACGATTATTGTGTAGTTTTAAGACTTACCATATTTGTAGAAATAAAAATGTTCTGCGAACAGTAATCATTTTTTTATAAAGTAACAAAAAGTTAATGTTTTATAAATAATTGATGAATATTGTACAGATGTTTGACTGAGATTGATTTTTTATAGTAAATAAAAAATTATCTCATTTTAAAATATTATCTCAAGAAGTATTTCGTATTTTATCCATTGTCTTTTTCTTATACGGGAGCTGATAATAGGGAATCTACGTAAGCGACTGTTGTGCTTTACCGACGTTAGATATTGAAACCGGTAATGATATAGTGTGTTCAATCACTAGAGGTCATTACTTACAGAAACACCAAACAGTTATAAAGATGGCGTTACTGTTATTAAATTGAATTGTAAACAAATAATTTCAATAAACAATTATAATTTATTCATTGTTTACAAATTAATGATATTTTAATTAATAAGAATTGAATAAAATCTTTGTTAAAATTATAAAATTTCACTTGGTTTTATTATTTTTCCTTTTTTGTTTTTAAATGAATGTGGTAATTTTTTCGTGAATTTTCTTGACAATAGAGGCGTAGCAATCGTTCAACCGTTGTTGTTGACAACAGAATTGGCGGGAGGAATCGGCTGTAATTTTTCACACACATGTCAACATTGCTTGTTACGACATGTTAAGACTTGATGTTTTGTGATATTAATTTGTGTAAAATTACGAAATAAGGGAAATATTAACAATGGAAGAAAATACAACGAATTATTTGGAAGGAATAGGACAAGCTGAAGATTCTGGTTTTGCAAGTCTCGCCGGAACAGGTAAGTTTTTTTAATTTTATTATGATGCGTAGAAAAATGTACGTTACACACAAACAATGCAAACCATACAAAATAAGCAAACATCACCTCCTATAATTTATCATAGAAATCCAGACTAATAGATTTTAGTAGTATTTTGAAATTTTAAGATTTATTTGTTAAATTAACAACACAGAAAAATATAATATTTTTTGTTATTGATAGAATTTTCGTATATTCAAATCAATTTATTTTCAGGAGAAATCGGAAAGTCGTCACATAATTTTTATTGTGAAGACATCAAGCTCACCAATCAGCCTATATTAAATGATACTGAATTAGATAAAGCCTCAAAAGGTTGGAAATATTCTGAAGCTAAACGTCAACTCGATGAAGAATATAACAAAGAAAGGCAAGAGCTTCTTTATAAACGATTGAAACATTTAGTATCTAAAAGCAAATTCTATTCTAAAATTATTATTGACAAAATTGATAATCCAGATAAACCTAATTCTAACAGTGAACAGAAAAATACCAGAAACAATAGAAAAAAAACTTTCGAAACCGACACAGACGAAGAATACATCCCACCTATTAAGAAAAAAATAAAAAACGATAATAGTGGATATAATTTAAGAGAGTCTATACCTGTAAAAGGTGCAAAAAAGAAGAAGTTAAATCTTAGCAATGATGAAATAGAAAAGGAATTGAATGCAGATTCAGATGAAGAAACTCCGAGACAGACTGAAAACGTGGATATTTGTTTGAAGTATTTCACTGGAGAATTAAGAGATTATCAAAAAGTTGGTGTGAAATGGTTGATAAGTCTATATGAAAATGGACTCAACGGAATTCTCGCAGATGAAATGGGTTTAGGGAAAACCATTCAAGTTATAGCAATGATTTGTTATTTGATAGAAAAACGAGAAGCTGGTCCTTTTTTAATAATAGTTCCACTATCTACAGCCCCAAATTGGTTATCAGAATTTGAAAGATTTGCTCCAGAGGTTCCAGTTATTCTTCTTCATGGAACTCCACAGAAAAGAGATACAGCCATTCGACAAATGAACACTAAAAAGGCGTTATCTAATGGCTATAAAACTTTACCTGTTATTGTGACAACTTATCAAGTTGCTTTAGCAGATATTCATAGACTTCGTAAACATAATTGGAGATATATTGTTATTGATGAAGGCCACAGATTAAAAAATCATCAAGCTCAGTTATCTCAAGCAGTAAGAACTTTAAAATCAATCAGTCGACTTATTCTCACTGGAACACCATTGCAGAATAATCTTGCTGAACTTTGGGCACTGTTAAATTTTCTTATGCCTGACATTTTTGACGATCTTGCTGTTTTCGAATCATGGTTTGATGTTAATGAACTTCAAAACACCAAAAATGCTGAGAGATTCTTAAAACAAGAAAAAGAAAAACAAGTAATCGCTTGTTTACGAGAAATTTTAAAACCTTTCATGCTTAGACGTGAAAAAGATGATGTTTGTAAGGACATTCCTAAGAAAAAAGAAGTACTTGTTTATACACCAATCTCAGAGTTGCAAAGAGAATTATATTTGGCTGTCTTGAAATTGGATTATGAGTTTCTTAGTATGAAAGAAAAAAAATCTGAAATTATTCCAGATAATCCTGATGGTTCTAGGCCTAAAAGGAAGTGTACCATTAATTGTAAATACAGCCAAAATTATTTTGATCCATTTGCAGTTTTAAATCAATCCTCAACGACATTCATTCCACGAAATAATTCATCAAATGAAATTTTGACTGAACCAATAAAAAATAAAGATCAACTCACTTTACCTACATGGAATCAATTTGGCAATATTGATGATAGAAATATGAATTATATAATAAGAGTTCGCACTGGATCGCGTGTGCCAATTTATAAACAAATTATCAGTCATCCATTCCTCATTCGTTGTCCTTTAGATGATTGTGGATTACCAACAATTAATGAACTTATGGTAAAAGCATCAGGAAAATTGTTAGTGCTTGATCTAATGTTGAAAAAATTATATCCTCGTGGACACAAAGTGTTACTATTTTCAACAATGACAGCACTGTTAGATTTAGTAGCAGATTATTTGACTATGCGTCCTTGGAAATTTGTTCGACTAGATGGTAGAATACATCTGGACGAACGAAGTACAAGCATTGAGCAATTTAATAATGATCCAGAGACATTTCTTTTTCTTATATCGACAAGAGCTGGAGGTGTTGGATTAAATCTTACAGCGGCGGATACTGTAATTATATATGATAGTGATTGGAATCCACAAGCTGACATTCAAGCTATGGCACGGTGTCATAGAATCGGCCAAACGCGACCAGTCGTTATTTATAGATTATGCAGTAAAGGAACCATCGATGAGACTATAATTACGAGAGCAGAGTCTAAGCGTAAACTAGAAAAAATGGTTATTTCTAAAGAGTTGGCAGACCTCAACTTTAATAAAGCTGAAACAATTTTGGAGCTACAAAAGCTCCTTGAATCAACTGAACACAGCGTAATCAAGTCTGAAAATGATGGTAAATATAATTATTTTAAAACAATTCAAAATATTCATTTAACTGAATTATTTTCATTTATTCTTCATTATTTACAGTATATTCTGAAGCTGAACTTGATGCCTTACTTGATAGGAGTGATCTTTTACCAAAAAATCAAACAGAAGACTGATCTTCTCTAATTACATAAACACGTAATTTATATTTTAAAAAATTTATCTATTTTCGTATTTTTACAGCCGTATTTTCATTTTTTTAATTTATTATATTTATTGAGTTATTGTTTAATTGTCGGTTGAATAATGTTTTGGATGAATTTAGTGAAGTTTTGATGATCGTACGCGTACCGTTCCTTTTGTGTAATTTGTATTCTTGACCTTACAAGAATTAGCTGATTGCTCTTTGAATTCCGATTCTAATTTTACATAAGTGCCACCTACATTATCCAAAGCAATATTCATATTTATATTATTTTAATTTATGCAGAGTACAAATTAAAATAAGTGAAAATGTTTGAAATATTTGTTATTATTATTATTAGCAAATATTAGATTAACTATTAACTAATTATTTCTTAAAAATTTGATACCTAATGGTTGATTGTTCCATACGTGATTACTTTTATATGTTTTAAAGGCGTTAGACTCAATTGAAGTTTTCTTAGTTAAAACATTTATCATTTGTGTCATCGCTTTTTCTTCAAAATCTCTTTGATTATCTTGATTGTATTTAACTAATAAGTTCATGTTCCAAGATCGAATGCCATTATTCCTAACAGATTTTAACGAAGTTAATAAAAATTTTTAAAGATATATCATCATTAAAAAATATCTTGATTAACAGATGGAAACTGGAATGCTTACATGATTGAAAATATTTAAAAAAAAGTTTTGCCAAAACCTTTTAAAGTTTATAAATGTGTCAACTTTATATTTAAATCTAGTTCATAGAAGTACTTTTTATTATACTTTTTGATATTCCAAAAAAATAAAAAATAAAATTTTATCAGCGTTCATTATAATTTGTGATAAACATAATGATTTATTTTTATTATAATATTCATATGATAAAAAATTACCTCTTTGATGAAGAATTATAGTGTCGTTTCACCTTGCATGTTGATTTAAACGCTGGCCATCTATGTGATTCTTCACTATTATCTGAGTTTTCATCAATACTACTATCACCATAGGTTGTAATACCATCGTCTTCATCACTATCGCTAGTAGAAGTAGTTGGTGATGAGGTATTCACAGCTTGGGAGGACTGAGGGCGTAGTTTTCTTGAAGATTTAGGTTTTTCTATAAATTGACAAGGTTTACGAACACTAGAACCACCCCAATTTTTGGCAAGAAGACCAAGTTTCTCTCGCGGTGGTGTAAGTTCAATACCATCCCACCACATAGGCTCATTACATAATAGTTTTCCAGGTGGTAGAGATGGATCTCGTGCTACTAATTTAGTTATTTTTTCAGGAAAAAATATTTGTGGTGGATCTAGAGATATGGCATCTCTGTATAAACTAAAAATATTTAAAACATAGCCATCACTGTCCATTAAGATAGATGGAATATGTTCCTTAAATAAACCAAAAAGAGAGATATCATTAATAATTAAAACTATATATTTTTTTTAAATATAATCTATTATTGTGATTAGATTAATAGATAATAATTACTTTGAATCGACATCCTTCATTGTTGGGTAAAGATTCAAATCGATAAGCTCGTTGACTACAACATGGATATCGTCCTAATGGATAGGACGCAGATCTTTGTTGATCATTTGCAAAAAATTGAGGTATTTCTGGATGAAAAGAACACCAATCCATTTGATTGATAGGAAAATAAGTATTACATTGCCGACAAAAAAGAAAATGACAATCTCCCCAAAGACGCCAATAAACTTTTCTCCAACCACGTAATTCGGATCGTAGATTTATAATATAGTCATTTAAACTCCATGAAAGATCTCTAAAATATTTATTTACTCGATGAATAAAAAACTGTATTGATTGAAATCCAAATTTACAACTGAGTTAATTAGAGTTAATGCAATAGAATAATTAAATGAAAACCTTATATGCCTGCTATGAATATTTCCTGAATGATCAATTTTCATAGCACTTGGATGACAAGAAATATTATCAGCTATAGATCGAATAACATTTTTTCCACATTTGCTACATTTAAAAAGACTCGCTAAAGAACTGTAATGGCCTCTTTTATTGTCAGGAATAGGATCTGATAATGCTAAAATTAATTTGCAAAATAATCGACTTTGAATTTTATCTTTCTTATCTTTTAACGTTTCCACATCTATGTTTGTAAAAAGATTAGCTAATCTCGTAAAAATATTATCATTTAAGCAAGTGAGAATAGTTGATGTTTTTAAAACTTCTGACATATTTTTATGACAGAATAGTAAACATTGATCAAGTAGTGGTTCCATTTGAAGGAAAGAAGCTGAGACAGTAATTGGTATTACATTGTTTGCTTCTAATACTGGCCATTCGGATTTTTTTATCATATCTTTTTTCACCCATCTCATTAACCAATCAAAAATAACTATATCGCAATGGACTGATATATCCATTTCTTCTAACTTTTGTCCAGCAGTTACATCAGCAAAATAACACATCTTTTGTACCAATAACTTTTGAGGGCAGCGGAAGTCTTTCTTTATATTTTTTGCTTCATCACAAACATGAATTTCTACTTCAGTTCTGTAAATAATTAGTAATAATTAATAATTCAATGATTTTATTAATAATTACATAAATAATAAAATTTTAAATCATACTCAAGTGACTTCCTATGTATTTTGCTCCTATCTTTTTCTTTATTTAAAGACTGTGCAGTGGATAATTTATCAATATTATTATTTGTAGCACCAATTTTCTTAGTCTCTGTATTCATTACAGATTTTTTAATTATTGGTTGAGAAATAGAAGTTTTTGGCAACATATAAGGCAAAACAGAATCTAATAATCCTTCATGAAGTATATTACTCAAACTTTTTTTCATAAAATTTGTTAAAGGATATTCTTTAGTTTCTATTACTGTATTAAATTTTCTACTTTTCTCTTTTTTTGCAATATTCTTCAATTGTAAAGACCCATGTATGTGTGAATCTCTGTCAGTGTCTTCTTCACCATCTTTGGCTGATTCTGACTCTAAAAATTCTTCACCTTGTAAATAAGAATATGATTGCTGATTGGATTGTGTTGAAGAACATGAAGGCTTCACTTCCTTGAAAATAATAAAAAAGTATTAATGTATCATTAATTTATCACAACGTATACTTACCTCATCTAGTTTCTCATTAGTCTCATGTGTGCCTACATTCTTATTATTGATAGTCCGTAAATTCAAATCAATTTTAGCTAGTTCTGACCAATTAATTTCACTGTTTTCTGCGAGAATATTAGAAAGACCTTCTATACTATCATTAACTTGATAAGCAGTACGTATAAACTCGAAAAACATTTGAATTGTTAACTGAGGATAGTTTTCTTCATGTTGAGAACTTTTATTCTTCAACGTTTCATCGTTGTGATTGAATATTCTACTGACTAACTGCCCTTTACATGATGCATTCTCTAAAATAAAATAAAATTATGAAATAAATATTACAATAAACAAATAAACTGATATTATAAAAATAACAATGCAAATATCATGATAAATAAATTTTATTATTGAACTATTATTGTTAATTTAAATTTAGAAATGATAGTTTTATAATGTTGTCCTAGTTATTAGTTTACAATTAATCGAGATGAATTATTAGAATTATAATATTACAGATTACTTATCAGATACTTTTTGACAACTATTTTTTATTTAATTAAATTAATGCCCTTTTACCTCCATAAGTCAGTGGAGTATTTAAATGAGTTGATTTATTCACAATAAATTTAAGATTTTGATTATATTTTTGTTCTTGATCAGATAAGTTCATCGTCTTTCGATGCATTATTATTAATTGTAAAATAAATGACACTTCTTTGAATTTTTTTACAAATTAACTTGACAAATACAATATAAAATATTTAATCCTTATGAACATATAGAATATAATTATAATAAACAATTGATTATTTTCGTTTTGATGAACAGTTTCGTAAAATGTATCAATTTATTATTCATTCTTTAGTTTCCAAGATATGGAAATATTATAGATCAAACAATTTTGTTTTATTTACATACACCCGGTGACATTTACCATGCAAACCATTCTTCATGAACAACAGCTGATAACTTCAGTGTTGAGAAATAAAATTTTATTGACCATAATAAATATCAAAAATCAAATTTCAAATATTTAAATGTTTAAATAATAGAGTTGGACAGGTATAATGTTTATAAAAATTAAATTTAATGGGATATAATTTTTTAAAGAGATTATTTTAAAAACTTTTTTAATAATAATTAATCATATTCATTTATAATCATTTTAATTATTAAATGATAGGCAGAAGAATGGATTATAAAGATAAGATGAATATAATGAATCATATCATAGGAGAATAATGTTAAGAAACTTTGATTTGATAATTTTTAAGCAATTTTGTTGTTTCATAGATAAATACCAAAACAAGGTTCTCTGTATAATTACTGGTGAAAACAAGGTATATTATTTATAATCATAAAAAATAACAAAGCACATTTTTAAGCAAGAATAACGTAGCAAATACGAAAAATCATCTAAGCTCCTAATCATAGCTCTTGTTCGTGCCTCATTGGAAACTTGTTTTCATGTATTTATCTTCGTAAAGATGTTATTTTTGATGGTTACGGTGTCGGTACAAGAACAGAAGCGGTCTTATAGATCTTCCATAGACGAATCAAGTGGAAAAGAAAGATGAGAAACGAGAGGTAGACGTGTATAGTAATTGGGACCTAAAAGCAAATATGCAATTACTATATTTTGCTTGGGCAAATATTATAACAAAGCAACAGAGGGGTTAAACGACGGGGCGGATCATATCGGGCGTGCGATCAACGACGTTCCAGGCGCCTTAAACCACATTAAAACCAGCACCAGAACATGCTCCACCCAACTTTTCTTTTCTTATTTTTTTTTTTTCTCATATTCATATTTATAAGAATGTTTTAACATGCACAAACAATATTTTAATTTGATCAATTGATCAAATTTTTGTCAACTATAAGATAGTTGACAAATCTCCAACATGTTGCATCAACAGGACATTCTTTTTTTCGGTGCTCAGTAATGTTTACTCTAGAATTCTTTGTTTGTACAACTTAGATTATATGGACCTGTAATTTCGATAATTACGCCGATACAACTAGTTCATTAATTATTTTACCTTTTAGGACACTTCTGTTAACGCTGCTTTTTCCTCATTATCCTGTGACCGTCCCCCAAACTGTTGATGACTACGAATGACACGGTTCTAACCGGAAAGTCATGGATAATTGTAACCTTTATTTTTGTTTGTATTTACCGACTTTTCTATATTTTGACGTCGAGTTTAAATCAAGCTAACTATTAAAAATTTTTCATAAGAACTTTCAACATGTAATTATTGATTTTTTTAAGCCGGAAACTCTTAGCTATATCAAGGAACTACAAATGATTGGAGTTCACGTTAAAATGGAAACACGCTCGAATGCTTTAACTTAAATTACCATGATCTGATGCCGTATAAGTATCATCTCTTTACGTTAATGTTTTATGGAGTAAGTGTCAAAACTTTTTACACATGGAGCAAAAGAAAATTACTCCAGTAAATGCTGAAATTTCACTGTGAAGTCGCAAAAAATTATTTCCTTAGTTTTTTGTATGTTCCAAGAGTTTAAAAAAATTTTGATTAAAGAAAGAAAAACTTGCCTTGACTCAGATTATCATAAAACTACTTATCAGTAAGAAATTATAGAACGTATAAGAATATTTTTTATGATTACCTAAATCATTTTTTGTAGTTATTTAGTCGAATATTTATTTTTTTTTTTAGTGTATATTGTTTTACACCAAGCTTCTGTAGGAATGTAGACACTGAAGGCAGCTTCAAAAATGGTATTTGATAAACCTATTATACAGTCACACCTGATTCTGAAACAAAAATACATGTCAACATGAGTTGTAATATTTACGGAAGGTGCATCAGTTTCGCGGACATAATTTGTTAATAATTGCGCATCAGTTCCGCCATTGGTGAAGACTTAGGACTCGCTAGCCAACTGGTCCGAAACCCATGCATGGGGAAGCGTGGCGGACGCGTGCTTCTCCCCTCTTTTGGAATCTCATCCACACGTTCTTTTTCTACATCATTCGATGTCCACTAATATTTTACTGAATCATATGATTGACAAACAGGTGATATTTATCAGTTGAATTTATTTTATATATTTCATGAACTCAAGTGATCTCTGAATATATATGTAAAAATGCATACTCATCAACTGATTGTTCAACGTTTCTGAATAAAAGTACATGAAAAATAAAAAACCAGCGTGAAGAAGATACGTCAGACACATTTGATTGGCTCAGCATCACAAGAATACTTCTGCATTCAGCAGAAAGGTAGTATTTAGTTCAGAAAATAATGCAATTATCAAATTAACCCTCGCACCCTCATACAAACAAGTGTTGTTTTCATGGTAGTTTTTGTGTTTTGTTTCTTATTTTTTAGTTTTATTATTCATTCTATTACCTTCTTTTACGTGATTGCTCGCATTTAATTGGATAATTATTAGGATGTCTGTTAAAGACAGAAAGAGAAAGTTTAAAGGGTCAAGTGGTCAAATTTCGTGAATTCAGCGGGAACATTTTTGAAAATGCCAATGGCATCATTTTACCAACCTTGTAATTTTGTTAGTAAATACTATCATCAGATTATAAAAAATTTGGTAAAAATAAATATCTCAATCTAATATGTGAGTAAATTCATGGAGAACATTTTTATAAAATTCCAACATGAAAGACTCTTTGTGATATTGGTTGTATTGATCATATTCTTATTTCAATTTTACTCCTAAATAATTCTTCAATCATGTCAATCACATGTTACCATGCTGTCAAATAATATTTTGGAGCCAGGAAAAAAAATTGTTCAAATTATAGTTGATGATTATCTTTGCATGTGTAAAGATGATGCAGAGATGATGGGATTTTTACAAAGTAAGAAATGTTTCGAAGAAATTGATTAACTTTGTTGCAGAAAAATGGAATAAATTGTAGCGTAATTATTTCTTTGAAAGTCTAGCAGATCTAATATTTATAATTCATCTTAAGATGAAACATATTTAAATAATATTCATCTAATCATGATCAGCTAAACAGACTTGCAACAATGACACGTCATTATTATTCATTAGGAAAAAGATACATAGTTTTGTGGTAATATTTGATCCAGGTACTTTGCTAAATATGACCACAAGTTTTTTTATGATTTTTTTTTTGAAAGAATACCGCACGTTAAAAATCCATTAAAACCAGAAGCGTTTTGGCTTCACTGTATTAGCATGACTAAAAAGCCACAAGAGCTATTTCTAAACTGGACAAAACATAAGAGATAATGGTTAAAAAATCTGTTTTCAATAGTGATGGTACGTGACTAAAATGCCTTTGTTAAATATCTTGTTCAATAGCACACTTCAATTTTCTTATTAGATTTGTATTGATATTTTTCATATAAAGGAAGTTCCTTTCTTATTTAATAATGTCCATCAAAAAAATGAACGAAAATACAGGCAATTACCTTTTTTCTTTAGTTCCTGTTGAGAGAACAAAAAAAATTAAGTAAATATTAAGTTTCATTTTGACTGGATGTGTCACCAGAAGAGCTAATTAAATTTCCATTTAGTTTCCCATCCTCTCATGACTCCAAATCTTCTATAAGTCCACAGGAAGTGAAACAAATTTTCGTCAACTAAACATCCTCCTAAGGTCAGTTTTACAAAACCTTAAATTTGTCAAAACAGAAAATCTCTTTCGGCAACCTAGAAATTGACCAAGTTGAATATTGTGAGAAAAACTTTTCGTCTGAATGATTGATATTTATTTTTATTCTTTACCTTAAATTTAAGGGCATTTAAAATGCATCAAAGAGGCAGAGAAAATTTTTCGATACTAGTCTCATGGTATAGGACTTGTATACGGTAAAAGACTACATCCATGGAAGAAAGAGATCATTGAAGGATGTAGAGGGAGGGAGGGGCCTAAAAATGAAGAACAAGGGGATAAGGTAGAATGATGCGACTCCGTGGGAAGCAAAAGATGCAAGAGATGCAGAGTTTGAACTTTTACAGAGAGCTCAAATTGCCTCTTGCTTGGCCACCTTCGTTTCCTTTCCTTTTTTTTCCATTTTTTTTTTAATTCTGCTCTGCCACATTATACATGTTCTCCATTATTTGTCTCGATTATTTTATGGTACAAATTTCATCTCTGACACTCGGGTAACTAGATATCTGTTAATGCATTTCAGATATTTGGCGTTAAATTTTACTCCTTTTCAATATCTGCTAATACCTGTAAAAAATTTTATTATTATATTTGTAATTCATATTTTTAATACATATATTTATTTATTACTGACTAATTATGGTAATGCTGTATTTCCAACATTTACCACTAAAAATTTAATTATATATTTTTTTAGTTACCTGATGAATAATAATTGTTTAAAGTGCAAATATTGAATTAGATGCACTTGTAACTATACTTTATAAGAAAAAATTTTTTTATATTTTTTTTAGTTAAAATAATTGGTCTAAATGGATTGGTGTTAACTTTTCAAATAAATATTTCTTCTCTTTGTGATTAAAAAGTGATGTAACAAAGCTATTAGTCTAAACATATGTTAATCCAGTAAATGAAGTGTTTCTTAATAATATCCTTGATAAGTTATGAGCCATGTCAGTTTATCGTTAGACTAAAATTATATGAGAATCTTTTTATTTGTAAGTCGCTTTAAATGGCGTTAATAGTAATCCGATCTTTTTGCTTCTTATTCCCAGCTTCTTTTTAGTAGTAAATTTTTTTATTTCATTCTTTAATACTTTTGATACAAAATAATGATCTTGATCCCTATTAAATTTGACTGCGCATAATAATCTCCTTTTTTTCTTGATTTATCGCTTATTCACAAAATTGTATTTCGTATACGTTTGATTAGTCTTCAAATAGGGATTAAAAAGATGATCTTTTAATTTATTATTTTAAGAAAATCACAAATTCATCTATTTCTCATTTTTCTGGTGAGTAATTGAGCAAAATTATGGAAGGAATAACTAATTATAGCACTTAAGGTTTTTGCTAGTGGACGTCAAAATCCGATAATATTTTCTACTCTGTTTTACCACCTTGAAAAATTCAAGAGTCACACTAATTACTCATGGACTCTACAAATATACAAAGATTTTTCTTAGGATTACCAGACATTTCGAGTACCTTCAAAATTTGTGCACTTAATTATTCGACACTTTTGGCGTGTGAATTTACATATAACCGGTTTTCATTTATTTACAAATGTCTAATCTGTAAGATCTTTCGCTTTCTTGTCTGAACCCTGGACTCCTTAGTCTCCCGAGTGAATTATGGAAGTAGAAGGTAGTCTCGAAATCTCAAGGGACGAACAAAGAAAAGGATAGAAGTAGTGGGAAAAAAGAGATCCTTAAAGCCTATTCAGCTATAATCCTGATGACGACACTTCACTAATCGACGATGCAAACATGTGAGATTTATTCGTGTGTGTATATTATGCACTTCACATTCAAGTGGAACTTGAATAATCACTAGATCGCACTTGTACATATATGAGTCCTTATGTTTTTAAAAGCTCTTCAAATAAATAATTCTTTAACAGTGTAAATACCATTGTTACATAACTAATTGTAAGACTTCAAACAACTCACTTCATATTTTATGTCATTAATTGTCGACTAAACTTTGTTTTTTGTATGCATCAATTAATTTAAATTAATAACAAAAAATTCGTTTTCTTTATCTAACATTTTGGAGTAAATTATTTATTCTCAATGTTTCCTCTTCTTTAATTGATTTAAAAATGTTTATAAAAATTTTTGATCAACCATTTTTCATTATAGAATGAAATGATGATATTGAAAAGTGTTAAATCATGAAACTCCTTGTAAAAAAAAGAACTAAATAATTTTTAGGAAGTATCTATCTAACAATTTTTTGACAGAGACTCGTTAATGATGACGTGATCCACCTCTTGTTCATCACAGTATCATTCCTAGTACCTTTCATATTGTTTTCAAGATAGACTAGGGTTAATTGATGGCGAATCCACTTATAATCAATCAGTGAAGATGAAAAATGTAATAAAAAATACTGATCACTCATTGTAATTTAGCAGGTAGTCTCTTATAGAGTCCAGTTGAAAATAGACTTACTATACCCTTTTATTCTCTATTCGAAATCCTCGATGCATTCTTCGCACGTATTTAAAAGCATTTAAGGGTATAACCTCCTCGAGGCACTCAAGTGGCCTTTCTTTGCCACGGTCATTCTCTCTCTTTTACTTTCTTATAGTTACAATGCTGAGCTTCTTGCGTATTATTTGTTGGTGAAATAACACGCTGTCAGTCTCGTAGTGGATATGCTAAATATATGCTAGTTGGAGATGAGCAGAATCGATCGTCTCTTGCCTTTAAGTGTTATGTTACACGTCATGAAACACGCAATGCCATTTAAGAATCTATTCTACTCTGATTCTTTCACTTGTATCTTTTTCATATTTTTCTATTCAAGAATTTCATCTGATTGGATATTTTCTTTTAAAATTCTTATTATCTCTTTTACTCATATTTATTGTTGTACATATTATCACTTTGATTGAGGTTAGATCACTTTTACCAGTTTATATTACACGGTACTAATATTTATTTTTCATTCATTTTGCAATCTAAACAAAAATAATACATTGAAATACTATCAATAACAAACAATCTTTGAAAGTAACCATATTTTTGTTTTTTCTTTGCTGACCAAGTTTCTAAAAAATAACGTAGATAATAAGTAATGTAGATATCGTCAGATGGCATGATAACGACGCCATTATTTCTCGCATGTGCTTTCATTACTATTTGATATAATATATAAAATAAATTTGATATAATTCATAGAGGATCAGGTCAGGGGTTGTCAATTTGCTTTGCATACTGACACATTGATAAAGAGACTAGTACTCATGTGTTTTCCGTGCCAACGCTTTCACAGCCAAAAAAGTTCAGTTGGTCATGGCCTGATCCGTTATTTTTACCACGAAATATACAAAATTAAATCGCAATCAATGCTATATTATAATATTATCTAATTAGCTTCTTATTAATTATATTAAGTTTCTAATAAAGCGTTGACAGGGTAATTTCCATTTTTAATTAAATAAAAAATCTTACAATTTAATCTTTATTTGATTTATACCAATTTAAACATTATACCCTTTTTTGACGTGCTCCAATTAAGTTCCTGACACGTGGCAGTTATTTACACGGTAGCACATTATCCATGATACACACGCGTTCGCTATCGTGGCCAGTACATGTACTCATAAATCAGCTGTGCAATGATTGAAAGTGTTGAAAACTTCATTTAAAAATAAATTAAAAAATTCTGCTAATATATCAGATAATAACCAATATTGGATGTAATTTTTCAACATCATCTTAATTAATAGTACATATAATTTTAACATTAAAAAAAGAGCTATTCAGGAACTAATTAATAAGTTAAAAACAAACTTCCGGTTAAGTGTAATTTTATAGATCAAATCTTTCATTTCTTCGAAATCTCTCGAGTTTTTTACGCAGTAAAACAAAACGAAAAAAAAAATAAATTAAAGAAATCGGGCTTTAGCATGTAGTCAAGGACGACCTCAGTGAAAAATTTACTTGGTTCATTGAAAAAAAAAGAAAATAATGAATAATATAGAAGTCAAAGGAAGAGATGAAGCCTTTTGTTAGTTTATTTCTTTGGCCGATTGGTTGATCAAACAATGCAAGGACCGATCGGATCCCGCATAGACCCACATAATTAAAGGGGGTATAATCATGGTCCTCCATATACTCCTCCTTTCCGTCGATACTCACATTAACTTAATTGCTTTATTGGATTAGATTCAGTGTAAAATTGAGGAGAAAATTTGCAAACGTTCCTCACATAAATAACCTCATTTGTTTTCAAATCTTTATTTGGTAGGTATATTGAGAATTAAGCTGATGCATTTAAAATATAATATTTATAAATACTAATGATGAAAGTTTGATTTGATAATTTTCTACTATGTTTCAGTTGATGAATTTTATTATTCAAAGAATTAGAAATAATATAAAACAGTATGTTGGAAAAGGTTATGACAAGCATCAGTCAACGATTCTAACCAGCAATTACGAGATTACGATGTAACACTAAAGGTGGTAAAACGTTGGCAAAGGTCAACTGGGGTCTCCATATCACATTTTAGCATACATTCAACATATACTGTGTGTCATGTCTTGCAGTAACGAGCTGCTAACGTGGGCGGACATTCGTGAAACAAGTGGGATCTCAAGTGAGGTGGAATGAGGTAGATTTTTATGAAGTTTCACACTTGGTTTCGTTCTCAACACCATTTATGAAAAGATAATATACATTTATTTTAACTTTTTAACGAGTTAATAAAAAAAATCATGACAACTGATTCTGACCCCAAGAAGATACAATTTGAAGTTTAAAAGATTGGCCTAAAGAATGTTTAGGAAGAATTCGTGTTGAGGATGGAAAAGAATCATCGAATAACTAATAGTGTATGTATGTATGTTTTAATAAATAGATAATGTTAATTTTATATACTTTTTTACAGAACTGAAGAAAAAAATCGTCCTCTTCAAGATGACTATGAATTTATCGAATGGTTATAAATTAGGCCATGAACATTCTGTGGTACTTGACCAGGTAGCTGACCAAAAAAGCGTGACTAGATTGTCTTCACTAAAGTTGGGTAAGATTTTATTTATTGATTGGAGCACAATTAGGTTCAATTACGATATTTATCGGAGTAATTGTAAAATAAAGTTATCAAATAGATAAAAATAAATTGATTTTATAATAATATTACTGAATACTAGTATTATACTAAAATATGGTGCTATTATAAAAAAAGAGGTGTATCTTATTAGCTAAGCAACTCATGCACACATGACTGAACATTTCTCAGACAAATTGCAGCAGAAAATAATGAAAAAAAAAATCCTTTCATCATAAATTTGAATGTAGAGAAACCGAGAAAAATGAATATGGGCAGAGAAACTGTAGTATTTTTAGGGTTGGACGAATGGGCGTTGACTTGAGGTTTAGAAAAAGCATCGGTCAACGAATTGAGACGTCTAAAGTTAGTCGAATCTTGCAGGATAATGATTAATGCTGACTGCGGGTCGTGGGTGGTCTAGGGTTTTCATGTAATATACATCCCAACCTCTAATGACTTTTTAACATGTCATCATTTCTATTCATATATGTAATATTGTTGAATACTCTTAGATTCAGATCCTAAATTATATTCTATTTCCTAATTTAGTTATAAAATCTTATGTAATACCATTCAAACGTGTTATAATAATTGAAACTTGGAAATTTAATCAAATATTCTTAATGTAGTCTTCCCTAATTCCGTAATACATTCCTATGAAAATATAAATCATTGATTTATTGCAATATTTCTATCATGTAATCATGTTGGAGAATATTATGAAGTTGTTTCTTTTTATACATGAAATATAGCAATAGTAATCTATCACCTATCTATTTATTTTTATTGATTTGAACACGAATGGATGTTTTAGTGCGCGGATAAGCAGAATGGACCATCTTTCTTTGGATTATTATGGAAAATAATTGGATTGAATAATTCAACATGATTTGATTATCACATTGAATTATTTTTTAAATTTTGAACACCTCTGAGTCTTTAAAGTTTGACAACACATTTTCTATGGATTGTTGATGATATTCATAATATATTATATAAACTTGGTAAGTTTTATTTGAAGACATTTTTTAAATAATCAAATTTACAATATAGTGAGTAGGAGAAAGATGAAAATACAACCATCATTGTATAATTGATGTACAATAATTTCAATAATTACCAATTTCTTCGAGTGTTTTATTTTTATAACTTTCCATCTACATGTTTCAGATGCACGTGCCTGCTATCATTTTTGAGTGATTTACAGCTGACTTTTACTTCAAATTACACATGTAAAAGTCAAATTTAAAAATAGCACTTGATGGTGTTACAAGAAAGGTTTTTTTTTCTTGGTGTTATTCTACTCAATTAATAATTATGCACTTGAATGGAGGATATATGATAGAGTTATAGGGTATTTCGCGAGATCCAGATGGAACAGGAAGCCATATAATACAGAACGAAGCGTGCAGCGATAAATACTTGTGTAGCCCTTAAGACACCTGCCTGGATAGTACACAGATGCTGAATGCGAGAACGGAAGATACATAATAATACTAAGCATGATTATACAAATGACCTAACAACCGAATCTTAAAAAGTTGCAGTGTCCTTTATTTTATTGTTTTCTAGGATTCCTAGTAGCAGGATTCTATTCAGACTTATTCTTACATACCTCTTCTTCATAATAATTTTATCGTTGTAAAATTATAAATGCATTGCTCTTTAAAATATTTTGCTCTATTTTTCTGCATGAAAACCTCAAATTACTTTTAACAGTAAAATTCTTCAGATTATTCCTTTACTCTAATAGTTGAAGTTCTTTATTTGTTGATATATTTTAAAGTTTGATGAAATAAACCAAAATAAAAATTATAAATTTTTTTACAGGAATCATAGCATTCTGAAAATTATACATTAGAATGCGAAATATCATAAAACAGGAGCAAAATATTAGAATGAAAATGCAATAAACATTTTATTTCATTCTTAACATGAGTGCAGTGTCTATTATCTTCATTAATATCAGAATGAATTGTTTCGAATGAAGCTACTAAAATAAGTCTTAGCACGTGGATTTTCAAGGAGAGAAATTGTACAGAGAGTAACACAAGTGAATAGTTGATGATGCTAATGATGAAGAAAAGGAAGTAAAAATGAAAATCTCATAAATGAACAGACGTCTACGTTTTGCAATTTACGACCCAACATTCATGGATCAAGCCTGCCTTTGTCGGCAATGCTTCTATACTGGAGAAGAAGAAGAAGATGAGGAAAAAGAAGATTCTACGTCAATGATTAAGTTGGTGTGAAGAGTAAGAGTGGCATTGAGTCTGTTGGATTGGTTTTCAAAATTAGAAATTGTGTATAACCACCAAACAGACTTACGTTACATCTTAAAATTGACCGCATGCTATAGTTCCAACGAACAAATTTAGGTGATGATCAGAGATCGTTCAAAGTGGTCAGACAAGTTGACAAAAGGTTTGTCGAAAGCACTAGAAAGAGATTTCTATGATTCTTAAATATGATTCTTGAAGAACTACCGCAAATGATACGAATTGATTGTTACGGTTGCTCAACAAAGGACAACTTTTAGATGCTTGAACTTGTTATTTTCAAGCTATATTAGAAGGCGGCTGGATGCGAATTAGGATGCCAGGTAGTTACTTCTTGTAATTCGCAGGCGGGAGACATGACTGACCAAGTAAAATCAATAATTTACAAGATATTTTTACAAGGACCCGACTAAAGTATTTAGAAATATGTCTAAAGCCGAAATGAGTTTGTGATATCGAATACCGAATTTACGACGAGAGATGAAGATCGTGTATAGTGATATAAAGTTATGGGTACCCACGAGGACCACCCGGACTATTTGGATCGGTATCGAGTATCAAGGGAAACACTAGGGCATTTTGGAATTTCGTTGACACCTGTAAATTTTAAACGATCAATTTCTCTTTGCTCAACTAGCTGAGAATATATAGGCGATATTGCTAAGTTCAAATACTTTTTGATGTCATTCGTTCATTCCTCCAATTATTGTACTCGAATCATGAGCTCTTTTTATTTGTCTACATGGAAAAAAATTCAAACATTGTTAATACTCTATTAAACAAGATCATTAACCTGTTAATATTCGATGTTACTAAGTTGAAAAAGGAGTAAAGAATTTTTCTGACTATTTATGTTCATATTAGTCTAAAGTTAGTGTAGCTTTTAATTGTTTTAAGTGAGTGTGAATAATAGTCAAATTAAAAGGTAATTTTTCCCCCTTGACTTATAATAGTTTTTATATCTTTTTTTGTAGTATAAAGTAGTTAAAGTTATAACACTAAAATAAATTTAGTAAGTGTGACAAAAATTTGTCCTTCGAAAATATCTGTCGAACTCAATATATTCTATAATAATTTAGAAACAATATAGCTTAAAATTCCGTATCCGCCCCTAATCTGATGGTTAAGTAAGTGAAGGGTGTCACAGAAACTTCGCACCTATTTCAAAATCTAATCTTGATTTAGATCTTGTATCCACATTAATGCTTATGTTTTGTTTCAAACCAGTTTTCTCTATTCGACTCTTATTTTTCTAGTGACGATCTGAATCTTTGGAACAGCCTTTACACCATGAAGATGAAAATCAAACAATGTATTGTGTTCAGCAAGTCTGTATCAGCTGGTTATCTTGTTCGTCAGGTTTGTTTTCACAAAACCTGTCACATTTTATCAAAATTATCCTTAAAACAGAACTAAACCATCAGTTTACTTATCAAAAATCTGTAGCTTCTTTAGGAGCTAAAGAAGGTTTTGAAGTAATGAAAAATAGTGAAATTTGAAATTAATTGAAGATTTTTTAGACATTTAAATATACTAGTAATTTCCGGTGTCATAATATATCACGAGAAAAGTCTACTTTTGATTATAAAATTAAAGAATATGGCTTCCTTTTCGGGTTTATGCTTCCGCCCGCTAATTCGAAGATACGTTTTATGGATATAACTTTGTAATAAAGTTAAGGAAAAGGGATGTTGAAAAAAATAACATACGCCATAGGGCCCTATCGAAAATTCGACGATGAAAGTCGATAGTAGTTTAATCGCAAGGGTAACTGTTCGGCCCATTTTATAAGGCCCAACCATCAAAATATCGAGGGCCGCCCACATCCGTTACCATCCCGTCACTCAATGTTGATTTTCTCATATACTTTTGATACAAGTATGCATTATGTACATCTATAATCGTGTTAACATGCGTATATCTATATATCAACTGAATCAGATGCATTATGGTGCAATCGTTTACTTCTATTTCACACATTTTGATATTTCTCATCATCCAAATTATGTAGGTTCATTGCTTCTCATGTCAGCATATTTGCAATAAAAAAAGGAAGAAATAAACTCAATTAGACTACAATTTATTATACTGGGGAGAGTAAAGGGTTGTTTTAATTTATTAGTGTGCTACTTGGTTGAATAAAAGAAGAACCATTATTACAATTATTTGATTTAAGTCAAATTATAAACTCTAAATAGTTTGGATATTGGATCTTGATGTTTTTTAAATTAACAGAAGTAAGTTTTTAAATCCAAGATTCTGTTTGAAAAATTAGTGGTACATATGTGTTTTTAGCAGCAAAGGGCTTCATTAAATTAGACAATATTGCTTCACATGAGTAAAAGCTTAGTAAATAAACGGAAATAAAATAATTTATTCTCCTTTTTATATCAAAAACCTGATAATTATCTAAAAAATTTTATCATTTTTATAAAATCAGATAAAACAAAAATGAAGTATTGTTACTGAACTAGACCCTTCTGTAATAAATCTCATAAAATTTTCAGTAAGAATGACACCGCCCAATTTTAACTTTTTTGTTATATTTGAAGATGAATTTATCTGTTCACTGAAACCATAAATATATTGTTATAATAAGTTGTTGATGAAATGATATCAAATATTTCAGGTATTCCTACCTCAGACTTTTTACCTTTATCATATCTCCACAATGACAAAGCAATGTGTTTTTACTTTGTGTTACTGGGTGTAGAAGACCGAAAGAGAAAGAACGAAAAAAATGGTTTACTTTTGTCTCAAGCTTCTTAACGAGAGTTCGCGGCCATATGGGTAGCATACGGTGAGCAGAAGAAGATTCCCTTTTTCTGGTCTCACTGTATAGTTTTAATCCACCACCAACTACTGTCAAAAAAAATTCAGTGGTTCTACTACGCACTTGAGAAATTATCGACAGGTAAAAGACGTTGGCACGCGCCCCTTCTTGTATTAGTATAATCATTATTGGAGTTATGAGAAGTCAGAAAATAATATATGAAACCACAAATCTTGATGGAAAAATATTTTTTTGGATTGAAGAAAAGCTTTTGGAATTAATTTGACATAGAAATTGATTTATAAATAAAAATATGATTTCAATTACTTTCTATTTTCCACCAATGAAAAAATCAGAAAATTTATGTTTTTTTTTGTTGATGAAAGATAAGTATTTAAAATTACAATAATTTGTGATAATTAGGGTGCAAAAATGTAAATTGAATCTAAATGAAAAATTAGTTATTTTCCACCAAGTGATAACTTTTATAGTGTTGAATTAATATTCATCCTTTCTGAGAAAACATTTATTTTTCTCTCGATCTGTGTTGTTTTCGAATAGGAAGGTATTTATTTCTTAATAATTCGCTACTAAGAATTTAGGAAATTTTTCTATAGAAAACTATTCTATTTCGAATTTTCATCAAGCGATTTCTTTGATGCAGACTTTTTATTCCTCCAAAAGATCTTTTTAACCATAAAACAGGCAATCACTGTAGAAATGAAAACCAACTTTTATCTTTGATTGATGCTGATTAAATTCTAAGCTAGTATTAAAAGGTGTATTATAGCCATAAGTCTAGTGAAATTTTGGAAAAGAGAAATGGCGGTATACGAAGCCCACGATATATCTACTAAATAGTGAACTTAAAAGAGTAGGAGTTACACTTATCAAGAAAAAGAGGGAGACAACGGTGGTTCATCTCCGTGTATTATATCCCGCTTGCCAACTGTCCCAGGTGTACGTAAAAGTTCCAGGCGTGTGGCTGGCGCGTGCTGACTCTCCTTCTTATTCCAACTTCCCCCTTGAGTTTCGATTGCCCGCCCTTGCATTACCACTGATCATTGTTTCGACTCGGTCACGCTTTACAACACACGCGATCAATTCAGACGGACTATTATCGTGGAGGACTATCCTTGCTTTCGGTATTACTTCCTTCATTTTCACAGTGATGAATCCAGTTTTTTCTTCAGGATAGAAAAATTTTTGAAAGCTATTTATGATGAGTGAAATTGATGTCTTCAACTCATTAACATCGTTTAATGTGTTCATAATTCGGAAAGCTTGCTCTCTCAGAATTTTAGAGTAACTTAGGATATCTTGCCGTGATGTTGTTGGAGACAGCATAACCGACTTGAGCATGACCACAGGATGCAATAATTTTTTTTTTTGTAATCTGAAAAATTATTATTATTTTAATATTATTTATCTGATGTAAAAGTTTTTATTTATATCTATAGCAGAATGCAAATTGTAATAGCAAAATGTTTTTTTACTAAATCAATGCAAGATTTTTTTTAGTTCCCTATGAGTATTGAGGATATGAAAATGACCGGTTGCTAGCATTAATATCCATAAAAATCTAATCTAATTTTTGTGCATGCAAGAAATTGAATAAGTGCAGTCATTTGGGTATCTTTGGTTATTGATTAATTGCGTGTTGAGCTTCAGGCAATATTTTAATATGAAAACAATCGACTCTCGTTTATTATCGTGCTCTACTGGAGATGAGAACGTAAACTTCAAGAGATCACATTATGTTAATTTTTACCACGAAGAGATTTCTTTATATTGAAATTCTAAATAATTCCAAATTTCACCATCGTCAAAGATTGCTGAACTAGTTTTTTAAAATTAGTGTCTGTTTCGTGTCATATTTTAAGATTTTTCCTAAAAAGAATATGAGGGATGGAATTTAAGTAGTGAAGTTAGATACGGTTATTGTGAAGAAAATAATCTGTTGAAGAAATAAACCGAGTCTTTTCTAGCTTTGAGGCCACCATGACAGAAATTGGAGCCTTTTACGTCAATTAGGGACCAAAGTTTGTCAAACTTCTTTTCTAAAATAAAATACACAAATTATAATAATTCAAACATAACAACAATTCCATGCTTTTTGTTGATTAATCGTATTTATTTTTAATATAATCAAAATATTCAAATGCTTGTTTTTTTTATCTTTAACAGTTGACATTTACTGTAAAATGTTTTATTGTATTCGATTTATTAGAAAGAATTATCATACGCAAATATAATCGTGAAGATATTTTTTGCAGTGTTTTGAATACATGGACCACACAGAAGGGTTCGCTATTAAATTTTGCATATACGCGTCCCAGGAACAAACTAATGGTAACACTATATTCAATTTTGATATTGAATATTAAACAGCGATTGGAGAATGAAATGAATGAATTTCAAAGGTTATTTGGAGACCCTCTAAAATCTCAATCCCCATCAGTTCCCAGCTTTCAACCCTTACTTTTTTGCTTTTTTTATACTTGATCAGAATATAAATCTTTACCTACAGAATTATAATCTCTCTTATGTAATTCTCTAATATTCGTACAAATTTTGTCACATTTAAGTTAAATACATAGAATAAACCATTAGAAATTAAATAGAAAAAAATAAATATAAAAAAATTCACTGCTTTCAACTTTGGATAAAAAATTATATTGAATAAGAAAATAAATTAAAAAATATGATCATCATTCAATAAATTGTTATTTGATAATTTACCTGTGGTAACAATATTCCTTGAATTTTTATATCGACGTAGTCTCATATGATCCAAATTTGTTGCATATGATCCAACCTACTTGTTCTTCACAATCTGGATGACAAATTCACGTTTATGCATGTAAAAATTATTCATTTAATGTCTACCAGTATCTGTAATTCTGTTATTGTTATTTTTATAGAAAATTAAATATATAATTTCGATAGCTTTGCTACGAAATGATCTTCTGAAGGTTATAGATGGATCCTCGTTAAAGGTAATTGGAAATGTGGTAGCGGAACTGCATAATGTGATGATCGACTTCTAAGAAGATTCGTCTCCTTTGGTTCGTGATCTTGTTCTCTCGCGCGCTTATGTTCTATATTTTTATTTTTCGTCTTTAGTGAACAACAAGTGCCGACGTTCGTGCTTTAGAAACGTCCCCTCGGGCTTTCCGTCGAGACTTTGCTTATTGATTATTCAGCTACACTATGCGCTATTTTAAGAAAAAAATATACATTTTTAATAACATTTATTTTAAAAATTAGTAATCAAAAAGAACAAAAAAAAAATTCACAGACTACTGAATAAAAAATTTAAAAGGGATTTTTCATTTCAAACATTCTATATATTAAAGTGAAGTTTCGATTATAAATTTGTTATTAAATGTCTTCATTATCCCAAGCAGTAACCCGAAAATTCTCAATTAAGGATTATTCGATCAATTTATTTCAGAAATCTGAACACTGGTAACTATCAATCACTAATCGAAAACGTCTTTATATATACCTTGAATTCAAGTTTAAAAGGTCTATCGGTGGTAGACCTCCATTCGAATTTTGCTTCACATTCTAAATCTTCATATATGTGCTCCCATAAATAACGGCTAGTTGTTGGGACGAATGAAACATGTTATTTGCCACTGAGCTCCACCAAATGAGTTCACTTTGTATTTAATTACTTGGTTCACGCCCATCTGAAACTAAAAATGTAGCTACAAAAAATCGGCCGCCCTCAAAGAAAAAAGAATTATTTTTTTCCACTTTATTAATTCATGCACCAGTACATCCCTCACCTTTCTCAACGGATACTTTCACATGATTTGCTTTGTTTTGGCTATTTAAAAAAATTTTTAAAACAGCCCTTGCTAAAAAAGAACATTCCAATTTTTTCTATTCAATAGAAGTCACAATCTGGATATTTATATATCAAACATATTGCAGTTGTTTTTGTTGAATAGAATTCAGGATTTAAAACATAATTACTAGGTTCAAGCTTGCATGGTATTTTGGATTTAGATCATGATGAATGAAAGTAATTCGTTATTACACTCATGATGTTTTTCTCAGCAATTCTATTGTTAAATATTAATTTTCGTTTTAAAATTGATTTATTCATAACAGTCATAAATTTATAAGGTTGTTCAGATAAATCAAATTTTCTTTCATTGTTTTGAATTTTTCTTTTGATCATTACTAAAATTCTTTAGAAAACCTTTTTCGCCCATCTAATAAGTAATTTAGGTAAAAAGGTGTGAAATCAATTCATTTCTTGTGGAATGTTATTTTTGAATGAACAATAAAGTGTGTACTAAAAAGTTAAAAACCCTGAAAGCTTGGAGGATTATCACATGGGTCTACTACTTAGGGAATTTATCGAAGGCCCACGGGCCAATCGCGAAATACAATAAGGGTTCTTGTGTTTTCTAGTGACAAAGAGGTAAAAAAACGAGAAAGAGGACTAGAGTAAATGAGATAAGATAGAAAGAGAAAAATGTATAACAAGAGATCGGGTTGCCAGTTAGACTGGACCACCTTCGTGCTCACCGCAAAACTTTATCCTACCTGTTTCTGCTAATTGAGCGAGAGAAGACGTAACTGGACCTTATGCCCCTAAGGTATTTGCATCTTTTTTAGACAACGTATCGATATTTTCCCTTTTAAATTACTTTCGCGATATTTTTTTAGAAATCGTGCAAAAATACTTTTAGAAAATTAAATGATTGATTTAAAAAATCTTAACCATACAATTTGTATAATAAGCAAAAAAAAATATTTTTCAAAATTGTGTATGTTTCGATAAATATAAATAAAATTAACAAACTATCGATTAAAAATTAGATTCTTATTTAAATGATAATGAATTGCTGTGAATAATTCCCCTATAAATTTTAAAAATTTATTAATTTTGGAAATTTTATAATTTTTCTCCCTTTTGATATGGAAAACAAAAGTTTTTAGTTGTACCATTAAAAAAATGCACTGGTTTTCTCCATAAAAAAAATTTGAACCGAATCAAATCGGAAATAGGTCAGCGAGATTGAAAAAGACTTTGTCGGAAAGTATTTTCATTCATTTGATTCTCCCGACAAGCCGGAACACTAAGAGGCGTCGGCCTATGAAATTGATTTTCGTTTCTAAGAATCATTAGCTCAAATGCACGCACGTATTAACGATATGTCAAGACCTGCAGCAGTCAATTAGGTGAAAAAACTTAAGAATGGATAAGGGATGGTGGATATGGCTTAGCAGTCATTAGCAAGTGAAAAACCTTGCAGCTACTGATTCTCTCTGAATGACTTGACAATTGAGGGCTAGTGGTAATAGAGCTAAACAAAAGAGAAGAAAAAAGCCGACAAAACAAAAACAATAGAAAAAATGGTGTTGAAACAACTATTTAATGACGAAAATCAGCAAATTTTTTCTAAGATTTATCGAAGTAGTACTGAAAATAAATTCGTCATGAACATCATTATTTTTTGTTTCCGAATTGAATTGTACAAAATTTTTCTTTCTATTCAATAACAGTTTAACTGATGGTTTATTTAAAAATTAAATTTCTTTTTAAAAATAGTTGACTAGTTAACTAAAATGTAATATTTTCTCAGAATATTTTTTAAAATTAAAAAGATTCAACATTTGAAAAATAAAATCTCTTCTCTTTAAAGTAAATTTGCTTCTTTTAAATAACATTAACACGAACACGTGGTTATTTTTTTTTCTAAAGCCTCAGGCTTGTTCTAAGTGCAAGGATAATTTTCACTCTCAATTATTTTTACCATGGTAGTGCACTATACATTTCGTTCTATTAAAGGATATAAAATTGTGTAAGCGATTATATAAAGTAACGAGTATGTTTTAATTAAAACTTTTGCCCCGATAAGTTAAGATGGTGTTGGTCCTACTTTTTAAATATTTTACGCAAATCAGAAAATCGTTCCGACTTTGAGCTTATTTTTAAGTCACGCGATTGTGCGGAAAGTAATAAGGTAAAAACAGAATCTAAAAAACATAGAAACAGCAAAGGAAAAATAAGTTAAAGCAGAAGAAGAAACTGAAGAAGGAGATAGGTTTAAATGCACAGGTACAGGCGCCGGAGCCACCTGTTATGAATTCTCTGGGCGTTATTGTAAGCTGACCCAAAAGTAATAGGTGGGGAATGATTCTCTGTTTCTATTGGTCAGAAGGCACGTGCTGCACGAGGGTGCCTTGCTCCCCAAGCACATAAATTCCGGCATCAAGCAATTCCCACCTCAGAATCTCTTCAGAAGTTGAGGGAGAAGTTCAGTTCTAACTTAAAGCCCTAGAACACATCAAAGTAACAAAATATACAATCCTAGTAAACACGTTTCAGTATTGAAATTACAAAAAATATTAAAAATATTGAAGAAGTGTGTGGTATTGTGAAGTTAACAAATAAAATTTAATTTTTAATAATTATGGAGCTTCAAGAAATGTTCAGATACGGTTATATGTTTCCAACTCAAGAAGACAATACACCAACATACTTAGAATTACCAGAGTATACCTACGTGAAAGATAAAAGTGTCTTATTACCACCAGTGAGCTCAGTATTAACAGTTCAACCTCATTGTGTTCTATACGAAAACAACAGTGATGGTTGGAATACTCCAAGCCCACCAGCAAGTCTACGATCAGTTAGTCCATCCACAACTATTTCTTTCACGTCTGAAGATCGATCAATTTGCGAATCACATGAAATGCATATAAACCAATTTACTCATCAACAACCAGCTAAAAGGAAGCGTACTGACCGTCGTAGTTTGCATGAATCCAGTAAGCGTCGTCTACAAGTTCATGTTCAGTTAAGTGGTGTTAATCATGAAGAAGAAGAAAATCAAGTAGATCACAATGAAGAAAAGTTATCCAGCCGTAGTATCGTCAGTTCCAGTTCATTTTCTGATTGTGTGGAGATGGATTTGGAAAGCGATGGTGGTGCAAGTGAAGTAGAAGAACCTAGAAGACGTGGAAAATATGTAAGTTCAACAGTTGTCAAGAAACGAAGACTGGCTGCTAATGCCAGAGAAAGAAGACGAATGCAGAATCTCAATAAAGCATTTGATAGACTTCGTACTTACTTACCATCTTTAGGAAATGATAGACAATTATCTAAATATGAAACACTCCAAATGGCACAATCTTATATTACTGCATTGTATGATTTACTTCAATGATTACTTTGTTAACAATTTTAGAATAGTTTTGTGCAAAAAGAGACTGTTATATATTTTTGTAGTACATACTTTTTAAGTACCTAGTTTAACCAAGTATGAATGAATATCTGAAGCTATAATAATATATTCTCGAATCTGAAGTTGAATTTTCAATTATATTTTTTGATAAATATTTTTCAGATTCTAATGTAAATTTTGTATAGTAATTAAATTAATAGTTTAAGTAAAAAAAATGTATACTGAAAATAATTAATTTTAGACATTATTTTGTAATATACGAATGGCATATCAACATGCATAAAACTTGAGAGACTGTTTTTAAAACGAAACATATTTAAATAAAAAAAATAAATTAATTTCATTTTTACCGTATTTTAAATATCCTCTTATTGTTAAAAGTAGTTGGGTTAAAAGGATGGTGACATTAAACATCATCGGTGGTCCTGGTTGTCATCTGAGTACCATCCATGCCTGGTGCTCTGTTACAAGGCAATTTGAGAAGCACTATTCGCTCCTAATGTTTTAAATTTCGTATTAAATTTCATTATTTCCTATTTTACCAATTATCTGCATTTATTTAGTTTTTTAAAGTAATTTTATTACTTTTCACACCAAAATTATTTCTGATTCGTTGGCTATTTAACATTTATCTATTTCTTGAGTGCAATTATGTTATTAGAAAAGCTTATGAGTTACCTAAATTTATAATAAGACCACCCATCAACTTTCTAGACTCATTCATCAAGAGAAACTATACTGATAAATAATGATATACGAAGAAATATAGAAACAACATTTAGAAAGACTTATTACAGTAAAACTAGTGGTCAAGATATTAAAGTCATATAAAAAAATAGTGGCACTTTTCTTACGTCTTTAACAATTCAGTCAGTGGGGTCTTGAACGCTTTAATACGCTGCACTGGGCGGCATGCTCATAGAACCTCATAAGCGCGTTAAAACACCTTGTGGAACGTACTTAATACTTTCGCGGTGCACTTATAATAGTGCAAGCCGACAGTTTTCCGCATCATGGAGGTCCATTTTCTTTCTGCTCCTCTCATAAATGCTCTCTTAATGACGGGTTTAATCGACTATACAATATATATGCGATTATGTTCACTACCTTTTTTTCGATTTTTTATCTGACATATAAAAGTGCAGACTTAACAACTGAACCGTTACTAAATATAAAATTTTTCATACAAAAAATATATTATTTGTAGTTATTTTGAAGAGAATAGTAACAGTCATCGGAGAATAATTTTAAATTATTTGACTAATTATTTATAAAATTAGAATTTTGTTAATTTAATATTGATATCTCTATTGGTAGAAACTAAAGTGTTGTTTGAAATTAGAAAACAACTCAACTTTAATGATTTTTTTTTTACCATCAAGCATACTGAGAATTATGTGACTGTTTTAATAATAATTATTTCAAATCTAAAAAGTTATATTATTGATTTTTTATATAATAAAAACAAAACATATTTTAAAATTGTATTAATATTATACTATACCTTTTTTCTTACTATGATAACAAATTAAATTTATTTATTTGAAGAGTAAGTTGTGATTAATTACGCAGCCTATATTACACGTGTCTCTTGAGAATATGTGACGCGTGCCAAGGGAAACGATCAACTCTTCACCATAATTCATTCACTGATTTTAACCAAGCTTAACATTGATATTGGTATATACAGTTCGGCATATTTCCCATGAGATTATAAGCAAACCGTCAATACAAAAATTATTCATGTGTATTAAAGAATTGTCCTGTCACCTGCATCCATACAGATGAATAAACCTGGAAGAAAAATAATGTTAATTTTTGATTATACAAACTAGAGCAGCTATTGAAAATGGTGAAAACCGACTAAAATCCTTTCTTCGATTATTTTCTTTACCATAACTTGACAATGGTTAAAACATGAAACGGCTACAGGTCGCAGGGATCAGAGGCGGAGTGTGGCGAACCGCAGAGTTTACCTGAGAGAAGCTGTACAATAAATTTAAGCGTCGAGACCAATACCAAAATTTAGTGACTAAATGTCTTTCAAGCCTATAATCCAGTAGCACTCATAACCACGCACGCATTTCATAAATTCAAAAAGAATATGAAATGCTTATCAATCCTATACGGCTTTTAAATTTTGAGGTTACGTTAATATGGAAGCTCGTATGCGCACGGAAGTGCAGAAAGGTTTCCGATGTGATGTCAGAAAAAAATTCAATAGACTTCCGTTAGACCACCCCGATCTGATCCTCATCATTTTCTTTTATGTGACGCAAACTCGTGTTAATCTAAAATTCAGGATTTAATATTGTTTTGCTTGAAAGATGAAGTAAAGATTGAAATTTAAAACAGTTCTAAAGTATAGTAACAAGATTTAATCATTGAATTTTCGAGATGAGAAGAATGTGAGAATTAGATAGAAGAGGAATGCCAATAAAGACTCATTCTAATGAGCAAAAAAAGGTTAAGAATGTAAATATTTGTCTTCGTAATTAATTGAGTGTCACAAAAAATTTTTTAGTAACACATTAAGAGAATAAACCAGCAAGTGAGTAGATAAACAAAATAATAATAATAATAAAAAGTCAAAGAATGAAAAAGAACAAAGTATTTTGCCGCTTCTATAAAATATTTTAGCTACTGTTGCTTTTGCTTTACTGCTCGTCTGATCACCAGATTGCTTTATTTAAATTTGCTAAACTACCTCAAGTGGCTCTATCGGAACATTGGACGTAAGAATAATGTAATCTTGAATCAGAAATCTGCACGATCAATACAATAAGTCGTTGAAATTTGTCTCGGCGATGCACCTGTACTTGAGCCAAATAAAATTAAAAAACTCTATTGAAGTAATAATTCAAACATGTCTGAATAAATAATATTGAATGGACTGGATGATGTACAATAATTTATTACAGACAATTTTCCAACGAAAAAAAATACTTTGGAGTTAATGTTAGTAATAAATTAAATTAAAAATATAACAGTCTAATTATAAGTTTATTATTAACTAATTCTCAGGTAAAGACCAAAAATGCTATTGGAAGAAAATTAGAACTGTTTTTACAATCCTAACGGAAAGAATAATCATCAACAATTATATCTCTTCAAAGTGATGGCACGTTCGCGATCATACTGTACGGTTATTATGGTCTTAAAACACCTCTGTATAAGATTTACGTTGCAGAAATACGGTTCATAAATTAACTTCTGAATAACATTTTTTATGCTGACTTATATTTCACGTAATCTCTCGGAAACTCATTTTTGTGTAGTTTGTGACGATGATTGGTCCAGTCGAAAGATTATACAAACATTCCAAATTAGCATCAAATTTTCATTTCCCTTTATTATGTATGTATTTAATCTTCTTTGTTACATTCTTCAAAGACATGTCGAATCATGTATCGTACAATTTATGAGAGTCCAATGGTTGGGTTAACATATTCAGCCGAAAGTTTACATACAATGATAGTTTTTATACAATATATCTACGTATATTATTAAACAATAAATTTATCATTTTCTAACATATAATGTGATAATAACATTTGAATAATAAAAATCGTTTGTACATAAAAAAAAAGTTATGAAAGTCTTTGTCCAATATTTTTTACTGTAAATTGTTTCATGCATACATATGATTATTATTATTATAAAAAATATAAAATGTATATAAATAATTTTATTATAAAAATGATTACTATTGTGGGTTTTTTTGATAAGATGCAAGAATGATAATTGTCATTTGTGCACCTGAAAAATTCACAATAAGTAACAAAAGAAGATTTTTTATGATATAGTCATTTTCCATAGGCATCATGAAAATAGTCGATAAAATAAATTTTTGATATTCACGGACCAAATTCAATAACATTTGGGTACAGCTGAGTTGATAGCTTAATTGAAGTTTAATATGAAAGAACGTGAGACTCTTGATAGAACACACACGAAGACGTAAGGATAAACTGGTGAAAGAAGTGAATTATAAAAAACATAGCTGAGGGTTGCTCTCACGCGTTTGTACAGGAACAATAACACCACGCAGGGTTTGGACCCCGGGAGTTTTTGTCGGTTCATTGCTCTAAGATTTAAACTCTTAGGGTGGCTTTTATACTCTATTCTATGTGTGGCTTTTCTATCTCGATCGATTTCTTTTTCTTGTCATGGCCTTTTTTGTTCCTTCACCACTATATAACTTCTTATTTGATACTAATTTTCAAGCGTTTTATTAAAAAAAAAAAAACAATGTCATCATTTCTTTTTTTTCATTATTTTTTAGGTATTATGATAACTTTCATTTGTTACGCAAAAATAATTTTGGTTTTTAGCATTCTATTACAAAAGATGCTACCAAATCTATAAAATTTTAACTTATTTTTTAAAATAATACTCATTACGATACAAATAAAAATTATAATTCAGTCAAATGCACATCTATATATATATATAAATATATATATGCATAATAAAACGTTAAATAATGAGAGGATTTATTTTTAATAGAATTATTATAATTGAATAAAGTCATTAGTATTAAAAATACAAAATAATGTTATATAGTTTATCTACTTTTACGCATCATATTCTTTTGATCAGCTTCATTATCATACTTGGGAGATGGAGTGGTTGGACAGCTTTTAGAAGTCCCAACTATGTCAATTAACAAACTTTGTCTGCAAAGAACAGAAACTGTACTCATATCTCCAATTTCTTTAGATTTTCTATGTTTTGTTCGCTTAAACTTGTTTACTATTTGATGAAATTTACTCGTAGATTCTTTATTACATTTATTAACTTGCTCCCTCCATTGTTCTGAAGACCTAGGCAGAGAATCACATCCTCGTGATGTTAACTGATCAAGTCTTCCTAAAGTATCTGAATCTACATTTATCATTCCAACACTTGCAGACTTTACTAAATCTAATCGTGATAAATTTTGTAAATCTTTAGGTCTCACTCGTAAATTTTTGTAATTATTCTGATGATTCTCCACAATTTCTTTTTGATTAGATTCATTACTACTGGTAATTCTTTCAGAAACACCTAAAAGAAAATCTTCTTTAGCTTTTTGAATCATCATAGCTCGCAATGAAGTTGAAGAAGAATTTTTATTTTTATCTTGAGTGATGGAAACAGTTTGTTCACTTATTTGTGGCGAAGTTTTGCTTTTTACGATACTAGGTGATGAGTTAATTAATGTATTTTCAGCTTTAGTTGATGATATTTTAGAGGAAAAATCAACCGTAGCACTTTTTGTTGGTAGATTTTTATGGTACATTGGTCCAGCAATAGCTTTTCGTACTTCCTCTTGATATTTTTCTAGCCGATCTCTGATTCTTCTTTCATTAACTGGTGATCGCCATATTGGTGAATTGCTCCCACTGCTAGTTGTTGATCCAGTTGCATGTCCTGAAGAGTTTTCCAACTTTTCATTATATTTTTTGATCATCATCTTAATACTAGGAGCTGCATCTTTAGGTGGAGATATTTTATATTCTTTTCTTGCTGGAATTGGTGATCGTGGAATTGATAATCGTTCCACTTCTTTTTTTTCTAATTCAGCATTTGTACATTGGTTCAAATAGCTAGATTTATTTTCATTTTCTGTTTTAGTCGAAAAATTTTCTGGATCCATTTTACCTTTATTTTCACGTTTAAAGGGTGAAAAGACAATTTTTTTTGTTTTTATCAACATACTTTTAGGATCTCTTCTTTCTTTCTTCACACTTAAATCTTCCTGATTTTTATCTGTATTTACTTTCATTAGATTTACATCAGGATTTAAATCTACAGTTGCAAGTGTTCCTGAGCTTGTAGGAACAACTATTTTATTCAATGTTGTTTCATCAATTTTTATTTTTTCACTCTTAGAGATTTGAATAAATTCATTCATCGTATCGACTGTATTTATAGTTGTAGTAGAAGTAATTGCAGAAGATGATTCATTTTTAGATGACTCTTTTTCATCATCAGGTAGACTGTTGATATTATTTTGCCACTTATATCCCACTTGAGAGTCGGTAAGACGACGAGTTTTAAGGCCTTGTCTTTTCTGCCATGAATTACAGGCTACCGTAATTACTACTTTTGTGAGAGCATCCTCATCTTCAGAATCTTTCAACAAATTGAAATGATTAATAAGTTTAAATTATATAAAAAGTATTAATATATAATCTATTTTTATTTATAAAAATTTAATGATTAAACTTATTTTTTGTGAAAGCAAAATGTTAATTAGAATTAATTATAAGATTTCTTTATATCAAATTTAATAAATCACTTACAGTTTAACTGTGTTATCTTCCATTCATCAGTAGGGTTACTGCTGGATTGTACATTTTCTTCAGTAGTTGCTACAGAACTCATTATTACCGGACTCGGTGGATCAGGACTTTCTAAAATCAGAAAATTCTATTTTGGCTTTATAATTTTAGCTAATTCATGAGAATTTTTACCTCTGAAAAATTTATCGTTCCCCAAGATTTCATCCTTAGTTTCTATAAGCTTGAAATCATTTTCTATCATTTCATCTTTTTCACAGATCATTGGCTGAACTCTCTCTGGTTCTACAAGAACTATTGGCGATAATTCGTGTCTGGTAGTAACTGTTCCAAGAGGAACAGCAATACTGGTTGTTTCACTTCCTGCAACACTATAAACTGGAGTTTGATGTGGTTGAGATTTGGTTAAAGGGCTAGCAGTCTCTTCTATAACATCTTCGATATCGACAATCATTGCTTCTGGCTCAACTTCTGGTTCTAAATCAAAATCTTCAAGAGCGACTTCCTCTGAGGTGTCTTCTTCATCAGGAATTGTTGGAACTGAAGAAGCTGAATATGATTTATTAAATTTATATCAGGAAATAATCATAAAAATATATTAGTTTTTAATATTAACTTACCAACTATACAACTTCTAGTATCCAAATTTTCCATGTCATTCAATGATAAACTTGATGGTCGTCGAGCTAAAGATTTTTCATTCTGACTATTCCATGATTCTATCTGAATGCTTCCAACTGATTTAGATCTACTGAGATTCTTTCGTGATCTATTTTCCACTAGATAGAAAAAATTAATTCAGTAAAAATAAGTAGTGAGCAAACTATAAAAATTATTAAATCTTACTTACTCTGAACATTTGATGCTACTTTTCGTGTACCAAAAGGTATATCGTGACGTAAAGGATCAAGTAATCTAAATGTCGAAAATTCTGGAGAAATTCCTTGACTTTTTTCCCATTCATATAATTTTCTAGTAAACTTTCTGGAAATTCCTTCAAAGCGGTAAAATCCAGTTGATGTATGAATTAATATTTCTTGAGTATTTTCGGGTGTAGATCCAACAACTCGATGTAGTTTTGACAATCTAAATAAATTAAAAATTAAATTTTAAATATGTTTGATAATAAATGCATCGAGTTATTCATCATATTAATTTTTTTAATTACCGCGTTTGTCTTTCAGCTTCCATAGCAGAAAGGACTCTTTCTAAAGGTTTAAATTCTTCATCCTCAAGACTTTTCCAGCTTTTAAATTTCCTAAATAATTTTTCACGACTTTCTTTGTCTTGGTTGAAATTTGTTTCAATCTCAAAGTTCTTGTTATCATTATTATCTCTCTCAGTTTCTGATCGTTTAACTTCATGATCATCATCCTTTCGAGCAGTAGCTTTGATTCGTTTCCATTCTTCCATTTTCTTCATAAAATCTTCTGATACACGTCCTGGATAATCAATCTTGCCTTCAACCTTCGAGTGCGATCTCCAAAGTTGCCAATCTGTAATTCGTCGTTTATTATTGGATCTAGCTTCCATGGCTACTTGAGTTTTTCCCATACGTTTCCATTCATCAAGCTTTTTCCTAAATTCTGGTGTTAACTGATCTTCATTTAATAAACGAAGATTATCAATTTCTCTATCTCGACTTGTTTGTTTTTTTGAAAATTCTTTTGAATTAAGAGGACCACTTGATGATTTTAATTTTTCCCATTCAGCAAGTTTTCTGTAGAATTCATTATCTAATTTATCGTAAAGAAGACGATAATTGTGTTGAATTTCTGCTTGTACTGTTGGGTTTGATGGATCATCCAAGTCTTCTGCACTGGCACTAGCATTGTAACCTGTTGCTGTTTCACCATCTAGCAATCAAGCATCATATAGTTTTCTATCTTATAGATTGCATACATTAGTAATTTTTTTTTCTTAATAATTTAACACTTACCATCGAAAAAGTATGAAGAAACTCTATTAGGACTAGTTGGAACAGATGTAGCGCTGGTTAAAAATGCTCTTTTAACTTTATTCCACTTGGAATTTCTCCGTGGTAATTTAGGCGAAGACTCAAGCGAATTACCTTTGAATGATTGCTAAAAATAATTTTATTAATATTAAATTTTTTATAGCTCCAAAATAGTAATAACAGTAATCAATAATAATGATCATACTTGACGTTTATATTCTTCAGAACTGTTAACATTGCTTCGTGATTTTCCAATGCTATATTTAAGTATTCCGGAGTTTGAAAAACTTGGTGATATTTGTCCATTTCTATCTTTCAAAATTTCACCACTTTGTGATGATCCATCAGACTTCCCAGATTCAGAAATAGGCCTAGGCAATGGAGGTGTAATAGATTCAGGCGATGATACACTGCGTAACTCCTCGCTTGAAGGTACTGTGATCGTCAGAGTTGGCGTTAATCTTCTAGATGCTAAATCCGGATATTCTGTTGTACTTTGACTAGATTTTTTCAAAGGTGTTGTTGATGTTGATGGATCAGATGTTATTCTAACTCGTGGAATTTTTGTTTCCTGTTACCAATAAAATAAAATATATAAAATGATGAACTTTTGATATAATCTCTTTGATCGTATATCAATTACATGCTTAAATATTTAGCAAAATATTCTTGTACGCCAATGCATGAAATTAGTTGTTATAATAGGAAATCCGATGTAATAAAATTACAACAAAAAAAAAATAATAAGTTCAACAGCACAGCTGAAAAAGAATCTCACGTTTTCATATACAGTGGAGATATTTTTAAATTTGTAAGTGGGCTAACGCACGCGAACTAACACCCTCAAGTATTATAATGAACATCGACGAACTCTATTTCAATTCAAATACTGATAGATGGTTGATGGTTTAAGCAAATAGCATTTAGACATTTATTTAAATTTTGAATGTCACGTTGCTTGTTATGACTGTTTAAAATTAACCAATTCTACCTCTAGTCGATGGATGTCTGTTGAATCTAAACTGGAAGTCGAATGATTATCTTCATTTCGGCGGCTAGTTTGTCGCGCCAAGCTGTCTCTTCTCAACTGTATAATGTCTTTCATCTTGCCCCACGGTGTTTTATGCATCCGATAGTCCATTCTTTTAATATAATTTTCCTGCCAAAAAATTATTTAAATAAAAAATATGAAATTTTTTATTTACTAAATTTTAAATTTATCATAAGTATAAGAATATTTATCACCTTAGCAGTTCGAGAATTTATATTGAAATTAATTGGAGTTGACAACATTTCTCCATCTAATGATTGACTACGCCTAGATGAACCAGAGTCATGACGTTCTGATGTCTCATCATACTTCATTCCGGCTTTCAAAAACTGATTGCTAGGTCGATGTGGCTCTTAAGATTATAAAACAAATATTTACATCTAATTTTATGATGCATAATTTCTTACACAATTTTAACATGTGAATATACTTACTGTGAAATACATCGTCAATAGATGAGGATGAAGATATAGTTCCAACTGGTGTTGGTGGTCCAGATATTTCATTAGATATTGTAGTAGTGTCAGGAATTTTTAAATATTGCACCATAAAGTCCGCATCACCGGTTTCATTGGCATTACAAGTAGCTTTTTCCCATTTAAAAGCTGCTTTAACTCTAGTCCATTTAGAAATTTTGGGTTGCCCAGTAATTAATGACGGTCTCTTTTTTTCAATAATACCAGATGATACAGTAACTCTATTTGAGTTTCTTCGAGGTACTTCAATAACAACTGGATAAGAAACTCGGCGTTGTTCAATAGATGCTGATAAACTTCCACTTCTTCGAGCAGAAGAGGATGCTCTGCTGAGATTAGTAGATCTTCTTGGAAGTTCAAAACCACTAGACAGCATAGCGCCAAGTAAAGATTCTGCGAAACCTAAATCTTCATTGATGATTTGAATACTTTGACCATTAGATAAACTCTTTTCTAGATCAGAGTTAGCTTTTTTCAGCGTCTTAATTTTTTCTAATTCTCGAATTCTACGAAACTGTTTTGAATTTCGATTGCGAAGGTTGAGAATTTCATCAACTAATCCATATAATTTACTCAAATGTTCAAAAGCATCAGTAATACTTGACGGAACAGCTTCTGATGTACTAGTGGAAGCAGGTAATTTATCATAATCTGAAGTTAATAAGTTTTCTATTTCCGGCAATGTTTCTTCAAGTTCTCCATCAAGTTCTTGAGGATCAGGAGGTGGAGTAGGAAGATTAGTTTCAAATCTTCGTCGTGTTCGATGCATTTTCTTTTCTATTATATTTACATGATTTTGTAACTCCATCTCCCTAGATCTGATTTTAACTCGGTTCAAGTTGGAAACATTGATTTAATCTAAATTTAAACATGATTCACATGATGCAACAAATGCATTTTTCTTATTATTGCTAGATGAAATAATGAAATTAAAAAAATACTGCACTTGTTATATGTTTATAACGTAATGTCTTAACATATTACTTATTCAAACGCAGAAACGATACTAGATCATGAGCTAAAAAAGACGGAAGAAAAAGAACAAGAAGAATGAGAAGAAATGGTAAGAGCATGCGCCAAACTTCTTCATCAACACTCGATTTAAAATAGATCATTTTAGCTTTCCTCTTTCTCTTCCTCTTCTTCCTCTCTACTCTGCGAGTTTTTCATTATCGTTGAGGTATTAAAAGTCAACAAGAACCTGCTATGAGTGTCATTAAATGTTACATGTTTGTATAATATTTATTTATATCCTTAATGTTTGAATTTTTACTATGTTATATAAAACATTATTCGAATTTTTGTTGAACGATTTGTTGATTAATCAGAAATAGTTTAGATACCTTTGAATTGTATCAAGAAGTTTAAATGTTGAAAATTATTAGGAAGTTTAAAATAAGTTAAGTTTATATCATGAATAATTTTGAACAATATAATTTATATGGATAATTATCTAAGGTCTTTACTCTTTATTCCTGCATCGGTGAGTTAGTTAAATCTGGTATTGGCATCGTAGCAATGGTTGCGCCTGCAAAATGAATGTGATAATTATAGGCTCTTGTTAGTATCAACATACTTGGTATTTAGGGTAGCGTATTTCATAAACAATTTATCAAATAACGGTAAGCAGATTAATTTATGTATGCATCAATATTCTTTTGCTTTTCTTACTTATTAAAAGACTGGCAACAGCATAAGTACTTTTTAAACAGGTGATTTGTGAAAACATTTTTATGAAGAATGATGTTACATGGGGAAGAACTGTTGTCAATCCCATTATTGATCCTCTGTAAATAAAAATAAATCAGAATCATCCTACTAAAAGTGATTTATAACGTCAATAATCTAAATCATAATTTTTATTTTATTCAAAGTAAACAACCAACTCACCTAACAGAAGTTGGATAATTTTCCAAAATAGAAATATTTATAGATGTGTAAATAACTGAATAAAAGGCGAGGAACAAAATAGAGAGTGCCATTTCAACATCATATCGGGTGGTAAAAATAAGACAAATGATTGCGCTTCCTCCAACAATACCAGAAGTTACTAAAAATTAATATTGTTATTAGAAAATTTAAAAGTTTGCATTTTATTTGTTGTATCATACTCAATAATAGAATAAGTTTAGGAATCTTAAGCACGATCAATAATTACGTCAAAATTTCTGCCTCAAGTGATTAAAGTTATATTTAAACATTTTACTTCTGCTCTTGATCAAATGGATATTACTGTATTGAGTATATGTGTATGAAACTTGAATTACTTACATATAGATATTCTTCTGCCAATTATGTCTATTCCAAATATAAGAAAAAGTTCTCCTAATATAAAACTTGACAAAAAAATCAAGGAATGTTTAAAACTAGAATTTCTAACTTCATGGCAATTATGTAAAAAATTTGAGACCATATCTCCAACATGTGTGGTACAAGTTTGATTTGATAATAACTCTTGGTTGGAAATTAATTGATGTGTTGAATGAATTTTCCAAATTAATAGCCAGATAAAACTAAATTAGAATGATTAATATTTCTACTTTTAAAATGCATGAATAATTATTAAATTTATAATAAGGTAAATTTAATACCTTGGGAATAGTAATAATTTGCTTAAAATAAATAGCAAAGTATTGTTTATAAAAAATGGTGAACAAATAATAATTATTCGTCTCCATATTTTCAGAAAAAATTCTCTAACTAAATCCAAATAGTGATTAATCGTGGGGTCATCGTTATCTCCTCTTACACAGTTGTTTAAGTTGCATAACTAAAATAGAATAATGTTCGTAGTAAGTGTAACAAAGTTGCAGATGTTAATCGAATGCTATTACTGGAAAGTTGTTTGCATGTTGAGAATTGTTGATGGCAAACATTTGCTGGAGAACAACTAAAGCTTGTTGAAGTTGTCGGCGATAGAGAAGATATCGAAGGCTAGGTGGAAGAAGACTTGTAGCACAAGCCATTATAAGACTTGGTGCACCTCCTAAACCTGCAAGAACTCGCCAAGAACTAGGACGAAACTCATTTTCAAGCATACGTATTATTGATGGAACTAAAGACCAGGATAAACCTAGTATGTAATAAAAAAATTATTTTAATTATCATAATGGTGATTGAAGAATATTATGAAAGAGAGGAATTTTACCAAGCGTTGAAACACAACCGGTTATCCAAATAAGATCAATCAATGCTAAGTATGAACCTCTTTTTTTAGCCGGAAGGCATTCAATTAAATAAACTCGTACTATTATATTATTTCCAGCGGCTCTATAAATTATTCAATATATTTTGGCATTCAGTCAAACGAAGCTTTTCTGCATGATAAATGTCTCATATTTTATACCCTATTCCTAGTATGAATATAGCTGAGCTTATAAAAAAATAAGTTTGCGAAAAAGAAAGCCCAATTGAAGCGCAAAATATTATCACCATTGTTGTTGGAATTAAATTTTTTCGTCCAATATAGTCTGAGAGGATTCCGAAGATAAAACTACCGATAGCCATTCCTAAAAACAGGACAATTAAAATTTGCTTTCATTTTCAGTATTTTTTTATTTGTAAATTTACCTAGTGATGAAGTTGCATTCAAGGCCATGATATCATTTTTATTGAATTTTAAATCACATGCCAATAAAGGTGTTACGATCAAGACTGTTAGAGTTGCTACTGCTTCTGCTAGAGTAGCTAATGCACATAACCCAATAAGAACGTAATGGCAAAGTCCCCATCCTGTTTGAATTTATAATTTTGAAATGAACAATATAACACTGATAAATATTATAGAGATAATTTTATAAATAGATGACATTTCTTCTTATGTTTTATCTGTAATAATATTCAGTATTGATTCAAATCTTTCTTCCATACTTGCCTGTTTTTTTAATTATATTTTCACAGCCTTCATTCGTCATAATACTCAGATAAATTATAGATAAAAAAAATGCTGACTGTTCATAACTATTTCAAATCCAAGATTTCGGAATTGTTAAAATTATTATCTATTGTAAGGTTTCGTTACCACCTTCACTTTAATATATTTTTAATAACCAAGAAACAAATCACTAAACGAATGAATATTCTTCAAGTTTTTTTATTCTTTATTCTTCTTACTAGTTCTCAATAAAAAGACTCATACATTTTCATGGTCGTTTCAAAAATCTAGAAAGCTGTATAGTAGTTTAAAAAATAGTTTGAATTTTTCATGAGTTTTTAAAGCCATATCTAAGTACGATTCAAGTTAAACAAAAAATGGAAATACATTCTATTGGATAAAAAAGAATAAAAAAAGTCCCGATAATTTAATTATCCGGTTGATTTAAGAACTGGCGAAATACTCTTTAGATTGAACAGGATCTGGTTTCATGGTTTTCTTTCCGGGTTTCCAGCCTGCTGGACAGACCTCACCATGTTTATCAGTGAATTGGAACGCCTGAACTAAACGCAAGGCTTCATCCACAGATCTAAAAAACAAAAAAAAAAGTTTAGTCACTCAGTAATTAAAAAAATAATTAGAATTTGAGTCATTTACCGTCCAACTGGTAGATCATTAATGGTAATTTGACGAAGGTTTTGTTTATCATCAATAATAAAGAGACCACGGAATGGAATACCAGTCTCTTCATCAAGGACTCCGTAGTCGCGAGCGATTTTACAACTTTTGTCAGCCAACAAAGGAATGTTCATATCTCCTAAGCCTCCTTGTTTGCGTGGAGTATTTGCCCAGGCTAGATGACTGAAGTGTGAATCACATGATGCCGCAATCAATTCACAATTAATAGAACGGAACTCTTCAGCGCGATCAGAAAATGCAATAATTTCAGTTGGGCAAACGAAAGTACTGGAAAAAAAAATAATCCACAATTATAATATGCTTATAAATATACTTGACATTGTAACTTACAAATCTAGAGGATAGAAAAATAAGATCACGTATTTTCCTTTATAATCAGTAAGTGAAATATCCTTGAACTGTCCGTTGATGACAGCAGTGCCTTTGAAAACCGGAGCAGGTTTTTGAAGTGCTGGTACAGGCATTTTTTGAATGGAATGTACTTCTCTATAAGTTAAATATTTTACACTTGTAAATGATTATAAATTGTATATGATCAAAATATAATAATTTTACACAGTTTGTTATACTGAAATAAAGACAATTACGCATACAACACAATTCAAATAATTAATCAAAATTTTATGTGTAAATCATGCAATTATATTCTTATATTCATAGCCTAATCAATATACATTTCATGGGTAATAACAGATAATGAGTAATTAGTGATAGATATTTATTTATTGCAATGTTAATTTTTTTCTTATAATTGCATTCATTGCGTAACCTAAAAGATGACTCGACTAGACTGAAGCCGCTAATGAAAGGAACGAATTTTACTAATCAATACAATAAATGGCAACAATCTCTTAATAAAATTTTGTTTCTATTCTTATAAAAAATGATACTTACCTTTAAAGTATAAAGAAACAACTTGAGATTCTAGAATTTTCAAAAAAAATGCCGACAATTATAAGCCAGTAACAATGCGTGTATACACTATGTGCGCAGTATAGTCGAACTGAGAAAAGAGTTCCTCAGTTGCTTCAATGCTTTCGGCCTCCCCACCACTGATTTTCTACCCCTTCTACCATGTTTTTTACTACTGCGCAAGCGTACAAGAACACATGAAGAGCATCTGAGGAACTCTCTTCTCAGTCCGACTATATATAGACTGAATGATGAAAACCGTTAATCGTCGTTGATCTGAAGAAACTTAGGCAATGTGGTGAAATCATCGATATATAAAGTTCGATGTATCGACATTGAAACAAGTGCGGGGAAATTCAAACTTATTATAAAATATAAAAGTTATAATACTTTACTTTCTCATTTTACGAGTGACATTTTGATTAAATATCTTACCTTTTAGTTTTATTGATACTTTGTTTTGAGTAGTATTTTTTCCAGAATTCTCAAATTCATAATTTGATATGCTTTTACTAAATTAACTCATAAACTTAGTGCGATTTTATTTTGAAACAAAAGTTTTGTTGATCAACTACTTTTTCATCGAGACTAATTGTTGCCAACTTCATTATTGTGATGAGCGACAACTAGTGTTTATTTCTTGGACTAAACTAGAAAATAGAGACGCATGCGTGTATGGTTCTCTTTTTTCTGACCAAACCGGGGTAGATGAACGTGTGGTGATCACATGTGACAGAAGTGAGTGGTGACTTATTAGTTTAGTGTTCAATATTTACAAATCAATTGTATACAATATAAATACATTAAACTGTAAGTATTTATTATCACATGTTGATGAATTTCCAATTAATTGACTGCTCTTTTTTACTAAAAATAAAATTTCTATGATTTTAACCTTAATATTATTAAGTTACTAGCGGTTGCTAGAAGTAAAGTATCATCTAACACGCGGGTTACACGTTGTATTCCGAAAAAAGTAATACCGCTCATAGTGTGAATAAATAATTTTAGTTTGTATTATTTTTCATAAAATATATTATTCTTATCGTTCAATAATTTATTCAGAGTCGTTGAATTTCGGTGATTGACCTGACGCAGGAGGTGTGGCGTCACTTGCCTGCGTGTGCGAATGAAATTTCTTTAGACTTATTGCAACACAATTATGTGTCTGTGGCTATCAAATATTCTATATAAACATTGCTTTAGTTATCTAATATTATTAATACTAAATTTTTTATTTTTTTTTTATCAAACTAAATCGTATGATAATCAATTTATCTATTTTAAACATCGCTTCCGTCAGTTAACCTCAACAATCCGATAGAAAAAATCGCTGTTTCAATGTAAATTATCGTAGCACATATGCGTTCACTTTGAGTGTCATGTCATTGTTGCCACGTGCGTTCTTGAAATATTTATAAACCGGACATTCTTGGGATTTTTCAAACTCATGCTGCTGTTTTATACTGTTTTATTGTATAATTATTTTAATTAATTATTAACTAATTTAATGTTTGTCAACAAATTATTAATATTACAATCTGTTTAAAGCAACTGTAATAATTAATAAATGAAATAAAAAAAGTACAGCGTTTAAATTTCAAATAATTATTTAACTACTCCGAAATGAAATATTTATTAATCTTGATTAATTAAAATTTGTTCAATTTTCCTCAAACTTTAAATTATATAAATAATTTTTCTTATTGCAGTTATAAAAAAAATTTCATTTCAGGTTTTTGTCATTGAAAGAATCGTTTTTTAAAATCGATTTTAATTCTTGACATGGAAACAGGATTCCTCAATTTTCATGATGAGGAAAATTTTTCAGATTTTTCACTTCCTCTTAATCAGGTGAATAACTGATTACTAATGTTTTAAAAAAATATTTTCAGAAATTACTAGAACCTTATGTTTGTTTTAGTATGATTTATTAGATGTTACACCTCGTATATCCACAAGTATAAGTAATGATCTTGATTACATCGAGTCTCAATCAAGCACCTCTAATACACCTGATGAATTATGGGAAACTGAACAAGAGTAATTAAAAACATTTATCCAGTATCTTCAGTTAAATATTGATATATTTTAAGATATTATTTTAATTTTAGACTTAATGGAGACATGGCGATACTTCCAGTATCAGGAGTTGCCTCCGCTATACCGAAAATTGAAAGTATTAAAGAGGATTTTGTCAAAGTTCTTACAGATTGGCAGGAACATATCGGTTACCTGCAGGTAATCATTGAAATCAATAAGTACATTGTATCTATAAATAACTTTAAAAAACTTGTTCATTTTTTTTCTGTGTTATTGGCTTCGTGTAGGCTTCAGATACAGAAGAAGATATCAATATGGTAGCTCTCAATATACATAGTTCAACAGAAAAATTAAACATCCATTCAAATGGTGGCATTTTTCAAGAAATACCTTCTTCATCTTCTTTGCAAATTGCTCAAAAAACTGATAATACAATGACAAATATCGAAATGAAAAATGAAAAAGATGATTGTATTGATGTTGAAACAGTTTCAGAACATGAACCAGTATTAGAAGCTGGTGATGTGAAGAGTTTGCTAGAGCAGTTTGAAGCTTCTGAAGCTTATTTAAAATCTTCAATGAACGTTGAAATGAAGCAGCCATTGCAAAAAATTGATAAATGTAAAGAAGAAAATACTACTTCAAACTTTCATAAAAATATTCGTGATGCTCTCCCTAAAGAAGTTATTGATCGGATAAGAGCTTCAGGACGTAAGAAAACGATTTCGGTTATTCCTGCCTTATCAAAAACAAAAACTAACAATCGAAAAAATGGCACACGAATACAGGATGCTGCAATGACCCTTTCTCGAAATAAATTATTAAAAATAGTAACAACTGCTTCAAGTTCTAATGCTAGAATCGATAACTCTGTGCAGCTCGATCATGACTACTGTAGCAGTGTTAATTCTAATATTCATATTTCTAATAGTAATAATCGTGGTAAAATACTTGGAAAATATGAAGTAAAACGACATATTGTAAAAAAAAATGATCAAGGGAAACCGTCTTTAAGAAAAGATGTGATGAAGCGTAGCAACAGCTGGGGAGACAATAATTCTAAGAAAGATAGTGGATTAGAATCAGGAGAAGTTAGTGATGCTAGTGAAGATCCAGCATTTATATCTGCTGGCGAATCATCTCAGTCTATGAAAGATCCAACTTCCCTAATTCTTACTAAAACAGGTACTGTAATCTACCGAAATTATTAATTATTATTTTATTACAGTAATTATATTTTATTATACTGAAAATGAAATTTTTTTTAGGAGATAAAGAAGCAAAAGTACGCTCAGCTCTTGCAACAAGTATTCTTCAATTGAAAAATGGAGTTTTAACGAAAACGAAATCTGTTGATGGAAGTCCACATGTTGGAAAGCCAATGATTTCAGTATTAAAAAAACCTCCTATTTCTTCAATACCGTTATCTAATAATCTCAATCACAATGAGAGTATTATAACTACAAAAAATAGTGCTAATGATGAGATACAAAACATCATAGTTCAGGATACTTCAATGCATGTATGTGAAAGTGAGAAAAAACCTCCCCGAAAAAAATTAAATTTAGCTGAATACAGAAGTAGATGCAAACAATCACGTGATAATAGTAGAAATTCTTCGCCAATCCAACCTATGACTTTGGTGTATATTCACCATGTATCCACAACTACAGAACCTATTAAAGATGATCCTGAAAATCCTGTCTGGTCAGAAAGGGAAATAGTTTCAGTGTTAAAGCCTAAATGTGAAGTAGAAGCCCAAAAAAATCGAACTAAACCTTCTACTGCCGAAGTTGGTATTCAAACATATGAAACTGTTTTTAGCAATCCCGCAAAAATAAATATTCAAGAAGAACCCGAAATAATTACTAGGTATGTATTAATCGTCAACAGTAAAAGTTTAAAAAAAACTCAAACTTGAACTATTTTTTGTAAACGTATGTAAAGAATGTTTACAGACACAGAAATTGTTATTGAGCTTCCTTGTTTCCAGAGGAAATCAATTGAACAAAAAAGAAGTAACAAATTATCGTCGACGTCGGTCGTTATCTCACTCGAGTAGATCTAGGTCGAGATCTAGAAGTCGAAGTCGAAGAAGAAGTCAAAGCCGAAGCAGTAGTAGAGGAAGAAGAAATAGATTTGAACGCCGAAGAAGAGGCAGAAGTTACAGCAGAAGTCGCAGGAAAGCTAGTAGAAGTAAGAGTAAATCCCGAAGTTCAAGCTACAGCAGAAGTCGAAGTGGATCAAGAAGCAGTAGTAGAAGTCGTAGTCGTAGTTTATCGCATCGACGTAATGTTCGAAGAAGAAGAATAAGCCATCGCAAAAGTTCTGTGAGTTCTAACAGCAGTTGGTCATCACGATCTCGCTCAAGATCTACTTATCGTTCTCGATCAAGATCGAGATCATCAGACTCGCAGTCTTCAAGATCCTCTAGTTGTTCCAGGTATTTCTTTAAAAAATTTTTTTCTTATTTATCTTACAGTCGAAACGTTAAAAAATTGAAAAATTGAAGAACAAATAATAGGTAAATTCACATCATTGTAGGTCTTCGAATAATAAATCAGACAAATATTGGAAGAGACATACTCCGAGGAGATGTTATTTTCAATATAGTCGAAGTTATTCTCAGGATAATTATTACAATGATCGTTCACCAAGGTAAAACGATAAATCGATGCTTTAGCTTTGTCTATGTCCATGATAATTCATTATAATTATCTGAATATATAGAATTTCATACTTATTCTTCATCATCTTATCAAATGAAAGATTTTATTGCTTGTACATAATTTAAATTATGGAAAGATGTTTATAAAAAATATTTTATTTAATAAATTTTTTTATAGATCTTCAAGTTATAGGCGTCCCTACAATTCATGGTATAGTCAAGAAAAAAAGAAACGAGTAGAAGAGCGCCGAGTTATCTATGTTGGTGGTTTAGATGAAAGGATCACGAAAAATGATCTAAAGAGAAGATTTGAGACTTTTGGTCCTGTATTGGATATAAGTTTACACTTTCGTGAACATGGGTAAATTAATTAATCACTAATAGTTAATAATTTATGTATTTGAATAAATTGCATATTTTTAATTTTTTATATTAATTGTTTTCAGCGACAATTACGGTTTTGTAACATTTGCATATAGAACAGATGCATATGAAGCTATAGAACATGGGAATGATGATCCTTCATTACCAAGATATGATTTATGTTTCGGGGGACGACGTGCGTTTTGCAAAGTAAAATATGCTGATCTAGGTATGTTTAAATAGAAGAAGATTTATGAAAAAAAATTTTATAACAAAAATTCATGCCTTAGATGGTGCTGCCAATAGTTCTTTTGAAATTAATCGAGGTGGACTGAATTTGAGCCAAGAAAGTAATTCCTTCGATCTTTTATTGAAGGAAGCTAAAGCAAAACTACGGAACAGAAAGGTTTGACATTCGTATTATTCATTAGTTTTAAATTTATTTCAAAATAATTTAAATATAACAAATTAAACATAGACTATTCAGAGAAATATGAATTAGTATGTACATTGATGAATGTCATGATCATACTTTTATGGTAGTTGAATAACTAAATTTTATTTAAAATAGCTGGCTATATTAATGACATTTAATTCAAAATATTCATCAAATTCTCATTAAAGTATTATTCCTAAGCGAAAAAAGTATCATTCATAAAAGATAACATGATTTTCGTTATCTTTTCGATTTTCAATCGTAATACTGATTCTTCACAAATCATTAGTTATGATGAAATAAATATTTAATTATTTTATCATACCGAAATATACATTCTGTTTATAGAAATAAAGTCACTATTTTTTCATCATATAATTATTAATATTTACTCATATTTTAATACAATTATCATAGATATTTCTTTTAATTAATAATGATGTTCTAATAAATACTGTTCAAGTTTGACGCTTATGATTATGGAATAAAAACATTTGATTACTTACTAATTGTAATAAAACGTAACAAATTTTTTTTTTTAATTTGAATAAAAAATGATGAATGTTCTAGTATTGAAGCTAAGAATAGCTTTAATTTTTTGATGAAACAATTTTTTATGAAATCTTTTTGACTTGTGTTATAATTTTTTGATTTTATATTACTTTATTATTATTATATATCAATAAATGATTAAAATTTGATAACATTTTTTAAATAAGTATTTGTATTGTATTAAATTGTCTAAATTACGAATAACCTTTATATTTTCCATAAATTACAGCAATGAAACATTTATCAACAATTTTTACCATGTTTAATTGTAAAGTGAATCGTTTCGATTCTATTATTCGATTTCACTATTTGAGTTTTCAAATAAAATAAGATAAAACATAAACAAAATTTGTATTTCATTTTACTTAACATTAACTTTCTCTAATATAATATGTAAACCTTTAAACCTCTGTTTTATAATGAAACCTTTTTATATAATAATGTCACTATTAGGAAGTTGATCTAAGAATGGTGGTCCTATTATTGGAATATTTTTTAAAATATTATCAATCCAAGTACTATAAATTGATACCTGAAAAATAATGAATCATAAAGTACATAGGATTTTTAAAAATGATCAATTGTTTTGATAATTACTTTTGTAAAGACTGTGTAATACTTAGGATCACAAAAACTATTCTGTAATCGTCGTGGACTGATGGAAACAATACCATAGAGATCCCATATCGAAGAGTTAGGTCTTGGTAAAGCTAATCCACCACCGCTATCCCCATTACACACAGCAGATCCATTTCTCCAGCCAGCACAAAATGTGGTGTAAGTTAAATATTTCTTGAAATCTCTTTTTTGAGATGTTTGACATTCTTCATTAGAAATAATTTTTACTGCAACTTCTCTCAACTTTTCGCTAAATGTATCATTTTCTGTAATTCCCATACCAGCTACCAAACCTATATCTAAAATTCTTAAAGATATATCAGATTCTGGAGACCAATTTAAACATATTGGTTTGATATTAGCAGTTAAAATGACAGGTTCTGTGAGAATTAAAATAGCAATATCTGAACCATAATTTCCTTCATGATCTTGATATGCTTGTTGTAGTTTTATACTTGAAACTTGGCGAATTTGTGCATTTTCATCAAATTCATTGATAGTAAAGTTACTAGAGAACCCATTGAAAATAACTTTTATTGTTTCAGGATCTGTTTTCCAAACACAATGGCCAGCTGTAACCACTACACGTTCTCCAATCAACGTACAGCCACAAAAAAATTTCCATTCTCCATTTTCATGGGAAAAAAGTGTGCCATGCCAAGGTAAATTATATTCTTGAGATACTTCCCAACCTTCTATTATTAATACCGCAGCTGTAATTTAGAAACTGCATTTAGAATAATAAGCAGGCTTCTTTTGCCAATATATGATTTAAAACAGAGGACCAAACCTGAAGTTCCACGAGTTCCACAAATAGGCTTGCAATGTAAAGGCATTTGACTCCAAGTACCATCATGAAGACAAGTTGTATGAGTTGCACCAGTTGTTTTTTCGTAAAATTCTGGACATTCTAATGTTACATGAGTTCCTACTGGCAAAGATTCATTACAAGGTATCCATCCTTGTCGTGGACCCCATGAAGCTTCACATCGCTTCTTTGCAGCAGGGGCATTCAATGGTGGACAAGTCATTTCTAGAGATTCTTTTATTCCCAATAATATTTAAAATTATATAATGAATCAATTATGACAACAAATCAATCTATTATATTTTACCTGAATAACAAAATGGTATATAAGGAAACCATTGATTATTTTGACAAAAAACCTGTGCAGGACCTTCTAAAGATTCTTTAACGTCACAAAAATAGTCTAGACGACTCAATTCCGGGACTATTTGTCCTGGACGACAATCAGAACAGTGAGAAACAGTATAGTGAGTGCCTGGTCTAGCTGGTGGAAGGCGACAAGCACCTTCTGCAAGGTTTACGCCGCACATAGTTTCATTTTCATCACTCCAATCATGACAATTTGCTTCAAAATTGCACTTTAGTGAACCATGAATACAACCACCATAATCACATTGAAAATAGCCTTCAGGACACCTGATTTGAAAATATTTTGAAATAATTAAATATTTTGTTTTTTTTTTTTTTTTTTTTTTTTTTTAAAAAAAATTTTTTACTTACACTAGATCCTTGCATGTAGCTAGAGTTTCATCAGATGCATCTCGACATTGATGAGTGCCATCACAAAGTCTTGATAAAGGAATGCATTGTTTTTTATTTGTACAACTAAATTCATAATCATTACATTGATATATGGAACAATTATCTTTACAGTTTGTTGTAGCACACATTATTGGCATTTCATCACTACCATCGAGACAATCGTTCACACCATCGCATACTGTTTCTTGATGGATACAACCACCATATGTACACTGATATGTATGCTCAGGACATGGAAAATCTTTGCATAAAACTGGACTTTCATCGCTTTGATCAATACAATCTGGATATCCTTTTATAAAAAAAATAATCGTTAAAAATTAATCATAGTTTTAATTGACATAAAAATAAGAAAATGTACTAACCATTACATATTTTCGAAATCGATATGCATTCAAGTGAATCAAAACACTGATACTCTCTATCAGTGCAATAATTAAGAACATTGCAATGCATTTCGTCACTATTATCAAGACAGTTTTGAAAGCCATCGCATCTTAAAGATTTTGATACACAAGCTCCATAAGTACATCGATATGAAGATGAAGGACACCTTTAACATATCATCAATACGGAACTGCTGATAAATATTCTATAAAATTAATTAGTTGTTGAAAATAATCAAAACTTACACTATATGATGGCATAATTTTTTAACTTCATCAGACGAATCAGGACAATCAGTTACTCCATCGCATACTTTACTTAGATTAATTTTAAATCCATCAATGCAAATAAATGACGGAATCTCAACAGAAATTATTGGAGATATATAAAAAAATTCTAAGATAAAAAATAAATTTACTAGTTTAGACATTGTTGAAGATGTTCTAATAATTTATTATAAAGAAGATAACTATTATATACATATTTTGAATAACAAAATGATATTCTTTTTTTCATGGTGGATTAAAAATAATAGCAATTTTTAAAAAATAACAATAGTTGATGATTTGCGAAGAGCAATTAAAAGCGTAGAAAATTGAAAACATTTCATTTTGAAAAATCAAAAGGCATGAAATACTTAACACTATCTATAGAAATATCTTATTCTTTCCGGAAACTGATGACAAATTTTCTTATTATTAAATGTGACGTAGATCTGGATAACGCAGAATGAATTAATTTACAATAATTTGGCAAATAATTTAACTTGATTCTTTCAAATTCTGATAGTTTTCATTATAAAACTGAATTCTAAATTCAGAGCTAAATCAATATGTATTATAATCTGATTGCTATGATTTATAAAAAATAGTTTTACAAATTGATATTTAAAAAAAAATAAATCTAAATAAATGCAATTTGCAACGATGAATCGGAATCGATGATTCATTTTTATTCGCAATGAGTCGACCAAAATAAGCATTACAACTGATTATATACGTGAATATTTGAAGTAAAAGTGAAAAAGTAGTTGTTATCATTCCATTATCAGATTTGAAGAGTTAAGCGGTTGAAGAGTCACACCTAGTTTCCGTACGAGCGTGAAGCAAGAACCATTTCTTACCTCTAGAATAACTAAATTTCTTTTAACTTATAGAGTTTTTTGACAATGAATATCATTATCAAGAATTTTATATTACTTTTTTTTATGACTGTAACGGATGCTCAACATATGTGTAAGTATTTTTAAATATCATCTATTAATAGAAATATAATTCATTATTAATAATATTTTAGATCGGCTATGTGCACCAGAATCAATAAGTGAAACCACTTGCTTCAGTCTATCTCGAGGTGACAGTCAAGTGTCTTGTATTCGAGTAACTGACAGCGCCGACTGTGCTATTAAATTAAATGAGAACAAAGTAGATATCGGCATTTTTAATGCTGAAGAACTCTTATTAGCTTATCAGTTTTATCCAAATACTCTAACGCCTCTAGCACAGCTTAGGAATCGCGAAAAGCTTAAAGGTAAGTACTCTCCATTTATAAATAACTAACAATGACTTGATAAGAAATCATTTATGGTGGTATGATAAAAACTATTGTTATTATTTATCAATTGATTTAAATTGTTTAATTGAAAGATGATTTTGAGTTTCACACTGTTGCTGTTGTGCCTATGACTTTCAATGGCAATGAAGGTCTCGCCGGATTAAAAAATCAAGGATTATGTCATCCAGGCTTCAGTGAATCCCAGATATGGAATGATTATATCTTGAAATTTTTTGAAAAAAAAGTGTACAATAATGAGTGTCAAAAAGAGTATACAGCAAGTGAAAATGAAGCAAGAAATCTTAAAAATTTCTTTGGAAAAGCTTGTAGGCCTGGAATTTGGGTTCCTGATGCATCACAAGACGATGAATTAAGTAAATTTTATTTTTACTGCATCTTTATTGGATTAATTATTTTTTAAATATTAATTAAATATTTTTTCCCCCAAATTTAGAAAAAAATTATCCTGAACTTTGCGAACTCTGTGATAATAAATCTGAGTGTAAATATGAAAATAATATACATCATGGGCATATGGGAGCTTTGGAATGTTTAACGTCTGGAAGAGGAAATGTTGCATACGTTGCATATCATTACGTTCAGCAATACTTCAATGTAATAAAAATTTAAAAAGCTTCGAACCATATTTTATAAATATTTTATTATTGTTCTATTATTTCAGCTAAATCAAAGTAATCCAATGCCTCTAATAAATAATCCAGGTTACCAGTTTCTTTGTCCTAATGGTTCTCTTCAACCTTTAACAAAAACAAATCCATGTTCATGGATTCAGCAACCATGGAGTGTGATTTTAACAAGAAAGTAATTATTATTTGTTTTTTATTGATAAGCTTATTAAAAAAATTCACATTAGCACATAATTCATTAATAGGGACGATGCTACAGAAATTATTTCAAGCCTAAAAGAATGGATCGTAGATCCTTTGACTAAGTCTGAATCATGGAAAGTAGCACTTAGTAGAGTAATTCAAGAAGATGGATTGATTAATTATTTCTCTGAGCCACCAAGTCTCCGTTCATATCTCATAACTGGCCGAGAGGTTGAATTGTCAGAAAAATCTTGTGGCAAATCAATCCGATGGTGTACGATAAATAAAGCTGAAATGAACAAGTGTAATTGGGTTATGAAAGAAGCCGAGTTATTAGGAATAGAACCTAAATTTACTTGTGAAATAACCAATTCTACTTTTGAATGTCTTCAATATATTTCTAAAAATCAATCTGATATAATGGCAATTGATTCTAATTATGGTTATTTAGCTAGAAGGTAAATTTAGCTGAGTTGGTTTATTCTCATTATATAGTTATTTTTTATTTCATTAAATTATTTATTCATTATTTCAGACTTTACAATTTATCTACAGTTCTATACGTTGAAACAGAGAAAGACAAAAATAGTGCAGTAATAGCTGTAATTCGTGAAAGGTCTAAATTAATAGATAATTTCTCTGATCTAAAAGACAAAACTATTTGTTTCCCAGATTATGGTGGAATCGCTTGGCTTTCGTTTATCAATATTGTAAGGAATAAAAAATTAATTGGTGATACATGTGACTACCCAAAAGCTGTTGCTAAATTATTATCTGGAGCTTGCACACCTGGAATTAATGATACAAGCCGTTCTGAAGTGAAATCAGACTTTGATGCTGTATCTATATTATGTTCAGCTTGTCCTCTTGAAAAACCTAACTCGACTTGCTCTGCTGATGCTAATGTAAATATGTATTATGGTGATAAAGGAGCATTAGAATGTCTAAAAGGACCTGGAGATATTGCATTTATTGAATTAAAAAATATAATTCCTCAAGTTCGTGTTAAGAAGATTGAACCTAGTGAATTCAGAGTATTATGTAAAAATGAAAGCTTTGCTGAATATACTGGATTTAATGTTGATGAGAATTGTGCTTTATCAGTGACTATTGATAGTGAGGTAAATAGAATAAAACAAGTTAAATAAATAGCTAATATGTAGTTGAAAGCTCTTTTAAAAATATTTTCATCAATTCATTTATATATTTATTATTTTAGGTAATTGGTCGTACAAATAATTCAAAAGTTGATTCTATGGACATGACATTTGCCCTTTTAAAATTAGAGGATTGGCTTGGTTATCGTGCGTACTCGCGTCGAGTTATAAGAATTTATGATTCATTTTTACCATACGATGATTTATTATTTAAAGACTCTACAGTAGGATTAGAAAGTAAAGATTCCGAAATTAAAAGTATTATGGCGTATAAAGATTTATTTAAATTAGTGGATTCTTGTCGAAGTGCAAGCGTAAGAATTTTTTCTTACCTGTTCCTTATTTTATCAACTTTGATTGTATTATGCCTTTGCTAAGTGCAGAAATTTTTATAATTATCGAATATTAAAAAATATACATACATAAATTATAATGTTAACAACATTAAGGGTTTATTTCTTTTATACTGGTTAAATTAGTTAGTATTTATGACAATAAGTTTTTGATTAATATAAATCGAAAGTTATTACTGCTAAAATGTATCAAGGTTCAAGGCTCTAAGATTCTGGTGGATCAAGTGTAAGGCTTTCTTGGACTAGAAAAAAATGTTTGAATAAAGAGATTAAAAAAATTAGATTACATTTAAGCAATTCTTATATTATTCTCTATTACCTCAATACTTTACGTAAAATACAATTCAAATATTTTTCCCTCTTCAAATCTTAGAATCATGCATTGTACATATCACTCGACGTCATGAATGATTGCCTGCCGACATCATCACATTTGAATCAATTTTCTTTTCTATCGGGTGATGGAAAATTATCCACATTTTTTGTTCATTATTATTTATTTTATTAACTAATTTACCGATTACCTGGCAGTTAGCGGTTAATGATAATTTCAAAGTTGCATAATTAAAAAATTAAAATATCTCTTCCTTTATTTTTCCATGTTTTAAATCTTTATTTTTCATGACTAAACTTTTTAAAATAAAAATTGAATTGAGTTTTTCATAAAATTATGCTAGACCATTTTTAAAAAAATTCTATTTTTTCATAAAAATTTATCAAAGAAGTCTGTATAAAATTAAATTCGAATCTATCAGAAAGTAATACATAATTTCTATAATTCAATTTTTCTGACAAGTTTTGCTGTACTTTATAAATAATGGGTAAACGAATTTCGTGTTTATTAAACATTTAATGCTATAATATACAAAGAGCATATTCTCCGTGTAACGGCTGATCTTATTATCTTCAATATACGTTATGTGCCATTTAGTGTTGTATAAACGCCGTGAAGTTTTTATTTTTCAACTTTACTGCATGTTTCTTTTTCAGAATCAATCAATTTTTGAATGAATTCAATAATCTTTTGTATTACTCGTTTATTTGCAGTGACTGTAGGTTTCCTATTAACTCTGGCCTTTAAGCATGCTTCAATTTTTTCTCTCCCATGCTGTAAAAATTCTATTTTCAACTTATCAATTGTTAATCCATGTCGTGCCATTCTTCGCATCATAATACGCGATACAATTGGTTTTAATTCTGATACGAGTGACATATTTTTTCTTTGTTTTTTTGCCATATATCGTTGTTGAAAGAAATCTTTAGTGGATAAGGATTTCTTTTTTAAAATATTATTATTTATTTGAAAATGTTCCAACAATCCTTGAAGAAGAATACAATCGGTGGTCGCATTATGAGCTTTCTCACGTATATCGTCCCATTCTGGTCCTATTAAATATTTTGCTGCTAGCTCTTCTTGTTTTCCAATGTTATCTCGACGCAATAAAGGTAGCGTATCTGTCATTCCGAAAATCAGAGAGCATAATTCTTTCAATAAGCCATGTTTATTAAGCCATTGGCATATTATAGGAGCATCAAAACGGATGATATTATGGCCTACTAACAGAATTTGCGAATTTAACTCATGTAAAAAGTCAAGAAATCGACGAGCAGCAACATTAGAGGGAAAAGTTTCTACTTTTTGACCACGATAAAATAGAGCTCCATCGCTAGAAGTAAACCCAGTTACTTTCGAAGTCTGGGCAGTTATATTAGCTTTTGGTAAAATGTGAACTTCAAAATTTTTCATACCACATTTCGCTGCAACTTGAATTATTCTAGCTCTATTACCAAGTCCAGTAGTTTCTATGTCCACGATCACAGGAACACATGAATCTTCAAGAGGTCGAAACTCGGGGATCCATGAGTCTTTTACGATGTTTTCATTGAATGATTTTTTTATTCTTTTTGCTGAACTCATATTCGAGTTTGCAGTTTCAAAAGTTAGCAATTACACAAACAATATATCTTCCGTTTTCGTTTCTTGTTTTGGTATTTTTTATCTACTCACACTTGCTCCAATTTCGAATTTTTTAAATTTTATGTGTGAGTTGTTAATCGGCTGAGCTAAGAAAAACTTGAAATAAATTTTATTCAAACAAATTGAAACAATTTGCAATTTTTAGTGATAAAATTGAATGCGATTCTAATTAAAGTGTAAATGAAAAAAAAATTATTATGTTGTGTCATATTGAATAATTGTGTACAATAATGATCTTGATAAGTTCAAGTAAGTATAGTTATTTGCATTTGATATTATAGATTGTTTTAATAAAAATTGGTAACTCAGATTTATAATGAAAAATTTTAATTTGTCCAATTTCGTTCTTTGGTGATGAAATAATATTTTAAATAAGACATTTTTAGTATTGTCATATTCCTCGATAAATTGTAAAATATAACAAGTTTCATTTATTGATAGTGAACCGTGTATTCGACATGTCTTGATAAATAAAATTAATGATCTGCATAAGATTTAATTTTTAAACATCAAAATGATTAAAACTGCAAAACTTGAGACTTTGTGAGAAATTTAATGATTTATTAATTCAGTGTGAATATTGCAAGACACTTCTTCACCAGAATATCTGTGGTTTTTTAATCAAACGAATTGCGAATAAGCATTCACGCAAACCAAAAGGAGTATTTGGATTACAAACTTATTCCGTTTGGCATTGAGATTGGTTTTAAATTATTTGTAGTGAAAACGACATTGGAGATTCCATTCTTACTGATGGCAAAAAGTGTAGGAACCCCAAGAGATCTTATGTGAGAATCCTCATACAACGGGCAACCCTCAATCACATAAATTACTGTCGTAAGCACTAAGAAGGGTAGATTTAAAGCGAAACCTTGTTGAAAGGAAAGAAAGCCATAGAGCTCTGCTATTTCGGTCAAATATTTTTCTTTCTATTTGTAAGAAAGAAATAAAAGTAAGAAAAAATGTTTTGTTTTACTTTTTATCTTTTTTTTCATTATTATTCTTTTTACGTGTTAAGAAATATTTTACATTTCCCTAGGAAATCGCTCTTTTATTTAAAGAAGTTTTTTTCACTTATCGAAATACATTTATCATTTATGAATTACTGCTCGCGACGTTGATAATGAATAAAGTTTTTAATCATTTTCTGTAACTCACATCAAAATATAAATCAATTAGTTATTTTTTACCGATTTTTATTTATTTATCAAAAAATTTCTTTTAAGTTAATTCAATTGAAAATCACATCTAATGTCCAATGTTTAAATGTTCTATAAAATGTTAAATCTAATTTAGCTGGAAAGAAAGTATATAAGAAAGTGGTTTATAGAATCCAAATATGATGCAACACTTCTCTTAGATCTTAAAATATCGATTCTCAATTTAATCTACTTTTTAAGATCTGTAGTATAAATACGGATTGAAGAGGGTTCTTGAAACAAAGATGCTAAAGTGCTTCTTTAGCGACTCTACTTTTAAAATCTTAAAGCACAATCCCTTGTCTGTCTCGTAATATTCTCTTTAGCATCATCACCTTTTTTTCTTTTACCCTCGTCGATTATTCAACATTATCAACTCTTAAATATTCTTCTTCTTTTTTTTTCTTGCATAATCTTTTAAATAATGTCTTACCTTTTTTGGATAACTCATATACATTTTATCTCATTTTTTCCTGCCAAAATATCATATAATTTTTCACTACTTCACATTTTTCTCGTTCACTTTAGATTTTTATAGGCCTTTTACTTTGTTTATTTATTAAGTTATCATCATTTTTTCCCCTCAATTTTATCACAATTTTTCTTTTTTGGCTATTTTAATATTAGATTAATTTTATTTTTAATTATATGGAAAATTATGTTTTTGAAAAATTGAATTGATTTAATAATAAATTCTTTCATTAATTATTAATTTAAGTTGTTCTTTGAATTTTGTTAAATTTATTCATTTAAAGGAAAATAAATAGAATTTATAATATAAAATGTATTGATAGAGGCAAGTTATCAAATTTTCTTGGTTGAGTAAAAAACCCATTAAAAACATAAAATATCAGATAGTAAAATTAAAAAATTTTAAGAAATATTCATTCCTATTTAAATATTGTAAAAGTAATAAAAAAAGCTAAAAGGGAATTTTATTAAAAATTTATGCCAAATTCCATCATTTTTATTATTCATAGTAAGGGATTAATAACTTGACGTAATAATGGCATTTGATAATTAAAAAGAATGAAAGTTGTAATTTAATTCTGAATCCGAAAGACATTTCCTTTTTTTGAGTTGTGAATATTTATGGTAGCCTGCAGGGTATTCTTAAAATTAGGTTTGTATTGCGTCTTTCCTGGCTTTTCTTGAGTTTTCACGCCAGAAAGTAATTCGATGAATTCAACTTAACTTCTATTATTTGATGTAACGAAAAACTTAAATGTTGCATTAATAGGATTTTCAAATAGCTTAGGAGAAGTATTTATTATCAAATACTCGTTCTGAACTTGTAAAAGAAACTAATTAATCTTGTCTCATCGTAATAATAAGTATGGATATAAGATAAGAGTATTCTCTTATCCACCAAATTAAGTGCAGTGGGTCGTGCCAAGAGCTACTATCCAATAGTTTATCCTAACTGGAACCTCTTTCGAGTTCATCCTAGTTCTACTTTATATATCCAACCTCCGAAAAGCTATTCGACCACATTAACGCTGGAATGAATTCCATGAACCCCTTGGGTAGTTTCGTCGACTCTTTCTTGATCAATTTTGACATTTAATATCTTTTCCTTTCAGCAGCTTATTTTCAATGTCACAGCAGGATACTTTAATCTTATTAAATATATTACCTAGGTTCAGACTCTGTTCTTATTCTCAATTATTTATAACTAGATATATTTCACTATTATAAGAAAATTATTCATTAATGCAGTACAGAATCTAACCCAGTGTTTCATTTTCTATTTCTCTAGTTCAATTCTTAAATCAATATTTCAGTTTCTTAGCATCACTACGTTGAATAAAATTATTAAAAATATACTGCGATGTCATGCAAGTTTGAAGTTAATTTCTTAAAGTATTATTCAATTTAGTTACATTTATTCATCATAGATTTATTAGAAATTATAAAAACAACTAGAAAAATAAAACTGAATTCTCAACTAGACATTAATCATTTTCATTTATCATAAGTTTCCCTTTACAAATTTGTAGGATTTTGATAGAAATACTATAAGTCTGTCAAGACCATTTTTCAAGCTTCTTAATGAAAATGATGTCACTGATTTTAAGACATTTTAATAGAGACAACATAAGGATATTTGAGTGGGTCGTATTTTAGTAGAAAGCTTGAAGATTTCCAGCATTAACTTGTGTTATCTAACTGAAGGTTCAGTTTACACAAAATGCAACGTTTAATTAATCCAACCGCTTAGGTATAGGAGTATCAAGTCGTATTGCTAAGTAATACCAAGGTATTAAATCAAAAGCTAAAGTAGCGAATAGTCAGTTGTGTAGAGAAATAGCCAAGTCTTAATTATAACGTCTCAAGTTAACTAGGAAGTCAGTAAGCATGCGCCAAGGACGATAATGTATGGGGAAAGGCCTAAATAGTCCAGGCATTGTATACACGATGCTTTGCTCCTCTGCTTCAGCATTAATAGTCTCACATGATGTAATTAACTCACGACCGCTGAATTTCCGGCATTAACATGATCTACGTCGTGGTGTCTGTAAGATCAAGAGGGAGATTCAGCCTCGTTTTGGTTTGGTCTCAAGGACACTAGGGATATTATTAAACATATATATTATTATATATCAGATTTCATTTCGGAAGAAATAACTTTATAAGAATGTCTGAAGAATTTTCATTAAGAATATAGCTTCTAACTTGGTGCCAAAAACTGATTAAACCTAAAAAAAATTATCTTTTTGAGTCACAGAATATCTTTTTAGTCTTGTGATTAAAATAGAATAAATATTGTGAGATTGGTTTCAAAAATACAAACTTTTCTATACAAATATATTTTATTTATAAAATCAAGTACAGTTATAGTCATAAAAAGCATCGTGAAAATAAATTATATATAAATGTCATTGAATTGTCAAAATCCAAAAATTTTCAGTCGCAAACAATGACTTAAATTTTAATTATTAAATGTAAATTTACGATATTTTAATTAACTAAATATCTGTACGTTTATTAGAACAATACATCCTAATTTATTAAGACAACTGCTTAATCGTTAAATAATTATAAAAGAATAATCGATTTAATAGTCAATCATTGTGTAAAATACTTTAAATTCTAATCTTTGAACTTTAATGGACGGAATCGTTAGTTACAAGACATGAATTAATAAAATTTCAGATTTATAACTGAAATCCATTGGTAATTCAGAGTACTTATTATAACAATTTAATTTGTAAATATATTTCCAACATTTTTTTTATATATTGGAATTTTTTTTATAATTAATAAAAAAGTTCTTTGAACACAGTAAAAAATTTCATTTTGATATCTTGTAATTATAAATATCAAATCTCACAATAGATATTTTTTGTTCTAATAATGGAATTCTTTGAGATTCCTTTGTCTATGTTAGCAAATATCTCGAAACAATAACGATCGATATGAAAATGGTTATTGCTAGAGACGATGACAATGTCGTAGCACCATTGCATTGGTCTTGTGAACAGTAGCATCGTTGCCAGAAGACTCCATTCTCATTAACACCCCAGTTGCAAACTCCAGTTACCCCTGTATCCGCTACTGATGCGCATCTTCGGATCACTTGTCTCCATCTTCCATCCCCTGATAAAAATAAATTCATTAGTAATTATTGGAATGTAGATATATGACATTAAAATTTATGTGTTTGTTGATATAGTCTTTATATACAGATTAGTAAATATTGTGAAAAATTTTTTCTTTAATGCTTACAAATAAATCCACGTGCACTTTGTTGTACCTCTTTCACACAAAATGACCCAGGCATTTTCGAGTCTCCATTAGTGCAATCAATTGCAATGTGTCGTTCTTTATCAAAGCCATTGTAAGCACCACAAAGATCTTCACCTTTTGGATCTGTGTCCGTACTGCACTGATAGCATTGGATAGCTTTAGATCCTATAAATTTATTTAATTTTGTAAATATATTTTTTTCGATTTATTAACATCAACATTTTTAATGTTAAAAAATAAAAAAATTGTTTGTGTTTTACTTGTTACATGCTAATATATTCAAATAGAATATTTTGATTTGAGAGTAATGTATTAAAAAATAACTCATTGAATGAGTATTATAATATAACAGTAAATATTCATCAAGTAAATATGATATGTTTTCTTAAAAATTCTGTGTCAATATTTAATTGAATTATTTGATATTAAAATCTTCATCAGTAAAATAATTTTATGATATAAAAAGCATCATAAAAGGGCATTGCAATATATTATATAAAACATCTTTAATCTAGAAACGTCTTTTTTATATATTTCTTTTATAGTATCTTTCCCCTAGTAATGTAATCATAGTTGATTTAATTAATGAATTAATTCTTTACTTAATAAACATTTATTTCACGGAGTATCAATGAAAACAAAACTATCAACAATCAATCTTTCATAACAATAGCCAACCTCAAATTTACTGGTACAGTAATTTTGTATAACATCTTATTTAATAATTTTAACATTGTTTTATGTAAACTTTTAAACACTAACATTACTTGAATAACACTCATGAATATAAATTTAAAAAATTTATGTTAATTCACTTCAAAAAAATTAAAAATGTCTAGTTGAATAAAACTGAGTCACTGAGGTTAAAGTGTTATTATCAAATAAATAACAACTTACCCTTTAAAAAGCATACAATAGCAATTAAGATAATTAAAAATCTGTGAGAGATCATGGTGGCACTTAAAAATAATAAATAAACGTATTTGTTTAGGTAAAAATAATGAAAATATAACAATAACAGATATTATTACTTGTTGTGGCTTTACAACTCCACGAACACCTGACGTCATTCATTGGGCGTCGTCTCTATACTTCTCCCCACTTGTGGTCTTTTAGAGAATTTCTTCATCAGGGCCGTATCATGTTATTTGTGAAATTTATTCGGCTTCGACTTTGGCTTCAGCCAAATTTCTTAAATAATTAAGTTTTTACTATGATGCAGATATATTTGTTGAGTGGGAATGGTTTTTTTCAAATTCAATGGGTTTTTTCACATAGAAAGATTCTTAGTCGAGAAATAAAAGTTGTTTTACGTTATTATTAATTCTTATCTGTATTGACTAACCTAGCACGTTACAGGAAATTTACAAAAGAGCGCGCGAAACAGTAACTGTAGAGTATAAAAAAAGTCCTAATGTTAACTTTTGTGACAAGAAGACTCAACTGTGATATTTCCTTCGATAGAATCTTAGAAGGAGGTGTTTTTAAAGTTTCCTTGTGTTTGGTAATTTCACCCTTTATTGTATAAGTTTTGTTGAAAATATTTATGTGTTGTTTGTTTGTTAGTAGTTTTGAATATGAGTTTGATAGTTTTTGGAGAAGTTCAAGATAAAGCTTCAAGAAAAAAACCAAACTAAGTGTTTAGTGTTGTAGTTAATATGTCTGAATCGATAAATTCACAAATTGTTATTAAAAAAAAAGTGAAACAAGTTAAAGTAGACATTTTTTTAATTTGACATTTAGACAACAAAAGAAAACTTGAAGTTTACATGAAATTTTTCAAGAATGCTTACCATTTAATTTTGCTACACAATCATTAGCAACAATAATTACATTTAACTGGGGAGTTAAGAAGAACTCGGGTACTGATAAAGAAATTAATTTATTAAAATAAACTTCGAAAAAGTAAGTACTTAAATTAAAATTATTTTATAAGAATTTTCTCTAAAATATTAAAATTAATATTTACACAACAAATAAAATATATTATGATATGTTGGAATTTACTTTGCAGGAAATTTAGAACAAGTGAAAGAGCGATCAGAAAACAACTATCTTATGTTGAACTTTATTTACCACAGAAGAAGAACTCTTTCAATTCTTCATTTAATATATTAAACACTTTCACCACAAACACGTATGTATGTATACATGTCATTATAGCTACATAATCTATCATATTGCTACTCTGATGAGTAAAAGCATATACTTGAGAGCAAATATCACCCAAACTAAGCTGTTTAATTAATTTCAAAGATACAGACTTGGGTTTCAAATACACTAAATTTCCTGACATAACTCAATACATGTCAGAAGCTCATTATCTTGCATTTAAAAAATGTCGACATGATCTTCAACATAGCAGATACATAATAAAGGCAAGATCAATTGATTTAAGAGGATTAAAATTTACGTGCAATCTAATAAAACCAAATTGTCAATTGATGGCTCGATTGCATTGCTATGCGATGGTTATTCGATATTGGTATTCGAAAAGTGCAGCTCGATACGAAGGTCTATTGCTCTCTATTGAAACGATGCGCGAGAACCGAACAGTGTAACAAGTGATAAAAACGGATTTTCTCTTATTAAACTCTTTTAACTTCTATTTGTGAGCAGTCGAACGTACTTCGATATAACCTTCACTCTCTCGATTGTTATTCGGTTCATTTTGTTCTCAGAAAGAAGAATAAAATCTAACTGTTATGCTATTATATAGGATGTAGATACAATGCTTTTTCCAAAAGTGTCATGCTGAATCCAATAACATTTCGTCTTCGTTGGCTAATTTTTTCCATTTCTCGTTCATCGTAAAACAATATATTGAACAGTAAAAAGTTGAGCTTTGAAAAAAGCTTAAAATGTCCATGCCTCGAGACTTTTTTCTGCTATAACTCTCTCGACGTGATACTTTATTGCAATGGAATACGCGATGTGAATCGGATGTACGGGACACAACTACTCGATTACATCTGGGATATTGTCAAGGGAAAATTCATAGAAGTATACGAATATATGCTTTTTTCATTGCAAAAAAGGCATCATTTTTTATATTCATGTCAGATGCCAGTGGAATAAATTTCTAAAAAATTCATTGTCCTACATCAAGAATTCAATTTTTCGCGCCGATAGCGACGTTTTCTGACCTACAGACTTTTCCTATTCCTACTACTAGATGTTGTTGCTCTTGTTTAAACACTGAAAATAATGGAGAAATGACTGAGATATAAAAAAACATGGTAAAATTGAATTTAAATTAAATTTTTTAGTCCTGAAGAATGCAAATAATAATTATTGCGAAAACGAGCTAGACATAATGGGAACAAGGAAGATAATTCCATTAGAAAATTAATAAAAAAAAACAAGATGAAGATAAAGCGTCGTTCTGATGTCTTTTTCTTGTTGTTTGTGAAAGTAATAAAATTCGTAGAGACATTATTTTATCAGAAAAATATTTCAAAAACTTTGTTCAAGAAAGTGCAGACTTCTTATCTTAAATATAATGCTGAGCAAATGATTTTTATTGCTGATATGCCATAGTTCTGCCAACTAAATGTATATATGTATTGTTTTATGCATTCCTTCAAAATGATTTAATAAATTATGAGTACTACTTGTGTCACTAGGTCAGTAAAAGATAAATTTTTTCAAACTTATCAATAAGTAGAAATTTTCAGAACTCTAAAAAAATGAATTTAAATAATATTCATAATTGAATAATTTTTTAGAATACATATATTTGTTACATTGCATATTTAGTTTTATACTGAATACCTCCACGATATTTTTAGTTGCATAATATTTAATTATAGTAATTAATAAAAAGAATCAAATAAAACGTAAATAATCTAGACTTTCAAATACTCTCATTTTTCAAAGTAAAATGAAATTACTCACATTCAAATTTCTTCATCATCTTTTCATTTGAAAAAAAATTAAAATCTCTTCATGCACTTTTATCCAAAAAAATTCAATTAATTATTTCTTCATAATAGTCACAGTAATATTTAAATAGTACCAGACGTAATTGGAGCGTATTTCATCGCGTAAATATTTCAATTAAAAGGACTGGAAAGCAAATATTCATATTCTTTACTCCATTATGTACATAGATCTATGTAATGTTATGTTATCATATATATTTTTTTAATTGCACAGACATGATGAGCTTCAGGATGTATCTTTTCAAAGAATCATCATTGAAAAGAAGACGAAAGAAATGAGTTTACTTTGTGTGAGTGTGCAGGATAAATTATTCAAAATGGTCTTCTATGATCCACTATGTTGTTTCTACCGTCTGGCATTTGAGATCTACTCTTGTGCTTTTTTAATTTTTTTTTTCTGTTCTGTCCGCCACGGAGTGTCGTTCATCCACCACGTGCGGCTTCAGTTATCCTTCTGTATCACCACCACGGGCAACTCCGGCATATCCCGAGGGAATTTCTACTTTTCTGACAACCACCACCGCATTTATCCCATCTAGTATTTTCAGACAAGCTTACAAAAGAACTCAGAATCCAATAAGCCTGATAAGTCTGCAGGCCCTTCATCTAAGGGTACGCGAACATGTATAATATTTATATATACTTTTATGTATTGAGAGGGACAGAATATATGAAGGAATTGTACAGACACGGAAAGACCAAAAATACCGTTGAGGGTTGATATCACTTGCGGGCCAGTTCGCACTTCCTTCCGCATTCTATTTATTGATACTGTGATATTTCATAAGTCCACCCTAAATTTCACATGAAATCTTATTGCCTTGGGGTATTCAATTATGACCCCTCACACTCATCAATTTTCACCTTTACTAACTATGCTCAATTTAAGCCCTTTGCCAATATTTATAGCTCCTAATTCTATGCTGCAATAATTTACAGCTTTTTGCATTTGTGAATTAATTGCTTTATTTTTTTTATAGCTCTCTAATAGCAATCAATGGTTTAATTGTAGGAATCGCTCTTAATTTTGTAATAAAATGGAGCCAAGTCAAAATTGCTGAGAATTAATTAAATTAATTTATTTACGTCGTTTGTATACTGAGTTTCATTTGTTAGAATACTTGAGAATTTTTTTACGATTTCTATTTGCTTCTAGAATAATTAAAGATAATTAAATGTTGCACCGTATGATTTTTTTTTATTAGAAATTTGTTTAACTTTCTATACCACATTGGGATTTGAATGATTTTATTTTCTTCCGTTTAGTTGGTTTTTAAGTTTTAAAATTTATTATTGTAAAATGAAAATCATATCTCTTAAAGTACTATTTTATCAATATAAGATATAAGTGGTGTAAGAACAAATTGATAATGTGATAAAAATTATCTAACTTCAAGGTACAATTTCTCCTCAGAAATATAAAATTTAATTATAAATTAAATTTAAGTATTCTTAGAGATAATTTCCACTTAAAATTTGGTCATTTTTTTAACTCTTATGACTTGCTTTTAAATGACATGAATTGGAGTCAATTTTTCCTCAATTTCTAGAGCAAAAATTTTTCGCTGAAATTGTATTTAATCTCTGGAATCTTCAACCTTTTGCCAGTTATATTATGCTGATGAAATGTACCATCAAAGAGTTTAAAATAATTAAACATTCTTATTAATTGATAATAGTGATGATAATTGAATGTTTTTAACTGATGATTATTATCATTAATTTAAACTAAGAGTTATTTTAAAAGCAAATTGAAATAATAATGTGTGTATATTTTCGTAAAGTGAGGTAAAAGGATGATAGAGTGTTATGAATTTTAATTAATGAATTAGAATAGTATGAGCGAATATTTTATTAATGATGAAGTTTTCTTAATGTAAAATTGACATCCCTAAGAAGAATTAAGAGACAATTTTATTGTTTGAATAAAGAATTTACGGCACTTACTGCAATTGTTATTTTAAATGGGCGTTTTTTATCATTAGTTCTTCGCTTTTCTCGCCCTTGGCTACGAACAAGCAGATTTAGTGGATGGCTAGAGTGGTAATGCCATTTTATTGCTTCTTTTTACAAACCTTTTTTCTTAGTTCTTTACTCTCCCTTTATAACTTCTTTTATTCTTAATTCTTATTTTTCTTTGCCTTCCTCTCTTTGGATGTTTCAGTTGTCAAGCTTTTTCTCCTTCAAACGAACCTCATTGAAATTACCTGTACGTTACCGAACCCTTTTTATCCTACAGTACTTTGCCGATATTTTTTATTCTATTTTTGTTGTTAAACTTATAGTGAAAAAGCATTTTGAATATAAATGAATTAATATTGAAGTATAGTCGATAATTTTAGACTTTTTTATGACGAGGAAATGAAATACTTCATATTGACATTAATATCACGGGTGAATATTTATGAGATGAATCCCAAGGGACACTCCCAGTACGAAGGACTGGTATCAACAAACTTTTTAGAAAAGTGGAATGAGAAATTCCAACTTTATGCATTTTAGTTGCGAAACTGTTTATAAAGGTAAATAGACTGTTTGTACCAGTTACTATTTTTCAAGATCGTTATTTGCAAAGCTTCTATTTTCAGCAAATAATAAGTAATAAAATTATCAAAAGATTAATATAAAGATTTTAAATAAAATTATACACAGATAAACTGTAATTAAGGACACTTGTTCCAATGTACAAACATCGGCTATTGACAGGCTATCATATCAACATCGAGTTGATACTCGTGATATTTTTTATTAACAGCTGATGTAATATTGAGTAATTTTTTTGTTAGGAAGAGTGAGTTAATTATTGAATTTTCAAATCAACAACAGAAACACTGTACAATACAAATTACCATATAGTTAGTAACTAGTTAATATCTAGTTAGTTATGGGCTACTTTATATATTTTTCATTAGATACTTAATATTCATAATAATAACAAGAACTATTATACAATTTTGTGAAGTGTACATTTAATATTGATGCACATAAATACATATATGTGATTCATATTCTTCAACGGTTAATAGTAATATGATTAGATGTATTGACGAAACATTGTATGTGTCTTTCAAGGATCTGCAATCCGTTTCTTCTGGACAGCTTGCAAAAAATGAAAATATATGTCCGAGTTATAAAAGTCTTGAATAAACTTATTCCATTTCTGTGACCAAATATCTTTGGCAACGACTTTTTGATAATCGTTCATACTGCTGTAATCAATGGAATTTATTGCAAGCTGTTTCAAAGCTCTGATGTCTGCTTCTCTCGACATCATGCCCATAAAAGCTTCATAGAAATCATAACTGAGTGCCTTTGATCCCCATAAACCAGGATCATCATTTGATACGACAACAGGGAAATTGGAAGCAAAGAGAATATTTGCTGGATGATTTCGAAGATCTTTTACGAGACCTAACACTTGATTAGAAATTGGGCACACCTCTATTGGGATATTTCTTTGTTTCACTATCTCAAGTACTTCTGGGTGTTTTACCACCGCATAACCATGACCAATTCTCGTAGTGTTCAGTAAGATTGCATCTAACAAGTTTTCATCTGATGCTAATCCGTACCAGTTCGTTTCTCCAGCGTGAAAGTAAAATTTAACTTTGTTAATGAGATGCGATAATCCTGGAATATATTTTTTAATAGGCACTAATCTATCCTCATGGCCTACCAAGTCCAAACCAGCAAAAAAATCTGGATATTTTTTCATAAGAGATGAAGTTAAATTTATTTTTTTGAATACATCTTCTGTTAGACCATTTTTATGTGGTGAATATATAATTTTTACTCCAACAAAGTCTTCATGTTCTTCTCTAAATCTGAAAAATGGATTTTTTAATTTTATAAAAAATTCTGAACTCATTTAGATCAGTAAAATGGAACTTTTAGAAACTGTGTAACCTAATTGGATTTAATATAGAAACATCGAATAAAATAAATGCAAGTTACTTTTGTGTCCAAAATATTTTCTACATTTCATATGATTTTCTTAGATTTAAAAATTTCTATTCAGCATTAATTGAGCAAAAATACCTTTCAGTAGTTTGATAATAAATTTTCATAGTTTCAAGAGGACCATATTCAGTTCCATTTAGGTCATATAATTTTGGTATTGTAGATCGAAGTTCCAAATATAAAACATTGTCTTCATATAATTCTTCAAGCCCTTGATAAAAATGGTCTCTATGAACAGGTCTATATGTTAACAGTGGTCCGATGAACTTGAAGAATTGTTCGAATTTATTCCATGCATCATTGTTGGTAGGATAAGTTTCATCAGGATTAGTAGTCATCATGGATAGTTGGTTACGTATTTTGGTGTTAATAGCATCAGCTTGATCTTCATGGCTGCGTAACTCACTGAGTAACTGCCAATTGCAATCATTCGAAGGCTTCTCGAAGAACTTTAAAGCCAAAAAACCATTTTTGTCACATGCATAGAGATGTTCTCTGTATGTGACATTATTAAATATCCATTCAGAAGAAACAGCAGAAGTTCCATGAGAATGCAGTACAGCTCCTTTTGGCATGGCCTGAATAATTTTGTAGACTATAGATTGTTCTATCTTATCTCGTACTTGCATAAAATTTCTACTTGGAAGGAAATTCCTAGAGTTTGTGAAAGCTATGGAAATTAATAATAATCAATTGATTACTAAAAAAAATATATAAAATATTTAATCTGAAAGTCATAACAATTAATAAAGAAGAAATCGAATGAAAGATTTACTTGATCAATGATTTACTTGAACATAAACATACTTTTATTGTAATGTAATAGTAGAATATGTTTTGATTATTTATTAAACTATTTAAGTTTAATTGTGCAGTTTGATAAAAAAACAAAATTCAACAATAAAATTAGTATTAGCAAAATCTTTAAACTCATTAAATAAAATGTTAAGTTTATCGAGTAGTAAAATATATTATTATAAGATGTACCTTCATAAATTTCTTGTTTCTTATAATGCATGAGAATATTATTAACTTTGCTTTCTTCGTGATTCATCATAAGATTTCCACCAAAAGTCCGATTGCGCTCATTTTGTTGTAATATGAGACGTTTTATCCAATAGGTATTATCCAATTCTGAATTTATTTTTTGGATGAGCAATAGGAGCCATATGATTTTATTTATTTCATTCATGATTACTGACTATTTCTCTAAATAACCTATTCGCTACTACTTTTTAAACTGATACTTTCTGAAACTTATCGATATTCTTTTATAGACCAAAATAGTCAAGTCAGGTGATACATATTTAAAAAATTATTAAGACAGGTGCAAATTTAGATAAAAAAAAATTGACTATATTATGTTGTAATTTAGATATTTGATAAAAATATAAAAATGAATTTTGAAAGAATTGGAATCATTAAAATATAATAAATTCATTATAATAAGTAAAGTTAGAAAATAATAATTGAAGATAAAAAAATTTATTTATTCATTCTAGATAAAAGGATATTATTAGAGTAGTATTTCTATCATTCGGATGTAACGTAGTGACGTTAGACAAAATTTTATTTACAGATGAAAATTATTATAATTATTTACAAATAACAAGAATGATCTTAGTTATGGTGTACAAAAGAACATTAAGAAATTTAACTTTGTGTTCCACTTATCTGATAAACAATCTGATTTTTTAAACAAAAATCGTCTTTTGAGACTTTAATGCTCTATTCATAAAACTCTTAACTTTTACATTAATCAATAATTCTATCATAAACAACATAAAGAACAATGAATTACTAATATAAAGAAAAAACTCCATATAACATCAATTGACATACAACAGTTTGATTTAATAATGTATTAGAAAAAGAATTGCAAATAATATTGTAGGAGTATTGAGTAAAAGTGCCGTGAATCTATTGAAAAGAATTTAAAGCAAACATAAATTAAATATTTGTTGACTTTAAAATTGTTTGTTTGTAATTGCAAATGTTAGACAAAGTCTAATATCAGAATATTTGATTTTAATTTGAATCAGCTTGTACTAAATAGTATTTGTAGTCATTTGAGAGTGAGGATCTTGGCTGCTGAGATTATTGACGAACTTATTCCATTTCTGTGACCAAATATCTTTGGCAACGACTTTTTGATAATCGTTCATACTGCTGTAATCAATGGAATTTATTGCAAGCTGTTTCAGAGCTCTGATGTCTGCTTCTCTCGACATCATGCCCATAAAAGCTTCATAGAAATCATAACTGAGTGCCTTTGATCCCCATAAACCAGGATCATCATTTGATACGACAACAGGGAAATTGGAAGCAAAGAGAATATTTGCTGGATGATTTCGAAGATCTTTTACGAGACCTAACACTTGATTAGAAATTGGGCACACCTCTATTGGGATATTTCTTTGTTTCACTATCTCAAGTACTTCTGGGTGTTTTACCACCGCATAACCATGACCAATTCTCGTAGTGTTCAGTAAGATTGCATCTAACAAGTTTTCATCTGATGCTAATCCGTACCAGTTCGTTTCTCCAGCGTGAAAGTAAAACTTCACTTTATCGATTAGATGAAGGAATTTAGGTATAAAATCCTTTATAGGATTTGAGGGATCTTCTTGACCTACTAAATCTAATCCAGCAAAGAAATTTGGGTAATTCCTCATCATGGTTGGGATAAGGTTTATCCTCTCATTGATCGCTTTTTGTGATCCAAGCTTATTAGGTGCTAAGATAATTTTTACTCCAACGAAGTCTTTATGTTCTCTCTGAAACCTGGAAAAAGTTACAAACTTTTCAGAAATTTTCTGATGGAAACCTCAATTACGTTCTTTCTTTATGTTTTATTTCCTTATATTATCCAATTCATTGATTACTCAAAAATAATTACTTATTTTTTTTTAAAAATGAAATGAATAATTAAAAATTATGACATTCATTAAAGTTACTTTCACGGTTTGTTATTTATCATATACTTATTAATAACAACCAATGTTTGATATAGCTTTCAGTTTCATTGAATCACTACTTAGCATACTTAGTAGTGGACCAAGGTAAATCCGATTAAAGTAAAATATGAGAAATTAATACGGACTTACTCTCACCGATTGAATAAGTTTTATAGAAACAAAGAGACGAGAGAAATTAGAACAATAAAGTAGTTTAAATAAATAACCATAATATAAACAAACTTGAGTCGATTGTTATCTTGATATTTTTTCTGTAAAAAAAAAGAAATACCTGTCAGTAACTTCTTTGTAGACTCGAAGAACTTCCAAAGGATCATTTATCGTTCCATCTAGTTCATATAACAAAGGCATGGTTGTACGAAGCTCTATCCACAGAATATTATCTTCATAGAATTCTTTCAATCCTTGATAAAAATGGTCTCTAAAGACTGGTCTGTAGGTCAGAAGAGGATGTATGAAGATGAATATATTCGAAAATTTATCCCAAGCAGCATTGACTGTAGGGTAGGCCTTAGAAGGATCAGTAGTGATCATTGATAATTGTCTACGAATCTTGGTATTCACATCAGCAGCTTGAGTTTCATTTTGACGTAATTCACTGAGTAGTTTCCAATTGCATTCTAAGGTAGGTTTATCGAAAAATTTAAGACTGAGAGTATTGTTTTCATCACAAACATAAAGATTATCTCTGTAAGTCACATTGTGGAAGATCCAATCATCAGATACAATCGCAGTGTCGTGGGCATGTAGAATTGCTCCCTTTGGCATTTTTTTGATTATTTTAAATACTTCTGATTGTTCAATGCTACTACGTGCTTCTAAAAAATTTCTTGATGGTAGAAACTTATCAGGATCTGTAAAAGCTATCACAAATAATAAGCTATTTACTCGTTGTCTAGATCATGATGAAATATTAAGCAGTTGACAGTATTGATTTATAAACAATGTATCTGCTCAATTAGAATATGATTGAGTTGTTAATGTTTCCACTTAAGTAATGAGAATTAATTTTTAATTTAATAAAATTTCGATTATTCTGAAATGAGATTTTAGAATGATAAAAATGTTAATTGTGAGTTAAAGAAATTTTATGGAAGTTGAGATATATTTTCAGTAAAGAGAGAACAGGTGGAAAATAAAACAGGGTTTTTATTGGAATGTAAATAGGATGGAAATAAAAAAATGTTGGTGATTTTTTTCTTGTTATATATAACAAGCAAATTTAAACCAACGAAGCATTTATTTATTACAGTGTTAACAAAGTCTTCGCAAATTATTACAGCGACAAATTATGCTCTTCATGTTGCTTTAATTGCTGGAGTGTAAATATTTTACTTCCAGTTGTTGAACAAATCAATGAAAAATCACAAAAACTGAAAGCATTCCAGTGATAAAAATAATTTTTTTACTCTATTTAATTACTTAAACAAAAAAAATGAATAATAGCACTATAAAATCTATTGAAAATAAGATGAATAAGAATGAAGGTTTTTTTATTGATTTAGAAAAAACTTTATTGGTTCAATACAGTTATAAGCATGCAATAAAAATAAACTATAAATGGTTTGAAACAACACTCTCACTCCAATTTTGATTAACAAAAAATTATTTATCATTGAATAACTAAAAAAGAAATTGAATAGAAAATTATTCTTCCAATAAATTGAAATGATTTGATAAAGTATTTGATTAATTTTAGTAACTTTTGATCTCATTTTACATACCTTCATTAATCTCATTATTCTTCTTTGCCATAAAAATATAATTAGCTAAACGTTCCTCACAATTTAATGACAAATTAGCACCAATAATACTCTTCTCTTCTTCTCGTCTTAATCTTGCACGTTTTTCCCAATATGAATTGATGTTAAATTCCGCATTAATTATCGAACCAATCAATATCACTAGGATAATCACGATTTTATTAGCAGTGTCACTAATCATTGTCAATAGATTTATTAACAGCTGCTCGTGATGAAGACACTACTCACTAACGAATGCACTGCTTGCTAAAAAGCTAATGTTTTCTGAGTGTCTTTGAATATTCAGAGTTGGTGGCAGTTTCCCACTATGGTTGGATTGTTTGTGATAAAGAACCAATGAATGAATGAAGCTCTGTCATGTGATATTTTTTTTATCTTAAATACAAAAAAAATTGTTGAATTAAATTTTATCACTACTGATCATATTATCTTATATTAGATTACTAATTACTATTTAATTTAACGTTTACTTTCTAATGTATTTAATTGATTTGAGTTTACATTGATTTTTGTTATCACTAAAAGATTGTTCAATCTTTTTTTATGATTGAGTCGTATAAATAAATTATGCTATTAAGTTATCTCTGGTTAATTACTTTTATAACATCAATCTTTGTGAATGTTTTACTTTTCAGTAGATAATTTGAGTTTAATTATTTATATTATAAAATAGTTCACAACAATCTGTATTTTTCATGCCTTCATGTTACATGTGATAAATTTAATCTCTGACTATTTATCGCAAAAAGTTATTGACAATTGAAAACTTTTATTATTGTTTTATTTTATTTTATCGAAGATCTAAATATTGCATGAAACTTGAGTATATCTTTTGAAATTAATATTTTTAATTATTTAAAAATTTAGTTTTTATTGATTATAATTAATTTTATTAAATTGATAATATAATAAAATTTCCTGTTTTTGAATTCAATATTACAAAAAGCGATAGTTTATAAAATTATTAGTCAAACAGTTTCGGTTTATTTAGTATATTAGATGTAGGTTGCTTGTCAATGATAATAATTGTCATTGACATGACACAAAAATGATTGCAAGCATTAGAAGTTGAATTAGAGATAAACTAATTGGTAAAACATTATTTTATTGAATTATAATTCAATCAAAATGTGATCAATCTGTAGAATTGATAAAAAATTATTGAATAATAAAATTAATAGTACAAGTGTTTCTACCACGTTAATAAAAAATTTTTAAATTAAAATCAAAAATAGATGTTGCATTACTAACAATGAGTATTATAATTTTTTATTTATTTAACAAAATAAAGTTTATTGAGAAATTTTATTGTGACTATATAAAATTTGATAGTTGTGTTTACAAGTATACTTGTATAAATTTCATTTTCATGTTGACAAGTATTTCCATAATCCCATCCATGTGGCGAGTGATTCAATGTTATTGCAAAAATATACTTTTAACACTGATATTAGTTTTTATAAAAATGGTCTTTAATCTTCATTCATAACAGTTTTATTTGTCTATTATTTTATATCAAATAAGTTATTTCAAAATGATATCAAAATAATCGAATCCATATAAAAATATTTAAAAATCAATTTGTTAGAAGAATTTTTCATACGAAACATGAGAATGAAGTTGACATGACGACATAAGTAATATTTTTGAAAAATAAAAACTACGTAGACATCAATATTAAAAAATGCAGATGACACATAAATATGTAAGAAAAAAGAGTATTCAAGGGATATAACAATAAAAATATTTGAAATTGAATGATTAATTAGAGTTGAGGAAAAAATAAGAAAAAGTAATGTATTCGTCTGGCGGTCAAACCGTCTAGTCGTTTGCGTTTGACGCTGCGTAATCGTTCAAAGGCTGTGACGAAGTGCCTGAGGTGAAATGAATATTTCATAAAGTAGCCATCATGGAAAGCCACAACTACCCCTTCTCTATTTCTCTTCTTTCCCTCCTACTCAGGACACTTTTACTGTAAAGTAACTGTTGGGATATTTGCAATTCCCGTCGGGAATCCCACAGAGTCCTTTTAAAAATTGTCAACTTCTTAGATCTCGAAAGAATTCTCGTCAGAACATTATTTTAGATTAAAAAAAATCATTTACACTTACTCCATCTTGTATTTATAATAAATTTATGGAATATTTGCGAAAATAATCATCTTTTGTATTGGATGTTTTTATACTAATAAACCAAAAAATTTTTTGAATACAGTAGATTTTTTTTATTAGTTTACTTAGCATTTTTCAGTTTTCTGGAAAATTAGTCAAATGGAATTATACATAAAATTGAACTTGGCTTTCTAGTTTTTGATTCTAAATGTAGATCTGTATGTTTTTAGTAAAGTCACTTTGACATGCGGGTTAAAAGTTATGCCATATTTCACAGTCAAAAGCTAGAGAACTCAAAGCATCTTGGAGAGCTTCTGAGTTTATAACAGTTGCGTTTTTGAACTTTGTTATCGAAGTTTCGTATCCGTCAGCAATATCTTGTTTCCTTTCTTTGTATAATGTTATTAAATGATGTACAGATGAGTCATAGAAAACTCAATAGAAAGTTTAAAAAATACATTAGGGGAAAAAATCAACATTTTTAAATAAACTATCTAATTATTTAGAAATACTCAATAAGAAAAAAAGCTATAAAAAACAGACGATGATTATTTTTGAAATTAAATAAAGCAATACTTCGACTCATGAAACTAGAATTAGAGTAAATAAATCATAATATTGATGTAATATTAATAAATATAGTTAAACAAAATCGAAAGATAAAATGACAATTATAAAGTAATAAATATGAGGGATAAATTGAGAAATAAAAATTACGTTTGGCTGATTCAGGTCTAGCCAACTAAATATAAACAAACTAATTAAGTATTGCTAATAACTAATCAGTCGACTAGAAAATTCATGTATTTTACAGTACTTTCTTGATAGAAAGTCAATAACATATTGAGTAAAATTAATTAAATAGTTATTTATTTGATTCACCCCATTTTTCTAAAAAATCAATGAAGCATTAACATACTATCCAAGAAGAGAATACTTTAAGTCTAGAAATATCTAAAATCGATTTTTTTGATATCTTTATACCTGTCAAAACTTTTTTGCTGCCCAAGTATTTCAAGTTAGTTTAGGTTTCCATTATTATAAGCATCAGATGATTCCTATGAAACTTTTATCTTTATATTTTTAATTAAAAATAGAAACTATATTGAAAAAGGGTGAAAGGTGAAAGGGCAGAATATTGTGAATAGTAATTTTGTTTCTGCCCTTTTTTAGAGTGAAAATGACGGATGAATACGAATTGCAAATACCTGTCGAGTGAAGATTCAATTAACGTACATATCATATTAGCTTTCTAGCCTTGAGCATCATTTTTCCCTTAAAAATAGTGATCGATTTTTCAAAAGAGCAAATGAAAAAGCCATTTTTATCAGAAATGAATCAAAAGCTTTTTTCACTCTACTTTATCTTATAAAAAGTGTAACTACTTTAATGATTCACTATAAATAAAAAGTTTTAGATAGAAGTTCTTCATTATAGAAAAAAGCTATTCATCAAAGAAGGAGTTTTCATATAAGAATAAACTAGAAATCGTTGGATCATCTGAGGTCAACATCTTGAGTTTATCTTCTCCTTAAAAGGTGTTGTTTTTTTAAAAATATAATTAGGAAATAATTCAACAAGTTGGTAATATTTGGTAGGATAGGAAAATAGCATTGATTAATTGAATATCTGATGATTCAGTATTCAACAAAAAAATATTTAACTTTGATAATAGAACTTTTATGGTTCACATTTGTTTAGAAAATCGAGTAATTAAAATTATTCGATGCTAATAATCACGTTATCAAGTGTTGAAGAGTGAATAAAATTTTTTGTGGATTTATTGAGTTATTATTTTCCAATTAATGAAAAATAATTGAAAGTTTAACTTTCTATTTAAAAAACTCTGTTAGTATTTTTTTTAATGTCAAAGAGAGATTCCATTTTTAAAATAATTGAGTAGAATTGGCTATTATTTTCAATAAATCTGCTCATACATGCTGAAAACTCTGATTTAAAAAATCATTTTGCCAAGAGAACAATGTTAACTAGAAAATTTTTCATTTTATTTATTGTCTGAACATCAAAAGTTTTCTCTCAATTAAAAAAAAATTTTTTCCAAAATTTATTAGGTCAATTTTTTCTATGAATAAAAGTTATGAAATGATAAAAAAAAAATGAAAAACGTCAACATTTGATTTTCCAAGCCCAAGAATCATTATATTATGATAATTGGATACTTAGTTTCTGTAACAAAAAATAATGATAGATTGATGGTAATGAACTAGCAAGTGGAGATTTTTATTGAAATGAATTCAAAAGCTTTCTTTGTAGTTATTTTTTCGAGGAATAATTCCTACGAGATAATGCCGAAATATCAGACACGAAATAAGATATGAAAAGAGGTAAAGATGCTGAACGAAGGGAGTGAGGATGTTCGGTGGAGCATACAATTTATGTTTATCGTCGAAGCAGCTCGATTTCACGTGGAAATAACTTAGCGGATCAGACGCTTGATATTACCTATGCGAAAAACGATTACATCGATCGGCTAGGGGGTTACGAGGGTCATCAAGGAGAAGAGAAGTTTGTATAAGAAGGTGAGTGTAGTCTTGCAAGTTAGAAAAAAGCACGGATTTCACTGACGAAAAGTTCGGCTCGTTTTCTCGAGGGACGAAAGAATTTGAAATTTCTCTCCTACGAACAACCTTTGGATTCTATCGAATATGAAAATTCTTTCTCGCACGCTCCAAAGTACCATAGCCAAGTTAAAGCTTGTGACTTATCTCCTCTTACTACTACTTTGAGGGAATTTTCAATTTTGCTTTTATCCATTTACTTATTGGATACTTTGGTTTTTATCAAGTCTTATTACTGCTATGATTGCTCTTGTTTTGCTTTTCAGTTGTGTCTATTGAGCTTATAGGAAATATCTGTACTTAAATTCTATATATATATATATATGTACATTTCTACCCTTGGGCTATGACGTTATTGCCTCCACTTGAACCGTTTCTCATCTCTTTGAACGACCTTGCTGTCTAACCACTGAAAAAATTGTCTGAAAAGATGACAGTATGTTGACTTTTGGGCATGTCTTATAATTAATTATTAAGAAATATATGATGTAATCATATAAACTAATTTTATTACCAAGAAGTTTAAGCTTCTAACTAGTTTCTAATTTATAACTTTATCACCACAATTCAATTATTGTTAATCTCTTTATTTTTTAATTTGACGTTCATTAGGTAATCATATGTAAACTTGAACTTCCTATGATTTTTTTTATTTACTTTTCTATTAAAATAAATATAATTTTGTTATCTGTGATTAAAATTTGATAAAAGTTGAATTAGTTAAGTTTACGCAGAACATTATGAATTATTGGAATAAGATTAATACCAACAACTTTATCTATGTTTTCTTGTTTTTTTCATGACTAAGTACTAGTATTACAGCTATTGTAAAACTTTGATTCATAAAAATTATTTATCTATATAAACTCCTGATAATGTATTAAGACATAATATTTTTGCCTATGATATTACTGAAGCACAATCTATTTTAATGATGAAAAATTGTTCAAAGAAACAACTTAATCATGAAAATGTTTTAAAATATGAGTTCTCTGATGTTAAATGATTCAAAAGTATTTCTAAAACAACTAATTACAGTAAAATGTAATTATCTTTTGCAAGTTTTGGTGTATGAAGTGAGTACTCGAAAAATGTTCAAAATGTAATCAATGGAAATAATTCAATTAAAAAAGTATTTTCATTCGTGGACTAATTCCTGAGAAGACGAGTAAGAAGTTATTACTTGAAACATTAGTTTTGAAGAAATTTTCATGAGGTCAAGTATGGAGTATTTATTACGTAGTTTCTAGATGGTTAGTTTAAAATAAAGTGACTTTTCCTCTTGCTCTCTATGTTGTACAGTGGCTCGTAAATATTCCTAGGCAAGATTGGCCAATAAATTTTGCAAACTTTCCTGGTCGCTAGCATTTTAATGGGAAGCTTTAGAGAGCTTGTGCGTATACTTGTACCCAAGCAACTCTGCTTCTCTTTTCCCCTGCGACTTTTATGTAACTTCGACACGACAGTCATGATTTTCGTGACACGGAAATGCTCTCGAAGAGTATCTTTATCCAAGAAAATTTTTAACTATGGCAACACAGATCAATGAATTGATTTTCTTGTTAGCGAGAAAAAGTTTTAAAACTTTCTTCAATAAAAGGTATAGGTATGAGGTGTGTTTGTGTAATTTGTTGTGATACATGACGAGCTTATTCTTCAACTCAACGTTTGAAATGTGATGTAGAATAGCATCTGTTGTAGATAACATAAGCCATTGGTCACGTTCTCAATACATTGCCCACGTATCCATTAATCCCATAAACGGCAACGTGCCACGGAGCCGCCATAATTCCGCGCGACCGATCCTAGCTTCCAAGCACTACACATATCGGTCGACGTGCGCGCAAGGTTTACACTATACCGCATCAATCGATCCGAGTTTACGTCAACCCCTTCTTTATCCTCATTTTCTCGTTCTATTCTCATTATGTATTATGCAAACTGACCCAGGAGATTAATCAACATATGATTAAACTTGATTCGATTTAATCATTATATACATGAGATAGCATTTCAAAGCTGTTTGTTGATGTTAAGATATTTGTATTATCATACACGTATTCATTCCATATTAAATAGTTGGTCTGATATTTCGTAATTATACTCATTATTGTCATTTGATAACAAAGTGTCAAGTACTTTCATCTGATTTCATTTTCATTTTCTCATTGTTATTATTTCAGTAAGTTTATATTAATTCATGTTTTTATTCGTGATCATTTACTACCTTTATTATATGTGTCATTTTAATTAATTTTGCTATCATTTTAGATTATATTTTGAATAAAATAATTTAAATTAAATGACTATACAAATTAAATACAAGTGGCAGATAGAGTAATTGACAGTAAAAAAATAAGAAAATCAATTTCAATTTGGAGTTTCTAAGTTGCAAATAAAATGTAATTACATGTCGCTGTTGCAGACCGGATCTTGATTATCAACGATGCAGTTGCATGCAAACAGAATCCTTTTAGGTGGAAGTCCTGGTTTAGTGTTTATATCTATTTCTAATCATGAAAAAATAAAAGACCTCGAGATAAAAAATTATTGTTCAGATGGTGAATTTATTATTTAAGAAAAACATTTACCTGCATTACATCTACTGTTGATATTATTGCAATAGATTATTTACATAATTTTAATAAATACAACTCTGTAATAAAATAAACACGACTATTTACTCAAGCATTCACACTAGTTGATAAATTTTTTAAAACATAACTAACAATAAACCCAAATAAAAGTTAAAAATAATAATTTCATTAAATTATTTCCTACAATATGTTTTAAAAATAAAATCCATCCTTCAATAAAAATTGTTTGAACAATGAATTTTTGAATATATTGAACATAAGTTCAATGCGGAAAACAGAATTACAATCCTATTATGTAGGTTCAAATATAAAATATTCTCTCCATTCATAACATCCACAATACTCTCTTTGAACTTTTCATCAAACTCTATTCATTTTCACTAATCAATTAATACAATATTAAAAACAAATTTAATTAATTAATTATCTCTACTCCTATATTCCTCTTTCATTGAATATAATGCAGAGGTGAATACACTCACGAGATTTATCAAAGTTTCATTGAATTAAATTTCACTTAATTTGTCATACACTTTCGATAAGCATTAAAAAGTCATGTTTGAAAGCCATTAAGATGCTGCATCCATTGAAATGCTTCAATTCAATGTGAATAACTTCTTTTCTTACCAGTTTCTCTATTCATGCATCGTTACCTATTAATGAATGAATAAAACTTGGTAGTTCAACGTATCGAACAATGAATTGATCAATAATGCTTTCAATAAGTTACATTATCGGAACAATGTTAGCTAAAGTTTTTATTGAGTTTTATATTTTATTCCTAAAAAAAAAAAATACTCTATTTATATAATAAGCTCTGATCTTATTTGCATTTTTCTTTATGCAAATTATAAGTCAGTTATTAAGAGATAACAAAGTGTTGGTGTTAGCCGGACATAACAAAATATGTTGTGCACTAGTATGGAAAATAGTGGAATAATTAAACAGTAAAATAGCAGCAAGATCCTTGGCGCCAGAATTCTCAGCAAAATTTTACGCTTCCTTTCCACTTGTTTTTTTTACCATCTTTTTTCAATTCTTTGCTTACTTTTTTAAAAAACATATTCTAAGGGAATGTTTGTCATTAGCAACTCTTTTAGCAAATTAAAAAAGCAATAATGTGAAACATTCGGTGTGGTTTGAATTATGGTAGCGAATATTTATTTTTCTGTTCCTCATCGTATTAATCAAGATAATAATTAGATTAAAGAATGCTATTTATTTTTTGCAAACTTGTAATACATAAAATCGTGTGATACATTTTGTGCTAATGTGTAATTCATAATAGATGAATAAGACTATTTTAATTATTCTGAAAAGAAGATTTATTTACACTTTAAAAGTATTATTAACGCTGTGTGAATTACTTGGAACTATGAATAATAAGTATTTTCAAGTAAAATTAGACGTTAGATTAAGTATTTAGAATACAAGCTTGTGTTTAATGATATAAGAGTTAATGGAAGTTTGGTAGAATTAAATTTATGATGATTATTTATCTACATGTATAGGTAACGTAAAATTAACTCCAAGATAATATAAAATTAGAAATTTATTTGAGAAAATTAAAGTGTGAAAAAGTCTTTATATTATTTAATCTTCAAAAAAAATTAATAATTTTATGAACAATTTATTCTAACCATCTAAATGTTTTTAAAAGCATACTAAAGGTGGTTTAACTTACTCATTCCAATTTTATTTTGAAATTTCAGAAGTTCTCTGATCGCGATGATTAAACAGGAATTCTCAGGAATAATCGTCAGGACTTTTTTAATTTTACGTGATCGACATGAGAGGCTGGTGGAGATTAAGGTAGGATGACATTATAATCTCTTATGCTTAAGTTAAAGTTCACCGTAAGGTTTCCTATACATGACTTGAGAAACTTTCATGAAAAGTGTGCCGATCGATAGTTGTAGAAGTTACTGACTGTACTCTAGCGATCAGTTGAGACAGAAGTATGTGTAGTGTACTAAAGTCGAGAAAACTCTATGTGACGCGTGCACGCGCGCGGAAACTAATCCGAAATCGCGAAGAGACACTTGCTCGTCGTCCTGTTTAACGGAAGTCGCGTCGCGTCTGTTCGTCTACTGATGCCGTGACATAGCAGTTGAAGTTTTAGACATTGTCACTAGATAGACGAGAAACTGAGGACAGTGGATAGAGCGTAGTTTTTTTTATTGAACTTTTAAAAGTGTGAAAACATCGAGTGTAAACTTGAACACAAAAATATTTCCAACACAACTTTAGTCAATAAAGGAAAAAAGGTGCAATGCATTTTAGCTCGTTGTCAACTAAAGCAAAAGCACGAGAATAAGTGCTTTTATCTCTTGCCTGTACCGGACGTCGTGACAATAGGCTGTGAAGATCATGTCGTTTCTCATAGCCAGAGATTTTAGTTTTCAGAATTCTCACTTATGAGTCAAATATTACGTATTGTATGCTACCTCGTCAACGACTAAATTGCTTTCATCTCTTTTTATGCGCTTCCTCATTCTCATCTTTTCTGAAACTTTTACTGCTTTTTATCGCTATATACTTTGTGATGAACATGGTCAGAATGGAATTAATGGCTAGATAAACTTGGTCTATCAAAAAATAAAACATTAAATTTTCGACAAATCTTTTGTATTGAAAATTACCCAAGAAATTTTATTACAAAAAATCTAGAGAACCTAAGGTAGTGCTTAGTCACATATCAATATCTCATCTCACTATATAAATTAGCTTGTAAAATAGCAACAAAATTATTTAAGAAAGTTTCTAAATTTCTAAAAATAACACAAACATTCTTTATAATAAAATCAACTATAATTATTCAGTATCAAACTAAAATAATAATTTTTATGAAAACAAAAAAACTCGTCCACTGAAAACTTTTACTCTAAAAATAAACTCGATGGAGTTGTTGCTTATTTATATGATTGATTAACCCAAAGTATCTAAAAAATTTTAAAAGTTCCATCAATTTTAAATGGAAATAAAATAGCTGTTCTACATCAGACAATTTTTCCAGTTGAAATTAGTTATCCCAAAGATAAATCTAAAAATGAAACATGTTTGATTTACTTTTATTTCTTTTAAAAGCAATTATATCTTGTGTTCATTGTCCAATCGAAATACCCTATATACGATAATCTAAAGTTGCCCCAATGAACTAGAGAATGTGTTGCCACCGCAAATTCATCACATGAGCTATACATAACTTGTTTCCGTTTTCGGTTATAGCACTGGTATAGAGTAATAGTGCAATAAATTCAAAATTTCACGTCCTATAAACTCGACCAAATTCTGCAGATGCTTCATAGGTAGAGAGAAACTATATTCTTGGTATGAACAGGATCTTCTTTAGAGTCTATAAAAACGCTAAGAATTTATCGTCCAATATATACATTGGCGTGAGGATCCGTTTTATTTGTTGCTAAATCGGACATTTCTTATCTGGAGCCTCTGTGTATGAAGTAAAATAATGCAGAAGGGTGTAAAGAGGAGAGAGATAGGAAAACAAATTTCATGTTATTCCGAGCAGCATCCAAGTAGTGAGGCTGCTGTTACGCTTCCAGAGAGAATCGAAACGAGCTTTCCTCGTTGAAATGACCTTTTGGATGTGTTCTTATCGTTCGAGAGGATCCCTTAGCTCCTTCTTTACTTACGTGGCTCGCTTACCTACATCTGATGCCATAGAATGAAGCACGAGTATCCCTTATTCTTTTCACCAACTTCTCTATTTATTGAACCTCCTGAGATCCACTGAATTCACTGTAGAAATCAGCCTCATATATCTCATCTCTCAGATGTTTCACTCCTTGACTTCTTATTACTGTACTTTATTCGATACACATCGACCTTTCTTTTCTATGATTAAGATTAAACAGCTAAATAAAATCTATTGTTTATTAAGAATATTCCAACTATTCATTATTACTTCTAAATTGTTAAAATTTTTTTAATTTTTTTATTGATGAATCAAATAATCTCAAGTAATCATTATTTTTAGCAAAATAGTCTTAAGATATTCTATGATAATAATCAATATCAAAAAGAGTCAAAGCTCAAGTTTGATTGGTTTCAGATTTATGAGTTAAAAAAATTATTTCTAAATAAAAAGTATGAATAAATTTTTCTTATAATTAGTCAGGAATTTGTGATTGTAGTTTATTATAATTAAAAGGTACATTCAGGTCGATATCGTGACCCAATAAATATCTAATTTATTCTAGACCTGATTAAAATTATTGATGAATAATTTACGTTTACTTATTAATACTTAAATGAACCTCAGTTGGAAAAGGAAAAAAAAATGATCTTTAACATGACTGGTTTTTTACAGCTGATGCTTTTTCCAATTGACATTGGTACCTACTTATTGAAAGCATCTTAAATAAATATCTACTGTGTTGATATATTTAGTTGTTTATTAATATAATCAATAAATTTTAAGTTTAATTGAGTTGTGTTAATTTACCACAGTTTAAAGTATAGTTTGATGTGATAGTTTGAAAAGTCAGCAGCGAAAGAATATCTTGGAGAGGTTGAACTTGATGAAGCTTAATGAGCAAGATAAAGCAACATTTCCTTATTGAGCAAGTTCTTGACAGCTCAACCAAGAGTTTAAGGCAAAGTATATATCGCAAAGGTAATTCGCTGATAGTTTTCGGCTAATTTAACGTCGACGATAAACACAGACGCCGACCGTTCATCACAGTGTCCTTCGGGACTGGTGTAGTGAGAGAGAAAGATGCCCAGGCCAACAAGACAAATTGCACTGAGTGCCTCCAGGCTTACGTCGTCTATCCTTGCTATTCGCAAGCTTTGAGATTACCTTCTCGACCTCACATTCGTTCTCTTATTTCTCCTTTCTGTGTGCATTATCAGTTCTTCACTTCAATGAGAACTGAGGGAAGTTACTAGTCTGTTTAGAAATTTCTTCTCTATTTGCTCTTCTTATGAATATAAATATTGATATAGTTTTTAGTTTACTTTGAGGATAACTGATGTGCATTCAACTGTTAGACAGCTTGTTCATTATCAACTTATTGACATAAAGATTGGATTATCACTGCAAATATTCATTTCTCTAAAATTGTTGAGTTTGAATAGAGTTGAGTATATTGTTCGTTGATATTTTTTTTGCTAAATATTTGCATTTTATGATTAGTATTTATGTTTTTTTTTAATCAAATTAACTAATGAATATTTAAATTTAAGAAAACGTATTTCTTTTAAAAGAAATCTTTAAACAAGCTTTATAAGAAGCAAGACTTATCTTTGACCAAGGGGAATTTTTTTTATTGAAAATGAATTTTTTACTTTAAAGAGAACAAATATTTTTAATTTAAACTGCTTTTTCTGATCGAATTACACCTTTTATATCAAATTACAAGACAATTTTATATTGAATCATTTTATATTATTGTTTCAACCTTTTTCGAATAGAAATTAAATTTAAAATTACCATCTTTTACGATATTCCTTTCTTTTATGAATAAATTAGAATAACAGCTCTAATAGCTAGTATTTTATGGAATTTCAATGGCGAATAAAACTGCTAGATGAAATTGAAGCAATTTTGGAATAAATTGGGACGAATCGAATAATCATTTTATTGATTATTATATTAAAAATAAGTCAATAAATAAAGTATGCTGATTTCTCAGTTGCAACTATTCGAATAAGCCTTTTTAAATTTCAAAATGGATATTTACTTGATTTGAATAGGTTCTTTTGAATGTAATGGATATATTATTTGCATTTAATTTTAGTTCAGTAGTTTTTTCACTAAAATTAACCAGCGTATAACAGTTTAGTTTTACGTCAAAGATAATTCGTATTTTGTTCACGATCAATCACTGACACCAAAGTTTAAACTAAAGCCACAATAAATTAGTTAAAATTATAAGTTTGTCGGACATGGACCTATTTTGTTCGATAAAACAACGTCAAAGCGATGAAGACGAGTCAACAAAGCATACGAGAGCTATTGCATTTGCATAGCAAAGTCTTACGGCCACGATTTTAAAACGTATTTTTAATCAACTCATGTATTCCAAGCGCGTTCAGTAAAATAATATATAATGTATCACGTTGAATTCTCAAAGGAAAATAAAGGTTAATGAAAATGAAATTTATAGAAAAAAAACGGAACAGGAATAAAATATTTTATTCTATAGAGTACTGAGTGAGTGGTTGTGAAGTAGAGACTGATAGCATAGAAAGTAGAGGTAGGAGTTACTCCAATCTCTCTAGAGAGTGAGGCTTTTGTGAATTCAAAACCTGTGGCCAAGCGGTCGATCGTCGATTGTGTCTGCAACCAAAAATTGCCAACACTCAACACTACCCTGAGGAATAATCTATTCTATTTTCTGTGCGTGTGCTGACGGAAACTAACTTGGGATTGGTTGAGTACGTATGAACAAACATTCGATTTTTTCAGTCACGCACATGAATTGTAAAAATACCTTAGCCTATTTCTGACACTTTTTCCTCCAAAAGTATTTACTATCATTATTCATTAACAAGTTTGCCCTTTTATTTTTTTCCAATTGCTACATTCTTCAATTGCTCTAATCAGATTAAGCTCAATTACAAATTTAAATGTGTGGTAAACGATACTCATTTGATTCGTGAAAATAAATTAGTTGTAATATATTGCAAAAACAAAATTACATAGAAAGGTTTTTTAGAGAAAAAGACTATAGATAAAAAAATCGAATAAAAATTATTATTATTATTAAATAAAATTGATAATAATATGTATGAATAAAAACAAGCTATCCTGTAAAAGAGAGTAAAAGTTAACTGCGTAGTAGACA